GCGGAGAGGCTCATTCATCCGAGCGAAGCGAGGAAGGACCGCTAGTATTATGTATAGTAGTAACTGTTAATGGATCACAAGGCTATCTGAACAAAAAAATTCAGTGATTTGTACAAGTAATAAAGAAACTTGCGGTTAAATGCAAACAAACAAAAACTAATCAAACGCATCAGAAAGAGAAGATGGACGCTGGAACGAGATGGTGGAAGCATAGGTAGTTGTAGCGTTGGATGTTGAAGTTTGATCGGGAACTTGCAAATAGGCGACATGGCCTACAGTGGCCTACTCCGGTATCTTAATTGACTTGCTGCCCCTCACCCCATCTGCTGATAATTTTCACTTGTATCCGCCTTTGCTTCTTCAGGCATATTTTTTCAGAGTAACACGCGGTCCCAGTCCCAGTCCCTCTCTTTCTTTTCAGGACCGCAACAAAAAAAGGTCGAATAAGTATGAAACTAGATTGTAACTCGCTACCTGAACGAACGGGGAGAAGAAAAGAGGAAGGAAGTTACTGAAGCCACTAGCCCTGAGATGGGGTGAATCATTGTCATCGTCTTAGAAGCACTAACTCCAGGAAGTAGTAAAACAAAGCAACCACTCTTTCCTCTTGTGCAATCATTCACGAAGGAATGTTGTGCTGTATCAAGATATGGCGCATGCTTGGGTGTAGTTGTATAAAAGGTTGCACCGATTACTTTATATTAGATCTACGTGGTAAAAAGGATGGCTATAACTTTTCATTTAACACTTTCAAGTAAGTAGAATGATCCAAACAAGATCCTGCAGCATGATACTGCCTGCTTACAACATGTTTGCTTTTACTGCAAATGATGTAGCTGATTGACTGGGTCAAGTATGTTAATATATATAATGTTTAGAGTAGTATCTTAAAATTAATTTGCATCAGGCGAACCGTGTTTAGCCTTTGCAGCAGTAAAAAATGCGCCATTGGATCAGGTGGGATAGCTGACGCCTTGCATAAGGCCAGCATCTCTGTCAAATTGATCAGAAAAGGATCCATTGGTGCCAGTGTGGTTCTCGATGGTAATCCAAATTTCGTCGGCAGCAAAGGACGCGTGAGAGGCCGTGCTTGCAAAACCTTCAGTACCAGGTGTGTACAGTACACAGTACCGACAGCAGCATCGAAGCAAACTAGCTAAAGCAGCCGAGGTTGACAGAGATGACCCGGATGACTGCTTGTTGCCCATTGAAATGGCACGGTAGTAGAATTCAGCATATTTAACAATGGCAATGGAACAACTATGCCAAAATAAAGAACGATTTTTTTTGTCAGTGACAAAAAATGACCATATCTGTAATCGTTGTTCTTGCACACATGATAGTACAGGTAGTACTGATTATATAGCAAAAAACATTTGGGTATTTACTGAATTGCTTTGCGAATTAGCATATGCACCATACGAATTTGTAGCGTGTCGATCAACAGCTGTTCCGAGTCATGATAGACTGTTGCCAATGAACGAAAAGATATCGGCAAAAGAGCTTTTAATAGCAACATCCGTTACCTCGTCGTCCAGAAGTAAGAAACCTAAATGTTAGAAATACGATCATAATTGGCCAACATGAGTGAAGATAATAAAAAGACATTTTCATACGGCAGAAGCATAATATATTCTTGACTACTACGACTAACCATCGTTCATGTTAGCAGGGTGGGCAGCAATTAACACATGAACATTCAAGCCAGCGTTTGAACACCTCCAGAGAACCATTGAATAGCTATCGTTGATGTAGCTGACGTTAATTTTATCTAATTATTGAGCAATAAACAAAATTGGGAGTAGGGTGTCGCGGTTAATCAATGGTTATATTATAGGGCATTTACAAGTATATGAAAACTTACTGCTCATATTGACATTTCATCGCGAATTCAAGAATTTTGTCCTCCACGCAGGTACCAGTAGAAAAAATCCAAAAAGGAGGACGAAACCGTTGTTCCAGATTGCTTCGATGGCGTGTCACTGGGTAGACTCCACACGAGAACCCTTTTTTCAAATTCCAGTCTGGTTGATGCTTGATATATTCCTATTGTAATCAATATTGGTTACCCTAGCTACTTTATTTCGCTCCTCTTCACATTATTGCTGTGCATTTAAAGCCATGAGAATCACTACCTAGGCAAACATTGTTATGTTTGACCTAGTTGCGGACAAGCATACATACACGGATCGCTTACCGATTCAATATTGTGCTGTTGCGTAACTGTTTGGCATCTCTTGAACCAAACACCTTCAGAACCATCATTTTCACTTGGGCGACAAGAAACCAAAACGTCCGTGAGCCTGATGTCTGTGTGAGTAACAAGAAAAAGAACAGCTGCAGCAGTCCAATAAAGTATACTAACGTAGAGTTCCTTCGTTCGTCCGTCCGCCAGATTACGTGTGTGTGCAGAAGAACCTAGAGAGACCCAAATACGAGGAAGCAACTACGGTACACTACTATTAGCAGATGAACTTAACCTTCATTTTTCATACACTCTAGCTCTCTTTTCATATGTACACACGCCCAAACGCAAATGTTATAGTGACCGAGACACTGCATCCATTCCATTCTAGACATTTTCTCTCCCCTATCACATGCCAATGGCTGTTCTAAATTTACCTACAGTGTGAAAGAATCATGACTTTCGGTGTGATGTATATACTGTGAGAAAAAGGGACAGCTATGTCAAAACAGTGAAAAGAAGATTGTTTATCAGTATCGGTGCAGATTGAAGTCTTGACACATCATCAGTGAATTATTACTTTCGCTTCAGTCCCTCAGCTTTTTCAATATCAATCTTCCGCATCACTTACGCGATGTTCCGCAGCGTCCGATAAAAGGGGGTAAAGTGAAAATGCAATCAAAGAAGAGCACGACCAGCATCTGCAGGTACTATTGATCTTAGTATCTGGCCTGCTGCTCATTTCCCTCCTCCAATGTAGTTTTAGAGCAGGACAGTCCTTGGATAGGCCACCGACGGCATCTGGCTGCAGATGATCAAAGTAGTTCTGTCACAAAAAATGGTTTGTACTCCACAGGCGTACATAAAAGCGGAACAGCTAGCCTTACCGTTTAATGGGTCACAATTTACATTTTCCTTTGTCGTGTGCTGCTATAACGATTTAGAAACCACCACAGCACCGTCGGTCTGTTATCCTCTAGGGACCCCGTCCCATAGTTAGTGCATATCTATGTATATGTAAATGTAAATGTATATGCACATGGTCAACTATCTTGCCCAATCGTCTAGAGAACGAGAATGTAATACTTAACCTACTGTACTACAGTATATTTGCTCGCAGAAGTCTACGGGACGAACACAGTCGGTTGTCGCCTTTTGTCAGGGTAAATAAAATGGAACACTCGATAGAGCGGCGGAATCTACACGACAATATTCAACCTATAAAGCAATTTCACATACATACTCTCATTTCACACCGAACAGAGGCTCGGATCGAACGAAAGGCGCAACGCGCCGAGAATCTTCCTTTCCTGTGCACACGTACCCCTGAGATGTTACATGAAAAACAGCGCAATTGCCCTAAGAAACATTGTACCCAACTATATGTATAATGCTGTAGATACAGTAGAAGCTATCAAAATAACATTTTATTTTTTTTCTGTATCCATTGCCTCTATTACTTAATACATATCGTGGGAAGGGTGTTCTTTATGCTATCGCGTTGTTTGTTATCGCACCAAAATAATACATAGGAATGACAATGCTCATCTCGACATTTTCTCTTTCTACAGTATTAGCCCAGAAATGGACCAACTCGTCCTGCTCCTTCATGACCGACTGCCCCGCAAACTACATAAACATTATCTTCAGTTCTACTTTTTTCTTTGTTTCCTTTACAGTATATATTCTCTATCCTCATTGACCACGGTATTATCTGCCAAAAAGAATACTACACTCTTGCTTATCAACGGCTGCATTTTCTCATGGCCATCCTTTTTTCTTACCGGAGACGCTACGCAGTCTTATTGGTGACGGATCTGAGTACGCCAACCCGATGCCTGGCCAAGGGGTAGAATATATATTTATGCACGGAAAACTACCGAGAAGAAAACGATCAAAACAGTCTATCCAGGTTCAAGCGCTTTCATAACCCAATACGACCTATGCTGTACTTGTTAGAATCCGATGTACTGTATTTGTGGCCTTGTTACTAAATGCGATCTCACATAAAGCCCGTCTCTCTTTGCCTTTCGCTATGATTTCAATGAGCTCGAAGTTGAATTATGTTAGTTGGTACCCAGTGTTGGATCTATCCTTGAATCGTTTTGCGCTGGACGGATATGATAATGGATCGTGATTTCCGCAATACAGAAAGCAATATCATAGGGGGGCGACTCAGGATGAACAAAGAAGAGCTGGTGAATTGACTCAGAATTTTCCTATCTTCAAGGCTAGGCTTCGATTTGCTTGGATCTATGCTGCATTAATACAAGTAATATTCATCATCATATACAGCTGGTGTCTATATGTCAATGCTCATTTAGCAGCTGTACTCGTTCTGCAATTCAATGGTAGTATATCTGTTTTCTTTTATCTCTCCTTTCGGCCTTGTTGCTTCTATTACGATGATAATGGTGATGAACCTTGATTATGAGCAACTTTGTCTACACATAGTAATCTGTATGATATATATTCGTAGCCATCAATATATTGTGGAATATAAATTCTAAAAGGATTTAATAAAGTATTATGTATATATTTTACGCTGACATGGTATCACAGTAAACGAAACCTAGAACAATAATCTTGCATGTCGTCTCTGCTTTAATTTGTGCACAGCTTTTATACTCCTGAAGTCGACTTCTTATGAATCTTAGTGTAGTACATATATACACGCATGATGCAAGAATTTATCATTTTTAGCTAGTGCAATCATGAGCGTTATTATACTATTGTTGTGTGCAATTATTAATATTAAAAATAAGCTATTATTTGTGCGTGAAAAAAAAAACAGAACTCATTTACAAATTACATTCTAAAAGTTTAAATCAACTTTAGAAAAATCAGACTGCGCCAACTCCTTTTCAATTTCTTTTAGTAAGTCAGCGTCTTCATCGTGGGTGGCATTGTTGATTCGCTGTTGCTGGGCAATACGCACAGGCGGAACAGCGGGTGCTAAGGTCGTCGGCGTTGTAGGTTCATTGGATGACAGCGATCCCGATGATGGTTGTGATCCTTTCCGTGGCAACTTCCTCGTAGCAACGCTGAGCTTGATATCTTTTTCTCGTGGACGCAGGAACTCTGAAAGCGTGCCTGATTCCACTGCACGCATCACTTCATCGTATGGCTATATGTGTAGTGTTGTGGTGTACAAATAACAGAAATGAGAATCCTTCTTTTCATGATGAATGCATATCAATTCTATTGACAGCATAAGTGAGTGAAAGAACTTACACCACGGTACTCGCCGCCGACAAACACTTGAGGCAAGTTCCTTGTATTACCGACATTCTGACGACGCATATGCTGAAGTGCTGGCTCGCTTTGTGCCACATCAACAACCTGGAATGTGATTTGTTTTGACGTAAGCATGGTCTGCAGGGACTCTTGGTTGCGCTTGATTGTAGGGTTTGCCGACACGCTCGAGACATAGATCTGCACGTGGGATGAATCACGGGGCACTAGCTCAATCTCCTGCTGCTTCATAACAGCAACAGGCCATCGCATCACTCTGGCGCTTGCGGATCCACCTGTCTTGCGCAAGTTGATGGGCTCGCTATTCTTCTCCAACAAGACCATGCTTGCACGCTTAATGTGGTTCTGTAACTCTGCCTTTTGGCCCTGTTTCATGACCGACATTTCTTTCTGATGTGATTTCTGCAGACTAGCCATTTGGACGGAATGTGCGTGCTCCGACTGCTCAAACTCCTGCAGCAGTTTCTCAACTTCGCTGTTCATATCGCTCTTGGCACGTCTTTCCACATTCTCCAAACGTTCCTTTAAGATTTTGGTGTCCCGTTCGTGTTTGTTTTGCAGCTCGTTCAAAGTTTCGGTTTGCTTGCGCTCCAGGTTTTTGATGGCACGTTCTTGGTCCGCCTTCAGCTCACTCAGGGATTGTTGATGCTGGACGAGGACGCGGTCTTTTTCAGCCATTTCCTCTGCGTGTGTTTGCAAGGTTGCCTCGTGCTTCTTTTTCTGAGCCTAATGTTTGTTTTCTTTAAAGTTAGCATGGTTTTCTTTTCTGTTAGAGGGAAAAGGAGGGAGGAGAGGGAGAATGTGATGAAAAGGATCTCATGTTTATACGCACCTCCAACTGCTGGTTCAGTTCTTCCAACTTTTGGATCATGAATTTGTCACTTTCCAGATCCATTGTCAACCGGTTCAACCGCTTCTGGCGCTCTTGATCTTTACTGCTATCTTTAGGACTGCCATCAGGTGGATTTTGTTGGGACCGTAACGTTGTCAGTTCCTTTTCCGTCTCTGCCAGTCTGCTCACGGCTGCATCGTTCTATCATTGTTCCAGAGAATGGCATATTTAGTGCTTTTTTCGGCTGATAGGAGCTCCAAATACCGACCGGGAGAAAGAACAAGAAGAAGGGATTTATGGATTGCGGAGAACAAAGGGGATGAAGGGAGGGGGGGATGGTGGAGCACCAAAGAAAAGGGGTCGCTTTCTCTCTCTTAAGCCCAAATGTAAGCAAGAATTTAGGGAGCAGAAAGAGACTTACTGCTTTCTTTAGGTCTTCGAGCTGGTCCGTTACTTGCTGTAATGCTGGCTTGACGGCTGCTTCCTGTTTCCACTTGGCCTGCAATTCTTCCAGCTGCTTGTCTTTGGCTTTGAGCTGTTCTGCTAGCTGCAACTGCTCCTCGTCCTGCTGTTGTTCCTGTGCTTGTATCTTTTGCATCAATTCCTCGATTTCTTTCTCCCGTTGTTGTAACTTGAGCTCTTTCTGCTGCAGATCCAGATCGGCCCCGGATTTGTGGTTTGAAACAAGTGAGCGTAACTCTTCTAACTCGGCCGATTGGCGTGCAATAACATCGAGATGTTCTGTTTGCTGTTGTGACAGTGAGTCAAATATGTTGTTGAAAATGACTGAGTGGTGCTCTCTTTCTCTTCTTTCATGTCAGTAACAAACCTTGGTTTTAAGCTCTTTGTATTCTTGACGTATCTGTACTACTGAGCTGGCAATACTTGGAGGTCGGTTGCTAGTGACAGGCGGGTGTAGTTGTTGTTGGGGTTGCTTTTCTTCTGGTTGTTGCGCAGGTTGCGGTGTTGGTGACGGTTGCGCGGCAGCCGTTTCTAAAGGAACATTCTTACGTTTGTTCTTCTTCCTGCTTCCAAAGCAAGGCATACTTTTGTGCTGTCTGTGATGATCGAGCTAAAGAGCGAGAAGGAAAAGATCAAAAAAAAGTTTAACGGAAATACGAAAAGGAAAAGAAGCGAAAACAGATATAAAGCCTTTGTCTCTGAAAAAGAAAAAGAAAGCGAGTAAGTGAGTGAAAGATCTACTCGTTCTAGGACTCTTTAGGGGCTATCTCACAATGTGACAAGAGGAGTTTATTTTTTGCTATTTTCATGCTCCATAAGAAAAAGGCATTTAATGTACATGCTCCACCTGCCCTTTTTCCACTCACATACATTTCTGTATCCTTTCACGCTCGCACTACATACTCATCACTCACACGAGCGCCAGGGGGAGGGAGCTTCTCTAAGGTACTACACGCGCTTTACATGTTTTTTTTTTAGTTTATCAGTATTTTGTACATATAAATAACATACACACACGCTCTCTCTTTCATACATGTAGTATGATTGCTAGAACAGGTATTAGAGTGCTAGGGAAATATAGAAATACAGTGCCAAGTGTTGTCCCTAAATAAGTTCATTGCCTATTGAAATAGAAATTCCTGTATGGCCGAGTTTACTTGTTGTGTATTGGTGACCATGGGCATATGGCCTGCTCCCTGGATCAGCAAACGAGTTGGAGCTTCTTGCAAGTGTTCTTGAACGATGTCCATGGTAGACGGGGGAGCCATTTTATCCTTTTTTATAGATGAACTTCGATTGTGAGCAATGCCAACGGTAATAGCGGTACCAGCAGCCATAACAAGGATTGTTGTTATACTTTCCCGATATGGAGATCATCATTGTCATCATTCTTACCTCAGAACCTCCTATTATCAGAACTCGGTTCGTTGATATCTTTGACAGGATCTCCGGCGACGGTATTCTAGCACGACTCATGAACCGTTTCCAGACACTCGTACGGCTCATCAAGTTCCATCGGAGCTGTCTATAGCTCTTTTTGTTTTAGCTAATATATTCCCTGCGTCATGATGCTATTGCTGACAAGAAACAACACAGTAAGCACATACCGTCGCCTTGTTTCTTCATCTGCCTCTTCACCGAGGAAGCGGTTGACACTTTGACTGTGCAATCCGCCTTTCCGGTCAGCTCGTCGGCCCCGGTCGATGAGCCAATCGGGTATGAAGGGCAACATCTTTTGTCCTCGCTTTTGTTTGGCGTCCAAGTGCAGTCTGGGACAGCAGATCATGACAAGACCCTTCAACTGGATGCGTGTTGCGAGAATAGAGGACACCAGACAGCCATATGAATGGCCTATGGCAATGATTCCCTTGCTGGTATCCAAGGTTTTCGCTACGGCTTCGATATCCGACGCTAGTTCTGCAGTGTCATACGATTTCCAGCTATTATACATGATGACGTACGATGTAGTTGTATAAATATTTGCTCTCTTTGGACTCCACGTCGTGTGGGGAAATCGAATCAAAAGAATCAAACAGTATTTTTCCCTTACTCTGTAACGACCTCACTGGATCCGCAGCCAAGCAAATCAAGGGCCACGACGCGGGATGCATAATCACAGAAATATTTGAGTTGTTCTTCCCATTGTGATGCCTAAGCGCAAAGGTCATGAGTTTGTCTTTTTTTTCCCCACAGCAAACTTTCTATTAATTCATTTTACTTTTTTCGTTACCTGGCCACCTAAACCATGGATAAATAGCAATAGGGGTCGTTCGGGCTGTTTACCAGGTAAATTGACTACGCGAAGACGATGACCACGTACAGTCACCATCTCGGTATGGTCAAGCAAATACCTCGAGTCGGCTGCCACATTAAGAGAAAGAATGAGTGAAATGTTTTTCTATGGTTTGTGTTTGCAATTCATAAAGTAGTAATTATAGAGGGTCGATTACACAATGTCAGTAATTCTTTCTCGAGGGGGGTATAGCCTTGCTTGCGCAGGGCCATGTAGGATGCGCCTATAATACCAGCAGTGGCAAGGATAGCAAGACTCATTATGCTTTGGTTATATCGATGGCGGGTGATAGATATGGAAGAGGAGGAAGGATAAGAAGTCATGTTTGGGGTGTGATGCGAATGAGAAAAAAAATAGATGAAAGGGGATAAAGCCCGCATGACAACGAACGCATAAAGGAACAGTATCTTTTGTACTGCTAGCAAAGATCCAGTTCTCAATCAGGCTTGAATTGGACCCTATACGCGCTGCTCAGTATGTACGCTAGGATGAATCTCAGAGAATGGATGTAGGCTTTGTATGAACGGATAATGTACAATGTACACGACGATAGAGACAAGAACGTTTTATTTATTATCAGCGATGATGGGAATATGGCGACCCGGAAATGCGGGTCAATGCCGATTTCCGCAGGCAAGCCACACAGCAGAGCGCGTCATTTCGAGGTTGTGCTGCTCTTTGAAAAAAAACCTGCTGCATACTCGTCTTTGTTTCCCCTCTGTCCTCTTTGTATTTTCACTCTTAAACAGCACCATCCCACCTGATTATATTCTAGTTGCAAAAAAAAAAAAAGTATAAAAATAATGGCTGAAGAACCCATGGATATGTCACCTGTGCAGAAGCGCGCGCGCAATAATCTCGAAAGTCAAACAAGCACATTATCCACACAGCCTTCATCACAGTCATCAACTACCACTCGCGGTCGCATTTCTCGACAATCATCATCTCAAATGGCAGATCTTTCAGTTCCTTCTCTTCCCGAAGAGACAGGCCACGTCTTTGTTTTCGGTACCGGTGACACGGGCCAGCTCGGTTTGGGCGACGAAATGCTTATTCGAAAGCGCCCAATGCCTCTCAAAGTCCTCGATGATGAGGAAATTGTCGACGTTGTGTGCGGTGGTATGCATACTATTGCTACTACACGCGAGGGAAGGGTAATTAAATACTATATTGGTGTGGATATATATGCTTCGAGTGGGAAAAAGAGAGAGCGAACACTGACCACGTCACTACTTGCGGTTAGGTATGGAGCTGGGGCTGCAATGACCAAGGTGCGCTTGGCCGTTCGGGCGAAGAATATGAGCCTGCCCGCGTAGAAAACCTTGACAACGAGCATATTGTCAAAGTTGCATGCGGTGACTCGGTGACGATCGCGTTGAACGATGAAGGCAGATTATTCTGCTGGGGCACATTTAGAGTAAGTTTGTCTGGGGAATACGGACAAGAAGCGTTTATAAATTGATGGTTGATATTTGAATCAGTCATCCGAAGGTGCACTTGGTTTTTCAAAGGAACAGGATGTACAGAAGATCCCTGCTGTGTTCGAGCCACTCTCCAAAGAAACGATTGTCGACATTGCGGCTGGTGCTGACCACTGCGTCGCATTGACGAACGACGGCCGAGTCTACACCTGGGGTAACGGCCAACAATACCAATTAGGACGCCGTATTTCGGAGCGGCATAAGAAGAACGCCTTGATGCCAGAGACACTGCGACTGCGCAACATCAAAGCCATTGGTGCGGGCGCGTACCACTCGTTCGCACTGAGCCACAACAACGAGCTTTACGTGTGGGGATTCAACAACTTTCAACAATGCGGCCTGTGGACCGACGACAACCGGTCCCCGCCAGATCAGACCATGCCCACGGTCATCACCACCCTTGAGGGTCAAGTCAAGCAAGTTGCAGCCGGTGAGCATCACTCGCTCGTTCTGATGGAGGACGGCCACGTTTATGCGTTTGGCCGCGCAGACTCGTCCCAACTGGGCCTGCCTTCTGCGGTGATCCAGGAGCTGACGCAAGACCAAGGTGCAAACGGCGACACGACCAAGAGTGGATTCAAGCGTGCGATCGGCATGCCTACACGTATTCCCAACCTCGAAAACGTCAAGGCGATCTCCAGCTGCAGCAACCACAGTCTTGCAGTCACAAACGAGGGTGTTGGGTACACGTGGGGCTTTGGCGAGACATCGGCACTAGGCAACGGGTCGGATGAGGATGAGGAGGTACCGTGCCAATTGACGGGACAAAAGTTAGAAGGATTCAAGGTGCTCCGTGTCGCTGGTGGCGGCCAGCATTCTGCCATTGTGGCAACCAACTCCCTGTAAAAACACACATCATATACTCTCCTAAATAAACAACACCGACTCATAACACACACACGCACACACACAGACACATCTTTTACATACTCAACAAACAAACGTACTTCTTTTTTCCAAAAACATGGCATAAACAAATAAAGTGTACTCTCACTCTCACTCTCACTCTCACTTTCCACTATACACGCTTAAATAGTGGAGACTACGAAAAACGTCATTGTCGCCCGCTGGGTTTTCTTCGAGTCGCACAGAATTGACGTCAGTCGGTGCTTTGTGAGGTTTTGTTTCGATCAGCTTCATCATCTGAAACAACAAACAGACCTCCGCACATGTTCAGCAAACAGTCGATAAAACCCGCAAGACACCCGCTGCTGGGGCGAACGCGTACTGTGCCTGAGGGCGAGCGTATTACGGATCATATGGGGGAGATCAGGTGCATTCTAACGCATGTTGCTCGAGAATGATAAGACTTCGCGCGAAAGGTAAAGCAAGCTGCTGCATTTCGCATATGTATAAAAACCTAAGCATTGTATTCTATGCAAATGAGCGACTGTTTTTTTTTAAATTTCCACCACACTACTGCTTCTACAGCTTGATAGGTGATACGGCGTTGACTGACTTGAGTGAGCTCATTTTCGCCACAACAATAACAACACAGCCCCTGCACGAGTACATCACCTTCTTGAGCAAGCAAAAGAAGAACAGACACGATATTCACTTTGCAATGACTATGGGAGACAACCACTGCTTTGAGGGCAGGGAACCCGTTATTAGCAGGAGGCAGTGATGATCCGCGCGTGTGGGTGCTACGAAACATCCATTGCGCGGAGTCTACGTATGAAAAATCTGCTTGAGTACGTCGGAGAGCACTAGAGTTAGGATTCCCGTCCACCTCTTTTTCTTTCTTTCTTTCGAACCGCAAACCGGTAAGAAAAGGCTGTTGCAAAATAGGAGGTCCAGTGATCTCTCTCTTTCTTTTCTTTCTGCTCTACACTAAACGGCGTTCTCATTTGAAAGCTTCTTGCTCCATTAGACCTAACACACTATGGCCGAATTCGTAAAGCTCTCCATCTTTGGCACCGTTTTTGAAGTCACCACAAGGTTTGCATACGCGCGCCTCCCTTTTCCATACATTGTGTTCAACCGCGACAAATAGCACCACACTGTTGAGCAATTACGTTGTTTCAATCAATTAATCCTCTTTACTTGTATTATTTAGATATGTCGACCTGCAACCAGTGGGCATGGGTGCTTTTGGCTTGGTCTGGTACGTTACGTTCATATTTTATTCTTCCCTTCTGTCTGTGGATTCAGTAATGGAATGAAAGAGGGGAGCCACTGAGAGTGTGAACGATGGGGGGGGAAGTTATGTTGTGGCAAAAGACGGGAGATACCGGGGGTAAAACTCATAGTGATATATGTATACCTTGTAATAGCTCTGCCAAGGACCAATTGACAGGCCTGAACGTAGCTGTGAAAAAGATCATGAAGCCATTCTCGGCACCAGTGCTCGCCAAGCGAACGTATCGTGAGCTTAAACTTCTCAAGGCACTGCGACATGAAAATGTATGAAGTAGCTTAGCTTAGTTTAGCTTTTCACCTGCATGGATATACTGACGTTGCGTCGACTGATATGTTTACAATCATTACTGCCTTTCCATAGATTATCAGCTTGAGCGACATTTTTATCTCGCCTTTGGAGGATATGTAAGTTTATATTAACGAAATAGCTACAACGCACACACACAAAAAAAAAAAATAGACAAATCGCGTGGCTCATCAGGTGGTGTACTCTAGCTATTTCGTAACCGAGCTCCTGGGCACCGATCTTCACCGACTGCTGCAAGCACGACCCCTCGAGAAGCAATTTATCCAGTACTTTTTGTATCAGATTTTGGTAATTACACGAAGGGGTTGAAGGAGGGAAGCAAGAGGTGATAACATTGTGAGAAAGCGACCTCACACAAAGTGCGTTTTTCCGCTGGTATGCTATTTCAGAGAGGCTTGAAATACGTTCATTCGGCTGGCGTCATTCACCGAGACTTGGTCTGTATTCTTGTGTATTGCGTGCATGGTAACTTTTTTTCTGCTACGGAGCACTCATGAGGGATGCTTTTTATAGAAACCCAGCAACATTCTTATCAACGAAAATTGTGATCTGAAGATCTGCGATTTTGGTCTGGCGCGTATCCAGGATCCTCAGATGACAGGCTATGTCTCCACGCGATACTATCGTGCTCCGGAGATCATGCTGACCTGGCAGAAATACGATGTTGCTGGTAAGAGAGTGATTAATTCTATATTGGATGATTGATTCATACTAACACCTTTTTTCTTTGGAAAAACGTCATAAATCAGTTGACATTTGGAGCGCCGGTTGTATCTTTGCTGAAATGCTTGAAGGCAAACCCTTGTTCCCGGGAAAAGATCGTAAGTTTGAATGGCAAGGGTAAAATATCGGGGGGGGGGGTGGGGAAGGGGCTCACGATGGCGCTTTTCGTGGAGCTCGATAAGCTGACAGGGAAAAAAAACTGTAACTGTAGACGTCCATCAGTTCTCCATCATCACGGAATTGTTGGGCACACCCCCTGACGATGTAATCGCTACCATTTGCAGCGAAAATGTAAGTAGAAGAAGAAGAGGGGGAGTAGGACAATGCCAATGGAACACACTAACATTGAAAGGGGTGGGGGTCTAGACGCTTCGATTCGTCAAGAACTTGCCCAAACGTGACCCTATTCCATTCTCCCAACGATTCGCAGGACAGGATCCTCAAGCAATTGATCTGCTAGAAAAGATGTTGATGTTTGATCCTCGCAAGCGTATCACAGCCGCCGAGGCACTTGCACATCCCTACCTGGCTCCTTATCACGATCCGTCTGATGAACCGATTGCCCCAGAAAAGTTTGATTGGTCGTTCAACGAGGCTGAGTTGCCTGTAGACACATGGAAAGGTACGAGAAGGAGGATTGGGGGTGGGGTAGAGAGGAAATCAGCTGTGTTTGTTGTCAACATGAGTTGGGAGAAATAACAACGATATTTTCCCTGTAGTAATGATGTATTCCGAGATTCTGGATTTTCATAATGTCGATAACGTCGATGGCTCTCAATACCTTGGCACTCCACTGACGGGCCCAGGTCTAGAGGCACAGGACCAGTCCTATCAACAACAATAGTTCTCTCTTTTCCTATCTCCCTTCTTTCTTCCATTGATATCCCTCTTTTTCCTTTTCCCAAGTAGAAAAAGTTGCGCTTACAGCGGATCGGAAGCTGACTTCTTGCACATGTGCTTCTTGTTGTTTACGTATTCCCCTTCTTTCTTCCTTTATCCCAAACTTCTAAACACTTACTTTTCTCTGCGACATATCATTTTTGCCCTTTTTGCTGCTATTGTCTATGGGGTTGATCTTGGTCTTCTCACCGTTTGTGCTATATTACTGTTGCTATAAGTAGGTATACGTAGTACATTATGCGTGTGCTCCCCAAGGCACTTGTACAGCGAGCATCACCGCTTAAACACATATCATATGACTTTTGCGCTTTTCTTTTGGGAATCTATGTGGCAGCAGTAGTGATATGATCTCGATTGCTTTTAAACTGACTGCATGTTTGGAGCCATATGTATCTTATGCAGATCATTTATTACAGCACCATTCGGATCCTCAGACTGTAGCCTCTTTTGGATTAGCGTTTTTCCATACAGCCATGCACGTGATCTTCATAAAGAACCCATACTGCAAGCACCGTTCTTCGCTTTGCCCATCCTCGTAAAACGACAAGAGCACAATCGAGCGTATGCTCTGGCCAATGTCTTTTGCTGGGGTTGTCGATTTTGAAGTCAACTACGACTTGCCGTTCATGACCGTCGTGAGCAACTTCTATAGCAACCTTATCGAGAAGGATTTGACAGTCCTTTGTTTTGATGAATCACAAGGCGTTTGTAAAAACACTCTTCAAGGCACGTATATCCTGCCGTCTTGGAGCGGTATCTCTGGGGGTTCATATGCGCCACAGAATAGAGTCATTGCTCAAAGACCACGCCGATACAGTCTCGATCGACCGGATCACTTTTCCAGAACGGCATAGCTGCTGATTAACAAGTGCGATTATCTTACTGTGACTCCTAAGCAGCGAGGACAAGATGTCAACTCAAACTACAGTAGGTAGATCTCACGTACTAGAGCTGTCTTTGGAAAAGACAAAGCATTAAAAAATGACAAGACATTCCCTTTTATGACTGGGTGGCGCCAGGATGAAGCCATTTACCTGCGTTTATGTCTTTGACGGTGAAATGCGACAAATGTATTATTCTTGATATTCCTTTTGATTGGACAGGTAACGTCAGTGCTCGTATCTACCGTGTTATTTGCCGTCAATATCCAGCAGAAGGCGATCCTGGGGAAGTGATATATAGCGGTGTCGCATATATTTATCTCCACGAACACTCTCGCTCATTTGTTATATTGTATAAAAAATAATATTTTGGCATATGTAGTAGGAAGATGTTAGCGACAGCGTGGTTTGCTATATTTCGGGTTAACAGAACTAAATGGGTTATGTTGCAGAAAATGGGTTTTCAGTAAAACAGAATGGTAGAATTCGTTGGATGCACAAGCTCGTGGGTTGAATATACTTCTGTTTTATGAATGCATCTTAATATGAAGTGGTTAGAGTAAAAAGTTAGAGCAGAGAAGTTTGAGATGGTGAGTGCACTTTTTAATGCATAGATTTATTTTAATCATCAACCAAGAACCATTAATGTAAACAAGATAAGTCAATCATGCTGTCAAACGAGCAAGGCAATCGACATCAAACACACATAACATATAAGAAGCGAGATAATATAATATAAAACGCAAAATCTTTTGTAGATAAAATATAAGAAAAGTGATATTCTCTGTATGGAAAAAAAAAAGAAATGTACAAAGAGTGGATGAGGAAAGCGGTCAAGTGTATATCGCAGGGATAAAGAGGGAGTCTATCTAGAATGCTTTGACGGGCAGATTGTGCAAAAGGGGATTTTGGTGTAATAAGATATATGTAGTTTTGTATTTCCATTCTACTTTTCGCTTTACAACTTGACGTTCTTTCGCAGAGATTCCTTGTATTCTCCAATGGAACCTTCGAAAGGCATGACATGGCCGTTCTCGCAACGCCAGATCTGCTTAGCTACTTGACTGATCAGACGGAAATCTATACAATGCATAAATTAACATTAGTGACAATTACATTAAAAAATTCCTCGCTATCTTTTGCTCAAATGCATCGTTGAACTTACCGTGACTAACCAATACGACACCACCGGAGAACTGGTTGATAGCATCAGCAAGCGAGTCAATGGATTCCATATCCAAGTGGTTAGTCGGTTCGTCCAACAAGATGATGTGAGGATGCATAACGGCCAATTCACAGAAGACGAGACGCGACTTGAGACCGTCAGACAGCTGCTCAATAGGCGAGGTCTGATGGGTACCCGACAGACCGTAGCGACCAATCTGTTGACGCCAGAAGCTGATGTCAGTGCTGACATCAGGGAACTTCTTGCGCATGTAATCGATGGGTGACAGGTCCATGTCAAGCTGGTCGGCAGAGTGCTGAGAGTACTTGCCGAGCTTAAGCGAGGTGTGACGTTGGACACGACCGTCAGTGGGCATCAATTCACTGCTCATGAGCTTGAGCAAAGTAGATTTACCAGCACCGTTAGGACCGACCAAGGCAACACGGGAGTCCATGTCGATACCCAACTCAATGTTCTTGTACAAGGCAGTTTTGACATCACCAGTGTAGGAGAAAGTGACATCCTGGAAAGCAAGGACAGGTGGTGGGAGCTTGGCCATATCGGTGAACGTGAAGACGAACTTGTGAGGGTTTTCGACCTTTTCAATCAAACCAGCAGCCTCCATCTTGTCGATGATCTTCTGCTTGGACTTGGCCTGACGCACCAAGTTGGCATAAGTACCAGCCGAGGCAATGAACTTCTTGATGTGGGCAATTTCGTCTTGCTGCTTCTGGTAGGCCTTGGCCTGGTTGACCTCGTTTTCTTCCTTGGTCTTGACGAACGTGTCATAGTTACCACCATAGTAGACCAGCTTGCGCTTGTGGGTCAGGTGCATCATGTTGGTACAGACACCGTTAAGGAAATCCTGCGAGTGAGAGTTGACAACAAGAATACGGTTGTAGGTCTTCAAGTACTCTTCCAACCACACACAGGCCTCCAAATCCAAATGGTTGGTAGGCTCATCCAAAAGCAACAGAGTAGGACGAATGAACAAGGCACGGGCAAGAGCCACACGCATACGCCAACCACCAGACATATCTCTGGTTTTCTTCTCCATCTGCTTTGTTGTGAAGCCCAAACCGCTCAGCAAGGTGCATGCACGGGTCTCAAAGGTAGCCGGGTCCATTTGTTCGATACGCTCGTACAAATCGTCGAGAATTGGGTTGTCAGCGTCCTCAGCGGCGAGGATCTCTTCCACTTCCTTCTCCAAACGAGCGACTTCGTTCTTGGCGTGGTCGATGACAGCATCAACAGCGTTCATATCGGATGGCTCGGCTTCCTGGTTCAACAGGTACGTCTAATACGTACCAAAAAAAAGTATACATTTAGTTTTGTTATGCTAAATTTGCATAAACTCCCTTCCACTAATCCAATCAAGATAAAACAAAACTTACATCGATGTGAGGAGGAATTTCAATGTCTCTCTCGGCAAGCGAAGCCAAGAAGGTAGACTTGCCAGAACCGTTGGCACCAATAAGACCATATCGACGGCCAAAGTTGAGTTCGATAGTAGCATTGTCAATCAACACACGACCGTGGTAGTTGAGCGAGTACGACTCAATCTTAATATCACGACTACGCTCCTGCGAAGTATAGACACCGGTGGCAGTACGATCGACGTTAATCTTGAGCTTGTCCACGTTGAGATCGTCGGGCGATCCGTTCTGCTCTGTGTCGGCGGCCTTTTCAGCCTTGCCGGCACGCTTGCCGGTTAATCCCTTGGCTTCGTTCTTGGCAGCGCGAGCTGCGAGACGTTTGGCCTTTGAAGCTGATACTTGTCCGCTCATTATTGAATTACTAGAGTAATATAAGGAGAGGGAAGAGGGGAGGGAGAAAGAGAAAGAATCTAAGCGGATCCAACGCAGAAAAAAAAATGTAGTAGATTTTTTTTTGCTGCTGTGACTTGCGGAGTTGGTCCCGGGATTTGATTGGATGCTGTCAGACGCTAAGGTTCCATACATTGCCCCTGGATATATATCATGTCTCGGTGCAGTTGGAAGGAGAGAGGTCGAAAAAGGTCCGTCTTTTCCGACGCTGTATTATTCGTCATGTTACGGAGCTGTTTTTCTAATCAAACATATAGAAAAATACATAACTAGTTTTGCTGCTACTTGTCGCTGATGGTGTAATTTTCACTATCTTTCTGATCTGTGTGCTCACGGGGTATTCAACCGCAGCAGCGATTGCGACGTCATATGCGAAGCAGGGAGGGGCGAATGCTTCAAAAATAGCAAAGTTGGTCTATCTTTATCCAAATTAGGTTTAGCGCCGAATGCACGCGAATTGCTTGGATCTTTTTTTGCGCCTTCTGCATCGTCCCATTATGTATCAGCTTCTTGCCGTTATTTTTGCTATTCTTTCATGTAACGTTACAAATGCTCTGTAGCTTGTTCCAGACAATGAACTGGGTTGTACTTCAAGCATGAGCAGATGTGATGGTGTCTATTACAAGGCTCGTTACCATGATGGACATGAAAATAAGCGTCGTCTCCATTGAGATAAAAAAAAAAAGAATGGCATGAAAAATGTGTCCTTGGTAATCCATCCCACTGCCACCAAATCTCCAATAAACAGTATCATATAGAGTCTTTTTGCCGTGAGCAACGCTTTATGTAAAGCAAGTATATAAGACTACTACCGAACATATCGATTTTACTATCATTATGGATGATCAGCGATGCAGAATCAGCGTAACTAAGACAGCAAAAGAAAGATGCACCAATACATATCGATTCATGTCGTTAGCCTTTGCAACAAGCTTATCATTAAATATTGGTGACTCTACTGAAAAGCGCCATATAATTACTCGTACTGTAGCACTTTAACAGAATAGCAAACCCTCTTCTCGTGCGACGTTCCGAAGTGAAAATGCGGCTTCATAACTCGACAATTCTTGTCTACTCCTCTTTCAACTACAACCCACAAGCGTTCATATTGAGTAGAAATCCTGATTGCTATACCTGCAATAAGCAATCTAATACGAACGATCTCTAAAGTGAAACAACAGAAACTGTCACATTTAGCGATCAAAACTAACAAGGAGTCCAGCTATTCTCATCAACTAGTGTAGGACTAGGCGGAAAGAGATACACCCATAACACAAGAGCGTTATGACGACGATACGCGTCAAGGTACATACTGTACGTTTTCGGAAAAAGCGACACCAGAACCTTGGGTATATTGTGCGCTATATCGCAACGTTAAAAAAAACTGGTCCTTTACAATGATGGCGAAACGCTATTTACTAAGCATCATTTTAATATCTTCGATCACTAGACGGGCGATCAATGTAAGTGTTTGCTTATGAAATATTTGATCCGCCCTGTATGCATAGAAGAAAAGGTAAATGTGCATCTAATTATGTTCGCACCAGTATCCTATAGGTAAGCTTAAGCTGAATGCTTGTATACTGCAATAGCATGCGCCTGAAAAATTTCAAATCAAATAACGGCTACGCTTGTACAGGGCAGTGAGCCAAGTTCCGCTGGGAAATTTTTTATTGATCTGCCAGAAGCTTACAGCAACTAGTCATTCCGAGGATCCGCAACTGTTATGGCACCGGCATAGCAGTATCGCACACTAACTCGCTCCCGCGTCCTTCTTCAATCAACCAGGCAAACTATATCCACACCTAGTCTTGAGCTACTCTTTGTGCACTGTTCATAAGTCCAATCGTTGATTCTAAGCCACTAGGTACCACGGTGATATTCTGCCTAATCGATTATCATTGCGCCACACTGACAACCATTGTTGCCAATACTCGCGACTTCGATATCGTCTGTTGCCATCATTCTCCTCGCCTTCAAATAGAAAGGGAAAAGGTCAACCAAAAGCACCTACTTCGCCATCACTAAATACAGCACTGAGATGAAGGCCCAAAAGAAAGGTTAGAATACCGTGCATTGCGACCCGTGCGTGCAATATTACCTATTCGTGCACGACTTCCCAAAACTTCTGAATATTGCCGTGCGATCTATCTTGGACCAGCTCAAAACATTTATGGACATCCTGCTAACACAGTCGCAGATTAACACCTTTCATCGTCAATGGTGATGCACAAGCTGAAACATCGATATTTTGATACTTTAGAGAGCACCAATGTATTTACAACCAATCATATGCAGGTCATGCTACGTTGCTATCCAAGCCTGGAATTGCCACGACTCCAGGGCTTTTATAATGATAATAGCAACAACTATCATGACAATGATGGAGATAACAATAATGGCAGTCAAAGCACATCAACTGCTACGCTTCTTGTTAAAATGTTCAGTGCTATCGCTGGAATGATGAACCACACAAACCTGCGGTTGGTTTTTACTTGATATCTAATCCCGTGCGTTTATCCGGATGTTGCAACGATAAACGAAAAAGATAGAAAAGGAGGCATAAGCTGTATATCGCGGACTTCGAGGGAACCGACAGTAAGTACTGCTCAATGCAGCAAGAATCCGCAGCCTGGAAAGTGTGGCCCTTTATCAAAACCGTTGTATCGTAATCAGCGATCGTATCTAAACCTAGAACGCATATGATAAAATATTCTCAAGAAGCGGTCCAACGTCTCAATCGGGGTAAAAAGTTGGGTACACTGGTAGTGGAAGATGTAGCTATACCCTTTGAAGCTGTATCTGTTTCAAGAGAACACATTAAGGATGTGCGAGTATCTGAAAATGGTTACCATATCGTCGTAAATAATTAAAGCTATCTTTTACTATTTGTGAAATTTATCGGATAGTTACATAATAGTACAGTAGGACAGTTTCATACATACTCTAAATTGTAGAAATAACGATGACTTTAAGCTTTATTATGGTACTATATCAAACTATAAAATAGCCGATGTCAGCAATGTGTCAATCATTAAACGCAGCACTACTCTTTCTGTTACGTTTTTGTAAGCTGACAATGGCAAATACAGTATCTTTATGATATGTGGATATATCTACTACATTGATCTTGTTATGATATCATAAGTTGCTCTTGCTTATTGCTGTTGTATGTAAAGAAAAAGAAAAGAAACAATGGATAAAGCTAAATATTAATGATACTTTTGTCTTTTGATTAAATTGGTAGATGTCCTGGGTTTCTTTAATAAAGTGATCAGTCGAAAACGCCTATTGACCACTTGTTCGGTTCGGTCTATAGAGGATAAGTCGCTTTAATCAAATCGCAGACCTGATCAGTGTGTTTGTGAATCCATGAACAGAAAGTGGATGATTCTCATCGTCAATAGCCCTTACTGAACTGTTGTGGTTACCTCGAATAGCCGAATTCAAATTCAATTATCTCACGTTGCACAGTATCAGTGAGATTGCAATTTCTCTCGCGCGTGTGCTTGCACTTCAATTATCAACTGTAATGTGTCTGGGTCAGTGTATCAGGCAGCCGCTAAGTAGAATCTGAATCGTTCAATCGATTTACCAAAAAAATAAAGCTTCGTGAAGCAACTGGTACTTCTAGTCGTCCTTCGAAACGGTTACAGGTAAGGAAATGCTACAGCAACACTGAAGGATAATCGTGGTGGCTATGAAAACACCGACTGTTGATAGACTCAAAGGCTGATAGAATAGTTTCAGTTCGACAAGTCTGCATGGTTGATTTCATAGCTAAATATTCATAACGCCAAAATTTGGATCGAGTGTAGTAAAGCTGCTTAATGCCTTTGAACGACAGGTTTTGGCTCGGAAAAAGGTAGTTTTCCTAGAAACGAAACAGAAGAAAAGAGTCTATTTATGGTTTGCTAGCCATTTCAGAAACGTAAGAGCCTTCATGTATTATTTTTCTGTATTCAGCGTCCCTCATGCTGCTTTATTTAAAAGATATAGGTTAATCTTGCCCTCTGCAATGAAACATAGCGGACATGTGGCTTGTGGACAATGCAAGCAATTTTCGGAATCGGGATCCTGCGCCCGCACTTTTTTTCGAACTTTTTTTTTCTTTCACCTAAAACCTACTATCTATATAGCCATGGGCAACGACCAGCGGCACCGACCCGGCCGTCTTCATCAGTCAAATAAGCCTTTCAAATCACGCCATGCCAGTAAAGGCTCGCTCAGAGAAAAGTCAAAGGGCAAAGTGAATAGAACTGCTATCAAGAGATCCGGTGTCAGAACCGTCGGCAAAGTCGATCGTCGCAATGCAGCCAAATTGGAGCAGCAAAGGAAGCGTGAAGAACTGACACGAACCCACCGCATCTTCGAGGGTCGACATGGCGCACCCAAAATTGTTCCTGTATTGTCGTTGTGTCCGGACACCGATGTGCACGTTGCCATTGCTTCATTGTACCGATCGCTCGGCCAGGAACCGCCCTCGACGCCATATGAAAGCTCGATTTTGAATGTCGAACGATTTAAGCAAAAACTGCAGCTTGTTCCTTTGCGCCGCAACTTTGTCGATGTTATGGATGCGTTCAAGGTGGCCGATATGGCAATTTTACTGCTGTCTGCGGAAGTCGAGGTGGATCAATTTGGTATCAATTGTTTGCTTGGCGTTCTTAATCAAGGTCTTGTTTCTGTTACTCCTGTTGTTCAGGTATGAAGAGCTGGAATAGAATAAGCTGTAGTAATGATGACTGGTTTGGTTAACATCTTGTTTGTTAGCATTTGGATAAGGTGGCGCCTAAGATGCAAGCTTCGGTCAAGAAGTCGTTGGTGGCGTTTAACCAGCAATTCTTCCCTAACGAGGAACACTTGTTTACATTGGATAACGAGGCGGATGCTACAAACGTCTTGCGATATGTTACTTCACAGCGTCCCAAGGCTTTGGCGTGGCGCGATTTGCACCCTTATATGCTGGCTGAGGATGTTCAATATGTACCTTCGTCTGATCAGGTAAGAGAAAATGACCATGTCTTATGGTAACGGGGACTAACATTCGCCATTTCTCTTCTGGAAATAATTAGCAGAACGTGGGTACTTTGAAGGTGACAGGCTTCGCACGTGGCAACCCATTCAATGCGAACAGACTGGTGCACTTGCAGTCCTTTGGTGATTTCCAAATTGAGCAAGTTACGACAGCTCCGGGAGACAACAGTCAAAGCAATGGTATGGAAGAGGATGAGCAAGTGGTAGATACGCCCGACGTCGAGGGACAAGACGACTTGATCTCGGAAAATGAACCTGATTTCATGGATAACGAGCAAACATGGCCAACTGAGGAAGAAATGGCTGCAGGCGAAGGTATTTTTCTCTTTTCTAATCTATAAAAATGCTCAAAACGGGGAGTGAAGCGATTACTGATTAGGTTTGCACTTTGTAAAACAGAACGAATGCGTTTGATGGGCCGTGAAATGGATGATGACCGACCGCAAAGCGGTAAGGTGACTAAGCGTGTTCCTAAAGGCACATCCGCTTATCAAGCCGCATGGATTGTCGACTCTGAGGACGAGGATTACAGCGAAGATGATGAGGATGATGATATGGAAATGGCCGTCGACAACGATGAAGATGATGTTCAGCCAGCAGATTACGAGCTTGGGCGTAGCAACGATTTGGATGAAGAATATGAAGACATTGAGCTGGAAGAAAAGGGTGGTTATAAGGATGAATTGGATCCAGAAGAAGAGAGACGACAGTAAGTTTACGTTCCTTCCGGTTAATACCACGGCTCAAATCATGAGTTATTGGTTTGGCTAACTGAAATGCATTTCTATCAGGTTTGAAGAATATATGCAAAGCAGACAAAAGGAGTTCAAGGAGAATATGGAATTCCCTGATGAAATCGACACACCCATTGATTTACCAGCACGAGAGCGATTTCAAAGATATCGCGGTTTACAATCGTTCCGTACATCACCCTGGGATCCTTATGAAAACCTTCCCATTGACTATGCACGTATCTTCCAGTTTGAGAATTTCAAACGAACCAAGAGTCGTGTTGTCACCCAGGCCATTGTCGGTAACGTCAAACCAGGCACCAGAATCACGTTGTGGATTAAGAACGTTCCTAAGGAAGCCTATGGTAAGATGCACAAGGTCATCCATTGATTACGCTTTTGATTAAGGATGGTTTATCTAATGTATATTTTTTCTGCAGGTGCATATGATAAGCAGCGCCCATACATTGTTTTTGGCTTGTTGCAGTACGAGCACAAGAAGTCGCTTCTGAACTTCCAGATTCAGCGTGACAATGCCTACGAGGAGCCTGTAAAGTCCAAGGTACATGAGAAACAAAAACTTCGTATGATGTCGTTTATTCGTTGCTGCATAAACTTACACGTTGTCAACAGGATCCCATGGTGCTACACGTCGGTTTCCGCCGGTACTCGGTTCGACCGATCTATTCCCAAAACACAAACAAAGGCACAAATCATGTACATAAATTCGAACGCTTTTTACAAATGGGCAAATCATCCATCGCCACGGTCTATGGTCCCATAGTATTTGGCAAGGTGCCTTGCATGTTCTACAAAGAAACAGATAATGTCAATGGTAAATAGTGCATATATACATTATCCAACTAAAGGCTGACCCTTCTTTGCTTTCCTCGATAGAACCTAACTTGGTATCCACCGGTACATTCTTGAACACTGATGTGAAACGTATCGTTGCGAAGCGTATTGTTCTCAGTGGTCATCCCTTCAAGATTCATAAGCGATCAGCCGTCATCCGATACATGTTCTTCAATCCAGGTATATATCGTCTAGAACTACTATCAGATATTTCAAACTAAGAGGCGAATCTTTTTGTGCTGACTGAACTTTTTCTACTACAACAATTGCAGAGGACATCAATTACTTCAAACCAATTCAGCTCACAACAAAGTACGGCCGAGTGGGACATATCCGAGAATCACTGGGTACTCATGGTTACATGAAGTGTATCTTTGACGGATCAATAACGCAGCAGGATACTGTGCTTATGAATCTATACAAGCGAGTGTATCCCAAGTGGAACACGGAGTTGTGGAAGGGTGCTCTTGATAGCTCAGAGTATTCTTCTGACAAGATTGTCACCGATTAAAAGTATCTTTTTCTCCATCTTACTATAATCTCTATCTCATTATTTCTCTCGCTATTTTTGTTATTTTGCCTTGTAGAATCAATAAACACTTTACGTATATAACATATGTGTATCCAGTCTGTCAGTACTATTTCATACCCACTGACCTTTTATTTCACATGATGGACGAATGGACTGGGAAATTATACAGAACGAAAGATTTGCCCCCGCCAGACGAATAATTTTCTTTCATAACAACCATGTCAACCACCAGCACTAAATCTTTCCCTCCACTTAAGAACGACTTATTGCTACGAGCTGCTCGGGGTACGCTTTCTTCTCTGTTACTAGTTTAGCGAACCTCTTTGAATCTAAATGCTTATTAGGAGAGAAGGTTGAACGCGCCCCCATTTGGATTATGCGACAAGCAGGTCGCTACCTGCCAGGTAAATGTCAATATAACAAAGCGCATCTATGCTCTCGTCTGTTTCAAACACGCGTAGATTGTGCTTTGCCAATTGTTCATTGCGTATAACACTTTTTTCTAGAATTTCATGAAGTGCGAAAGAATCACAGCTTCTTCGAGATCTGCCGAACTCCCGAACTGGCTTGCCAGTTGACCCTCCAACCGATTGATCGCTATGGCACCTTGCTTGACGGCTCTATTATCTTCTCCGACATTCTTGTTATCCCCCAAGCCCTCGGTCTCGACGTGCAAATGGTGACTGGACGTGGCCCTGTCTTTACGGATCCTTTGGAGACACCTAAAGACATGTCGCGCTTACAGATGGATGTGGACGTAGACAAGGAGCTGGGCTACGTGTATGAAGCGATTACGTTGACACGCCACAAACTGGATGGCCGCGTGCCCCTGTTTGGCTTCATTGGTGCACCATGGACCTTGATGGCATATATGATTGAAGGTGGCGGCAGTAAAACTTTGAGCAAGGCCAAGAGCTGGTTGTGGAAATACCCAACCGAATCGCACCAGTTGTTGCAAAAGATTGCCGATGTATCTGTCGAGTTTTTGGTGGGCCAAGTACGAGCAGGCGCACAGGTAAGCCTATTTGGAAACAAGTGAGACCACAGGGGCGAAGGGTAATTTATTACTCTGTAGGCGTATTGATACTAACTAAAGTTTTCTCTCCCCAATTCACTAGTTGCTCCAAGTATTCGACTCGTGGGCTGGCGAGCTTAGCCCGTATGATTTCAAGCATTATTCGCTCCCTTATATCCGGCAAATAGCAGCTCAGGTGCGACAACGGTTGGCTGAAGCCAAGCTGCCTGAGGTTCCCATGGTGATTTTCGCCAAAGGCGCATGGTTTGCTCTCGAGGATCTCACTGACATCGGCTACGATGTTGTGTCGTTGGACTGGACCATCGATCCTGAATACGCTCGCAAGGTGACCAAGGACAAGGTCGTGTTGCAAGGAAACATGGACCCCTCGGTGCTGTACGGTGGCGAAGAAGCAATTCGCGAAACAGCCACGCGCATGGTCCATGCCTTTGGAAAGGATGGAAAGCACATTGCCAACTTGGGACATGGTATTCTCCCCACCGTTGACCCAGAGGCCCTGAAGGTTTATTTGGAGACTGTGCAAAAGGTATCTGCAGAGATTAGAAAGTAGACACAATACCAAAAATACGTACATCTTTGCTCTTTTAATATAAAAGAACTGTTTGAACGCATAACATGGAGAAAATCGCGTCATTTAACTGTATCTGCCATTTGATTGAATGTGCCAATAAAATTAGCCAATATTTGTTATTTAGATCTCCAAAAAAAAAACAGAACAATATGCTATTTTACAAGACGTCTATACTGTACAAACTACACTCAGTTTACACAACTTGAATAGCGTCAGATGTCCAGTGCTCCCAATCGTGCGGATTCTGAGGATCGCCTAGTAGCTTAAGTGCTTCAACACCGATTCTATATCTTCCAGGTCCAACTTGCTTCTTTGATGCACCAGCGTCAGTGTTTGTCTTCACTTCATACCCATCATCGGCCGGAGGAAGCGCTGTGTAGTAAAAGCCTTCCCAACTTTCAGCCACGGAAAGAGGAGACTTGTTGGTGCTGCGCACACAGTTGGTGGCGGGAGGCATCGCGTAGCCTAAATATTCTTTCTTTTCATTGTACAACCGGAATAAGACAAGCTTGCTTGGTGACAACATAGAAATAGCAACGACAGGCTGGGTCGAATTGTCTTTGAGTTTAAAAACGAAAGTATTCGTTTCGTTATAGATCGTCGTAAGGTTGAAATCGAGAATGGCAGGCGAGTCGTCAGAAAATACGGGCAGATCACGCTGGTTTCCGACGATGCCGATGTATGGAACAGTAATATCTTTGTGATACGACACCTTGCTTTTCAGCTCGACATAGCCTCCGTACATGATATGAAGTTTTGGATCCGTGTCCGGTGGCATTACAGTAAGCGTGATATTAGTGGTGGCGCCAGGCGAAATCTTGACCATCTTGCGGGAGAAACGAAGACGTGCGCTCGAACCGCTGATCATTGTTGCAGGCTCGCTGAAGATATTCGAGCTGTCATTGTAAGGTGCAATAGATACGCTGACCTTGTTCACGATTTCGTACGAAACAATCGAATCGCCATTGTTAGTGACAGTAAGCTTATGAGTCTTTTGTAAGTTGGCGGTGTCGTTGAAACTGATGCTCCCAGGTGATACGTGGGTCTTTTGACTGATCGCATCGTACACTATGTAAATCATTTTTGACATTTTTGGTACATACGTTATCCCGTCATTCGGTATATGTGTCTACTTATACAACGAAAATCTTTTAATACCTTGGATGAGACCAGCTGCTTGTCGGTAAGGTGAATCAGCTTCATCTGTTTCGTTTGAGGCAAGTGCTTTGTAGGCATAGTTTTGGAACTGCTCAAGAATATAAGTTGGCGACTGTTGCTCCTGTTTATTATCGCTTATTGCCTTTAAATAGAGTGCAAAGGCTCCCGACACGTAAGGCGTGGCCATTGATGTACCGCTGTCGACTTTCCAAGAACCCAAATAACGAGGAAAGGTCGAATAAACATAGCCACCTACACCTGCAATATTGGGCTTGAAATCATTTTCATAGGAAGGACCGACACTGGAAAATATTGAGACTGTATTGCCGGTAGGAACCTTGATGATTCTGGCGCTTCTATTCAGTTGTATTGGCTCTCCATCATTCCTCTCGATGGCTTTAAGGACGGTGACACCGTTGTTGTAGGAAAGGCCGGCAACAGGAATCTGGGCTGACGCTGCACCAGGGACGAATAACGCATCACCAAGCGTGCTTTCATTGAAAAAAATCAAGACGCCAATAGCTCCTGCTTGGTGGAGATTGTGTACTTTGAGGTCGAAGGTACAATTTCCGCGTTGTACTATAGCAAGTTTTCCGTTGACATTGGGTGGAACATCACCAGCATCACAAGCATCGGATTCGCCGCCAACACGTACGTCACCAGCAACAACTTGACCATCAGAAATAGCACCAATCGTATCATTTACAGTAATAATATCTATATAATGGTGTATCATATGTAGATGTGTGAATACATATCATTTGAATCGAAAGGTGTACATGCGTACACAACGATCTGCATACAACATACCAAGTGGGTCTTCAACACCATAAACGTGAATGGTCTCTCTTAGAGTGTGTTCATTATCAAAAGAAGCTACAGAGACAACACCTTTTCCGACACTAGGGGACTTGATAGTAAACGCGCCATCAAGACCATCGTTTCCGGCAGCAGCGATGACTAATGAAGGTATTATAAAGTTAGAATTACTGATTGTATAATATTACAATGAGGAATATATGTATGATCATTCCATACCAATTGTTCCATTAGCAGTGATACGCTCCGCCACAACGGCAGTTACAAACTCTGACCAGGACTCATGAGCACCCAAGCTCATGGAAATTATATGGGCACCAGCCTTATGAGCATCAAGCATGCTTTCAATGACGGAATCTTCGTCACCGTAACCAGTACAATCCAAGGCTCGCCACATTCCTAAGATGGCATCAGGAGCAACGCCCGTGTAGTTCTAAGTAAAATAACCTCCTGCCATGTCAGTGGACTAGTTTTACATGTTATTGTTTATTAATTTGAAGTATTACTTCAAGCTACCTCTGATTTGGCGCCTATGATGCCAGCGACGTGGGTACCGTGCCCTATTCAGGCAATTATTTGTAGTATTTTTAGTAAGGAATTCGTTGCCGCAAGCAGGTGAAAGTATACTGTTTAATTTATTATCATACCTCCTGCAAGACCGTAATCACCGCAGTTGTCCATTGGGTCATCGTCAGGAACACGGTTCGAGTTACCTTCGTTGTCGGTTACTATTGCAGGAACGCCGATCATGTCTTTTCCATAGCGGATTTTGTAACCTGGGCCGAATCCGCCACCCAATGCAGGATGCATATAATCGACACCTATACTGTACATTGTTATAAAATTATTTTTATTAAAATTGTAAATTCTGGAAGAAAAAGAAACCATTGTCTACCGTCATCGATAATAGCTATGAATATGCCTTCGCCAGTATTATTGTATTCTTCATGAACGCGGTCCACTTGGGTCATTGAATGAGCCATCAACAAATGTGCATCGATAACCTTCTCGTGCTGAGCGTGTTTTTGCGAGGGAGGAAGGCTCTTATGAAGAGAAAGGGGAGCAGACGTCACTCCTTTTGGACGAGACATTGCATGGAGTGGGTAGACGTCAGAAACTAAGTTGGAATCGGAAACAGCCTTGAGGATACTTTCGTGTAAATGACCCTTGGCCGCATCTATCTGGAGTGTGGCTGCCCGCATAAGTTCGTAATTGAGCACTCGTGGAGTAGCCAGGCGAGCCTCGGGAAACTTTGTCTTGAGAGAGTTTAAAAGAATGACCGAATTCTTATCAGCGTCGTCATCGCCTGCGAATTCGATCAAGTAGCGTCCAGGCAGAGGTTTGCGGTGCTGATGGTCACCTTGTTTCGTTTTGATTGACAGTGCAGATGTGCTGTCCGATAATCCGATCAATAAAATAGCAAGTAGTAATAAAGGCAATAAAAGAATGGTATTGGAATACATCTTTGTGGATGTGCGTCTAACGAGTATAGTGTATGTTGGGGATAGCAGTAGTAGTGTGAAACGTATGTTTACAAAAATGGTGCGTTGAACGGGGAATTAGCTTGTAATTCCCTATATCTAGAAAGGTTATAGGAGCTACGTATGTGATTGTTATCCGGAACCGCCGATGTCGGATTATATATGCCTGGGCAAGTTTTTTTAGGCTTAGCTTTTGTGTATTAGCCGCTGTCGGTGCTATAACGGGGCTTGGTAAATCGTCTTGACATGTCACGCTGGCGCGGGCTTACCGTTGAGAAAAGAAGCTAACATACAGGAACCTCGACTAACGAGGTTCCAGTTGCTGAAAAAGCTGTTTCTCATCCGACCAGATGAAAGTGATACAGCACTACATTCTAGCTGTTTTGCTACATCGTGTTTCTCATATTAAACTTCGTCATCTGGGCTTTTCGGCTTATTGTAGACAGTCTCTATAGCTATAAGAGCTCAACAATACCGGGCCATAAAGCTTGTAAAGAAAAATCAAATATGTTCATTTAGAGTACATGTATGTATGTGGTAAGTATATGATTATTTGATGCTTCCATAAGTGCTAGTCGTGTGCGAGTGTGTATGATAGGGTTCTATAGATTGATGCTTTATATCGATGACTTCATCCGTGACCATGTTTATAGATAAAGTACTGTGAATGCAAGCTTAAACTACGGGCGTGTCGTAAACAACTTCTTTGAACGAATTTGCCTCTTTCCCCGATAGTTCCATGCCGTTATTCTGATTATAGCTAAGCCGCTATAATAAACACTGATGTGATAGTGACCCGTTTGGTGCTCAAAAAAAGATAATAATAGGTCGCTACATTAAGCACTCCATGACTACATGAGTAGTCGAACAGCAAGCTCCCCGCGGATCCTAAATATAGCACAGAAAGATGTCAACGGTCCATAAACGGGGCTGCTACGGTTATTCCAATTTCACCAATAGTTGCTAAACTGTTGTTGAGTTTATGATATTGACATTAGCTAACTATGGGAACAGCCAAAGTATAATGTAATAAGCAGCATGTGTAGAGTAGGATTAGCTTGACAGAATTTAACCATGATAACTACGGCAAACATTTGCAGCATATAGTATAGCATCACCATTTGGTGAGTAACAAGACGCTTGCTATCATACTATCATACATAAGTAACACTCCGTTATTTCTGTGGTATCAATTGAAAAAGAGTGTACAAACGTTCGTTGTATAGTATCCAATTATAGCACTGGCATTGAACCGTAACTCATCAAAAATGGAAACTTACCCAGCCTTGTGTTCTCCATATTTTCTTTTACAGGAAGCGATATCCACAAATAGGGAACATTCCAAACGCCACACTGGAAGTATTTAGCCGTGAAAACAATAAAGACCCTCAAAGAAATAGACAGGTTGAGCCACCCAGCCGAGGATTATGATGCCAGCAATGAGCCGGTGCCAGAGCATATCTTATAGATGACGGTCTGCTGTTCAAAGAATTTTTACAAAAATGAGCAGATGATGTATGAATTTATTACACACTATTACGCTTAGTTACTATCGTTGCCCGATCTGGTTTGGGAGAGCTACATACATACTAAGCATATACATTCCTGGCAATTGTTGCTGCTGCTTTAAAAATTCGGCGAAACTGCAAGATTTGACTGTAGGTCAGTGTGATTGAACAATAACTTTCAAATCCTTCCTTCCATTTTCAGCCATGCGCGCAAAGAGAGATATGGTGCCCGCCACCTAGAAACGTAAATTTTTGGACCAATTTTTGATGCTTTATTTCAACTTTTTTCACTTATACAACCTACTTTTTTGGCTTCATAGAACGATAGAGAGAGGCTCAAAGAGCAATTCTATGAAGCGTTTTTATTTACTTACAGGCAAAAAAAATTGAGAAATAAAGCGTCGAAGTTGGGGTAGATTCGAAAATTTAGCAGAGGATTTTGTCAGAATGTCCACCCCACCATACACTAGTGTATGACATTGAATCGGCGATCTCCATATTAGGAAGGTAGTGTAACATTAGTGATAAGCGCCGGTGCAATATATACCTCAGCCTTCCAATCAACATTGACTGTAATGGTGCCATGTAAATTATAAGTAGGATGACAAAGTTTTATTGTTCCTTCTTCTTCCAAAACATTCCATACAATGGGGAGACTCAACAAGCGCCAGAAGCACCTTAAAAGCATGCAAGAGTCAAAGAACACACTCAAGTAAATTTCTTGTGCATTCAAAGAGAACTGTCAGTTTTTAAGAATCATTTGAGAGTAGTTTGTTTACATTAAGTCATCCTACCCCTCATTACTAGCGTTAATGAGCCTACTTGGGTACCACTTGTGGATAACGTGAACGAAAGTGAATACAATGAGCTTTTCGATTTCGACGATGAAATGTGGGAGGATACTGCCGAAAGTACCAATCAAGACGCTGCTGATGCAGAGGACTGGCAGCTGCTTGGAGTTTCTGCAACAACCTTAGTAGATTCTGCCACCAATTTGAGTCTTGAGTGGAGAGATGGTGCTGATGACTACCTTCCAGACTGTAGAGGTGTGATTGACTTATTTCTTCTAGTTTGTTTGTTGACTGGTTCATCTTCTTACTGCAGTCGTTTCCAAATACAGGAAATGGCAAAAAAACTGCACAGCGCCGTCGTAGAAATGCAAGAGAGCTCGCTGCATCGGGTAAAAAGCATCGAAAAATAACAGAGTTCTTTGCTGCGTCATCGACCACCGATCCATCGTCATTGTCAGCTGCAGATGAAGCCTTGATCGTTCTCGAAGATCAATCGCTAATGAAGGAGAGACATGCGGCTTTGCAACAACTGATGCAGACCAGCCGAAACCAGCAGTCGCCATCAGGCCAAATGAAGCCATACGATGTCCTACGGTACAATTGTGTCTTGCAATTCCTGGGATATCTAATCGAGCACCAAGGCCAAAAGAAACAGAAAATCGTCGAATCTGAAAGAATTGCGAAACAATTAGGTGGTGGTTCCATACAGTATTTGGGTCGGGCAATCAGATCGTGGACCAAATCATATGTTCTCACTAGCAAAGTAACTGCTCATCGCCAAGGCAAGCATTCTAAGCGAATTTCTCTGCTTGCCGATGAGGATATCAAGCTTGCAATTTGCAAGTGGATCAAAGAGCAGCCCCCACAGCAAAGAAAAGTGGAGCTGATCAGAAAAAAACTGCAAGAAGATATCATCCCACGAAAGCTCGGTGTGCCGGTGTCGATTGGTGAAAGAACAGTTGCGAGAGCTTTGCACTTGTGGGGATACAAATTCCGAAGAAATATGAAGAATGTACGTATGAATGCTTTTTACCATTTGACTATCAATATGCATTGAGTGGATATATCGGTTGAACGGATTTATAAGTTGAGTGGATGTACAGATCGAGCAGATATTGTAGGCTGAGCTCAGATTCTTTTATAGGTTTTTTACGATGGTCACGAAAGAGATGATGTGGTGAAATATAGAAAGGAATGGACCAAGAGAATGCTGACATACGCCAAAAATATGGTCACATACACCGGCGAGAGTATGGAAATCGAGTGTGTTCCGGACACTGTACGTAATGGCGATACCCGTTATGTGCTAGTTACACACGACGAATGCATTTTCTACTCGAACGACGGTGTCAAATCTGCATGGTTCACTGAGGAAGAAACCGTTTTGACACCTAAAAGTCAAGGTCAATCAATAATGATTTCTGATTTTATGTGCTCCTGCCATGGATCGTTGAAGATTGATCCAGATGATGAAAGATTTGGTGATCTCCAATTCAAGGAATCCAGAGCAATCTTCTATCCTGGCGCGAATAGGGACGGCTACTGGACTAGCATGAATATGGTGAAGCAGTTACGCGAGCGAGCCATCCCGATCTTCAATGCACTACATGGAGACGATTGCATTGGTATGTGCACGTGAAGGGAGAATATTATATATTACTTGATTTTGAGTTTTTAACGATCGTAAGTAGCTGTTTTCTGCTTCGACCAGAGTAGCAATCATAACGCGTTTGCACCAGATGCGTTATGCGTTAATAGAATGAGTCTGCATCCCACAGACGCGGATGCCGATCCTGGCAACCATTTTAAGTCCGGATGGTTTTATACCGAGCTCTCCGGGTATGGGAGGGTACCAAAGCCGCAAAACATGTATTTCAAAGATGATAATGGACAACTGAAGTTCAAAGGCATCAAAAGAGTAAGTGATCATATTTTTTTTAGCTTGAAGCTAATGCCGATATATATGTTTTCTGTGCACCAAGATCTTGTCCTGTATCTATCATTTATAAAATGGTTTAGATCTTGCAAGAGCGTGGCGCATGGATTCCTGGTCTATTGTTGACATGTAAGAACAGCCCTGGTACATCTGATAACTGCTGTTGCGCTCGTCATCTTCTTGGGTCCCATCCTGATTTTCGGAGACAGGTGACAGCTCTTGCAGAAACTGTTGAAAATGCTGGCCATGTATTCGATCTGTACCCCAAGTTTCATTGCGAATGCAACTTTATTGAAAGATACTGGGGTGCTGTAAAGAGAATTGCCAGGGAAGAATGTGATTATAGCTTCAGATCCCTCTCCCAAAACATTACACAATATTTAGATAGCATTCCTTTAGCTATGATACGTCGCTTTGAGCGAAAAGCATGGCGCTATATTGACGCATATGAGAAAGGACTCACTGGACGAAAAGCAGAAAAAGCCGTGAAGAAATATAAATCCCACCGGCGAATTTTCGACATTGATGATCTCACAGACGAAGAATAAATACCGCTAGCTAAAAATAGAAGTTTATAGAGGCGGAAATTAAAAATTTTGAAATGTCCACTTGTCGTTTCTAGGTGGCGGGCACCATATACAAAACAGGCGCGACATACAGGATAACCGATAATGATACTGCACCATCAATACATTCACGGAAGAAGTAAGCAACGCAAGTATTTCTATCAAATTTCTGATAATAAGAGGAACTACTACCATTTTAGTCAGCCAGGAGTTTAGTTTCTTAAAACACTGCTGTGATATGTTACATACCTTATGTTACTGTGAGAAGCTTGTGATTCAGGGTCCCTTCTCTTCCAGCTAAAACATAGCACTAGCGTTGCAAACTTGGACTCGTACATGTTTGGCTTTGATTCTCTCTTGCTCCTCGGAAACTCTGTACGTGTTTCGAATACATTTGTTGAGAAGTACAGGCGATGTCAGAAAATATATATGGGGGCCATGAGAATGAATTACATATCGAGCCACGAAAAAGAAAAAGTAAGGCTCGGTGCTAGAGCTATAAATACACCTCATGCTTTTGGCGCCCTCACTTTTCCTCTTCGCATCATTGTTGAGCAATCACACCAACCGTTACACTCGAACCCCTTTTGACAGTGATTATGTCCGTTCACATCGGTAACCGCAGCGTATCAGCAGATACAGCAAGAAATATACCACAATCATCATCGTATTAACTATGCTTACGCTGACTCCTCTGATCATATGATAAATACATACTGTTCCTAATAACAACCTTATCAACGCCAACAATATCAGCAATTATCAATATTACTGTCATCATGCTCCTTGCAACGCCAAGCGATTCAACAATTGTGCCGTTTTCTTTCTGGTGCTTTGTCACAAGAGCTACTACTCACTACTGCTGCTACAATCACTATTCTTTCTGCTGAACGCTCTGTGTTTGTTCCAATGACCCCGATTAGTCTATAGCTGACAATGAACGTAATAAGACAGTAGATGGGGTAATTGAGACGAGTTTTGCTGCTTTCGGAAGCTTTAAGTAGAAAGAAGAAGGTATTGATAGGTTGTGTATTCCCCAGACCTTAAGTCAAAGCGTGCATCGCATACGTCGCCTGTCATCATCAGAATATCTGCGGCCATAAATATGACTATGACGACTTTGCTAGTATCACAATGAGCTATGCTGCAGCGCTGTAAAACCACTTTCGCAACAGATCGGCCATTTTGCCAGGCTCAATGAGTTACTAGTTTGAGAACACAGAAGCAGCACATACGGTGTAGACTTTATGAGTGACGGATTCACAAACTCATCGCATAACGATACCCGAATTTGAGCGAATATACTTATGAGTGACGATTGTTGTATTACGTCGATATAAAGTTTTCGACGTGATGTATCCACTATTGGTACGCTCGCCATATTGAGGATTGGACAATCGTTGAAAGAATTACTGAGATTACTGTTAGATATACAACAATAAAGTGAAAGGATGGTCGACTTCATAATCTTATGTGCCGCCCTTTATGAATTTCTGGTAATACAGCAGCGCGTCCGTCAGTTGTCTCTCCGCCAGTGTTGATCAAGAACACCCAATTGATTAAAAAACGTCGACCACGCGTGTCCCAATGAACTTGGAATTACTAGGTACCGTCAACGATCCTTCAATTACGTTATTTCGCTTTTCTCTTTCCCCACTCGAATTAATAAATTAAGTTGACTTTTTCAAGATCCTTGGGAACAGGAGTATCCTCAAACAATTGAAGAGACACTTGAAGATGGATACGTGTTGAACTGCAAATTCAATCGACGCGGTACATTACTAGCAGCAGGCACTCACGACGGACGATGCATTGTTTGGGATTTCGATACAAAGGGCATCGCGCGTGATCTATTGGGGCATATTAAACCTGTTGCCAGTGTGAGGTATTTAATAAAGTACATACACGTTTGCCGATTATGCATGTGCTAAACACAAAGGATTCTGTTCCTGTTTGTATAAATAGCTGGTCTCGCAATGGCAGATATTTACTTTCTGCTTCAAAGGATTGGACGTGTGTAATATGGGATCTTATCACGGCTGAAAAACATATGCGTATACGGTTTCCAACGGCATTGATGATGGCACATATGCATCCCAAAAACAAGTAAGACATAAACTGTGTGCATTGTATTTATATTCTCCTTTACCCGTTGTCTCTTCATTGATGCGCATATACACCTCTGTAATTTAAAATAGCTATGTGTTTGTTGCGGCATTGAATCAGTCAAATCCAGTGGCAGTCGACGTGTCAGAGGGCAGAACACGGATAACAAAGCTGTTAGCCGATGTAGATTCTGAAGGCGGGAAGTAGGTCATTTTTCCCTTTTAATTACGCGCACACTTTGTGCTACCGACCCCTATTTTCTGACATGTAAAGGAAACCCACTACCACAAACAACAGGTTTTACGTTTCGGCTGTTTCGTGGAACAAAACAGGTAGTCGAATATATGCAGGGACATCCAAAGGTCATCTCTATATCATTGATGGAGATTCATATGAGGTAAAGAGAGAAAGCAAGAGCGACAAAAGAAGGGGTGCATAGACCAACAAAATTAAGGTTTTTGTTTTCTTGAGTAGACACTATATCAAACACGTGTTACAAGCACAACAATCAAAGATATTCAATGGAGCAGGAACGGAAAGTATGTTTATAGGGCTAATACGGATGAAGGGTATTGATGCAGCGTTGTATCGTGTGTTGGAATAGCCACTGATACTAAAGATGATTTTTGTATAATCACAGAGATATCCTCATCAATGCGAATGACCGTGTCATGCGTTACTATCATTTGGAGGATCACGATGGGATCCCGACTCTAAAAAACAAGTTTCAAGATTTGGTGAACCGGATTCAATGGAACAGCGCGAGTTTCAGTGCAGATGGCGAGTTTGTTATAGGAGGTAAACGGCTGCTTGATAATGTCTCTTCACTTTATATATCCGAATCGGTGAGTTGTTTGTTTATTTATATCAAATTTTGAAAAACAGGGTCAGGACACAAGGCCGAGCACAATATATACATTTGGGATAAGAATATCGGAAACTTGGTTAAGATATTGGAAGGACCCAAGGAACCATTGGATGATTTATCGGTTAGTTCGCTTAATGATGTGTATTTGCTGCTCGATAAGTAAGCATTATTAACAAAGGATCTCCTGTGCTAGTGGCATCCTATTCGCCCTGTCATCGCATCAGTTAGCAGCTATGGAAACATCTATTTATGGACGACGAAGCACGAAGAAAACTGGAGCGCGTTCGCACCTGATTTTACAGAGTTAGAAGAGAACTTGGAATATGAAGAGAAGGAAGACGAGTTCGATGTGGTAAAGTTGCATAATGATCCATTTATTCTAACAAATTGTCATTGGTCCAGTAATCAGAAAAGAACTAAATCAGCGTACAAACAAATACGTTTTAGGTACCGGCGGAAGAGGTATCACGACGGAAAGAAGATGACGAAGATATAATTGTCGATGTAACAACTGTCGAGAACGTGCAAGCTTTTGTGGACTCGGATGATGAGGAAATGGAAGAAGATGAAGTCTACTATTTGCCACCCGTAGCAAATGCCAGTGATGAAGAGGAAGGAGATGAAGATGAGGAAGATGGCAGTGACAGGAAAGGCGGTCAAACAATAGATCATTCAGAACGCGATGTGCGAGACGTTTTTATGTCATAAAAGTCCCAACACCCATCATCATTTCAAAACTGTCGATGAAACCCGTTTGATTCTCCCTGCACATGTAAATAGTATGGTCGTTTTGCGTATACCCCATTATTAATTAACTTGCCTAGTCGGCTCAATATATTTACAAGCTATCTCCTCACTACATTATCAATAAATCGATATGCGATGCCATGCACGTGTGTGGTTTTCTTTCCTTTAAGCAGTCTAGCGTCATGTATATTGGATAAATCAATAGTTGTCAGTGCAGTGTTTTTTGTAATAAAGAGAATGCTTAAAGAGTCTAGCGCATTTGTTGGATTGGTTTGTGCAAATGAAATATTACGAAACATGAAGTAAAAATGAAGAGTATAGGTGTTTTGTGTAAAACAAAGAAACGTTATGTGGTATCCTCACGATGGCGGATGGGAGAGAGAAGTTGTTGTAACTGTATGAATGTTTGTAAATAATGTGAATGCGGGGAGTGTTGCTAATATTGTTGATAGCGGGGTTATGTAGGAAGGGTACGCGGTTATCACTTGACGTATCTTTCAGAAGACCTGTAGGTGTAAAATTGGAAAAAGATCTGTACGTGCGTAAATGATATCATGGTGAGCCTCTTATTAAAAATTAAGTGACTCTAACACAAGGTCAAAAAAGAAAAGCTTACCGTGAAGTCGAAGAAGAGAGTACCACCAGCGCCCAGAATCCAAGGGAAGTTTGTTAGCAGATACGTGCGATCCAGCGACTTGAGAAAGATGGACTAAGAAAGGCCCACATATCAGCATCAGCATTACCCACACACGATAATTCCATGTAGCCTATTATTCCCAATGGTGAGAATCTTACCACACAATAGGTCACATTGCCTGCAACGCTAAACACAAACAGCCATAAGCTCAACCCCTCGACGCTCTCGTTCCTAAAGTTTTGCATGATCTGGGGAATACGACTGCAACAATAGAGCAAGGCGCTTGCATAGCCAAACAGCTGCGGGAGGAGATGCAATTGTTGGGCGTCGGCCTTTTCTTGCATTCCGAAAAAGTAATATACCGATCCCAGCGCTATCGCTACAGACGAAGTAATACTCCAGAAAGTAAATATGCGTACGGTACGCCGGGTTCTTGCTGGATCCTTGGGCCGGACCATTTCGATTTCGACATGGTGGTCTTCATCATTTCTGTAGTTGCTACTATAGCCCTCGTTGCCTTCCGTGTCGTCGTCGTCGTTGTCCAATAGCCGTGAAGTATCATCCACCAGCATCTTGTTCTTGTTCTTATACACCCATCGATAATAGATCACTTGGCCCATCAGGAGTGTATCGGAGAACAGATAGTACAATGCGATAAGAAGCTGTTATTATCATTCATAGATTAGTATCCATCGGGTTCGGCTCCGAAAAAAACCAATTTTCACTCTTGTCACATCCTAAGAAAGGTTGAACAATTTTTTTTTACCATTGTAACGAGTAGATCTTCCATGAAGACGCCGACAAGATTGAAAATGTCGCCCAAGATCCACAACAGTAGAAAATGAACCGAGACGCCGTCCGTGTTCTTTCGTACGTAGTTTTCATACAGTTGTCTGATAGGGTGTGTTGCGTTGGTCAAATCTTCCAAGGGATACTCGACAACGGGGAGAATAAAATAACACTACCACTTACGGAGTGAAAACTACAAACCAGCAGGCAATACTGACATAGCCTATTATGTATGCCCACAGTTCGTCATCGGCAATATGGTCAAAGTATGACATTGCCAAAGTTTCTTTTTTTCTTTTGGATAAAGGAGAAAGGGAAGTTAAAAAAAGACAAGTGCATTGAATTTGTAGATCTGAGTTTATCTTTTTTTTCTTTCTGCACAGAATTTTTTTTAACATATTGAGTCATCATTAGAGTGAGATTCTCCTTTTCCTTTCCTACTACTCCTTGCTGCCTTGGTTACAAAAGAAAACGGGAGAGCTTTTCATCATAGCTTTGCGGGTTACCGAAGACCTTTATTGAAAAAGCCAGTTGCTAATCCTTCAATGCTCTTTTCAGGTAACCTTTGTTGTTGCTGTTGTTGAAGATAGGAACTGTTTTGCGGGGGTCATAGAAACAAAGTTAGTAGTCATGGCGACACTTTTGCTATATTTTAAGGACAATAAAACGATACGTTACGGGAGGACAGAATAAACTTTGATCTGGCGAATGTGTGTATCACGCCCATTCAAGTGAGTGTTCAGTACGGCGATCTGTAGACGAAAGACTCGTACGGGCTCACTAATTTTATCGTGCCATGTCAACTACCTCGTGTACAGAACTACTCCGCTTGAACCAGTTAAAACAAAAAACAGGACAACACATACCCAGTGGCAGCGCATAAATCCGCGTTTTGCCACCCTACAGTTTCAGGACACTCTAGAGCCATCACCTCCTGCAGTAATAGCAGTTAATTATATGATATTGCAGCCCTCTTCCCTATTCCATCCAACGCCTTGCAAATATAATCTACTAACGTGCAAATCTCTGTAGGTGGTGCCACCACGAATGGATATGCTCTTCGGCGTGTAGCTGTCATCTTGCGTGTAATCTATAAAGATCGACACTTGCTGAATATAGTTCATGTGTTCCAGTTAGCATCACTACGTCGAAGCTTGATAGGTGCATAATTTTACCTTTATAAAAGTAGCCTGATGAAAAAGTAAATCGACTGTATGTGGTGCTTTTGGATTCGGACAATCCGATCTATTATTCATAGACTTCATGAGTAAAAGGAAAGGATCCTTTTTAATGAAACTCATACACGCTACATACAAAGACTTACTGCCAATATGTCAATGGGTTATTGTCGCGCATCTTTTCAACTCCCCAGTCAGGTCGAAATGTAGACACGGACCAGATCGCTTCGTGGTCGGCAATCTCGCGTCCACCCGTAGCCTTTTGGTAATGATCTGGGTGTGTTTCTTCATAGACGCGTATCGCGCCTGTTTCACGCGCACAATCGCTCATGCGTCGTTCGTCGTCTTCTGTGTCGTCGTCTTCTTCATCTACCTCGTCATCGTCATCTTCGTTTTCGTCGTCGTCTTCTTCATTACTGACACCCGCGTCGGAATCCATGTAGCCGGAAACTGCAGCATTGAGCGATTGTTCGACTGTGTTGTCTGAATCGCCACCGTCGTCACCACCGCTGTGCAGCTCATCGGACAGGAAAAGACTACCATAGTGAGGAATGTTGTCGGACATTGGTATGTTCCTGACAGTGCATTGAGGAATGCAAAGGGATTTCTTTTTTTATTTGTTGTAGGAGAAGTGTTTCTTTGAACTGGTGACTGAGATGTATTATGCCGCAAGCGTAAAGTATAAATTTTTACTGTTGTACGCGTTTTCTTTGTTTCTCCGTAGCTATTTATTAGCATTTCGTTATGAGCAAGAGCAGACTATCACAGTAGACACTGTGCTTACAACGTAGGTTGCTTCAAAGGTGTCTTTTATCTATGGTTTAGCCAGGCTTTATTGCGACCTACCTGAGCCACATCAACATCCACTCGACTGCGTATATGAAGTATTTTTAGGGCGCGTTGATTAGTTCATCTATTTTCACACGTATTATACACTAATAATGCTGATCTTGCTTTTCTTGATGCTGTACAGTACATATGTAAGGCGTAAGAATAGCAAAGCAAATCTTGCTGTAATACATAAAAGACACGCGTACGTTAAATATGTCCCACTAAGCGCTGCGTATAGTATATGGTTATATTATACATGCATGTCATTGTTGTAACAAACAGTATATTCCTTTATCATCGACAATTGAGACGTAATCATCATCATCCATTCGCTTGTCGCGTTGAACTTTTGGAGGAAGATGGGCGAGTCAAACGCCATACGTGGTTACAGTGGGCACTTATTGAGCACCTAATAGGAGAAACATTTCGGTATTTAGAGACTCCATGAGAAGAGATCACTCACATCGGTTTTGTCACTGGTCATATCATCCCAAAACAAACAGCGGCTTTTTGACGGTACGCATTATTCGCATTATGCGAGCTCTCCTGGCTCCGATCGGAAGGGACGCCCTATCACTCACATTCTTTGCGCCCGTAAAAAATGTTTGTTGTTGTAAGAAACGATGTACAGAAAAGGGACAGTTTCGATGAAAGCACTGGTGATACGCCCTTATCTCCCTCTCACTTGGTCTTTTCTCTTTATAAAGCAAGAGTCGCTTGACCTTCTTTTTCCAATCTTTCCTTCCTTCAAGACTCGCTATCACTTCAAATACCCTATTGTATATTAGAGAACACAACAACAATGCCTCCCATTGCTACAACCCATAACATTGTGGCCCTCGCTGATCGCGACAGTACCACTAGCTCCTCTGTCATTCAAAGAGATTTTACCTCAGCTCTACCGTATGACATTGTCAGTACCATTTTTTCTCATGTCACAAAGTCGGACTGTCTAAAGTGCATGAGCGTATCACGCAAGTGGCTCAGCCATGTGCCGCAATACACCAGCGATCTCTGGCAAGAAGTGACGATATCGTCGCTAGAAGCCCTCAATAATGATCTGTTAATGCGCTGCCTGGGTCCACATCTCAAGAAATTGCGTCTACGAAGATTGAACGAGAGCGAAATTGGCATGGTGATACACGGCCTCGTACAGAAAAGCCGGTGTGATTCCATCCGTTCCGTGGGTAATTAGGCCGATGTCTTTTTTTTCCAACACACTATAGGAGAAGTGGTACCACATAAACAAAATCCACTAAAAGAGAAGAGAAAGAAGCTAATACCATTAGTCTGAATAGAGCTGTTCCATTGCAGAACGATTGATCGACGTGTATTGTCGGAGGCTTTTCGACCCATCCTCAACTCACTAGTCGACCTATCTTTTCGACGCCACACACACGCCATGGATTTGCACGCCTTTCTACAATTGTGCCCCAAAAACATCACACACTTTACCTTTGACACAAGCAGCTCTTCACGCCACGCCATGATCATGGACCGTGACTACAGCATTGCTCCACCGCCAGCAAAGGAGCCATCATTGCCACAGCTCCAATTCACATATCTCAACTTGCACGCCACATTGTACCGCTATGAAGTCGACTATATCTTACAGCAGTGTCCACAACTCAGATGTCTCGTGTTTGACTCTGTCAAACCCTATGGCCACACGATGATACATGTGATTGAAGCGTGTGTTCAATTATGCCCTACTCTCGAATGTCTAGCATGGGGTCGTATTCGTCCAGACTTTGTTTCGCACTGGAAATCCAAGGTATCTCTGCCAAAGAGAAAGGCAACAGAAAGAGAATACATCTGCGGATTACAAGAAATTGTCTGCGGCAGCTTCTACCATGGCGGCCACTCGTTTACGCAGATGTTGTTAGCCCATCGTCGTACGCTTCGCACTGTCCGCCTCGAGCGCCTTCAGAACCAGCCTGTAGACCCATGGTACCCAATCACGCCGCGACACAATGTCACTTTCAACCACTTGCAGACTATTCATATCGATAATATCCATGTTAATGCCGAGTCTTTGGCGAGGTGGATATATCATTGCCCACAGCTTGAAGAGTTGTCTTTGCACACAGTCACCGCAGACGAGACATCCTACTGGCTTGACCGTGTCTTTCAGGCGCTCGGTAGCAGCAATGCTAGATTGAAGCGACTACACGTTACACATGATAGATTTGCTGACAGCAACAATGACGCTACCAGCCACACTGAAGATCCTATCTACAACCATCTTATCCAAGCCAGACATCGGCTAGAGTCGATCCGCTTGTCTGGAAATCGCCTTGTTACGAATGCCATCTTGGAGGCGTTGACGGAAAAGTCAAATGCCTCCACGTTAAAGCGCGTGGCACTGGACTATTCAGCAACGGATAATCATCGTTTAGACCTTACTACAGACGGCATGCGTGCATTTGCGCACAATCTTCATTGGGAGCTTGACGAACTAGGAATTACGGAGCACCAAGAAGATGGGCTCCTGACAGATGAGCTACTGATGCTTTTGTCTTCAAAGGTGAGAAGACTCTCACTCAAGGGCTGCACAAAGCTTACTGGTGATGGGCTCAAAGCTTTTATCGATCATGGTCATGGCAACAGCCTCGTATCCATGCAATTAGTCGAGTGTGCAAACATAGACGAGAGCAGAAATAGTGTAGAGTATGCTAGAACAGTACTCGGACAGAATAACGTACAGCATGTATCATCCGAGCGCAATGCAGACGATGACATCGTGTCTTTTGTATACGTGTAATAGATAAACCACTAAAACCACGAGAAGAAGCAAATGTGGTGGGGGCGTATGAAAAGAGTTTAAGGCAGTGCTACACAAACGCCGGGAAGGGGTTTCAGTGCACAACATCAATTGATCAGATAACAGCACTTGCCAAGGAATGATCGTGGACCAAGGGGGGGTGGGGGAGAATGGTAAGCACAAACAGCACTGCCGCTGTGTGTGCGTGTGTGCTGTTCTGCTATTTGGACGAAAAGAGAACCTTCACTTCATTCTCTCTCGCAGTTTAAAGCACAAGTAGGATAAGCCCGGCTCGAAACGCATAATTCAAACAGAAAAAAAAAGTCGCCGGTTCCTGTCGTGCATTCAAACGGCGGAGTAGGGGGAATATGTCCAAATGTGAGGTGGGTTTCATTTCCCTGCTGGCAAGACCTCCGCTACTCTTTTTCACCAATCTCTTTTCTTGGAAAAAAAGAAAGCTGTAATACTTTTTTCTTCTTTTATTCTTTTTCAACCATGGCTGTCAAATTTTATACCCGAGACGAAGTCGTCAGCCACAACACACCAGAGTCCTGCTGGGTCCTCTACAAGGGTAATGTCTACGATGTCACCGAATTCATCCAAGATCATCCTGGCGGCGACGACTTGATTCTCGATTACGGTGGTAAAGATGTCACAGCAATCATGAAAGATGAGCTCGAGCATGAGCATTCGGAGGCAGCCTATGAAATTTTGGAAGAGTATTGTATCGGTGTCCTTGCACCTTCTTCCGACAACAAAGCTTCAACGACCCCAAAAACCACAACAGCGACATTAAATGGAGCAGACGAAGATTATGCCAGACCCGATTTCCACCCTTCCGTAACAGACCTCGCACTCGATATCAAGAAGCATCAGTTCTTGGACCTGCGCAAACCGTTAATTCCCCAAATGATGCGAGGTAACTTTACCAAGGAATTCTACCTGGAGCAGGTGCACAAGCCCCGGTACTTGCCTGAGCCTGCACAGTTCTTTGGCCACTGGCTGTTGGAGCCGCTGAGCAAGACAGCATGGTGGGTCATACCGGTGTTTTGGTTACCCGTCGTCGCCTACCATTTCAAGGTGTCGTTCGACAGTGGTATGCCGCTGGCCAGTGTGCTGTCATTTGGTCTTGGAATTGCTATCTGGACCTTGCTCGAGTACGGCTTGCATCGCTTTTTATTCCATGTCGACGATTATCTTCCCGACAACCAAATCGCATTTACTCTGCACTTTACTCTGCACGGTTTCCATCATTATCTTCCTATGGATAGGTAAGGGCCAAAAAAAAGTTCATGAATCGGCAGGTTTAGGGTGTCATATTTCGTTGCGGAAAAATTCCGGTGGCGTGACTAAAATTTAAATTCTAGATTACGACTTGTCATGCCGCCTACATTGAACGTATTCATTTCATATCCATTGACTCGACTCGGCCACGCCTTGTTTCCACCGGTGATAGCATACGGTGTGATTGCAGGTGGCTTCTTTGGCTATGTGCTGTATGACTGCGTCCACTATTACTTGCACCACGCCAAGGTGTTTGAATTCCACTTCAAGGAGATGAAAAAGTACCACATGGCACACCACTACAAGAACTTTGATCTTGGCTACGGCATCACATCCAAGGTCTGGGACTACATCTTTGGCACTGTGCTCAAGTACAAGGGCTAAATTTCTCTCCATCTTTTCATTCCACAATTCCGTTAATCTCGTACTACTATTTATTGACTGCCTCTAATATAATTTTCTACTACATATCTGTTCGCTTGTTCCATCGCATCATTTTGATTCGTTCTCTCTTCCTCATATATTTTTCTCTATCGCCTGAATCTCCCTTCTCCGCTAGTAACATTTTTTATAAAAATTATCGCATATTGTTATAGTAATGTAATATTCTCTAAATGTAATGTCGCCTTCTCGTTTTTAATATATATAAATTTTTACATTCATCTTTAAATTTTGCTTTGACGACGTGCTTTGACGGTCATCAATGCCGCTCCAGCGCGAGAGTTGGTCTCGCGACCCAGTTGCTCAGAGATCCACCGTCCCGTTTCAACAAGAGAATCCAGGCTGACACCGGTCTCAAAGCCCATGCCGTGGAGCATGTATACCACATCCTCTGTGGCTACGTTGCCTTTGGCACCAGGCGCATAAGGACAACCACCGAGACCTGCTACTGAGCTATCTACAACTCGAACACCGTACTGTGGAAAAATGCATCATGTCAGAAAATATATACTACTTTCAATGTCACACACAATTTGAAATTATGCTGTTACCTCGAGTGCCTTCAAAATGTTGGCCAGCGCTTGACCGTATGTGTCATGACAATGGACAGCCAAGGCGTCGGCTGGAACCACCTTGAGCACTTCATCCAGCATCCGCCCCATTGAGCCGGCAGTCCCGACACCAATCGTATCGCCTAGACTGATCTCATAGCAACCGGCATCGTACATTTTCTTTGCCATCTGTGCAACGGCAATAGGTGATACTACGCCTTCATATGGGCATCCCAGGACACATGAGACGTAACTACCATAGGCACATAGAAGCTTAGTACATCAGTTCCTTCCGCCAGTGATTACACAACTGCATCTTCTATTTCTCACCCTCGAACTTTGAGGCCTTTGTCAAGTGCAGCCTTAGTCACGTCCACCATGCGATCCATAGCTTCTTCGGTCGAGCAGTTTGTGTTCTTTCGGTTGAATGTTTCAGTGACTGCTGCAAACATGGCCACCTCAGATGCACCGGCTGCAGATGCATTATCTACACCACGGATATTAGGTGTCAAGACCGGATATCCAACACCAGGCTTCTTTTTAATCGTCGTAAATACTTCACGGTTATCGCCCATCTATAAATTCTCGCATACATCAGCCTGAAATGAATAGCTGGCTCTTTTTTCGCTCTCTCTCTTTAAATTCGATCCGTATATATTCCATTTGACTTTATATACCTGAGGCACCCATTTTGGACTGACAAAGCTGGTTGCTTCCACAACCGGTAATCCAGCATTGGCAAGTCTTTCAATCAACTCAATCTTGACAGGTGTTGGAATCACTTGCTTTTCGTTTTGTAAACCGTCACGAGGGCCCACTTCAACGATTTTGACGAAATTCGACGCAGCCGCTGGTGTTGAGTAGGCTCGACGCACTGATGCAGACGCAGCAGCCTATATAAGTTTACGCTCAATCGATCAGCTTTGCCGTTCTTGTTCTCTTCTTGTTGTTGGATTGTAACATACTTTTGTAATTGCTGATCGGGTAGAGGATCGGAGCATGGTGGAGGAGAGTCTATTCATTATTATGTTATATGTGTTCAACAACGAATGTAAAAGAGAGAAGAAAAGGCGGGGTACTTGCTGCTATATGGGGTACCTGAGCACATCAACTATCCCACGGTCATGTGAAACGTTCCACCGTAACTAATTCTTCACGGTGCTTTGTGGGAGATAAAAAAAGCTGACAATAATTGTATTATATATTGGGAGTTGGACATTGAGGCGCTTACATTTACACTATAGCCATTGCATAACAGCACAGTGAAGTCTTAAAAAGATACATAAATCCTTGGAATGATTCTGAATCTTCTAAAAAATGGTACCTACTCAGAGAGAGGTAGAGAGTCGAGGTATAGTATGATTATATGACGACTTTGCCTTTTTTTATATTCTTAGAAGCGTTTCTTCATCATGATGAGTAGCTGTATAGCTGCTTAATGATTAAAGACACATCGATAAACTGGCATGATTAACTTAGGTTAAGCAATCAATCGTCGTAATACATATCTTCGTAACTACTACATAGTAAATATGGTAGTGCTGTATATGTGTAGAGCTGCATAATGATAATTTAAGTATATATATATATTGTTGTGGTCCGTGCATGTAGAGGATTAAATGCGCACATTGAGGGTATGGTAGAATATGATATTAAAGCGGTTGGTTATTATCAGCACTCTGTCACATTTCCGCCTGTTCTCTGCTGGACGAGGTGTTACTTGTGTCGTAAATTCCTAGCATGATAGAATAGGCAATGGATACAACTGCGTACAAATTATCATGTCAAATTCGATGCTCCTCGAGTGCGCTGTCAGAGGATATATTGCTACGAAATGCGTATGTTGCACCAGTCAGCCGTGCAGAAGCCTTTAATACGATGTTACAGTGCTATCAAGACATGTTAAATTCGTTTTCATTGTACTTTTCGCAGCTAAACGAGCTCAGTGACTAACCAAACGTTATAACCTCAAAATCGTTGACAATGTACAAAGGTCAATCTTATATTATATGTCATGCCAAGTGATCGTATATGTACAGTGCATGGGTATAATTGGTGTCATTTTCCCTTCCTAACTACTTTAAAAGTATTGACTCATATATATTCTATCATATGTATATACAGTAGCGGCATTCAGAGCTACTATGTTCAAATACATGTCGCCCAATCTAATTAGTTCGATTACTATCACTGGTATCTCTCCTCATTACATCCAAAAAAAGAAATAAAGTACTTTTCAGAAGGTTCAGCCATATGGGGCGAGTCGGCCGATTTACTGTAAATGTGGAAGCGTCGAGCTCCATACATATCGACACTCAAAAGTTACTGATACGTTTCGGTCATGGAAAACAAAACAAACCGTATAAAAAGCAATAGCTTTTCGTTGCATTCCTTGACGTCGTCTGAGTACAAGGGAAGTACTGCTTTGCTTTTACTTAGTGTATTGGCCTTTCATATAACATTTGTGTGGTCCTTAGCTCATGTTGGAAATTTACAATGTCATCCCTCTGAGCGAGCTGTTCCATAACTGAAAGGGGATGATGACTGGAGGATGACTAAAAGTGTTCAGAAGCCCGAAGCCAGCAGAGAAAAAAAGAATCATTTATGGTCACGAATAATAAAGGGTGATAATATGTCCCGAAGGTTTCCTAGTTTTCTTATTTCGAGTCTAGAGAACTCCTCAGTAGGTTGATGAGAGAAAGAGCTACATATAACAGTATGTCAAAGCCTCGGTTGCTATTGAGCCGATAACGGCTTATTCTGCAATAAAAAGGGTTAGTTTGACAGTTGGATCGATTACATTGCTGATTTTGATGACTTGCAAGGGTTTTCGGAGCGGTGCTAAGCCTTAAAGTATAATAAGGGTCTGCATGGTGTCTGTTTTCGTTTCGTGCGTATAACAACATATGTTCCTTACATCTGTGCCCTCTTTTCTTTAGCTCCACGACAAATGAAATTTACTATGATGTGGAACGAATCAAATTATAGTAGCTCTGATTATGGTTAAACCTTATCGAGCAGTATGTGCAACGCGCATGTAAGTTTGTAGTGCGATATTATATACAGATCGATTCAAATTTTACGATACTTGCATGCAATTCTATCTTACACGATTAGTATAGCCTAGACTCATGAACATGCGTGTCTTAATTTCCAAACTTTTTCTTTCTCCATATAGCAACAGGCGGCTTCAGGGGAGCATAGAATAAAAAGACCATCTTCTTTTGACAAAGCAAAAAATCCAAAAAAGACTATGATCAAGGAGAAACAAAACAAGGATGTGCTGGTTTATTTGTGGGGTACGTGAGAGATACACATACACATACACAGAGAGAAAGACTGTGCTGCAATCGTAATCTCTCAGAAAAGAAAATGAGGATACAGGGTCTTCTCGGATTACATGAGTCGTACCACATTTTACTCTTTTATGGAGATTATATGGCCCTTCTCCATAGGTACGAGTACACACGTGTATTAATATAACGATAAAAAGTACAGGGCAAAAAGAAGGGCATCGATGCCTTCATAGCGTAATAGCGTACTTTCCTTTCTTTATCACGTTAAAAAAGGATGTTTTTTGAATATGAAAAAGTCGGGGATATCATATATCCAGGGGTTGATGGGTGTTGTTGCTGTTGAGTGGTGGTGATCACGAGAACTCCTGACGCACAAGCCAACACGCACAAAACAAGACCCTTAAATTAGTATGTAAGCAAAAATTACTCTATCGCCCCAGCCCCTGACCTCATATTGCTGCATCTTTTGGAAAGAGGAAATAGGACAACATCATGATGGGCGTAGCCTTATCATTGATGGCAATATTACTGTCATTACTACGTAAAGAGCACATGGAAAAATTATAGGGTTAACTACTATTTTTGAAACCTGCTACTACTATTACAACACTATTCACCGTGCTCTCTCCTTTTCGAAGAAAAGAAAAAAACAGACGGACCCTGATTAATGGCGATTTCCCAGGAATATACACAGGCTTTTACCATGACTTACCTGTTTTCTTCTTGACTGCACGCCAACATTGTCATTTCTAGCGCATCATAGCAGCAAATCATACATACCTCCTCTTTAATTTTGAAGAAGGATGATCTACACACGCAGGTACGCAGTACATAACGGGTCTCAAGTAGTACATATTGAAAGGCAAGGACAAGTACAGGTGTGGTATAATAAACAAGCTACTACTGCTACTACGTATTATTGTAAATTGAAGGTTTATCATTGTCGTATTGAAACATATAGTAGATACTGAGGAGCAGTATACGCGTAGTACCCTTAGGTTTGTATTGTAATAATCGAGTATCAAGACTATATCAACAAGATGTTCTTGTTCGCTTCAGTTTACTATATTTTATATACGTAGATATTGCTACTTGGACCCTTTATGATAAGTACTTTATCGTGATTATAGAGACGTGTTTATAAGAGAAAGTATATAAGTATGGTACAAGATTTGACTGCTGTCGCATGCCACTTTTCGCGCAAATGAGTAATCCATGGCGGTACTTCCAGGGTAACAATTGGGGGTGTGTGATGTTGTTGCAGGGATGTGAACAGAAAAAGAAAGTTGGTTGCATTTTTACATGGGAGGAGGAAATTCGAAGCATCTTAATAAAACATTGGAGGAGAAGAAGGAGGAGGAGAAAGAGGGAGAGGAATAGTAGTAGTATATGGTGGTGGCCCGGACAATGATGTCTTGCATGCGAATTGCATCCCTGAGGATGGGGTGTTCGTTTCGTGATAACGTGAACGCTTATCTGAAACAGCCATGATCTGTTGCTGCTGCCGTTTCTGTGAAGGAGACATATGAAGGCTACTGCAGGAAGAGGAAAACCCGGGATGTCGAAAAGGAGACGCGAGTAGAAGAGGCGACAAACCATGATGGTGGTGCGTGGAGTAGGGCGTCTTTACAACCGAACGATGATCTTCGATGGAGCATGTTGTGCTAGTGCTATGTGTGGAAGTAGGTGATGGACTACAATTATACTCTTGTTGTTCTTGTTGTTGGTGGTGGTGCTCGAGAGCGAGTGTTGAAGATGTTGGTGATGATGACACCATTCTTCCGTAGATTATGTTATTATGGTTATTTGCAAACAAATTAACTCCTCCTGCTCCATGGTTTTCATATGCCGAGGCTAATAAAGGTGCCGATGGTGTAGAGCCAAACGTGATTTTGCTTATTTTGGCAGTAGAAGAAAGCATCGTCATCTGCTGATGTTGTTGTTGCCGAGAAGTATTAGCAAAAGTGCTATAATAATGATGTAGTTGTCGCTCTTGACGAAATGGTTGCCATTTGGCTTTCTGCTGCTGGTTTTTACTCGGATGTTCCGCCTTCATGTGTTGTATTAAGGTGGTTTTAAGAACGAATCGTTTGGTACATGAACCCTCAGAGCAGCGATACGGTTTTCGTCCAGTATGTGTACGTCTGTTGCAAGCGGAACGAAACGAAGTTTAGATTCGGCAATCTTCGAAGCATAAGAAAAGCGTAGACCTGTGTACATACCTGTGTCGGGCTAGTGAGCTGCTGTCGCTAAAACGCTTATCGCATTGGGGATACTCGCATAAATGAGGCTTCTCACCAGTATGAGTTCTCATATGTACATTCAATGCCGAGCGCTAATAGCAGTTACGTCGGTCGTTAGTACAAGAAACCGATGGATCGAGGAAAAGGGCTTCAAAGGCCCCCATGAACTTTAACTTTACCTGAATAAAACTTTTATCACACATGGACACCCCGCATTTGAAGGGCCGGTCATTTGTATGAATGCGCAAATGACGCACAAGGTCAGAGCGTCGAGCTTTTTGAGGTTTTATTGTTAGCTTACATGTCATCGGTTTTGAAAAATGGAAGTAATGAAGAGCAACTGAATATACGAACCAAATGCCCTTATGCAACTATCGTATGTGCATTGAAAAGGTCGTTCCTTGCTAGGTGTTTGTTCGCGATGTACAATTTCAGAAATTTCCATGATGATAGAAGTTGAAGTGAGTAGAGTATGTATAGTATATAGTGAGTGATGTATATATAAGTGAAGACGCGTATGAATAGAAGGGAAAAAGAAGTAAGAAAGTACAGGGTTTATATATAAGAGCAAAAAAGAGAAGAGTGCGTAAAGGGATAATCTGGAAGTATCCGTATAGCATACAAGTATATATTTATATCTACATGACATATGAGAGAAACAGCATGTACACTGTACATGTATCTACGATGTACTTACACATGATTTTTACAGCCACTGTATGAGATATTCCAGAAACTAGGATGTGCTCTGCTATTAAAAGAACTCCTGTCATTGCTTACACACACTTGATCCAAAAACCCCTCCCTTGCTCTCTCTCGCTCTCGTTCTGCGCATCATACAATATGAGTGCTCGTGCTGATAGAATGTTACTTTGAGTGGTCATGTGAGTAATAAAAGAGTATGTTACCAATATGATTTGTTGAATGCACTGATATTTTCTGGTACTTCATGAAGTATATTTGATGCCATATAATAAAACGAGCATAAATATATTCTGCTCGATCGGTTATGCAAGATTCGCAAACTTGTGCGTGCTAGCGTCTGGTTGTTGGCAAGAGAAAAGTGCCTTGATTTCTTTTTTATCCCCGGGCAATAAACATGTATGTACGTACAGGATGTCAAGGCAATACATATCGTGCATATCACCAATGGCAGCAGCAGGCGAAGGATGGAGAAACTAAATGATGTATATCAACGTGACTTTAACCATGTATGCATTATTATGTGATCGACACCCACCCACGAACTTTTTTTCTAATGCTCGGTCGGCTCCTTGACGCATACACAAATATGGGTAGAGCAACCTTGGATAGAGAGCGAGAGCGAGAAGATCAGAAAGTCAAATGTGCTGCCTGATAAGCTCACTATTACATATGAGGTGCGTCGTTAATACATGAGCGGGTTTCTCGATATGCAGCATTACTGTAGTTTTGTTCCGCCACCTTTCCGGGCCTTTGCGTCAATCGAAGAACTTCGTTTTTGCATCCCCTCGACACGCCTATCTTCTGCGCTAGCTCCATGCTCCTCTAGTTTTGTACCCCCCGTACACCCCAATACCCCTTCTCTTCTTCTTCATATTGCATCCTTCATTTTTTTGCGCGCTATCTTTGCTTCAAGGACGTTGTGGTTATCCCGTCACGAGTATAATTTGGGACTTATCATATTTAATAATAGTATGATAGAAGCGATCTGATACACATAATAACATTCATCTAATATATTCGTTGCCGTGGTATTCTCCCTTTCTCCTCTAGTAATTTTTAGTGTGGAAACAAACTTGACAGGATTTCAACGTCTCTGTCTTCCTTTGTCTTTTTGGGCACGGCATCGTACAGTACTGTGACCCCTCTTACTGTACACCACCACGACCCGCTCTTCACTAGTCGTTCCTCTCCCTTACTTTCCAACCCCTTCGAAACCAGAATGGGGCCTATTCGTTCATGCATTGCGGGAAACCGCACTTTTTACTTTTACTCTAAACTCTCCTTATTACTCCTTTCCTATTTTTTGCTTCTTCACTGTAAGAGCTGTCCCTGACAGTATAGAATATTACAGTTTTTTTTCCTGGGGGCTACGTGCTTTTCTTCCTCCTGTCTATTTTTCTCTCTATCTTTTAAAGCTGGACCGTGCCATACAAAAAAAGGTAGCTGAATTGCTGCATTTTTCGTCATAAGAAACCCGCCAATATAATGTATATTCTCCAGACATGCATGATCCTCCCACTTCATGTGTACACGTGCAGATTATTAGAGAAAAAGAAGAGAACCAGAGAAAAAAGCATCCCTAATCCTTCTTTGCTTGTTCTTGAGCCTTGACCCGCTCCATTTCAGCAATAAACCTATACAAACACACATGTTATATTGATGTATAAGCTAGAAAATGAAAATCATATGTATATGTACCATCGTATCGTCAGGAACAGGCATATAGATAGGAGCAACAACGCAATGACATGACCATTGAAACCCGTGACGACAACCATTGCAGCCAATGTAGCAAACAGGACGTAGAATGCGTAGAACATGAGCTTGATGACCCCCTTTGCCGTGTACCCGGGCGTCATAATAGACTGTACAATATCATTCACGATGCCGCTCATCGTTTTCTAGGTGCGGATTCACGTGTGCGTGGAGTGGAGGAGGAGTAATAAAAAATTGTGAGTGCTGGCGGCGTCCAACGACTCCGGATTTGCTTCGGATTTTCTGGTTTTGATAGTCAAATAAAGCAAGTAAACTCCACGGTGCTGTTATACTATTACCCCATTAAGTCTTTAACTGTTTGATCGCCATTGTGTTGTCACTGTAGTTGTTTAGCATCAGGCATTATGGGGCTGCTATTTGACTGATATCGTGTCTTTGAAGGCACTTTCTGATCAAGAATAGTAGGCTATCACGAGCAGCAATTGATCTACAAAGTGCACCGGACAACAAATGATCCACATAACTGTAACGAACCTCCTTTGTGATGGCTATGCTGCAGCAAATAGGCAGTAGCAATGCTAACAGAATAAAACAATCGACGATGATCGATAGGGAATCTGTTGCTCTGCTACAGACAGCATATTTTGGGGGAAAAGGCACTTTCCTTGTAATGATCTCGTGTTGTATTGTTCATGTTTCTGATACCTATCGATTGTTCCGCTACTGTGTCTTGCATGATTTTCATAGACTCTGGTAGTTGCCCAAATGTTGTCATGACTACAACAGCTACAGGGAGAGTAGCATAAAAATTCATGCCCAGCTACTGATTCACTCTCTTTGTTCTTGACAAACGCAAGATACTACGCTTCGCGCAATGGCTGTACGTTCCATTGTCTCTGAAAATAGATGCCGTTTTGTTGATCCGAAAGCCTCCGTCAATCTTGATCTTAGTTGTACGTTCATCTCATTCACTCACTCTATAAACACACTCTGTGATGCTAAAGTCATTGTGCTACCATATAGATGTCACCGACAGAGTAATTGCAATGTCATATCCTTCCGAAGGCTGGGAAGGGCTCTATCGGAACCCACTGAAGGAGGTTAAAAAGTGAGTGCGCACAAGAGGGAGAAATTTTAGTAAGGCTACTTTGTGCGATGATGGATTGCGTCTTTGGTCATAGTTCGATATTAATAGCGACAAAAGATTCCTTGACGACCGACACGGTCCAACAAATTACAAAGTATACAATCTGTAAGTTGTTCGCAATGATATCTTGGTAAGCTTGTTTGATTAGTGCTGTACTGTGCGATTAATATACGGTGGTTTTGGATAGACGATCAGAGAAGCAGTATCGTGAGGAAGTTTTTAGTTCGTCAGGTGAAGGGAAATTTAAAACATTCGTATCAAGAATGTCGTGCTGGTGGAAAGGCAAAGGAAATAGAAATTGATCGAACACAGGAAAAAAATTATAGCTGCAATGTTTGGCTTCAAAGATCATCAGGCACCTCCCTTTAACCTGTTGATTGAATTCTGCAAAGACGCTGGGCAATGGCTAAAGGATCCAAAACACGTAGTTGCAATCCATTGCAAGGCCGGTAAAGGACGAACGGGAACTGCAATTGCTGCTTTACTGCTATACACGCAGCAGGCTGCAAGTTCTGATGCAGCTATGCGTCTCTATAACACCAAGAGAACGAAAGATGGAAGAGTATGTTTGTTAAACTACTTTCTTAAAACACCAGAGAACGACAAGTCAATGCGATGCTTATGTTAAAGCACGAAATTTATAGGGCATCACTATACCCAGCCAGATACGCTATGTGCAGTATTTTGAAAAATGGATGCAATGTATTTACAATTCTGGGGTAGCCAGGAACACCGTCAACTGCACTAGTGAATCTTGTGCCATCAGCATTTTCAAAGTGACAATTTACGGCATTCCTACTGCATATATAAACCACGCAGGTTGTTTCTAAAGTACTTTAGCATATGTTTGTTGTTCGTGTGCCAAAAAAAAAGGCCTCGTACAATACCGAAGATATACTGACATGTTGTTCTTCCCTTTATGCGTCTATAGATATTTGGACTGATTTTTGCATATCCAATGGCGAGGGGGTTTTGTTTCAAAGAAATCAGTCAAACGTATGTCACTCCATACGATCCGTATCAAGTGTCGAAACAGTAGAAGTAACATTGTATGCTTTGTTTTAGTGTACCGTCAAAGTCAATGACAAGACTATCGTACTGGAAATTCCGTGCATTCGCGTCGAAGATGACTTCAAGCTGGAGTTTTTTGTTAGATCGCTTTATGTCTTCAAAGTACCCATTTCTTTTTCAAAAGAAGTGTATGCGTTCCTAAGACCCTCACGAGAAGTTATTAACCTTGAACAACACTAGAAAAAACTATGTAGGTTTTGGCTAAATACACGGTTTATCGTACCTGACAACACGAATGTCCCAAGAACGTTCAAATTGACAAAAGCCGAGATCGATGGAGCGGTCAATGATACCCACCACTGTCAATTCCCCGCAGACTTTACGATTGAAATAGAATTCAACATCAATTTTGATTGATGATAATACGAACCCCAGATGGAAGAATATATACATGTATTTTTGAATGTGCTAACAGCTGCTGCTGTTGCACGTGTATACAATCAGCCCACTGTACATGATCGTCTTTGCATGCAGACAATGTGCGTGCCTGATCTTGCTCCCTCTTTTTACCGAAATTAGAGGCACACTGCATTAATAATGCATAAACGCCAATTAACTTTTCTTTTGTCAAGTGATGTCATTCATGAGTATCGACAGCTCCTTACTCTATTCCTGGTTATCTCAAGCTATTCCACATATCCTACGGATGATGGGACCTCAATTAGTTTTTATTGAAACAGCATTCTCCTTGATGGTGCATGTATAATAGAAGGTGACAAACATCGTGCAAGGATCATATCTGTTGCGGTGTATAAAAGACATCCATACTTGTACGAAAAGAGAATTAATAATATTGGTATAGTCATTATTCATTACATGTATGTTACGCCTTTGGAAAATCGTAAGAATTGGATGTGTTGTGTATGTAGTGGACAAGAACGCAAAAATTTGTGTAAATATACGAGAATGTGTAAATAAGAAATGCCGTCGGCTGTGCTGTAGAAACGATGATAATGAAAATTATAAACTGGATTGGCCACTGATATTATTAGAAGGCGGTGTGCATTCTACATAAACGAAACAAGTAAGCTATTCAGGCTCATATGGTATTGTTGTTGCTACTATACAGTACCATAGGTTTTTCTTGGATTTGTAGTTTGATTTGAATGTGGGTATATACCGCGCTCCTCTTTCGTATAGCCGTTTTACAAGCTTCATAAATCTATCATCGTCCGGTACAGTCATGGTAGACCCGAGCAGTGTTATACATTGATCGAATTCACCTGTCAACAGTTGATCTATAGGGAGCAATTGTTAATTGACCTATCACAGTATGTTCCAGAAGGAATACCATCTATTTCTTCCTTCTTACATGTACACCACTTATACCTTGATGTGTTTTTAAAAGAGCAATGGCCACAAAATAAAATATATCAAAACCGACAAGGAAATATACATCCCATATCCGCAATAACGTTTGATAGGATACAACACCACCAGTAAACAAAGTGATGTACCAACGAGTGGCGTAGGCGTCGCTGCTCAACCCCACATTCATCTAGATATAGAAGCATTGGGATTGGATGAGCTCTGAACAGTCATCTTTTTTACAATCTCTCGCGAAAGCAGATCCTTACCAAATGATGGTGTAATTTCGGCATATAGCGTTCCACGAGCTGTTCCTGGATGTAGAAACTCTCCATCAATGCCGGAAACCCTGCAATGAACAAGTCATGCAATCCATCACGGAGAAACATGTGAACCAATGCTGTAAAAGATCTCTACAACGAGAGTGAGGAAGCGTGAGTGTGTACAGTCGTATTCACCATTATTGTTTAGGGAGTGTTATTCCTTCTTTACACCTAGTCACAAAAGCTTGGTTAGATACAAACCTCCTCTTCGCAATACATCAGTAGCATTGCGACAATATTTGTCATTCCCTGACAATACCCCACTTCGGTATCAAATCCTGAAAAAGCGCGCAGAACGTTGAATAAAGCACGTTGGCTATACCAAGAAATTAAGCATTCTTGTAGTTCTAAGCCTTCCTACACCCACAAAAACTCCTGGCATCTCCCACTAAATACACTTACCCCTGCCCGTATCGTTGGCGGAACATGATATGACCGTGCATCGTCCTTGCTATGTCAAGATCGATTTGACGCTCATGCTGGGACGGCTTTGACAGTAGAGACTAAAGCAAGCAGCAGGAAAACCCCGACATGCACACCTGGGATCAGCATAATTCTCGCACAAACGAATGAGCTGCAGAAAGAATATAGGATATACTTATGTACCTTGTACTGTTCACGTAGCTCTTCATCATCTTCGGCAGTACGCAGCCCGTCTGTGCATAAAAAGTACCTGGGTGCAGATGTGTGTTGTGAGTATGGTCGAAGGGGAATTCGTTAGAAGGGCTTATGCTCAAATGCTTTTTATCTAAGCCTCGCTATAAATACCATGCATCTCTCCGCCAGCAATCCGGTATACCCTTGAATATACGTTTTACGAACTAAGTCAAAGCAAACGAGATGAAACACAAGGATTCCCCTCACACGTCAATATAGCGAAATGCTGAAATTTCTCACAGGTAAAATCTTCTGGAATACCTTATGGTTTCTTTTGAATATGTGGAGATCCTCGCCATTCAAACGCGTATGTTCGGCCATACGAGCCCATTTAGTAGAGCGTTCAACTTCTTTCTGTGCCTGTCTGCAGGGTGGTTACTATACTTTTTCACTTGCATTTTTTCTTCTTCGTGCATAAAATAATCAGGCACATACTCTGCATTGGGTTGCTGTGTTGAATTCTCTACTAGAAATCCATATCTACAATAATAGCGGTCAGACCAAGAGTGTGAATGAACCCTCGGAGCCAAAACGTCCGTCGTCCTTCTTTCTTTGTGCGTATCCCCCACTCTGTAGTGAAATGCAGCATAGCATACCTGTCTGCCATGGTAAACCATTTTTCCATTTCACCCTCCAGGTCTGGCACGACTGGAGGTGGTGCTTGATAGCTTTTGCGAATCTCATTGGCACGATTCTTTCTGGTCGTCGGCGGTTGGCCACTTGACTCTTGTCCGTTGATACTCAGTCGATCTTGGTCACGTTCGATGTTGTCTGGAAGAGGGAGTCGTGTACAAGAGCCCTGTGTTTTTATTGAGGTTCCGGCAGTGAGCTCTGTAAAATCGGTGTCCGATGATACATTAGTCAGTTGGGAAGCCAGTGTTGGCATGGCAGCGGTGGTGGTGTCAGTAGATTCAGTCATAGAAGAAGAAGCATGAAATTCGGAGAGAGTGTGTGAGAGCGGAGGGGACTCTCAAATTTGAGCTGCAGTTCAGCCTGCCTATATAATCATCATGGCAACAAAAAAAACAGCTGGACATACGTCAAAACCCCGCTGCTTATTCCATCTTGCTTTGCGCTAAACAAGTCCCTAGAGCTCATTCTCTTTGCCTCTTTCTTTATTTCCCTTCTCCCCTTCAATGTCAACGAAGGAGACTTCACGCCGCACCAGAAACAATGACCAGGGAGCAGTTTCAACGCGGATGAGCAGTCTCAACTACTCGTCAACTGCTCTGGTTGGCACGGCGCGTGATAAGGCGTTCGGAGTAGCGCAAGCAGCGCGAGACTTTCTTACACCTTCGTCGTTTCCTGACTGGACTGCTCCACTTACCCATCTCGAATCTCTCACTACGGTCATGTTTAGCCCATTGGCTGCACACCCGGTCTATCAAAGCGAATCGCTTGCCAGAGCTTTACAACTAATGCAACAACAACAACGTCAACGTACGTCTTCATCGCAATCCGGCTCAACGGTGAGCTCTGAGCTCGTCCTTCAGGGAGCCCGGCAAGCTTGGCCCTCGAGCTCCGAACTGCTTAAGGCCGAGATACCCGAATCCAACGCACCGCTTTCGTTGTTCCAAGGCTTCGCTGCAACGTATCCTTCGCTTGCAAACTCTAATCCTGCACCTACTTCACACAAGCGGTCACGCAACCGACGGAAAAAGCATGGTGGTTCGTCAAGCAGTATTGCTGATGGTGGTAAGAACGCAAGCTTCATCGTTACATAACTTTCAAATGACAAGAACAAAAGAAACGTCTAACATGCCTCTTTGTTTATTGTAACTTTCTAGAGACAGGCAGATCATTAACACAGAAAATTGCTGACAGGGAGCAGAAGATGCGAGAGAGTAATAAGTTACAGAAGCAAAAGGTAGTGAATTCTAAAGTCACCAAAACTAAAGGGTGTTCATATACTGTCGCGAACAATGTATGACGGCTAACGATTTCTCGTTGACTAGTCTTCAACAGCAAACGAAATCAACCAGATCAATATGCAAATAGAGGAACTCGTCAACAAACGCAAGTCATTAGAAACGAAATGGGCGAAACTAGAGGCAAAGGAACAGCAGCTTTTATTGACCAGTGAGTGGTGGTGTTTAAATGAAGGAGGCTGCGGAAAGGACGATAAGGAGGAGAAACAGAACTAGAGCTTAACCAACCTATTTTTGTCTGTTTGCCAGTCGATGCCCTCAATGGATCAATCGTTGCTGTTGAGGAAGATGGTCGTGACAGCGACGCGGCCAGTTCAAGAACCGGGATACAAGACGAGGCAGATTCGGAGGATGAGATATATGAACGTGGAACATGCTACAAGGTTACACATGCGGCAAAAACGAATCACCAACTAAACAAGAGTACTATTTGTGCTAACAAACAACCAAACTTTGTTTGCTGTAGACGCTCGAGGGACATGCCGACGATGTACTTTGCGTAGACTTCAACCATCCAAAAGGCATTCTGGTGTCATCGTCCATGGATGGTACAGTAAGGGCATGGGATCTCCATCGCAACCGTTGCCTTGGCAGTCTGGAAGGACACACGAGTCTAGTCCGATGCATGCAGCTTGACAACGCCTGTTTATTGACCGGTTCGGAGGACGGATCCATCAAGCAATGGAACTTGACTGCAATTTCCCCCGCACCAACACCATCATCGACTAGCTCTGCTGCTACCTCGGCTGTTTCGAGCGGACGAAGCTCGCCCGAGTTAGCGTCTAATGATGACAACATGCTCCCCGTTTTAAATGATTGCTGCGTTGGAAACCTTGAAGGCCACCATGCTGAAGTGACAGCTCTATTTTCGGATCAAACAATGGCGGTAAGCATTGGTTACTTGACTTTTACAGAAGGAATGGAGGGATATGCCTGGTATATTGAAATGCTTATTCTATTGAAACAGGTTTCTGGTGCCAACGATAAAACAATGAAACAGTGGGATTTAGAGACACAGCAATGTGTGTTGACTCTAGACGTAATGTGGGCGAGCAATTCTGCGGGCAGTGGCTCTTCCTCTTCCGGGTGGCGCGCCATGAAATCACTCGATCAATGGTCGTTGGATGGACTACACAGCTTCTTCGAACCGAGCAACTTTGTAGGTGCACTTCAGTTCTGGAATTTCGCTCTGGCAAGCGGTACCATCGATGGAAAGCTACGGATGTGGGATTGTAAGTTATTTTTGTACTAATTTTTTCTTTCTTTTGAGTATTGATGCTTAAGTGATTCGATTTCTATACTATAGTACGAACAGGACAGGCCCATCGGACACTTCCTGGACACACAGGTACATAAGCGATACATTCTACCATGGAGAAGGAACTGAAGACTCATTACTATGTGCTCATGTTATGATTAGGCCCCATCACATGCTTACAGTTTGATGAAGTACATCTTGTCAGCGGCAGTGCCGACAAAACAATACGCGTAAGTTCAACCTGTTCTTTCTTATTACTCTCCCTTCAACAACTTCTCGCGACTTACATGAATTATATCTGTAACACAATTAAAATCAGATTTGGGATTTACGGACTGGTTCCGTGTTTGACACACTAAATTATTCATGTCCGGTATCGTCACTTCAGTTTGACGCAAGCCGGATAATCAGCTCAAATACTACAGAGAATATCGATGTAAGTAATAGCGACACTCAAAAAGCGGAGATGCGTGATGAAATAACTCATCTGTATGTAACCGTGTTTTTGTAGATTTATAACCGGACATCGTTCCAACATACAACCTTACAAGGTCATACCGGACCAGTAAATTCCGTGCGCTTCCGCGATGGCGTTTTAGCCAGTGGATCCAGCGATGGCGTGGTCAAGCTTTGGGCACTGTAATAAACTAATCAATTAATAATAAAAAAACAGTTAGAAAAACTCGCGTGTCGTGTCGTGTTGTTTGCCGTGCTTTGTTCTGGTGACATTTATTAGTAAGGTGAGCATTGATGAGGTTGCACACTATATGCATAATCAACCCCAGAATCGCGCGTTTGCAGCCAACAAAGGCAAAACGCGCCCTATTTGGAAAGGTGTTATGGGCCCCGCGCGTGCGCTTCCGTTCATAAACGTTTTTCGCCGAAAGTACGGAAACGCAGTTGGTGTTGTCCCTTTTTCCACTATTTACTTTCCCATGGCATACCAAGCTTCTTGGGTGCTCATTTTAGGCGCATTATTTTTTAATGCTATGGTGAGCGGACGCTCACTGCAACCACTTGATGTCATTTCCATGCCTCGGCCTGGCAGTGCTTCCGTTTCCCCTAGCGGACATCTGGCCGTCTATGCGCAGTCTGTATACAACGTTGACGAAGATCAAGTAATGCAAGAGAGAGACAGACTCAGTGAAGTGAAGCCATACAATTCGTTGAAAAGCTAACATGACACCTCCATGGCTCAATCCTAATGTAGAGCGCAAGCAACTTGGAGTTAATTGGACTCGACACAAACAGACGTTCCAAACTGACTTCACCCAAACTTGGCGCTTCGCAAAGCGAACCCTTTTTCCTTGACGATCAGCACATTGCTTACTTTGAGCATCGTGAAAGCGAGGCTGTTAATCAGCTATACGTGGTTGACGTCGAAGGTAAAAAGGAAGCTTATCAGCTGACCAACTTTTCTATCGACTTTGCCAACGTCAAGTAAGATTTAAGGAAGGATTATTATCTGCAATCTGTTCGGATATTAAGATATGCATGATTTTTTTCGGTTGATTTATTTCTAGGTATAATGCAAAGAAGCAAGTGCTTGTCTTTTCCGCCTCAGTGTATCCAGATGAACCTACTTTGGATGGTACAAAAGCCAAAGACCAAAAACTGAAGGAAACAAAGAAAGATTCCGGCGTTGCTTATGATCATTTGATGGTTCGGTAAGTTCTCGTACATTCTGATCGACAACAGAAAAAGATAAACATGAATATGTACTCCAAATCTAATCGATGCAATTCTCTGTTTAACGGTTGATAGTCACTGGGATGAATTCAGAGCGGAAAAGAAGAGCAACCTTTTCGCAGTTCAGATGGATGTCACGGAAGAAGGTCGCTACAAGATTTCTGAAGAACCACGCAATCTCTTGGCTGGAAGCGATTTGGTACGTGAAAAAGAAAGTATTCAAATGAATGGATGATGACGATCACTGTAATAATGCAAACTTCAGGAATCTCCTAGTCCTCCTTTTGGAGACAAGTCTGATTATGACATCTCACCTGATGGTAAATTGGAAAACCAACCCATCTCCCACTCCCGGTATAGTTGTTTTTGAGTATCTTCGTGCTAAGTTGCGGTTTTTTTGTAATAGGCGAGGAATTAGCTTTCCTATCAAAAATCCAAACCCCTGACAACGCCTGGCAAACTTCAAAGCACGTCTATATTGTCCCACTTACTGGAAACTCGAGACCCATTGCCTTGAACGCAGATATTCCCGCCACTTCTTCCTCTCCTAAATATGCTCCTTCTGGATCTTTGGCTTACCTCCAAATGCTCACACCTCAATACGAATCTGACCGCAACCGTATCGTGATATACGATCGCAACATCGGCCATCGCACATATTTGGTCGAAAACTGGGACAGAAGCCCTTCAGAATTGGCATTTTCGCCTGATTCCTCCAAGCTGTATGTTGTGGCCGAAGAATACGGACGTGAAAAGATCTTTGCTATCGATATCGCTACTGAGCAGATCCAGACTCTCACTGAAGAACACGCTGCATCTGGAATTTCTGTGTTGCCTTCTGGATCTTTGGTGTTCTCTGTCAACTCAATGAACTTTCCCAACGTCGTGCACACCTTTAACGCAACGTCAGGTTTGGTACAATCTACTGGTGTTACTGACGACCTGTTTAATGCTCTGAGCGTACTGGACCTACAAAAACCTGAGGAATTCGAATTCACTGGCGCTCTTGGTGACCGTGTGCATGGTTGGTTGATCAAGCCACCAAATTTCGACTCGAATGCTAAATATCCTGTTGCATTTTTGATTCACGGTGGTCCTCAGGGTGCTTGGACTGATAGCTGGTTAGTGTCCCGAGTTGCTCCTCTTTATATTATTATTCCTTTTAGGGTGAACTTTAGATATTAACAAGTTATCAATGGCTTTAAGGTCGACGCGCTGGAACCCACAAGTGTTCGCTGGTGCTGGATTTGTTACCGTTGCTATTAACCCTCATGGATCCACTGGTAATTTAGCGATGATCAAGGCTATAATGTAACGTGTACATTATGCTAAACATAAATCTTTCCAACTTGATAGGTTATGGTCAAAAATTCTGTGATTCGATCCAATACAATTGGGGCTCTCACCCTTACCATGACCTCGAAAAGGGCCTTGATTATCTTTTCGAAACCTATTCATTCTTGGATGCCGACCGTTTGGCCGGCTTGGGCGCATCATACGGTGGATATATGATTAACTGGTTAAACTCCCATAGCAAACGCTTCCGAGCCTTAGTGAACCATGATGGCATGTTTTCCACCGTGAACACCTACTATACGACTGACGAGCTCTACTTCCCCGAACGAGAGGTAAAATTCATTGTGGTATTGTGAATGCTGTATGAGCAATGAATTTACTCATACTACTTTTGATAAACAACATGTAGTTCGGTGGAGTTCCTTTCAACCCTCTTCATCGCGTTATCTATGAGCGATGGTCGCCTTCGAACTATGTCCAAAATTGGCGCACTCCTACTCTCGTCATCCACAGTAAGTTACCTGTGTTTCTTTTCCCCGATCACATTAGTTACTAATGGTGGGTATCCGTCTATATAGGTGGCCGTGACTATCGACTTGTTGATGGTGAAGGTCTGGCTACATTCACTGCTCTTCAGCGCCAAGGTATTCCTTCTCGTTTGCTATATTTCCCGGATGAGAGTCATTGGGTGTTGCGCCCAGCCAACTCGATCCGCTGGCACAAGGAAGTGCTCGACTGGATCATTGAATGGACAAAGGAGACGAAAGAGACGACACCATTCAATTATCAAAAGCCAGGAATGTATCTGTAGAAGACAATTGCTATTTCAGTTCTAAATCATCTTTCTTTTTCCCCTTGTGCTCATATTCGCACTGTGTAAATAAAGGTGCTCGCATCAAACAATGCATAACAAATGAAGTATATCAAAGACAGGCAACTATAATGTACGCTTGACTTTTCCAGGAACAATGAGCGAAATACATTTGATTTACTGTATGTCTTGGTGTGTATCGTCGAATCAGAATCCAATTTCGCTACCTATTCTTGTTCTTTATTCTTACGCGACTATGACCTTTATAAATGGGATTTTGACCTTTACAATGGTGCACTATGTACTTAAACTTGATCTTCGCTTGAATGAGAAAGATGACATATAAATCGCTGCTTTCCTTTCTATATTTTTTCACATCCACAACAACGTTTATTGATATACCCACATCCCCTTGACTTGATTTTTCACGAAAGAATGCTAAATGTATTTGACGAGTACGCGATAGCATGGCTTAACATAGGCACGCTGATTTTTATCCCATTTTTCATCACACTCGCCCAGCTTCGGACAGTAATCCAATCCTCGATAGCATCAGCACAGCTTAATGCTCAACATTTCTGTCGAGAAATTGACCACGCCGCATCCCAAGTTGCCAATATCCCTCATATCATGCTTGAGGATTCAATCAAAGCCAGCCGCGCCGTCATTGACAGCATCGCTCGCCAACTCATTTTCATGGTCCAAGCATTAGAAGAGATAATTCTGTGGATTATCGGTGCCTACAAGTCCATGTACAGATGTTTGCTCGGCCTAGCTGTCAACGGAGCGATATCAGCAGTGACCAAAATTGCAGGACCCGTGCAACAAGCAGCAGAAAGCATCCTTACTGGATTAGACAAGGGTACCAGTATCATCGGACACCTCATCTCTGGCGATAACGACGAAGACGTTGCGGACAATAGTGTACAACTCGGAAACTGGACCAGCACTATGCAGGATGTCCAGAACAAAGTGCAAAATTGGACGACAAACGGTGCAGACGATCCGTTCGACCTCATGATTCGGCAGCCATTTGAAAAAATCAAGCAGCAAATCCATGACAACGTGGTGACGTGGAAACCAGACAACGTACCAACAGCATTTACTGCGCAACAGCAGCAGTTACAGTCAAAAGAATTCTGTGATTTGACGGCCATTCAAGACGGGTTGAACTCGGTGCAGCAAAAGCTGTTAACGGTGACGAATATTATTATCGTTCTTATAGTCGTAGCTGCTCTGACTTGCATTGTCGTGAACGTCCTCTGGGTTCGATTTCGACACACGTACACCAGTCGACGCATCAGAGATCTTGCATTCACGTTGGTAACCTTGCAGCACAAGTCGGATGAATTGCGAAGCGAACGCAAAAGCATCGAACAAAAACTCGAGAGTCTGGGCCATGCGAATCGAAAGCCAGTAATAGCATCCATCATAACAAACGAGAAGCTCCAACGGCGACCTGTTTTAGCCTGGTGGTTCGACTATCTGACGCATCCTGTGGTTTTTTATTGTTTTCTTACCGGTATTTTGGGTCTTATGATGACTTTTGTGGCAAGTGCAACGATGCATCAGATATTGGAGAACAATGGCCAGTTCAACACTCTTGTACAACACTGGGCCACAGACCAATCGGGTAGCGCTGCCATTCAAGCATTGTCTCATATAGAGTCACAAGCCAACACGCTCAATCAATGGATAGCGAGTTCGGAAGCCAGCATCAATGAACACACTTTTGGCGCTATCCGATCAATAGCCTTGTCAGCTAATGATACCATAGGGTTAGTCACTGACCATATTAGTGACTTTGTCAAGCTGACACTTGGCGGTACGGTATTAGAGGAGCCTGCTAAAGATGTACTAGACTGTCTCTTTATGACAAAAATTGAGCAGCTTGAAAATGGTCTGACCTGGATTGTAAGTGTATAGATCTTTCCTTTGCTCAGCCATTCTCCCACCATCGATTGTATATACAGTACTAATTCATGCTTCCGATATCGTTGCATTGTCAAGGCTCAAAACACCTATGTAAACCTGACACGTGTCAGTGCGCTGGATGCAAAAAACTCGGTGGAACGAAGCTTTTATGCTATTTCCTCTGTATCAGATCTCTTGTCAGTGGTGCAAAAGCAAGTCGACTCGAAACTACAACAAGATATCATGCTTTATTCTATAGTTTTGTCATTATGGGGGTTTTGTCTGTGTATTGCTATGGTTCTACAGTTTCAGAAATACATAAAAAAATGAACATTCTGTTGCAGATTAATAGTTTAAAATCGGGTGATATAAATAAGAAAGGCTTATCCGGGTAGTGCAAACAAGGAATTCAAAAGGGATCATCACACCTCCTCTCGTCCCTTGCTATTGGCAGAAGCGGAACGGAAATTCATCAGGACCGACGAGAGCTGGCGGGCAACGTCGTCACTGCCAGGTGGCACACCACCCTTTTCTCTCCCTTTCCACAACTTCTTTGTTTCACCATGTTCATCATCAACTGGTTCTACGATGTGTTGGCCTCTTTGGGTAATGTCTAGCTTCAAATTGGAACATAAACTTATCCATCAGTGCTAACGAAGACACTTAAAAAACTCTTGTTTCGTTTACACCTTTTTAGGTCTTTTGAACAAGAACGCCAAGATTCTTTTCCTTGGTCTCGATAACGCAGGCAAGACCACACTTTTGCACATGTTAAAAAATGATCGTCTCGCCACACTGCAACCCACTCTTCACCCCAGTAAGTTGTTTATCTTGTTATTTTCTGTTTTTAGTAAAGATACGTATGAAGAACATCAACGACAAGAGGGAGCAGAAGGAGACAATGAGAGCTTACATTTAAAAATAAACGCGTTATGCTATTCCCTTTTGTTTAGCCTCCGAAGAACTTGCCATTGGTAATGTCAAATTCACAACATATGATTTGGGAGGACATCAGCAGGCGCGTCGATTATGGCGAGATTATTTCCCAGAAGTGTCTGGCATTGTCTTCCTTGTGGATTCTGCCGATCATCGTCGTTTCCCTGAAGCCAAGGCGGAGCTTGACGTAAGTATCACCTCTGTTATTTTCACGAGGAAAAAAAAAAGAAAAGAAAGACTGAATTGTTGTATGTGCGTATGAATGGGGGATATTAGGCACTTTTGGCCATTGAACAACTGTCCAACGTTCCTTTCTTGGTCCTTGGCAACAAGATTGATGCTCCCGGTGCCGTGAGTGAGGATGAACTGCGACAGCAGCTCGGCATGTTCCAAACCACTGGCAAGGTAAGGCATATGGGGAAAGGGATTGATGCGGTGTAGCACATGCGATAAAGGTGGAGACCGTGTCGTGACAATAATCAACAAACCATCTGCTGTTGCTGCTATTGTGTAGGGCAAGGTACCCCTTAATGATATCCGACCTATCGAGATCTTCATGTGCTCGGTTGTAATGAGACAGGGCTATGGCGATGGTTTCCGCTGGTTGTCGCAATATGTATAAATTCACCTTCTTTTTCCCTTCCTGTCTCTCTTTCTTTTTCTCTACACAGCAAAATAAAGTTTTCATTGAAAAAGATTGCGCTTGCATCGGTACAAGAATTGTCAAATGTGCGTTTTATATTATGCCGTCTCCATGTCTGGTGGAGATGATGCATCCCGCTGGGTCGAAATTGGGATAACTTAGAGGCGCTGCTCGTTGGCATTGCGCTGACTTTTTTTCCCCTTATTTCCTTTTGAGACCTTCGACCTCTCCTCTCTCTTTCTCCACCTCGATTAAAGAAACAGAAAGTACTCATGGGCACCATGAACGATCCTTTCGCACATGCAGCGCCATCCAACAGCTCAACCACAGCACCACCTTCAGCAGAACGAAGCCAGCCTAACAATGCACCCCCTGCTGCATCCAAGTGGATTCGAGACGACGACGTTGATAGTGAAGCTGACCAAGTTGGTTTGGTGGCTCACAATCGCGGCTATAAACATATCCTTTTTGATTGTTTCTGTTTTAAAAGATACGATTTACTAAGACTATCATGAAGGAAAAACAAAAACATTTAAAAAAAGAAAATCCTTAACCGTTGACTACACTGAACAATTGGGCTTCTGCCGATTCACAGTTAGGTGGAAACAAGTTACGGGCACCGCGTACTTTGGCGAACGAAGAGGAGGTACTGCTTAGGGGCCTCATATGCAACTTGGCTACACGTATAGCGACTGCAGCACCAGAAAAATATTTAACATAGCACTCCTCTCGATTGTATAGTTTCTGTTGGGTGACAAAAAACGGACGGTAGTGAAACGTCGTCGACGAGAACTGGATGAAGAGCTGTCTGATGCTGAAGAGGACGATCCTTATCGAAAAATTAACATTGAAGGTAAGTAGCGGGAGGATAAGAGAAGAAAATATAGCTTGGTGACGGTATTGCGGCGACCCAGGATAACTAAATCATTTGTGCCTTTTCCGTGAAAATAAATGGAAAACAGAAATCCTAAGCCCAATTGAATACGCCACGGACATCGTTCGACGACCGGCTTTAAAGCGGATCATTAAATCTCCGCAAATTGAAGAGCTCGGCAACACAGCAATGGAATTCATTGAAGGCGAGAAGAACTTTTGCAAAATCCTTTCCCGGTTATCAGCCATTCTTCACCACGACGATCCTCAATATCTCGATCTGGATTATGAAAGGACGCCGGAACAACGAAAAGCAGCAGCAGCAGCAGCGGCAGCAGCGGCAGCGGCAGCAGACAACAGTGCAGATGATACTGCCGCGACAAATGCAACCGGAGAAAGCGAAAAAGAACAAAACGGATCTCCATCGGACGAGAAAACCACCACGCAAGACAAATCTATAGATAATACAGATGCAGCAATCAGACCCAAAGTAGAAGAAGACAAAGATGAGGATATGACTGAAGCTGGCCCAGACACAGAAGCACTGGAAGTTGTACGGAACGTACGCGAGTTACTACTGGTAAGCAACAAGGGAAAGACTGTTTGTTTGGACAAGAATACTGATCCTGGATAATCTGTTATCAATCAGGAAAACATCAATTTCAGCAATGAGTATCTTTGGCGGTTACAAGGAGCTCGCAGCAAACTTGTAAAAGCAAACATGCAAAAGGAAGCTTTGTGGCAGCAACTTAAAACTAATGCTAAAGGTTCTTCAAAACGTTTGGTGCGCCACGCATGAAATGTGTAACTTTGTCTATTTCTCTTTTACTCATTCTTATTGTGTATTTTTCTCTTTCTGTCTCCAGAAGAAGAAAAAGGAGCTGAATATCCGACCGCGACCGTCGACGATGCTTCGTAATATATCTCTTAGTAAAGTACATAAAATGATACATAAAATCAGGCGTTTTCACTAGTACGCATATCTCTTCATTTCGATTGTTTTGTGTTGATGCAATTCAGATTGGCCTCACCCTGATGTTGAGCCTGACGCCGAGTAGACAGCAGTTAATGGGGATCCAGCCACTGTACATAACTGTTTTTCTTCAATCATGACAAGGTGCACTGCTTCACATGTGCTGTCAAAATTTAAATGCATTTGAGGCTTTTTATCGTAAACGTGTTGAATAGGATTTCTGAACTCCTGGATTCTCTTTTCGTCCAGATGACGGTTCGGGAATATCATTGGACCGAATTTGACAGGCAAGAGGATGCAACTACAGTGATAACACAATTTGTAGTTCAACTCCCTGTTCCTAGATTGATAGCCATCACTACATGTGTTTAAGAGCCATTGCAGCTAGTAAGCGCCACCAGAAGTAGAAGTTGTGGTGAGTTTATAGTCCCTTCGATAGTGATGATTAGCTTTGTCACACTGGGTCGTTCATCAGCGGTAAGTACTGTTTATTTGGCTCATATAATAATATCCTCTTCAAACGTTATAGCAACGTACTGTGTTATTACATGCTAGCATCCACAACTGTTTTACTGTCGCTTTGGATTAGATTATCATCGACATTCGCTTAGATCGAACATATACTATATGTATACGATAGGTAAATAAATGATTGTGCTTTACTATGCAAGACCATCACAAAGTAATAATTGCTATTCATGCCCCTCCCCCTCCTGTTTAGTGTTATTTTTTTAGATTAATGAATAATGCCATTGTTTTCGGTAGCCTATACGTGCATTCTCTACAATCTTATATGTCTAACACACAAAAACAATAGGACATACTGTATAGCTGTAGCTAAAAGATTCTGACCGTAGAAATAAAATCCATGAAAGTGAAGAGAAAGATACATAAGCATCATATCATACAACGATGATTTATGATACATATTACAGAGTCAGATAATTGATGACAAGTTCTCTTGATGACAATTGACTATATGTGTACGTGGTTGCACTATGTCTCATCGATGATCAATCTGTTATATATCAGTGCTTTATGATGTATGATTTGATCGAGCCCTTCGACCAAACAGAAGCAGTAGGTAGAGGAAGCTGTTTCTATCCGCACTAGCAACAATGACGATTTTCAACCAAGATTTCTGAGATAGTGCCAATTTCTCTATCAGGCGGCTTGCACGGATGATCTTAAACGCACTCCATTTCAACCGAGTAAGAACAAAGAACGTGTGAAATAGAAAGTATGGATTAGTGAGACGAGCATCAGAACAGAACGCTCTATAACATATAGCACCAATATCTACCTGTTCTTTTCTCTCTCTCTGGTAGCAATAGCAGCTCCCATACAATCCAATGATACAATGATTAGTGAGATAAAAGAAAATTTTTGCTATGATTGGCTGTTATATCCGTTAGCACAGCAAATGAATCAAAGATGTACAACTGGGATTACTGTTTTTATACATAAAAGGCAACGAATAATTCCCAAGAGATGCAGTGAGAAAATAGTCATAATAAAAGTGATTGGTGCCACAACAGAATACAGATCTGGTTGTAATCCCGGGGATATTCCACCAACTTTCGACTTTGAATATTGATCCGGTATTGGAAAAACGCGGGGCATCAAAAATCCCAAAAACGTGCACAACAGTTGCTACAATAACGATCTAGTCTGTTCGCCTGTTGCTGCGCGATGGCTGTGTACCGCTTCAATAAAATAATGCTTGTGTACGCTTTAGAAGTAAGAAGCCAAAACGATAACTTATAGCCTTAAACACCACGGTAAAATTAAACTATGACATTAAAAGTAACAGAACAGCGTCGCTGTATGACAAGAGCAGTTGTTGCATGGTACACCAGATCTTGCGTGACAGCCTTATTCTTTTGTCTTTCCTCCGACTTCGTTCTTATCATGCTAGTCGCTCAATAATAATAATAAAAAAAAGCTTCCGCTGCTAATGCAAGTAGTACGGCCTCTCATTTGAAAATGTGTCAACGGCTACACTAGCATTGTCCAACATTATAAGGCACTCCACAATATCCTTAGACGCTACCGCCAGATACAATCATACCAGGCTTTCACTCTGTAAAGTCACGACGCCTGATCCGTGACAAAACTCGCTATGTATGAGAAAATTTTACGAGAATGTAGGACATGGATTATGGTCTGTGAGAATATGTACTAGTTGAGACGTACACGTTGTCACTGCTATAAAAGAATTGACACTTTTATGACGCTCAAGAAAAGCATCCTCCCACGGCTCTCTCTTATTTTTTCTCGTTTGTGTATATACTTCCAGTCAAAGCATATAATATAAAACATGGGGGCATCACAGCAAGACTATCATGGCGACAATAGCAACAATGAAAAGGCAGCACAAGTGATGGAAACGACGCATACTGAGCGTGTCATCGTACAAGATAAAAAGATAGACGGAGACGCAGCTTCGTCGGACTCTTCGGACGGTGTCGAAAATGATGAAGAGAAAGCGAAAGGGTTCCGGAAGCCGTACGTCAAATCTGAAGCAGAGAAGAAACTTGTCCGAAAGATCGCATGCACTCTGATGCCTTTTGTGGCATGGATTCTTATGTTACAGGTAATTTAACACGGCATTATTGATCGCTTTTATTTTGTTATTCCGAGTTGCTAACTTTTTAATGCACAATCCGTAGTTCGCAGATAAAGCAGCATTAAGTGTATCGGCTGTACTTGGAATCTACGATGATGGTATGTGTAACTATTTTCGTTTTTTAGCATCATCCAAACACACGGTTATTAACAACTATTCGCTTCATCTTGTAAACACAGTGCATTTGACTGGGTCACAATTCAGCTGGCTTGGTTCCATGTTTTTCATAGGGCATTTAGTCTGTCAGGTACTATCAAATAGTAGCACGGCAGACACAGCTTCTAGTCATACAATGCAACGCATCAAAACTAAAATTTGAACTCACAATCAATGTACTGTATACCTCCTTTTACTATTAGCCTTTCAATAACATTCTGCTACAAAAGCTTCCAGTTGGACGTTATCTCGGTGTCTGCATTTTTATTTGGGGTTTTGTAAGTCTACTATTCAGTAGAAAGGATACTTAGCAACTACCAAGCAGGTACAAGTGTAAAGAATAAATGATAACTAATATACTTTACAGATCATGCTTGCAACAGCGTATTGTCATACTTTCTCCCAACTCATGGGGATGCGCTTCCTGCTTGGCCTTTTTGAGGGAGCCGCTATGCCCAGGTACAAATTTTTTTTTTAGTGGACAAGGATCGAGAAACAACAGTGATTTGGAATCTAATTATGAGCTACCTCCGTATTTCTTCAGTGTTTACCTTATTGTCAATACACTCTTTCGACGATCTGAGCAGACGACATTTTATGGTATTGTTACCATGGCAAGCGGATGGGGCTCTATCTTTGGAGGCTTAGTAGCTTATGGTATTTCTAACCTTGGTCATCAGCGAGGAATTATGATGTGGCGCTGGTAAGTAGATGATTACCACGGGTGGCAGGATGACCTGGGTATCATGCATTGCATAAATAAAGGATAGTACTAACTTTAACACCCATCATGACAACAGGAACCACATCATTTTTGGTGCATTGACTATCCTTCTCGGACTTCTCTGTTTCTTCTTCTTGGTCGACAACCCCAAGTCATGGCTCTTGCGATTGACCGAAGAAGAAGAAAAAATTGCAGATGAACGAACACGAGATAATGCCGTTGTTCGCCACCAGAACATCAAATGGGGGCAGATGTTGGAAGCATTGACAGAAGTTCGCTTTTACTGCATCTGCCTTGCTGTCATGGGATTGAATATGCAAAATGGTGCACTTCAAGTTTTCAGCGCACAATTTATCAAGGAACTCGGTGACTTTACTGTAAGCTGAAGATGATTATATTTTTCTTTATATCTTCGATGACACTAACGTATAGCTGGTACTTATTATAAAGGCTGGAGAATCGATTCTGCTCAAGGTACCTGCTGGTACATGCTCTTTCTTGGGTGTCGTGTTTGCAACCATTGTAGCAAGACGCACTGGTCAAATCTGCTACACTGGAGCTTTCATGTCTACCGTCAGTCTAATTGGTTGCATTATCCTTGCTGTTGTCGAACAAGGTCCTGCCAAGCTTGCTGGATTTTACATTTCATGGTTCTTGACTGGAGGTTACAGTTTGCTAATTACCACAATTGGAACTAACGTGTCTGGGTATGTTCATAATCAATTTGCTGCTACAACACTCGTTTTAATTCTTTGTATAATGCTGAACTCATTGACACGTACTTTGTATACAAAAAAAAACAGCTACAGTAAGAAGATCTTCTATAACGGTGCCTTTGTTATTTTCTATACAATCGGCAACTTTATCGGTCCATTATGCATGGTTGAAAGAGAGGTCAGTATCTTTTTCGCAAACTTTTTCTATATTGCATGCCCAGTTCTCGACGAAATAAATGAAACTAATAAATGTATAATAGGCACCGCGATACACAGGTGCGATGATTGGCTTCTGTATTGGTAACGGTGTTGCCATTGCTAGTTATCTGGTGATGCGTTTCATGATGGCCAAGGAGAATCAGAAGCGGTTGGCGAATCCTCCCGCAGAGGAAACGGACGTCACTTTGGATCTCACCGATAAACAAGATAGAAACTACATTTATAAACTATAGAGTGATACTATTATATTTGCTCTACATTATTACGTAGTACTACATACTCGTGGTATTTTCTACTCATACACGCAACTACATATAAATTTTGTATATATATTAGTTTGTTTCTATAAAGCTTCTTTAAAATGTTTCCTTGATTACAACTTGCTTTGCCATATGTAAATAGTGTTCTTATATTTTAACAGCCCGTTGAAGAAAGATTCTACATATATATATATATTATTCTGTAATTCTCCTAGAACCTAATCCTCTAGCACGATATCGAGCTCTGTTTCTGTGTCATCATACCGTCCATTTTTAGTCATCATGCTTCTGTCTAGAGCAGCATCATCACATGGTCATCCCTTCATCGGCATTTGTCCATTTTGAGACCTTCTGTATAGTAGTTGCACAGAAACCATTGCAATATGACATAGTTTTCGAAAGTCTATTTGTGAAACACTGCTGTCAGTATTAGCTACATCACTTTCCTTAAATTTGCTTCATGTGAAAAAAATAGAGACCTGGAAAAATTAGATAGAAGAACTACGTGAAACGGTACTTCTCTAGTATCATGACTTATTTACCATTGCCTAACGTCTGTACATTCTGATTCGCAGTATGTATCTTTGGTCTAAGTTGAAACCTATCCGTGTACTTTGCCAGATATCGACTAGGTCAATTCTGATATCAATGAGATGGTGACAGAGAGTGATGAATGACCAAGAATAAGGAAAGGACGTTGTGTACACATTTATTGGTTCTGAGTGACTCAAGTTGGGGGACTATCGGAAATATGGTGCTGAATACTTTGTTGTCAATTTACTAGTTCGTCCGTATACAGAAGATTTCGCGTTACTAAAACAGATTGGTGAATTGACCTGCTCGAATTAGTCTCAAAGCGATGTGTTTTATTACAATCTAAATGTGCTATCCCTGATGTGCTAACTCTTATTGGCTTGACGTGTTCAACTATACTCAATCACTCAACCCATGGTCTTTCCTCAATGCAGACGTTCGTTTGTAACGTCGCGCATCTCCAACATGTATCTTTTGACAAGAATCAAAGGTTGATCTGTGTTGTATGGGGTACACATAGAAACGTTTAAAATTACATATTTATGTCTTTTCGACACTGCTGTAGTAAGATTGGTACATATCAACATAGCTGAAAAGGCGAACGATGTATGGTAGATATTTTTCATTCATCAAAATCTAGTATCTACCGCTAGCTTGGGTTCAGTAATTTGCGTGTGTATTTGTGACGATACAAGAAAAGGGCACGTTGCTAACGATGGTTGCTGATGTTGTGTGTATAGTAATTGAAGAACGAGAGCTCAGCGACCATTCAGAACCAATTATACGTTATTACTGCCTTAACATGAAGCTGAGATAAGAGCCATCGTCTACTACCTTACACAGGTGATCGTACGAGGAAAATTAAGTAGATTTTCACGATCTAAGATGATAAAATTTTAAGGAAGCAGTGACAGTAAAGTATTCCAAAAATAACGGTGGGGAGGTTTCCCGATATTCTACATATTCGACGAGTTTATCGGTTGGACTCAACGGGGAAACGTGGGTGACGATTTGAGTGGATTTCTTGTTATGGAATCTATTATGATGTAGGGCAGAGATCGCGGGTACTACTGCTGCTGTGTCAAATCTGGTACGCTACTTATTGATGCGGCAAACGATACTGCTGTTTAGTCGAGAAGATGATGGTTAAACCGTTCATCTTAATGAACCAGCTTCAACTTTCGAAAAAAAAATGGTCAAAAAGAGTGTACGGAGCATCGATAAGTCGAATGACATATATAATGCACACTGTAGAATATATACCCGGAGAGATTTGATTTCTAATACATAATGCGCGCTGGTTTCTTGATGCCTTCGGGTTCTCCGACGACACACTCACGCCCTCGTATCTTTTTCTTTTTTCTTTTTGAGTAACACATCCGAGGGAGTGGGGTGCGGGACGGACGTTAAGATTAAGAGCATAAAAAAATATAGAGTACTTTTTGTACCGTCACTCTCGCTTCCAAATATGTAAGCTAACCCAGAACAGCTACTGTAGAATAAAGGATTATGTGGAAAAAAAAAGTAACAATTGTATTCATTTCTGAATTTACACAGAAAAGACATACACTTTTTCCCATAAAGGTCGCATTTTCTCCTAAAAGAAACATATGCCAATGACAGAATACAGACTACTACGGGAAAAAAAACCAACCATAGATGTGGTGTTCGCATAGAATGTACAAAATATTCCCATTTCGGGTGCACAGATGCGATGCGTGTGTGTGGGAAGAAATACTCAAATAAAAAAAAATAAACTTCTGTTTTCTCAAAAAGTGTGGGGGGGCAATGAAAAATTATTGGTCCCGCATAGTTCAAGCATGGAATTCAGCGAAATGGGATTCGAGTGATACACAGCTGCCCAATATGGGTATTTTCAACCACCGTTACCCCGGATTTACCCCATAACTCCAAAAAAAAAAGAAAAGAAGCGAGTGTGCGTGTGTGTGTGTGTATTGGATGAGGAGTAAGGTGGTATTAGAGCACGTTGTTCAAGCGCGGGAATCTCCATGACAAAACGGTATTTCGTGAGAATGATACTATCCGTTTTGATCCAACTCTTCGATCTGTCAAACGCAATGGTGACTCCTACCTGCCAACCTGCCTGCTCCATCCCGGCGGCCTTTCTCCAGCCAACCTTATGATTCACTAGATCTTCCTTCTGTATATATAAGCTGTCCTTCCTTTTATCAACAGGTCTTTCGTCTCGTTCGTCACGCCCCTGTTGTTACCATACTATTTTTCTATTTCTCTTATAATTTACCTACCTACTATTGCAATTTTTATTACACGAGACCTTTCATATTAGATATCCTTCATCATGTTGTTCAATAACAAGAACGGCAACAGCAATGACGAGCAAAAACCCAATGTTATTCACAACGACGTCAAGAGTGATGCCGCATCCAGTCTCTCTGTAGATCATGAAAAAGGTGGTGTTGGTTTCCAAAAGCCATATGTCAAGACAGAAGCTGAAAAGCGTCTAGTGAGAAAAATTACATACACTATCATGCCCTTGGTGTCTTGGATCATTATTGTACAGGTAATCATCTGTTTATTTTGGACTTGTACTGTGAGATAATAACTTTATTTTATTCGAGCATTATTAATCTAAATCATGTTTCTACCCTCTATTCTAATAATGATAGTTTGCCGACAAAGCAGCTTTGAGCGTTTCAGCCGTACTTGGTATCTATGAAGACACGCAAATCACCGGTTCACAATTCAGCTGGCTTGGATCACTCTTCTTTTTGGGTCATCTTGTTTTCCAGGTAATTATAATAACAGGACTTCTCTAATATGTTGAATTGAAACAATGATAACTCAAATATAACATTTCTTTTTGGTGTACGTATATATTGTGTAGCCCCTTAACAGTTACTTCTTACAACGTTTTCCGATCGGCCGCTATATGGGCGTCTGCATTATTCTATGGGGTGCGGTATGTAAAATGATTCTAAGACTTGTTTACTAGGTAATATCATACACAATCAAGTTCTCTGATAAGCTTATATTGTACTTTGACATTGATATAGGTTATGCTTTTCACCGCCCTATGTCACACGTTTCCAGAACTTGCAGCCGTCCGTTTCCTTTTGGGCTTTTTTGAAGCTGCATGCATGCCCACAATCTACCTCTTGGTCAACACCATGTACCGTCGATCTGAACAAACGACCTACTTTGGTGTAGTCACCATGTGCTTTGGTATGGGCTCTGTGGTCGGTAACTTGGTTGCTTTTGGTATCTCGCACATGGGCACTCGCTTGAACATTGAAATGTGGCGGTGGAATCATATTGTATTTGGCTCAATTACCGTGTTCCTGGGTCTCCTGGCGTTCTTCTTCCTCGCCGATAACCAGCGATCCAAACTCTTGCGCCTGACGGAAGAAGAAAAGGTCATTGTCGAGGAACGTATCCAGGATAATGCTGTCGTTCGTAACGTGGAAATCAAAAAGTACCAGATCGTCGAAGCACTCATGGAGCCGCGTTTGTGGTTGATGTGCATTGCTGCCATTGGTTTGCAGATCCAAAATGGCGGTTTGCTTGTGTTCAGTGCTCAATTCATCAAGGGTCTTGGTAGCTTTTCGGTATGTTGTACAACTCTTACTACTTCTTCTCACACACCCTCAGCCCCTGCTTCTTCTCGCTGTTTGTGCTACTTGCCCAAACCAGAAAAAGAGTAAAGAGATTCTACATTAGATCTTATTTGTTATTTGTATTATACTAAACGGTCATGATATATAATAGTCTGGCGAATCGATCTTGCTTAAAATGCCTGGTGGCGTCGCTTCCACCCTAGGTACTATCCTTGCCACTCTTGTTGCTCGACGCACTAATCAAGTATGCTTGACCGGCATCATGATGGCCATCATCAGTTTGATCGGATGCATTGTGTTAGCCGCTATTCCTGATGGCGCCGTCAAACTCCTGGGTTATTACTTGAGCTGGGCAAGCACCGGTGGCTATGGTCTTCTTGCCACTTCCGTTGGCAACAATGTGTCTGGCTACACAAAGAAGATTTTCTACAATTCCATGCTTGTCGTCTTTTACACCCTTGGTAACTTCATTGGACCACTTATCATGTTGGAGAAGGAGGTTTGTATATATCTATTCTTCTTTCTAGAATTGCTGTCGTACCATGAGAAGACTCATTGACCGAATTGATCTTTCACTAAAATAGGCTCCACGATACATTGGTGCCATGATTGGCTTTTGCGCCGGCAATGGTGTGGCCATTGCGTGCTTCTTCACTCTCCGAGCCCTGATGATGCGTGAGAACAAGCGTCGTTTGGCTAACCCACCAGATGCCCCAACAGATGCTCACTTGGATTTGACCGACAAAGAGGACAAAAACTTTTTGTTCAGATTGTAATAACTTGTATCATAACCTTACTCAACTTTTCCCCCCCTTGTACATGCGATTGCGTAGAGCGCCTCCCCGAAAAAAAAAAGACAGCTCAGTTGATATACATATATATAAATAATAGTAATAATAGTAGAAATAGTTACAGTATTAGAAAAAGAAAGAAAACACACATTTTGAATTTATACGTACATAGAATAAAAAAGATAACCCATAAAGTAACATAATGTGCAACGCTTGTTAAATTTAAAAAAGAAGGGGGGTGGGGAGATGCAATTGGCCATGATGACATATAGAAACAGGAACAGGTATAAGGTAGGGAAGGGGTGCAATAATAAGTAGCCCAAAGTTTACGAGAATGTCGCTATAAGTCGTCAGCGTCACAAAGCAATAGCTTTATTGAGGGCAACCGGGCATGACGCTCCACAGCTGGAGGAGGACACATGTCGTTGTGGTGGGGTTCTTGTTGTTCTTGTTCTTGTTGTGAATGCTGACTAAGGTAACCTGCAGCAGCTAAAGAGCTCAATGGAGGTAGCCCTTTAAAGCCATCGTCCATTGCACACAACGGTTGCTCAGGGCCGAGTCGACAATAATAGTGCGTTGTTGTTGCAGTTGTTGTTTCTGGTGTTCCTGGCTCGTCCACCAGCATCATCATCATCGTCAAAGGTGCTGACGCTTGCCATTTTTGGGCACACACCCACGCTTCGTGGTCTTCTTCTTGTTGTTGTCCCTGGTGATTGGTTCTTTGTTCCACACAGTCTCCGCCGCTTATAGGTGCTTGCGTTGTTGTTGTTGTTGTTGTTGCTGCTACTAGCGTTCGAGGATAATTGTAATAGGAGTAGTCGTAATCGCCAGTTTCACTGCTGCTGCTTGCGCTTTCTTCTGATGAATCTGCTGCTGATAATGAGGGCTCGTCGTCTTCGCCATCAAAAGTAACCATATCAGTATTGTCGTCATCGTCATCTTCTTCGTCATCTTTGTTGTTGTTGTTGTTAATGAGAAACGTTGATTCTGGTATTTTTTCCGGGTCTGCGCGCTCGTTTGTAGACAGCTGAATTCCATGCAGCTGCTCAATATGGCGGGTCAGCTGGCCCCGTCGCCAAAATGATTTGTAACACCCTGGTGCAGGACAATGGTTTAATTTGGCTAAAGCTTGTTGTTGTTTCTGCTGCTGCTGCTGCTGTTGCTGTTGTGGAGCTGATGATGATACTGTGCTATTCTGATCGATGCTGCTCCTACTGCTGTTATTACTACTGCTGCGTGCTGACTTGTTGTAATGGTGTTGTTGTCCTGGATGGATGAATCTGAGGATCGAACAGTACTGTTGCTGACGCATATAAGCTGCTTCGTCGTCAGGTGAACGCGGTTTGGCTGAGTTGGAAGACCGGCGGGTGCGCTTGCGTCGATGTAGCAGGATCGTGGGTGGACTCAAGTGTGCGCGCGCATGGCGACTGAGTTCGTCGGATCGTGCAAAGCGCTTGTCACATAGCGTGCAAGCATGCGGCTTTTCGCCTGTGTGTGTGCGGATGTGCCGCACTTTATGCTCTAACCGATAGAACGACTTTTGGCAGTATTCGCAAATGTGGGGTCGAATGGCTTGTTCGTTGGAATGTGTGCGGGATGCTGCTGCTGCTGCTGCTGCTGATGATGATGATGGATGAGGCATGGCTTATGTTTAGGTGGGATATATGTATATGTGTATGTGTGTTTTGTTTATTTGAAGCGGAAAGCACTGGTTCTAATACGCGGCAGACAGCGGGAGTGCGAGTGCGAGTGAGAGTGATGAGTAGAGAGATGCTATGTAGAAAGAAGAAGAAGAAGAAGGTGGACTGGGGGAAGGGAAAAGGCGACGACGATTGATGTAGAAGAAAAGCTTATTATATATACTCTTGATTTGTATGTGTTGCAAAGAGGAGCCGTTCACTTACTGCTGCTGCTGCTGCTACTGTATATTTTTTATGTGCACCCCACTCCGTCCTCTCTTTGAAGGGCTATTGTAAGTTTTTATGTGGACACAAAATATGCGGGGTTTCCGATGTCTTTGTGTATGGTCGTTGGTTGATCCATGCATCTTCCCCCATACCTCATGATATTTTCGTTTCTGTACACACTTATTGTTATTATTATAATTACTGCTATGTGATGCGCTGTAAAACGCTGCCCGTTGCGCCCATCTCTCTCTCTCCCTTTATCATTGAAACTCATAGGAGAGAACGTGTGCGAAGTATTCCAGAACAGCCACTTTATTCCCTATGGTAACGAAACGTGCTGACGGTCAATCGATTATCCGGGGAGAGGTCGGAGGAGGAGAAGGAGAAGGTGACATCACCATCCGCACATAAGTTTCTCTCTAGTTCTCTTGTTTCGCTGTCTCCGGTCTGCTCGCTTTGCATATGAACGCGTCGCCCGCCGTCAACATGTCCGGGGCTTTAAACAAAATTTCGTGCGAAATCTGCTTTCATTTCTTTTTCTTCTTTTATTAACACTTTCGAAAGAAACAAACAATTACAAAAATGCTTTCGCTCGCTGCCCGTTCCGTCAAGTCCTCCAACTTCAAGTCGGCTGCTCGCTGCTTGACTGCCGTCCGCACCAAGGTCACCTTGCCTGATCTTCCTTACGGCTATGATGTATGTTTTCTTACCAACGCGTATTACCAAACCCACGGGGTGGGACCAACAAAAGCCCATCATTGTGATTAATAAAAATGTTTGTTCGTGCTCTCTTAGGCGCTTGAACCCTATATCAACACTGAAATCATGAAGCTCCACCATTCCAAGCACCATCAAACCTATGTCAATGCTTACAATGTTGCCGAGGAAAAGTTGCAGAGCTCGTTCCAGGCTAACAACCTGACCGAGCTGATTGCTTTGCAAAACGCAATCAAGTTTAACGGTGGTGGTGAGTTCGGTCTCTTTTTACCCTAAACGCGTGTCAATTACTTTATAAACAAACAAGCAACAGACTGGCAGCAAACAAGAGAAATACTTAGAAAATGTAAAATGTGTGTAGGTCACATCAACCACAGCTTGTTCTGGCAAAACTTGGCACCCAAGAGCAATGGTGGCGGTGAGCTGCCCAAGGGCGACTTGTTGAGCGCGATTGAAACCAAGTGGGGCTCCTTTGATGGTTTTGTTGCCAAGTTCAATGCCGCTGCTGCTGGCGTCCAAGGTAAGCAAAGGCAAATCCATTGATTGGATATGACTCGTCATCGGCTATTAACTCCTGTCACCTTTCATGATCCTTCTAGGCTCTGGCTGGGCATGGCTGGTAAGAATCAAATTGAATCTTCTATAGAGTTGAATTAAGGGGGGGAGAGATTACTAATGGATGACGTTGGGAATGTAAACAGGGCTTCAACAAGGAATCGAAGCAGCTGGAGATCGCCACCACTCCGAACCAAGATCCCTTGCTCGGTAAGCAGCAAAAGTCTGGCCCCGAAAGGGCGCGCATGAAGACACTGACCGGTGAATGGCTAAAGTGTTTAACCGGAACGTGCATTTAACTCAATACTCTTGTAGGATTGGCTCCTCTTTTGGGTGTTGATGTCTGGGAGCATGTAAGTAGTGCTTTTGGGCTGGGAGTTTTAATTCCGCGGAGTGGGGGAGGAGGAGGAGCTCAAGTCGATCGCACACACCTGCGCATCACACTCGCACCTTGTTCTCTTACACTTGACTAAACAATTGGGGTCACGGGGGGTGTTTCTTTTCCATTAGGCCTACTACCTTCAGTACAAGAATGTCCGCCCGGACTATCTCAAGGCCATCTGGGAGGTCATCAACTGGAAGACCGTTGCCGAGCGTTTCTCCAAGGCCCAGTGAAAGGCTTTTTGATTGTTGCCCTTAAGCGAGCAACATTGTACAGACCCCTCCTTCCCATTGCAATAAATGTGAATATCATCAATAAACAAAAAGAGACATTCTGAATGATGTCATTTGCATGAGTGAGATCTCTGTGGAGTAGCAAACATGCTGCGGGTTGAGTTGGGACACACTTGGTTGCTAATGGCTGTTTGAGAAGCTAACGAAACTAAACTTTTTTTTTCTCACAGCGCATATGCAACACCTCTTCTTGCACACATCTCCCTATGCTGTCTCTTCATGTCTGCCAAAAGTCGTTCCCGTCCAAATGAGTGAATGACAGTGATGGGCAGCCCATAAAAGGGAGATGCAACAGAGTTTGGGACCGGGGGAGGAAGGGTGGGGGGGCATGGGGGCGTGTGCTGCGCCATACCGAGTAAATAACTGCGAATAGAGGACAATCCCAATCGTGTCACAGGCCATGCGCTATTGGTCAGTTCAGCAAAAAAGATCGACAAAAGCGCAAATCATTCGGACTTTTTAGTGTTTCAAAAGCAAAGAAAATCCCTCCTCCCTTCCCACTCGCTCGCTTCTCTTCTTTTTTCTTTTTTAACTCCCTTCACCCACCTTCTTGCTCTTCTTCGCTTCTTTTCCTCTTCTTCCTCTACTTCCTCTCGTCCGTTTGGCCTCTACTGCTACCATCACTATTGCCACCACTATCACCATCCCACCCCCCTCCTCCTTCCTTTTGTCAACTTTCCAAATGTCCTCAGCACTCGCCCTGCCGCCGTCCAGCACAACAGCAGCGCAGGCGCTCTACGAACAACAGTCGCCTCAGTTTTGCATCGACACAACCATCACACCGCTCCACCAACAGGACAACTTTTTTCTTCCACCCACGCCACCACCCACGTCAAACAACTCGTCGCATCGACGTCCTCGTCCCTCACACAGCAGACACCATCGCCACACCGATCGACGGCGCGACTGCTTTGAGCTGCTCCAGGTCATCATCCAAGAGAACGAGCGGCGGGAGCGAGAAGAGTTTGAGCAGATGGAACGAGACGCCCCAAAAGTCACCGTTGCACGACGGTCATCCACGAGCCAAGAACTGCCCAGCATTCTCATTCACAAAGCACAGTCAATACCACCATCACCGCCAGCTACTACCACTACTACTACCACTACCACTACCACTACTACTGTTGCTACTACTGAGGCTCAAGCACAAGCAGCAGCAGAGGTCAACACACCGCCACCATCCCCAAAACGTCCGTCTGTGCGATTTGCTGCTGATGCCCCTCCCGCCAAAGCCGCTCCACAGCCGCAACCAACCACTTCTCGAACGTCTTCCATGACAAACAAGCTTCGGAGCCTCTTGCACCTGTCTTCGAAAAAGGTCTCGAACCTTTGACGATCGGCCCGCCCCTCCAATCCGTATTTCCTGTTAAAGCAGATCCCCACATATTCCACAGTTTCATTTGTTAGCACACTTGTTTCTTTAAAAAACACACCTCCACTCCACTCCACTCATACATCTTTTCCACACTGCATCTCCTTTCTTCTCATGTACAGATATCAACACCTATTTTGTTTTGCAAACACCCACCCCCTTGTATATTTTGTTTCTCTCATTCTGTTGTTGTCGTTTTTTTTTTCTCTCTTTCTTTTTGGCATGTCACAAGTAACCATAGTAGTAATAATATCATAAACCCGTATTACACACAAAGACTGTTTTTGTTGTTTTATTATTGTTATTGTAAGCCAGGAAAAGAGCTCTTTCTCCTTGTCATGTTCTCTTAGTCCTGTGATCATATGGATGGTATTAGCGATAAAGAAGCAGCAAATACTAGTGCCCCGTTTTTACTTCACACTTTACCTGTCGTGCTTTCAGGGTTCTCGTAACAATTTTATCCGGTGTTCTACAGTCGGTTACAGACATTATATGAGTTGGACTTTTAAGTTGAACACACCGCATCTTCAGTGCTAGACTTACATGATATGGACTACAGCACCCCAGCCAGATAATGCGTCTCGGTCCTGTGCATTCAGCAGCGCCTGCGAAATCGTCTCAAACAGATCCTCGGGCTCTAGATCAGGCTCCCACAACGACTCGCACATGCCATACAGATTAGGTCCTGCTGTGCCGCTCACAACAAAGTCCTTGGCAAAGTTGATACAGCCAATCAGATCCATCGAGCATATAAATGGCTCGTTGTTCTTGTCCAAACCCGCAACCACGGGCTCCACAAAATACGGTCCAAATCTATATCCTTATCTTGTCAGTGGTTCCCCCATCTTCCTAAGAGTTAATTGATATAAAGCGCATTCTCATATTACCGTCGCTCGTAAAGTGTGGATGAAACCATGTGTGCTAATGTCTTTGGCTCAATATCTCTTTCTTCGCGCATCTTGTACATATTGATCTTGAATCGGAAGCGTTCAGCCCTGCATAAATATGTGTATTATCATATACATCGTGGTCAGTACTGGGTATATGCACATAACTTCGAATAGTCCCCAGTTGTGGGCATAGTGAAAGCTTACAATGTCAGGACATCGGTTGCCAATCCTGGAAGACCAATGAACGTTTTCTCGGTTCCTTGAAACATCTTTTGGAATTCAGTCGATACGGTCATGAACTGTTGACCTAGACGCTTGTCTGCAGCAATAGCCACACAGTTCTTTCCATTCATGGCCACAACGGACCCACCATTATATTGCATAATCGACTAGATTGCATCGAAGCAAGAAAAAGTAATACAAGTGTTTTAGTGCTTTTCCTCCCCCGTAAATTTTCTATCGTCAATGGGGTGTTGTAATGTATCGTTTAGAATAATTACCATGATTGGTTATGTAAATTCCTTTCTAGTGGTATCGAAAAAACAAAAGTAGAGAGGATTGAAAAAGTGACGCGCGGCAAATACGAAGAGAGAGGAAAAAAAAAGTTGAAAGCACCCTTCAGTCCAAAGTGAGTACGCGTCGTCCCCCTCTCTCTCTCTCTCTCACATTGCTCCTTCAGTGAGAGGCGGACCTGGATTTTTACGTCACACTCCGCTGCCCGAAATGGATCGTCTTCTTTTTTTTTTTCTTAGACACCACCACCTGCGAAAAGAGCATATATTTAAGTTGGCGAAATGGATCCATCACCACCACCACAACAGCAGCAGCAGCAATCGCCTCAACTTCAAACACAGGCGCAAGCACAAGTGCAAGCACAACTGCCACAGACAGTAGTCAATGCCGACGTGCAATTACCACCAGGTTGGCTGACTGCTCGTCAACCTGGCATGCAAAGGCCTTATTACTACAACAGCGCAACCGGTGAAACGAGTTGGACGATCCCACCCATGCCACCACCTGGAGTCACTGGTGCAGCTACAAAAGAAACAGTAAAACCGAAATCGAAAAAGAAGACAAAGTAACTGAATACACAAAATATATTTTATGCCATGGAAGAAATATGTAAGCTCATATACACATATAACAGGAAACCGATTCCAGGAACAGAGTGGCTGCTGGTACAGACGCCCGACGGCCTTGAATTCTTTTATCACAAACCGACCAAAAAGTCCGTATGGGAGTTACCAGAAGAGTTAAAGGAACCCGTGGAGAAGATGAAGGAAGAGGAACGAGAACAACTTAGACAAGAGCAGGAAAAGAAGGAACAAGAGCAACGAGAACGCGAACAGCGTGAACGAGAAGAAAGAGAGGACGAACAACGACGCATTCAACAACAATTAATAGAACAGCAACAAGGCAAACGTAAAATGGAGGAAGAAGAAAATGACTCGGATAGTACGAAACGGGCCAAGCATGAAGAAAACGAACAAGAGTCACAGCAGCAGCAGCAGCAGCAGGATGAAGATCAGGAGGCAGCCGAGTAAGTTTTGTGGATACATATTTCGACTTGATTCGAATTGCACAGTCGCGATAGGCTCTTACTGATATGATCATTAGAATGACAGAAGAAGATTTGATGTATCAACTACAGGCCATGGAACCTGAAGAATTGGCGGCCATGGGTCTTGCTCCAGAGGAAGAAGGAGAAGGAGAACATAAACAACAACCTCCTGCACAACAGCAACAACCAGAGAAGTCCAACGAGCCACCACAGATGTTGGAAGAAGAACGGATAGAACTATTCACGGTAAGCTCGTTGTTTTGTTGACATATACCGAATCCGGTTAAAAAGTACATGTATGCTCACAGAAAGACATGGCTATTCCAAACAAACAAATACAGCAAATGTTATCGGAAAAAGATATATCGCCATTCACCACATGGGAAAGAGAACTACCCAAAATGATCAATGACGAGCGCTATAGCTGTAAGTTTTTCGACACTCGTTGATTTTCTGCTAGTAGACCCTCATTTTAGCTGATCCCTTATAGTGATACAACCACTTAGCAAGCGGAAGAACCTGTTTGATAATTTCTGTCGCGTGCTTGCTCAAGAGCACAAGGCCAAGAAGCCTGTTACCAAGGTAAAAAACCGACTACAAAGGCATTATAAGAATGATCCCACAAGATGAATTGCTAACTACGTGCACTACAGCCTCCAGAAGAACAATTCATGTCGCTACTAAAAGAAGAAGCAACAGCCAAAATGTATTGGGACGACTTTCGACGCAAAGTCAAGAACGACAGTCGCTTTAAAGCCATCCGTGAAATCAAGACACGCGAATCCATGTTTAAAGATTATGTCAAAAAGCTCCGGAAGGAAAAAGATGCGTCTGCGGCTTCCGGAAGTCACAGCAGCAAACGCGACAAACAGAGGGCATACATGGATCTGCTCAAACAAACCAAGGAGATTCACGCAGGCATGCGGTGGCGGGATGCAAAGGTCATTTTAGAAAAGGATAGTCGATACCTTGCGATCGAGTCAAAGCATCTTCGCGAGGACCTGTATCGTGACTATTTGGATGATTTGGATCGAAAGAGACGATGATTTTTTCTTTGCTTCTTTCTTTATTTCAAGTGAATGACTTTGTGGGATTTTTTTTATTGTGGGCAATTTTAAGGCTGGTTCAGCATCATGTCTGCACTATATAAAAAGACGAGAATGATCTCAAAAACAGTTTCGTTCTTTTTCAAGTCTCTTTGAAGGACCAAGTTCAAAGTTTTGCAGGGGAAAGCCATAGTCGACACACAAAGCTTGAAAGCTATGCTTATAGTTTGTTATTCTCTGGTAAACTGCTGCTTCTTTGCCACTTATTGATGCTGTTTGGCCGGCGTAAAAAGTCTAAAAAAATAGGCAGAGCGAAAAGATCTACCGATATGATATGGTCTATTTCATCTATAACCGCCAAACATTTCCCCAAAATTGAAAGCTATCAACCAAATCAATTGCTTTTATTTAGTCTAGTTCTATTTGGCTATATAACTCCTCTAAAGCATGTTTTGGGAAGGAGAGGATAGTCGTCAAAGTCGGCCGGTCAGGCGAAGGGGAAAATTGAAACGCACTCATGCATATTCGGGTAAACAATACTCGCGTGAAATTTCCTAATTTGGCTAATATCTAATGCCTTACACTGTCACTGGCAAGAGCTATGAGATGGGGCCACACCCTTTTCCTTCGACCAGACGCCACCACTTAGAAAGCGTCTAAAGAGCGCAAGAGAAAACGCAAAGAGAAAACAACACAATGAATATGAAAGATTTATAGCTTCGGGAAATCCAGCGATTGTTACACTTGTCAATGCAGAATCCGAATCAAATGACAACGACGACGATACTAACAATGATTGGGAACTCGTTGACTTGACTCACGATAATTTACAACAGGCTGCAAATCTATTGCTGGTTTGGAGGGACGATGCAGATAGATCCATGCGCGTAGTATACAACAAAGGCTCCCGTACGACCGATTGGCGAAGACGAACAGAAGCAGAAGGTGCTGCAGAAGGTTGCAAAAAAGTCACCAGCTATTATAAGAAGGCGACGCAAACGCCGAGTAAAATTCTTCCAAGCTCTCTCCAAAAAACCATAGAATTGCCATTGTCGATAGTGACGAGCAACTCTCACAACTTTTAGCATCTTTAACAGCACTTATAAAGCCAGTAGCGAACCAAGGAAGCACGTTCAATACTATTGATGCTTCTCAAATGGCGAAAACACAAGCTGTATACCGGTACTACTATTATCGATCACAGGGATTGAACAACAGTATTGATAGTTCGCAAATATCTGGACCACTCCATCAAAAGAGTACAGGGCAAAGGCCATCTGCTACTGGGCGCGCGAATTCCGTGATTCTGGGTCCATCTCAACACACCAACAATGCGTAACATCCTTGCTTTGGTTGAATTTATTAATGGAAACTATCGTCCCTAAAGTACTTGGTGTTCTAGGCTCAGTATCACAGACGACATTATGGCGATGCATGTCTGAATGGGGTTATCGATACCGCAAAAAAAAGCAAGGGTATATACTACGACGGGCACGAATGAGATGACGTGGTAGCATACCGATTACAATGGGCGAAACAAATGATGAAGTACTAGAAGCAAATGGAGTCGTACGAAGGAGAACGTGCAGAAGTCACAACTGAGCCATCTTTAGCGCCAGATCAAAAAAACAAATCGTTATGGTTACCCATGACGAGAACGACGTTAGACAAAAGCTATGGCTGGCAGACGGCGAGAGTATCCTACGCAACAAAAGTCCTGGGCAATCCATTATGATATCCGAGTTCCAATGCGCGTGTCATGGCACAATGCGATCTGGAATATGGACCTCGCGTACGTATTTCTATGGAGGGGCTAACCGGGAACAGTATTGGACCAGCAAAGACATGGTTAAGCAGCTAGAAGAAGACGCGATCCCACTATTTGACCTCTTGCACCCTGGTTGTCAAGCATTATTCATATTCGATCAAAGTAGTAATCATAACGCTTACCCAAGTGATGCAATACTGGCGCGAACCATGTGCAAGGATCCAAGGTGGTGTGGGGGTGCATAACGCAGAACATGACTGCAGCACGCACGTGTATCGGGACGGCTGCTTTATTGATGAAGCAACACAAAGGATGTACATGAACATCGAAGAAAATATCAAGAAACGCAAGCGAAATGTCACGGCCGACAAACAGTAAGTATGCCATTTCAAAGGGATACAAATGATCTTAAAGGAGCGTGGACTTTTGTTTGAAGAATACCCGTATAATCTACCATAAAACATCACACCGTAATCTCCACCAGTGTATCATACTGAAAAAAATTCGGATTGCCAGAAAAAAATGAACACCAATTTAAAGAAGCATAAATTTCGTGAGGAAAGGCCTTTTCAAGTGGGAATTTTTGACTGGTGGGGGCGAATATCTGTCGCTCTCATTGTTCTTTTATCGCGTACCAACTTACAACGCGTGCATCTGCCGCCATGTTTTCTCGACTGCAGAATCTCTTTATATCTTTGGTTCCTGGCGTCAAGAACAAATCTACTACGCATACCACTACCACGGGTAAACTTTAAGTTTTTTTCCTTTATTCTTCATTTCTGTTAAAAATGCGCCTTTCGTCTTGTCAACTCAAAAAATATACTCTGTTGAATAAAGTACAAGTAGATCCTGATAACAACAATTCCCCTCGGACTATGGCATCAGCCCTTCCTGTCCACGTTCGAAAACCAAGCCAGTCTTTAGAAATTGTTACTACTGCTGCTACTAATGGTGACAGCAAAAGAGGAGTTATATGTACGCGAACAAGGCTGTATGAAAGCATAAAGTCTGTAGGTAAGCAACAATACATAGCTGTAAGTGTTTTTCCTTTTGCACTAAATGTTTTTTGTTTTTTTAAAAGTGATTTTATTGCATAGCAAGCGGAAAATTCTGTTTAACAATTTTGTTGCGTGCTTGTTTAAAAGCACTAGGCCCAAATACACCGTCGCTACTGCAGCCGAGCTGCATGAGTTTAAGTCTTAAGGATGGTTGATAATATGCTACCGAGTCTCAATATCTTTTCGAGGACGTTATCATGATAGAACTGATTGATCAAGACATGATATCTTCTTTGACGTGTGATAGCGATGATTAATTGGAGTGGATTGGATTGGATTGCAGCCTTTGTTGTTTGATGTTTCAAACCGAACTGAAACCTGCATATTAAATTTTCCAAATTGCATTTGCCGCATCACGCAAACAAAATTTGAAGCGCTAGCTCTGGTGTTGAACGACGACGAAGCGAGCGACAATACCCCAGCTCTCTCTTTCTCTCTTTTTCCTTTCCTTTTTTCCCCTTTACACATACATCTTTTGCATAGTTGATCCTTCAAAATGGGTACTGAAACGGAAACATTTTCGTTCCAAGCTGAGATCTCTCAGTTGATGAGCTTGATCATCAACACCTTTTACTCCAACAAGGCAAGTTGTTCGCTGAAAGATTCATTCAAAGGATAGCGAAACATTCCCGCGATGTAGCAATAACACATGCATACACATGTTTATTCAATATACAGGAAATTTTTTTGCGTGAGCTGATATCCAACGCCTCCGATGCACTGGACAAGGTGCGCTACCAGTCATTGACGGATCCGACTGTATTGGACGCAGAAAAAGAGCTGTACATTCGAATCACCCCGGACAAAGAACACAACGTGCTGACGATCCGCGACACGGGCGTGGGCATGACCAAGGCCGATCTGGTCAACAACCTGGGTACGATCGCCAAGTCTGGCACGAAAGCGTTTATGGAAGCCTTGTCTGCCGGCGCGGATATTTCCATGATTGGTCAGTTCGGTGTAGGTTTCTATTCTGCCTACCTAGTTGCCGACAAGGTGCAAGTCATCACCAAGCACAACGATGACGAGCAGTATATCTGGGAATCTGCTGCAGGCGGCCATTTCACCATCACCTTGGACGAATCCAATGAGCGACTGGGCCGTGGCACAGAGCTCCGTCTGTACTTGAAGGAAGATCAACTGGAATACATGGAGGAGCGACGTATCAAGGATATTGTTAAGAAGCACTCAGAGTTCATCTCGTATCCCATCCAGTTGGTCACTGAAAAGGAAGTCGAGAAGGAGGTTCCCGACGAAGAAGCCGAGCAAGAAGAAGCACAGCAAGACAAGCCCAAGATTGAAGAAGTCGAGGACGAGGAGGATACTAAGAAGGAGAAAAAGACAAAGAAAGTCAAGGAAAAGGTGATCGATCAAGAGGAATTGAACAAAACCAAGCCTCTGTGGACACGTAATCCAGAGGATGTCAAGCCTGAAGAATACGCGCAGTTCTATAAGGCCTTGACAAACGACTGGGAGGACCAACTGGCAGTCAAGCATTTCTCAGTCGAGGGTCAGCTTGAATTCCGTGCCATCCTGTTTGTCCCCAAGCGTGCGCCATTCGATCTCTTTGAAGGAAAGAAGAAGCGCAACAATATCAAGCTCTATGTACGCCGTGTGTTTATTACCGACGACTGTGAAGAGTTGATTCCGGAATGGCTCAGCTTTGTCAAGGGCGTCGTTGATTCGGAGGACTTGCCTTTGAACATTTCTCGTGAAATGCTTCAGCAAAACAAGATTCTCAAGGTAATCCGCAAGAACCTTGTCAAGAAATGCTTGGAAATGTTCAACGAGATTGCCGAGGACAAGGAGAACTTTAACAAGTTCTATGAAGCATTTTCCAAAAACCTCAAGCTGGGCATCCACGAGGACAACCAGAACCGCACCAAACTGGCCGAATTGTTGCGTTACTATTCTACAAAGTCTGGCGACGAAATGACTTCATTCAAGGATTATGTTACTCGCATGCCCGAGAAGCAAAAGAACATTTATTACATCACGGGCGAATCACGTGCAGCAGTCGAAAACTCGCCGTTCCTTGAAGGCTTCAAAAAACGCGGGTTTGAAGTTCTTCTGATGACCGACCCTATTGACGAGTACTCGATCTCGCAACTGCGCGAGTATGACGACAAGAAGCTTGTGTGCATCACCAAGGAAGGTGTGGAGCTGGAAGAGGATGAAGAAGAAAAGAAACGCTTGGAGGAGGAAAAAAAGCAGTACGAGCCACTCTGCCAGACCATCAAGGAATCTTTGGGCGACAAGATCGAGAAGGTCATTATCTCGGATATTTTGACAAGCTCTCCATGTGTCTTGACTACTGGCCAGTTTGGTTGGTCAGCCAACATGGAACGAATCATGAAGGCCCAGGCCTTGCGCGATTCGACCATGTCGTCGTACATGGCGTCGAAAAAGACCTTGGAACTCAACCCTAACCATGGTATTGTCAAGGCATTGAAGGAAAAGGTCGATGCTGATTCAAGTGACCGAACGGTCAAGGACTTGACCCAGCTTTTGTACGAGACTGCATTGTTGACGTCTGGTTTCACTTTGGACAACCCGTCCGATTACGCAAGCCGTATCTACCGCATGGTCGCCCTTGGTCTCAGCATCGATGATACAGACGATGTCTCCATGGACGATCAGTCAGCATCTCAAGATCAATCTGCTCCTGTTGAGGATGCTGGTGCTTCCAAGATGGAAGAGGTGGATTAATAAAATACTACACGTCATGTAACGCCTGTAATTAGCTCATAATTGATAGCAGTGGTAAACATTTGTGTGGCAATTATAACAAACAAAACATTAAAAGAAAACTGCGCTTGTCTTCATACACTCGTGATCCGACTTTCTGTATGAAAAATGCGAAATAGCTTTTGTTTGTTTATTTATATTGATATATTTATAAGTTTAATCGATTTTTACATTCTGGTAAATCTTCCGTACAAACAGACCAGCTGCCGAATGGCCAACAAATCCTGAGGTGTTTATTTTGCGTTAGTTGGCATCTATCTTCATTAAACAGAATGCATGGCTTTTGGACTTACCTAGCATACAGAACATGCCCAGAGATAATAATGCAGTGTAACCAAAGTAAAAACTGGTCTGAAAGAAACCCGTCATTCTATATTCACGGCAGATTAGGTCAAGAAATTCCTGGGGATATATGCCTTACAGTAGACTTACTTTGTTTTTGCGAAGAAGTAGTACACTGAATAAATGTACACATAGATCGATGTTGAAGCGCATGTCATGAAACTGAGCCAATGCCTAACAAAATAATCCCAACTGTTCAGCATACCTTTCTTTCCACTTACTCCTCTTCTTTTAGTACACTCTAGATCCAAAAATAATGATGTACTTACCATCGATGATCCTCAGAGTTGAGTAAAAAGTAGCTGCTCACAATTGCAACACATGCGCTGACAATGAGCATAATCATGAAAACAAGGAACATGAATCCATAGACATAGTAGATCTTGTACGTCCAGAATGACGTGAAGATGAAATACATTTCGATAAAAATGCTTCCAAATGGCAGCACACCACCCATCAGTATGATCACCATAGGCTCGGCATACCAGACCTTGTCTGGGATGGGTCGAGGGATCGGATTAACGCGACAAGGAAAGTCAGCATTGCTGCCCCAGTTTCGGCCGATTATGGCACCCAGTAGTGTCAAGGGGAAGCATAAGAATACCCAGATAGCAAGCATCGCGAGCTGTTTAAACGCGCAGTATTATTTGGTCAGTATTGAATTTTGGAGTTGTCATTGCATGATAGAGCACGTACCACAATGGTGAATGCAATGGCACGCGAGCTAGAATAATAGATAGCCACACTGTTGACATATCCACCAATCATAGCAACGCATCCTGGCCATATGCTGGCAGTCAAGAGCACGTTTCGTACCCATTCCTTGCCTAGCAACCAAAAATAATTGTAAATTAGGCGATTGCTTTCTCCAAAAGAGATGAAGTATTTTTCGATTGCTTATAGCATACCTCCATAACGGGCATAGTATCTTGCACTGGTATAACCAGCAACACCAGATGTCAAAGCGTATAAAAAGATGGTTGCTGTCAAGATGGTTGCGCGCTCGGCATACAAGTCACCTATGATCGTATACAAAATGACGACGCCTGCAAGCATGACCAATTGACAGCCAGTTCCCATCAAGGCAGACATGACCATGAGACGAGGAGGTTGTCGGAAAACATCCCCGTGTACTTGTTTCCAGCCATAATCGTCCCCAAGATCGCGATCCTTTTATATAAACATTCTAATTAGTTTATCCTCTCTGTCTGCATTTACCCTTGGTTTGTTTATCTACAAAATAAAGCAGACAACACATACAAAATCGGCCAATCCTTCCTCGCGATCGTATCGTGCATAGTCCCGTTTGATAGTGCGTAGTAAAATGACGGATACTAAGCCAGTCAAAAATAGTACCATCATGAAAGAGCTGAAAATAGACAACCAATGAACCTGTCATTGCGTATTGATTTAGTCTTAGTTTTCTTTCCTATGTTTCTTTTCCTCTCTCACACTCACAATCAACACATGCATATAACGCCATGCAAAAGCCTGCTCAGCCAATAAAGTAGCTCTTCTTACCTTGTGCTCAAAGAAGTCAGCCTCTAAAAGTCGTTGGAAGCGATCCTCAAATGTAGTCGTTGTTTCTTTCCATTCAACCGAGTATGTAAAGGTAACATCTAAGGACGGGTCAGTAAGGCTCAATTCAACAGGTTCGGCATATTGTTCGCCATATTGTAAAAGGACAGCAATGATCTACACAATATTTTTCACCACATATCAGTCTTCAATTCATCCTAACCATTTAGTATCTCCATTTCTTTCTTTGCTTAACCAAATTCCCATCATTAATACCCTGTCGCCGTTATAATGGATAATAAAGTGTCTATGCGTGTAAAGATAAAGCGTATCGAAACGTGAATCGTGGTCCTCTTCCTTTTCATTCATGCTTGACTCTGCATCGTTAACGCCCACAGGATTGGTAACAGGCAAGTCATCTATTATGTCAAAAGGTATTATATATTATTAGAGGTTCCTGAGGTATTATTGCTACATTTATATAAATAGTAAATCAATATTACCGACAAACATGGTATACCAATAGTCATGATACACAGCATAGCGCATAACACGAATTTCTTCAGGGTCCAACGTCTTCTGACATACTGTATCTTTCGCCACCGGCTCTATATAATGAAAAATAGTTACCATAAGCATATAAGAAAGGCATACTTGTGAAAGGCAATTAAAGCACTGTGTGTGCTATACAAGTATATGCTTGACGTACGAAGAAAACGTATAGGAATGCCCGAGTTAATGAGGTCCATGCCCTGCAGGGCTTCGCCAAGCGTTTCATGATGGTGTTCGACGGAACTCGTTCCTCGGCAAAAAGGTAATTGGTAATAAGGGTATGTTTCTTGCCGATTGTTGAGTGGTCCGACAGTATTCATCCACGCTACAACCTCTTCTTCAGGTTCGTACTATTTATTGAAGGTTTCAAGTCAAATGGTTACCGGTGGCATGTAGGAAAAAAAAAAGACATGACGCTCTATTGCTTTCTTCGCTTTTTTTTTTACAATTGGAGAGAACTTACCACATGGTTATGTTCGTCAGCTAAAACATGATTACTTAACCATGTCGCTAATATTAGAAACGCTGCAGCTCCCTTATATATGCGCTGCAGAAACATAACGTGGCAACAAGAGAGAAGAAATAAGAGAGGAAAGAGAGTTGGGTATATTAAAACTAAAATTGTGCCCGAATTTCAAGCACGGTGCTGCTTTAGGAAGGTGTGATAGCATTGGTTTGATCCGCGATTCTTACGCACCTTATGATGTCTTTGCTATGGAAGAAATAAATAAAAGACGCGCTAAACCATCGAGTTCTTATTATATGGTGCTGTTTATCCATCAACATCGCTTAAACATCGCTTTAACCAAGCAGTACTTATAGTAGCAGTATTTTAGTGATAGAAGTCACTGCAGATGTATATACCCTTTATACATAGTTATCGTTTAAACGCGTCATATAGATTAGCAGAGATAGCAGTAGGCTTAGACAGGCGCGTCTTAAACCGTTTGAATGGGTTCTAGCTCGGTATTCTAAGCTTAGATGAAACGCCTCTTATCTGTTCAATGTCGTCGTTGACACACATATGAAAGAATTGGACCATTTTTTAACGCTCGTTTCTATTTGCTAATACTATATATACCTGCGCAAGTGAATGAATGTGTTAAGGAACAAAGACAAAAAGATGGTCGTATTAACTTTATTAGTTACTTGGCATAAGTGTAAAAGAGACGAAGATCGAGGGTCAAATAAGCTGACGCACGTATGCGTTGGTACTTCAATTGATAGGACGCGTCAAAAAAGGGCAGTGGGAGGGCTATTACATCTGTATACAATCTCAGGTATTAGAGTGATGCACAATATTATTCTATCTAATATACGGTCATAGACACGCAGATAACGATCGTTACTACAAATTGGATGTATAAAGGTAATGATTGGCGACAGTATGAAAAGAGAGCTTACAACCACTATCATATGGTGTTACTTTTTTCGCACGTAATGGATGAAGACAGCGGCGAAAGTGGGCGATCAAAAACCGTCGCTCTCCAGGAATAATTGTTTTGAGGTACAGTATAAATGATTGCAATAGCGAAAACAACCAAAGAAGGGACCATATATTGTCGCAATTCAACATTGATAGTTATCCTCAATTTCTAAGAACAGATCTATAGTATCATCTTGAGCAACGTCAACATATTTTATCTGCATCTTGGCATTTGAAAGCGAACAATGCAATATGTAAGTATATGTGCTAGTATACTGCGACGTTTGAAAGTGCAGAACAATAACATAGACATCCGTCACATCGATTCGTTGCTCAGTGAGTTATCAATAGTAAGCAACAGAGCCATAAAGTAATAAATAAATGAAGAGCAAAAGAGAATATGTACGCGTTTTGGACCAAAAAAATACACAGAGAATCACTACATAGTATTACATGAAAGAAAAAGGAACAGATAGGGACTGTATATATATGCCGAGCAAGTGATAGGTTGGATGGCGGGAATAAAGATAGAGAACTATTTTAAATTTTACCACTGGGAGGGTCGTAGCTACTAGAAGCAGCCACGGTACCTTCACGGCTATACGGGTATTGCTGGTTTTGCGGTTCCTGCTGTGATGATTGTTGGGGATAATTGCGCGTGTTTTGCATAGCGTACGCGTTACCGGGATCATCGCCCAATAAGCCATGTTCACTGTCTGCTCGACCTGGGTTATACACAGGTTCTTGATTATAACGTAGAATTCTTTCATTTGAAGTACCATGTTTAAAAAAATGAATTCTGCTCTTGAATGGATGGTGAGGCGTCGAGTGAGCCAAAGATGGATAGTACTGACGGTAAGCAAACCAAGCGCATGCTGAACCTTAATTATTTTATGAATTAGCCTAAATGGTTTTCAGAAATAAGCTTTACATGTATCTTTACCTAGTAAGGAGCCAATGAAAACATCTTGCCAATGATGTCGGTAATCTTGAGTACGTGAAATGGCGACAAGCAGCGCACCGATAAATGGAAAAGCGAATATAAAGCCCTTGTACGTATGCTGGTATTATCACAGGTAGAGTTTTAATTTCAAGCAACAATGGTGTAGAAGTGGTAAAAAAAAAAGAAATAGACATACGCCTCGTTCATCAAACATTTGCATTTTGCCTGCAATAAAGAGCCCAAGGTAAAGAAGCCCAGCGAACGAAACTAATGATGAATGGTTGGTGGTTAGTGGCTATGCTCTTTCTCGAGGATAGAACAGCTTACATGAAGAATGTCCACTAGGAAAACTCTTGAACCCGTCCAGCATCTCGTGCGTGTCAAGTGGCGATGTGCAAACGGTATAGTTGGATAAGCCAAATGGAGGGTCAACAGACCCTTCCGCAGGCTGGCACCGATCAAGAAAATCAGGTCTTGGGCGACCGACGGTAATCTAAGTCATTAATTTTAAGCAGTTTATTCGTTTGACCACAATTTCCTTTATTAATTATTGATATACTCTCACTGTGTATATATTTACCTTGATGGTTGTCGTCAGCATGAGACACATACTTAAGCTAAGCCCGAGGCCTGGTAGCGTAGAGGCAGGAAGCAGAAAGAGAAGAGGGTTAATGCTTTTTGTTGTTACTACAACAACAGAAGGATAGAATAAGAATTTTACCGAGTATACCACTGTGAAAGTCAATTATGCTGCGTTTGAAGCCGAGAGACATAATAGCGATAATGACAATGGGTGCTGCAAGACATATCACCTAAAAACCACCCAGTTTTCAGGAACGTTAGCGCCACACCCAAGAAAAGATAAACATGCATATCATACTTACACCGACGACCCACATGGGAACGGAATCGCTTGGTGAGTGTGGAAACATGATTGTCTTGTCTTCGAGTGAGAATTCGCGATGGAACGGTGGAATCTGGTCAATACCGTAGAAAGCGCCTGCCATAAGAATCACGAGAATCCAGTCCGGTAAATAGGATACAATGATTCTTTTTGTGTGCGGGCTTTTCCAATCTACCCTGAGCGACATTGTAAAAAAAACCGGTATATGGAGGGGTAAAAAGAAAAAATAAGTATTGAGAAAAGAAAGGTACAGAAAAGCTCTCCTTTTATTTAAAGCTTTTTATGAATATGAAAGAAGGGGGAACAGTGTCGGTTGACGTCTGCGGAGTGAACGATGACTGAACCTGGATTTGCTATTTCATTCGTTGTGTTACAAAGGCCAAGACTTTTGGAAAGTTACAAAGGGTGTGTGTGTGTGTGTGGAGTTTCGGGTTAGTGTGGCTTCCTTATTCATCAGCAAAGACCATGCAGAAAATAGTAAGCATGTTTGCTTAGACTATTAATACTGATGTTATTAATGAGAAGAGAATGGTATCTATTTCAATATGAAACGGAAACAATAGAGTACAATCGAAATGATAAGTTATGTAGATAATAGTAGAAAGAAAAAACGGGATGAGTTATGCAGTAAGAGTATAGTAGTAGTAGTAGTAGTTGTAGTAATAATAGTAGTAGTAGTGATGATGGAATGTGTGTGTGTGTGTAAGTGTGGCGGATGCACAGGTGTGTTGTGTGAGTCTGTGGTATCAACTCTAAAGTGTACTCGACATTGACGCTTCTCCCGACTGTGTAATGCGCTTATTCGGATCGACTAGCCGCTGCTCCTGTTCAATGTCCTCCATATCCGCCACTGACGATACCATCAGCATGCAAGGGAGACAGCATCCTGCACAGCAGAATAAGAACGACTACATGCACGTCCGTCAGTTCATACATGATGCACTTCTTCCCATCGTCCCCGTTTCAAATAGTATCTAGACTTACCAGAGCAATAAAAATGGGGACAAACACATTCGACATCTTGACAAAACTACCGTCGAGTCTTCTCGCCAGCAGACCGATCAAAGCATAGGCCAGAACACCCACGACCACAAGTGCCACCACGCCGAGCATGACCGTGACTTTTCCTTGATGCTGCAATTCCGGTTGTGCCGATAGCCGGCTGAACACAACATAGCTCCATCCCAGTTGTAGCGCATACTTGACGGCAACCAAGTACAACGGGATAAAAACAACCCCCCACGAGCACGTAATAGTGTTATCGATCCTTGTTGCAATCAGTACAAACTGCACCAGACGCACAGCAAAGAACCAGAATGTTTGGAAAAACAGCGTCAACAGAATCCGGGTCTTGTGTTCGGATGCAGCCATGCGCACACCAGCCGTTGCTGTGACAACAAACTCGATGCATTTGAGGACAAAATGGATACCCTCCAGGATAAAGTACGGTACAAAGATGACTGCAGCCGACCACGCAACGCGATTGTCGAGGCGCAATACGATAAAGATTTGAAACAGTAGAAACAGTATCCAGTAAACAACCAGGACCAGCTGTCGCGCGATGCCAAGCCTGCGCCTCGCCGCTTTGCGTTTTGCTCGTTTTGTTTCGTCCATTTCCTCGTCATCGTCATCGTCGTCGTGGTTATGGCCGTTGTCGCTGTCGTCTTTGCTGAGCGAGTGTATAAAATAGCGTATGACAAGGAGGCCTACGACGGCATCAATGATCCACAAGGGAATCCATACGACAGCCCAACTCCATGATACGATTTCGTCGATGCGGACGGTCAAGAAGGCGAAAAAAATGATCAATAGAGCAAAGCCGAGTCCGAGAGAGCTCAGCATTGTGCATAGCATCGATTCCACCTCGGGATCAAACAATGGGCTCGCCACCGTATCCATCATTTGAAGACCCAGTTCTCCATAGCGGTCGTATACACGTCGTTTCTGTTCATCGCTAAGAACCTGTGATAATTTTCATATGTCAGTCACCGCAACAAGCTTGCTTTTGAGTTCACTTTCTGATATGAGTAATACCTCATAAGCAAGACTGATGCTCTTAAACTAAAAAGAGAAAGAAATGTACGCGTTAGAGCCAATGTAAATCGTGAAGGGTTTTCTTTTTTGAAGTTATACCGTGTCAGCGCTGTCTGGATTCTTGTCAGGGTGGTATCGCAGTGCCAAGCGTCGGTAAGCCTAGAAACAAGTGTGGAATCGCGAGATCAGCAATCAAGTTGGGACATTTCGACCAAGGGAGTGCCTAAACAAGAAGCATACCTTCTTAATTTCCTCAGGTGTAGCGGTCTTTGAGACGCCCAGAGTCTCATAGAAGGCGGTGGTATTACGCTCCATAACGGAAAAAAAAGCGAATCGTAAATAGGAAAAGAGAGCGTCAACCTTTTCTTCTGCGTTCAACCTGCCCGGATTTTTTTTGTACTTGTTTTTCGTGTTCCGCTGCGCTTCGGTGCCCACATTTTCTGTCTTTGACAGGAATAATAGTGAATGAACGATTGTGGCCCACTGCCACACGTCACCACTGTAGCTGCGGATACACATGGCCGTCTCTTTGTTTTGTATCAAATGACTCTTTGCTTGTTTTCTTACAGCGATGTCCGTGGCCTTCTTTGTTATGGCATTCATTCAGGCAAGAATTTGGTTATGCTGAGCAACCACACTGCCATTAATTACAAACAATGACAGCCTCCTTCTCCTGATAACACACAAACACACATACTGCAACCCCCTTTCTTTGAAAATCCCCAATAAATCCCTTTTATGTTGCATACCAATCTACCTCTTATTATGTATTATTGCCATTCACAAAAAAAAAACTAACAACTAAGACGACGACGACGACGACAGAGACGCTTGAGGATCGGCGTCGCTTTTTAGTAGTTTTTTTAGTTTATCGTCCACCTCAAGTTCCTTGATTGATTTCTCAACTTTGGTCCGCTCGTCTTCATTGTTCCATACCGACCGCTCTTCCAGCTTTTCTTCGAGCTGCTCTCGTTTTCGGTCCATGGCCTTGACTCGTCGTTCAAACTGATAGAACAAGACTTCTGCGCGCTTCAACGTTTCTTCCAGATCAATCGTTCCCGTCAGCTCGTTGATATACTAATTTATCTCATGTTAATTTTTTTTTTCGTATTATCGATCTTACAAGCGAATGAAGAAAAAGAGCTGTAGGTGCTCCTAAACTGACCTTGAGAATCTCATCAAATTGAGTCAAGTTTTCCAAAATGACTTGGCGGTGCTGATCCAGGACGGCCAGAGCAATGAACATGATCATGTGGGGTGACAGGTGGTTTGTCCAAAGCACTTCCCAGAGTCGAATCACATCATCCCACTCAAACTCGCGCTTGAACCATACCAGAAGCCATCGGAAACAGAAGAACAAGTTGGCTGTCTCTGTCTCCTCTAATCGCTTATATAGCTTTGGATCCATAAATCGAATCAAGACATCTAGCGTCTTGAGTTGTCCGTGCATGCCTGACTGGTCCATATAAAAGTTCGACTCGACGCGATCCATAAAGTGCACAAAGCACCAAAACGCCATTTCCTCGGTCCCCATGGCCACAAATATCGGTGCTAATAGATCCGACATGCCTTGCACATAGCCAAGTTCCGTATTGTGGAAGTTGTAGCTAACCAGGATGTCCTTCATAATCTCAAGGTTGGCATTGGTACCGACAGCCATGTTTGGGTCTGGATTTGGCAGGTCTTCACCTTCGAAAATGGAGATTGTGCGATCTGTCCGATGAACGTCTTTGTCTATAAAAATTCTCTAAAGTTAGAGCGAAAACGTTTTTAAAAGTAGTGAGTATGATAGCTATTTTATCTTACCGATCCGGTGCTTCTCGTCTTTAAACTTGTCCTCGCTGCGTGCCTCCATATCATTGAACCATCGTGCTTTGATTTCGTAGTATTCGTCTCTGCACAAAAATATATCTTAATACCATTCTGTGGTCACAAAAACTCTAGAAAGAGTGAAAAAAAAGGTGCTTACACTCTACTGCGACGAATGGCTTCACGTTCATCAAACGTACTATCCCATGGATAGATACCCAATAAGAACTTCCAGGCTTCAATTCGAACATCCGGATGCAATCCGCCACGAAATATAAGGCCAAGAATGTATCCTTCAGCAACCCTAAGTCTGCCTTCCCCATCAAAGTAATCAACCCACTCCTCGGGTGCAATTGGATCTCGTCTGGTGTGTGTTGGTGGGGGCTATAACAGATATTTCGTTAGTTTCTTCGTATACAGCTTAGAACAAGATGTGATGACAACAAAAAATTCACCTTGTTCATCTCTGGCATGTCATATATTAGTAAATCGCGCTCGTTCTCGGGCAAATGCTCATGATCTTTTTCATTTTCATCGCCCCTACATGGCATAGATAAGCATAAATCTAAGGATGTTCCATCTTTTGCAACTGAGTTCCTGAACTGTTTACTTACCATTGTGCTAGATAATACGTTGCTCGATCATAATCGTTCATGGTTTCTCGGACGGTGATGTTGCGACTCAATGACTGGATTGAAGGTGGTAGTAAGGGAATAATCGCTCTTGAGATTGGATGCTCCAGCACTTGAGCTATAGATTTATCATTTTTTTTTGTTTATAACATGGCGTAGAGTAGTAAAGATAAAATAGATCCTGCATCCTACCTGCTGTATCACGCGATATTTGGGTTATTCGCGATAATCGCTCCAAGACATTCCATCGAGCATCCCGAAGCGCTTGTCTTCCTGGATCGTCTGTCGGTTGTGCACCGGCATTATAAGCATTAGTACCACTACCAGTAGCTGTGGTGGTAGTAGGCGGTTGTGTTTCTTGGGTATCAGGGATATTGGTAGTTGGTCGTATAATTAGATGGGTATATTCGTCATCCAGTGAGCGTTGCACTGTGGCAAATGCACCAATGATATCGAGAACGTCAAAGCCTGGCCAAGGTGATGCGTTTGTTCTGTACCATAACGGTTGCAGTAGATCGCCTTTGGAAGTGGTGATTATGATTGATCCGCTGTCTTCGTTAGTATTAAATGTTGATGGTGGACAGACATAGAGCGAGTAAATATCAAAAAGCGGGATGATCATTGATTCTCCTTGGCCTGTATCAAGTGTCACTGTTGGAAAACCTACATCACACGAGAGAGAGAGAGGGACATTATATCAATATATATCGTTCCTAGTCATCGTTGCCTCCGGGGATATAGTAGGTGGTGAAGTACTAATAAACGAACCTTGCTCAGACGCCAAGGTACCATCGAGTTGCAAAAAGGTTTCCAAATCCTTGGCCTCAACCAGATATTCAGGTATCCATGCTACCAAGATATCAACGTCCGCCTATCACGGATTTATCAGCGACATAAGAGGAAAGTTCTCGAATAGATAAAGGAAAAAAGAAAGAGACTCACGACATTGCTCGAGACGATCGCAAAAAAGCCGTGAATGTCAGGCTCGCCAGAAGCAGCTCGAGCGTAGAAGCCAGACTTTGTATAAATGAGCCGTACAGAGTATCGCGATTCACGCAATGGTTGAGGCTGTGGCGGAGGGGGTGAAGGCTGTAGGACGGTCATTGATCTTCGTAACGACGGGGATCGGTACGAACGCGTGGTCGGCTGTCGGTAAGAGTACGGTTGCTGGTGGTGGTGGTGGTAGTAGTGGTGGTGGTGCCTTTGGTAGTGCTGTGGATTATAGTACCAAACACGCTGTTGTTACAATACAGGGGAGAAAGGGAAGAAGAAAAATAGAAATTGCCCTGTCAGCCAATGTTTGCGCAGGGACCACACTAAAAAAAGAATCGCTCTCTTTGCTGACCTGACTCACGACCACTGCACAAGGCGGTGCATGGTAGTATTGCGTATAAACACAGTTGTGGCACTGTTGCTGCTGTTGCTGTTGCGGTTGCTGAAGATGAGAGGGACTGCCACCCATTTTTATTGTTGTTATTATTAAAGAAAGGAAAGAAAAAGCTCTAATTTGCCAAGCGCTGAAAATTATGCAGGAGTTTTCTGATTATATACTTTTCCACAAGCGTTGCTTGGCGAGCCTTGGCCCCAAAATCCCCATCTTTTACTGTCCCAGCAATTTTTTCACGGCATCGCTGACCATCTTCTTGTCTGCTGTCTGATCCGTCCATGCCTTCATCACCTTGCCCATATCCTTCATTGATGTCGCTCCCACTTGCTCAATCAACTCCTTGACCTTCTGCTCCACCTCTTCCGCCGACATTTGCTCGGGAAGATAACGTTGCAGCACCTTTAATTCGCCTTGCTCCTGCTCTGCCAGCTCGGGACGGTTGCCTGCTGTGTATTGGCCGATAGCATCTTGGCGCTTCTTGACAAGCTTTTGGATTACGGACAACAGTGCTGCTTCTTCCGATTGGTTTTCCGGGGTGTTGGGCGACTTGATATGGTATGTATAGTCGCTCAGAATGTTCTTTACGACATTGAGATCTGGCTGTTGCTTTGATCGCATAAAGCTTTTGCGATCGTCCTTGAGACGTCCCAATAAAGCGCCTAGTGTGGTGTATTTAACGCGATTAGTTTTCAATAAACGTCAAATCGTATGTAACGGATTCGCAGAAAATAAATCCTACCCGAAGCTTCAGTTGTATAGGCTCGTGCAAGAAGACCTCTGGTGATTGCGCGTGTAGCTGTCAAATGTCGAAGCATTGCTGTTGCTTAAATCGTTGTTTTCTTTTCCTTTTTGTTGCCTGGCAGCAAAATGCTTGCTGGGTCCAAAATCGTTCGGAGGAAGGGTGGTTTGGTTTCACTACTAGTAGACGCACAATGGTTTTGGGCCTCTTGCGTTCACGCAGTAAGTGATGTGCTTCCAGAGTATATAATGCAGACCAAACATCGTAAGAGCTCCACTATTAAAATCAAACTTGTGAAACAGCTTCTTATTTTGGTAGTGCGAGCTGTAAACATCTGTCTCGTGTCTAAACAGCGTAAAGTACAGTAGTGGAGATGGCTTATTATACGACGAAAAGAGACGTATCGAACAACCGTAATAAAAGAGCCAGCAAAAGACAGTACTACGCGAGCAACAACTATGTATTAGACGGATAATCTGCTATTCATATGGCTGGTATATAACTACCTACCCATAACACTGTAATACATCCGCAAGCTTGTTCGTATAACGCATAGAATACTTTACCTCAAAGGCTTTTATTACTACTCACAAATGAAAGCAATAGTAAGGTAGACAGTGCTCTATATGTATCTTCTCTATCATTCAATAGTGTCTCCTCAGAAAGTGTTATCGCAATTTGTGCTTAGATCTTTAACAGACAAAATCAATTTGGTTTACGTCAGCCGTATTAAGTAAACGAGTGGCTACTAACTTTATGCATGCATTTGCATTTTGTTGGTTGCAGAATTGGGCCTGAAGGTCAGCAAATCATTGCTCGAGATGGTTGTCTTCCTAGTGCCACTTCATCTCTTCTAGACATGTCTCTTGTACAACTTTTATAAGCGAACTTTAAAACACGCACTCATGCACACATTGCAATTTTCGTGTTACATTAGATAAGCAACGACCCACCCTGTCCTGCGATTCGATTTGATAATTTCCGTAGTAACAATGAATGTCGGGAGCTATAGTGACCGAGCGAGGGAAAAACGACTTATATACTTTGCATGCTATAATGATACACGTTTAGCGAATGCCTCACCAATTTGAGCTCGGACCTCATAAACCCTGCATTGAAGCTTATGGAGCAAAACAGCATATCGATCGTGATCAATGCTACCTTACAAGACATCGAATGAAGTTTCCGATTGCAAGCGTATGAGTTGGTTCCAAACATCCTGGTGTGTACGGTAATAAAGGATTGTTAGCCAAAATCAAATCACCGATATTGCCAAATTCTTAGAAACTAATGCACGACACTATTCAAGCTGGAAGTAACAACAACACCACTAGTACATGCTATATAATACACACTACCTTGCTTTGTAAAATCATTTACATCGCTAACATACCAATTTACTTATATTGTCTTGGTAATGACATTCCATATCACAAATCAAAATTTTCCTCCTCTGATGCATGATTCCTTTGGAAGGCATGACCATCAGCCGCAGTATTAAAGTCAAAGTCAAACATGACTAACAACCGCGAAACCGCGTTGCCAAAGTATGTTTTGAAGACGCCTATTGCTAAGATTTATGGTCGTTTCAAAAAATTTATATACATAGTTGCGCCCATGCTGCACACATGATTATGCTTTGGTCAAGACGACTTTAACAATAGTTGCTCTTAGTAATCATCATTTCCAAAATGGCCTCGATAATGTTGTTAAGGCATCAGCTTCCAATATTTCAGTCTCGAGCTTACGGCTTTTTTCTAGGTTCATATATCGTTCGCCTCTCTGTACTGAAGCAATTTGTTTCTGCAATTTTTGCCGTAGTGGTAGTTGAGATAGCCCGTCATCAATTAAATTCGCACTACTTGTTAAAGATACCCATGCGCGGGGAAGAAAAAAAGTACTATCTAGTACGAACAGAGCGCTATCCATGCAGTATGTACAACTATGTCAGAGTACAGTAGTTTTGCTGCGTTACTGTTCGTTTACATTAGACTTTTCATCTCTAGATTCTTTTATATCACTTGATAGAAAAGACTCTTGTAGCCCAAATGAATGCATAAATTTTACGCCTTACATATTGAGCAATGGAAATAACACATGCTTTGCGCTGTTGTTGTTCGTTATCTTTTACAGCTATTTCTTCCCCGGAATCAATGCTGAAAAACACTCACCCTTGCTATCTCTTCGTTCATGTTTGTTGGTGTTCCTGTTTTGATTCCTTTTCGCCCAGGATTTGTTTGCTTAAGGACATCGTAGTCCACCTCCATGCCACGCATCATTGCTTGTATGTACACATACCGAGGGTCTCCTTGTTTTGGTTATGCGTCCAGATGGGCCGTTTGTACGGATTCTATTGAATTGTTATACACTTTACTGTATTGCACATCAACGTTATTGTAGCGTCAGTAATGTCTCTCTTGCAGACTATCTACTCTGCAATTTGTTCGGCTACAAGGTGTTTCATCAATTGTTCATAACAGAATGGGAAAAGGGCACGTCTCGCTTGAGCGTCGATTGATACCGCAAGGCGTAAAAATCAGCGTGTCCAGCCACGTACAGGATGAAATTGAACTTCCACCTACAGTAACAGCATTGAGCGGCGTGTATGATCGATGAGATGATGGTGCAAAGACGGGAAGCACCGCATTTAGGTATGTAGATGATAGCTGCCACGGTTTTCTTCCCCAAATATGATACACGACGTTTTTTTTCCAATGGTTGTTCGAGATATTTAATGATTACCCTCATTACATTTAAAAAACCATTCAACGCAATTTTGGATGTTGACCAACGTCGGCAGATCACGTTGTGATTACCTTATTTCCACCGCCCATCTTGTTCCTTTGATTATGTATTTGATGATATGCTACTGTCCACACATTTATGGTATATGACCAAAGGATTCCCCAAACATCATAATCCACTGCTGGAAAAACTTCCATTGAAATCTAAGAATTATGAGTATTTCTGTTTAAGCGACGATCCCTATTGGAGGGACAGATAGTCATTTCGGCGCTCATTATCAGTCGTCGCCCACGGTATGCAATGTCTTTGAAAGCGATCCAAAGACGAAGTCCTTCTTGACCTATTGGTAAAGGTGACATGGCTTCGTGAACATTTCCGTACACTGACCGAATCAGTGGCTCAAACCAAAAACGTAGCCTTGGAGCGTCCATTGTACGGCAAGCCCTACATAAAGACGCATGTAGTCCAAGAGCAAACACATATTACTATCCCTGCCAACTTTAATTGATATGCCACCTTGCCACCAGTCAATGCACCAGTCGTGAATGGAATTGCTGCTTGAAGAAGTCTTGTAGTGAAGAAGCTGCTCGTCCCCAGCACACTTTTCTGTGGCATTTAAAGACAAGACATGGTAAAAATTAAGCGGATCGTAATTTATACCAAAAGGGACTATATGTTAAGCTGAGTGGGACGTAATGCACAGTAAACGGTGCTCTTAGCGTATATAAAAAGCAACTGCAAAAGAGCAGGATGTTTCTCTCGGGCTTTATTATAACAGCATTAATTCGGCAACGACAAGTAGTCTATAAAAAGACGATCAGAGACACAATGTGTATTTTGCTGTAGAAATAGGCAACAATAGGGGAAAGTTCGCTACGTCTCTCTGTTTTTTTTATTACATAACAAAGGCTATGAACGCGTGGGCACAAATCCACACCAACGACAAGCATAATGGACGTAAATCAGCAGGAAGCAAAGATAGTCTAGGAATGAGGAAATCAGGAAGAGCGCAACACAAATCTTTCTTTTTTGGATAGTGACAAATTTACGCGTCTGTGTCAAACCTTAAACGTCCCAAAAGCTTTCCCCTGAAACGAAAACTATGTAGAGTGAAAGCGCATTGTGACGCAACGATTTGGCCAATTGACTTTGCACTCGAAACGCACAAAGGGATGGCGAGTGAGCAAGGTAATAATTGGAGCAACGAATCACGCGCAAAAGTGTCAAAGCTGGAGGAAGTCATCGTTTGTAGTGTTATTCTACTGATCGTCCCCATGGATCTTGAACGCTGCTCAAGAGTACGTAGAACCGCACAAAATCAAACGAACTGATTTACTTTATCGGCAGCAATGAAAAACAATGAAGGATGAGTCGATTTCACTAGCGGCAGCGTATACTCACCATGAGCGGGCCAACTTGTCTGCAGCAGCACATACTTGGGATGAGGATGGAATTTTTGCAGCAGCAGCATAAACTGAGATGGAGGGTGGGCACCTCCTCACCAGCAGCAGTATAAATTCGAGACGGAGGGAAGAGGTTACACGGCGTAGTTCAAAGAACTGTTCTTGGCGGATGGCGAAAATGGTTGACGAGCACAGTTTAAGATAAAAGGCAACGGGTCTTTTTCATTTAGTGCAGCGTTGGGGTCAAGTGTGTGTTGTATCTATGCCCGCACACGCACAATATTATGCACCACACATACAATCAAAAGATGCTAATAAAATGGAATGGTACTGGACTACGCTCTATACTGTTTACCTTGTTGGGTGAAGAATAGAAACTGGCTGCTGGGAGGATCGTGTCCTTGATATTTACTAAACAGCTAATGCCGGAGAGCCTTTTAGGTTGTTTACCCTTGTCAGTCATTACCATATTGCCATTTTATTGCTCGCAGAAAAGCGCCTTTTCCGTGAATCTACACGCTCATTCGCATTCGTGTCTTTGTTTTTGCTTGACACGGTGCCGTGCACGGCCCACTCACAAACAAGCGCCGATACCATCGGAGGGTACAGCTCCGCATGGTGAGAGACACGTACCACTACCGCCGAAGCACGCTAGTCTACTTGACCATCGGGTATACCATTCCTTTCATTTCCTTTGGTGCTGTATGTTTTGTTATGTCATAGTAGGCAACCCACAAGTTGACTCGCAATCCGTTATCCGGGCCAATGAGAATTCACGGGGATTTGAAGTCCCGAACGAGAAAAAATGTCTATATAAAGCGAGCAATTTCGCCTTTCTTTTTTCTCTTCTCTTCAGTTCGTTTTGGTACAGCTTTGATCTGTAGTACAGATTCACTGTTTGGTGCCCTGATCGGGTCATTGCTTGTGCTGGCGATTGTCAAGAGGATTCTGAGGATTGGCCGGATTCAGTGGTCCGGTCATAGGAAATCTTTTGCAATGTACTAGTGGGAATGTGGACACGTACCTTCGGGTATGTGGTGGGATAATTAAAACGAACTTTTTATTTTTTATTAAACACAAATAAACAAAATGATAAACAAAATAAAACAATCTTTTTCTTTTCGCACTCTTCTCATAAACGTTTTGCCGCTTTATTTTTTTTGCTTTGCCTTTTTTTCATGTGCTTGACAAGTTCCTTATTTTTTTGCCCACCCACAGTTCCGTGCTAAACAAAGCGGGGAACAATGACAGACGACAGTAACACGATCACAGCGCGCTTTATCACACTTTGACACTCCTTTTCACCTTCTGTGTTCGCCTAAATTGCTTGTTACCACGGATATGGTGCGACCCTCCTTGTAAAAAGGGGTTATTTTATAAGAGGCAACACCACAGAGCATACGCCAACAGAAGTCTGTTTTCAGCTGCTAGTCCCTCTCTCTCTCTCTCTCTCTCTCTTCCTGCGCGTAGCTTATCACAACAGGATTTTCTTGTCATTTTGGTTTTCACCTGATTCAGATGCAGTAAATTGCGCCTGTTTTCAAAGAAGCGTGATTTTGAGCCAAACGTCACTTCCAAGAGGCGACAAGAAGGCGATAAAGCTTGCGCAATAACCGTGCAAATAGCTCTTATGCAACATGTTGACCGCGTTGTAAACTCTTTGGTCTTTTTGAATTTGTATTTTTCAGTAGATCGATCATGACGCCTGTACTATACATGTAGTTTGATGTTAGTGAGTGGTTCTTATGTGAGTGTGCTAAGAAAACATTAAAGGGAAACAAAGAATCGGCAGTGCTAAGGTCAATAATAATGGGTAGATCTCGCTTGCATACTTTGATTTATGTATAGATACCTGCTTAATAGAAGTACTGAAGTTTGAACGGCGCAAATGGATGCCTTCAACTCAACAAACCATCTACTAAAGGAGCCATTTTGCTCGTCTTTTTCTCGAATGAACTTGCACCTGATGAATATGTGATTCCATTACTGCATCAGTATTATCATTGCTGTCTGGATTCTTCCTGTTGCTTTGCTTCTTGATTGAGCTATCATCGCTGCCATCTGATAATTTTATCATATGTAAGCTCGACACATCAGTAACAATTATCAAGACACATATGTCACGTCTTTGGAAACCACACTGGTAATACATATTGCTATACAGTATGCAGACTGCGTGTGAACAAAAATGATATCGTTTCCTTGCTGCAATTTTATAATGATGCACCCGATAGGGTCTCCTACTAAATGTTCATACGCGCGAACATTTTCTGCGCCATCTAACAACAGCAACAATAATACAAAGTTGGGTTGAAAGAAAAAAGTATTGTGTACATGTGTCGTTTAGCCATTTTACCGTCCAGTTTGACAGAAACAACAGCCTGCACAACTTTGACAACAATGTCAGTACCGTATGGATCGGATGCTAGTGAACTCACTGTAATGGTGCGTGCTACTGTATACGCCGGAACGAAAGAAGAAAAAAGACTAACCTGCTGGCATTTAATATATTATGTAAGAGAAACATCAACAGTACATTGAAGCTCGCAATTGGCCAGCATTGTCAAGGATGCTCCTTCCACTCCTTTCAAATATCTCCCGCATATTTGTCGCCTGCCATACTACGTTCCCTCTAGATATTGCCTGTCATTCACTACTGCTGCGTATTAATGTGGCTTCTTTGCTATTGTTGCTGTTGCTACTGCTGGTTGTAACAGCTCGCTTTCTCGACAATTTTCCTCCTCTGTGCTTCGATTTAGCAACTGTTCGAGAGCTTGGCTGACTCTGCTCTGTGTCCTGCGCAAAATAGATCGCCTCAGCCATACAGGCGTTGACTATGATGAACCGGACATAGAACCTGCTCCAGAGTATGCCCTTCTCTAGACACACACACACGAGTATTATACTCGTCCTTACAGCATATTTCATGGAAGTGTCCTTCTTCTCGTCCTCATTCTCTCTTGGCTAGTTTACCAGCATTTTTTACCATCGATTTCAAACATCCGCAGTTTCTTCCCAACACTAACCTTTTTCTCATTATACGAGTCTTTTTTTTTCAGATGTGCGGTATCACTAATACGTCAACAGTCCCCCCTTGAGGGTATGCCCGCTTGTTTCATCCCCTTATATCTATAATACCTTCAGAATTCCTTCGTCTCCCATTGGCTGGTAGATTGCCTAATGGATGTTGCCACTTGGCCATTTTCAACCCATATGTACTGAAATACATTTTGTTTGAACTGCGAATATTGGGTTTAATCGTATTAGCACAGAAGGAACCGGAGACATCATCCAGCAGCAATATATACAAAAGTCATAGCAATGTAAGTCCATTTGCAAGTACATGTGATTCATACACGGCCTCCATGTTGTGTTGATATTTAATATTTTAATTTTAATCGTGTGAAGAAAGCATACTGTCTGAAACCTTCGAGTTCACTTGCGAACGTTCGATGCAATGTAAGATGCTAAACAGCCGATCAGTTTTATACGTGGGGGTGTATAGAAAGAGAGCAATTAGCTGCATGAAAAATAATTAGAGTATGAAGTGTGTTCTAATAAGATGACTAAGTTACGTTGACTGTGCATTATTCGTTGTATATTACATGTAAGGTGGTCCTGCCAGTATAAATTGGTGGTGGTGTGAGAAATGCTACACAATATCATCCAACCACGCTATAGTATTTAAAATGGTTTTGTAGAGCAGCACTATCCGGGATTTAGCGTAGAGAACTAGCCGAGTCCGGCAAAAGGCGGCTGTATGGTGCCAAATTGGTGATTACATTGCCGTCATCCTCTCACCCAGCATCGTCGAGTGAGAATATAGAGTGTTTTAACCTTGGCAGGAGCCAAAAAGTACTGGTTACTATGAATATCTGAATCGCTGTTGAGAAAACGTAAACAGATGAGTTCAGCGTTACTGTGGGATCACATCAAAACAAACTATGCATATCCAATTTTGTGTTCACCAACAATGCTGCGCTCGTCGTTAAAACACATGTCTGGGATTGAAACTTTAGCAGTGTTGTGTAAGCGTGCGACAGAGAAAGATGGAACGAGAGACAGACAGTTTTCCTGTAGTCCCTCTTTTTTTTTCTTTTCGTTTCTGTTTATCACGGCTTTAAAAAAAATACAAAATTGTTTTCCATGGAATCACCAGAAAATGTGCAACTGCTACAGCGACAAGCGATGAATCGGTCTAGCTTTTATATGCTACTTTTTCTATTTTCTTTACTGTTTCTTAATTTCTCAGAAGATGAGGCGACACGACGAGGGCGACCGACAGTAGACGATTTACTTGAATCCTATAAGTTGGAAAAAGAATCCTTAAATAACGTCACATTTGGCGTCAATAATACACATGTGAGGCACACTTGATTTCTCCTGCGATATGAATATTATTGTGTTATTAAGCATAAGAAGAGGCATTAATGATAATGACTCAATATGTATCTATGCAGCCCTTGTCATCCGATATCAATACCAAAGTCCAGCAGCTGCACAATCATAATCCAACCTCCCATTATTATCACAATGTTACCGGTGTTTTCAGAGGTAAAGAATACAAGAGCGCTATTCCTGGCATCTGGCGATTCATGTATGGAGATGGGGAGCGGATGATAGGCTCATTGAATGTGTCTCAACAGGAACGTGGCAGAGTGAAAACGTGACAGTCCCCGACATCGATGTTTCGAACAGGACATTGGAAGAGGAATCGAGAGGAAGCTTTCATATCAATGATGGGGGATCATACGCATTCAATATAAAGTCCATTGCTACAAGTGATGAAAGTGTCAATTTTCTAGAGGTAAAGCCATTGTTTGTACACAACAGTAGAGTGGTTTTTTTCAGCCCTTTTTTCTCAAGCTGGATTCTTGCTGTAGGGCTACATGCGGCTCAAAGATGCAGAAAAAACAGATTATGGCGCCGTACTGCAGGCAGGAGGTGTCCATTTTCTAAGCAATGGCAGCATATATCTTATAGGTGCACCAGATGGGTAAATGAATCATTTCCAAGTTCTAGGTTGATAATGTGACATCCTAACATTGTTAATCCCACCTTCCACCTTCCACCTTCATAGAGCAAACTATGAGTTCGAGGAATTGTTGCACATGCTACCGACCAACCAATCTATGACCAAGACAAGGGCAGCGTTGATAGAGCAAATTGACAAGCGCGTTGAGGAGTTAAAGACACTAGCGTCCTGGGGTGATCAGATTGAAGATCGTGGTTTGTTTTCTCCCGTTCTTCTAGTATCGCTTGCCTTCTTATTACAAGCTACTTACAGTCTCTACTTATCTAGAACCGCCGATGTCTGTAAACTTTGGTTGTTCATTTCAAATGTTTGCTCAACTACACCCTGTACCATCAGATGTAAAGTTACTACAGCTCTTGGAATACGAAAAAGGTTCGTAAAGTATCCTTATCCCTCTTCCTTCAAAGTCTGTAGTATAATGCATATGTAATAACAATTTGAAACAGAGCTGGAAAATCCCCAAGGCATTAGCACGATTCGTCCTCCTCCTCTCACAATGTCGGCCGTCATGTATTCTCCCAATTGTGGGTTGGCACTTACTTCTGATGACGGCATCGGCGCCAAAATCGAACGATACTATAGTAAAGCAGTTTCCTACGCAACCATGGCAAGCGTGTTGGCTATAATTCAGATATTCGCTTTGATCCACCAGATGGAATATACCCCCACACCTTCGGTAAGTTCAGAAATCTCTTTTGTGTGGCACCCAGTAAAAAACAGAATTGTAACGTAAAATAACGCGTCGTATTTTTAAAAAAAACTAGAGCGTCTCAAATGTCTCCTACTGGACAGTTGCTATGCAATCCATGATGGATGGCTACTTGAGTTTGTTGCACCTAACGACAGGCGTTGTCATTGAAACGGTCTTTATGCCATTTGCCACTGCTGCGTTCTTTAGTTTTGTTTTGGTATCGGTATTTGGCATGCGCTATTTGTTACTAATATGGCGAATTCAGCGGCCCGAGAGTGCGCGATCATCGCCTTCCAACAACAACAATAACAATAGCAATAATGATGATAACGGAACAACAGCAAATGGCAACCAAGAAGAACGAGGAACTATCTTACCCCTCGCTAACCGACCACAACCAACACCGCAGCCTGTTTCCGATCCACGACGTGACATCAGTGCACTGTATTATAGAATGTGTAAGCTTTTGTAGACATGCTTACTTTTTTTATTTTGCTGGACGGGAGGTGAGAGATGATAAAGACAAAAGTAGGAAAAACTGATATAATAATTTTTTCATATAGACGCGCTTCTGTTGTTTGGACTGTTCCTATTCTATCAAACGGCAACACGTTCTGCATTTGTTCAAAGTATTATTATCGGAACCTTAGGCTTTGGTTTTTATTCCTTCTGGATACCTCAAATTGTGCGCAACATTTTACGCGGCTGTCGACGACCTTTGAGCAGACGCTATGTGATCGGCATGAGTGTCACTCGTTTGGGAATACCTCTGTGTAAAGAACGCTCCGCTTTTGTTTTTTTCTATTTCTTTTACGTTACAGCGAATCGCATAGTCCGAGATGAAACTCACAAGTTACTCCTAAATAGATTTCTATGGTTGCCCAGAAAATCTGATTGCACACGAACCATCGCCTTGGGTGTGGGCATTAGTAGGTTACGTAGCCTTGCAGGTGTTTATACTTTTCCTCCAAGATATTCTGGGCCCACGATTCTTTGTGCCTGAGAAGGTAAGTAGTTAAGACATGTATAAGTCTTGGGAAAAGGAAAAAAAAAACTAAATCAACGTATATATTCTACAGTATCTACCGCAAACATACAATTATCACCCTGTATTACCTGTCGAAGACGAGGAAAATGTTCAGGAAAACAGTGACAAGTCACGACACCCGCGGGATTGTGCAATCTGTATGCTTCCTGTCGATACATCCGCTAGTGGTCCAACTGGGCTCCATGTCCTTGGACGGGCGCAATACATGCTAACCCCTTGCCAGCATTTATTCCACACCGATTGTTTGGAGAAAGTAAGTAGTAACTCAAGTAGTAACTTATGATGAGATGATCTTGTCAACTTTTTCTTTGAATTAATCGCATATATTTTCTTCTTCATACCTAGTGGATGCGCATTAAACTGGAATGCCCTGTCTGCCGCTCGTATCTCCCAGCATGTTGAACATAATATTAGTAAAAAGAACTCCACTATATATCCCACTTTTTTTCCACTCTAGTCACCAAAAGTCCTTTCATTCCCCTTCCATCTGCTAAAGACTTCTTCTTTGAACAAGTCAATCTTTCTGTACATGTTCCTTTCTTTCTTTCCATACTACGTCACGATCAGTTTCTTTTTTGCTTTCCCTCCTTTCTTGTTTGTAAAGTTTTAATATTACATTGTTGTTAATTGTCTTTCTTTTCTTTGTATATCGTAATATGTTCTTCTATACAGTCGTATATCCGGCCGTCAATTAATTAGTGCATTTAGTGCAAAACATTGACCGGAAAAGTTTGCGAAAGAAGCAGTGGCAGAGGTTGTGACATATTTGAAGTCTCTGCAAGATTGTGCTTATTATAGCATCATTGTTAACGACATACATAAAGCAAATTTTTTTTCTTAGGCGGCTTGGTACATCAATCCATTGAAACCGTAATGTTCGATAAGCTGAGTTACAGAAAACCGTTATGACAATGATTGAGAAACAGAGTGTTATATCAGCATGGTTTGGGGTTAAAACTTGGTATGTGTCCGATCCTGCAAGCACTCCAGCTAAATTAGCATACTTACACAACAGCAGCACCCATAAGCGGCGCTTAGAATATGCGTGTGACAATCAAAGAGGATTCATTCTTGATCTATCGCCATGACTGACAGTTTGTCAAGTGGAAAAGAGACTTGGTTTAGGGAAGGGGATGATCACACAATTCGATAATACCAGACAAATGATAGAAACACGGTACATAGACTTGTGAATCTTATGACGTAGTGGTGTAAGGAGAAACGCCAAGGCGGACTACAGACAGCCGATTTCTGCTGTTTCTGCTATATGTTTCTCATCATTCACTGGGCAAAGTTGGCGGGGTATGGACAAAATGCACCAATAAGAACTTTTTTTCGTGCATTTGGGAGTGTGAGAATAGGCTATGGTTGAATGGCAGTATTGGATGTATTGGATGTGTCCAAGAGTAAATTGAATGGATAATTTATGTGGCAGCCAGACATCCCCAATTAGTGGTATTTTGAACACAAGGTTCATTTAGCTGCAAGAAACAAGGTTTGCATCATAAACAGAACCGTTGCTATGCTACTGGCAAAGTTTAGAGCAACCAAGCAACGGGCGAATATACATTTTGTATAAGCTAACTCAGCAGCACCAGCACCAGCACCCCATAGTTTAGAGTGGTCTGCATCCTATTGTAGAAACCCAGCCTTTTTTTCTATTACATATTCTTTTCTTTTTTTCACTTGGTTGTGGCTGAAAAAAAAAGGCTTTTCTCTTTCACTTGGAAACCATAACAACAACAACAACGCAAACCACGACGATAGCACAGACCAATCGTATTCCTTAATGGACTTTAGTTCTTTAAATTTCGAAGACACGCACGATGTTTTCAAGAATGGTAGCTATCAGCTGTGTCCTACGACGCCAACCACGACCGCTTCGAGTCACCACCACCACCAAGAACAGCACCAGGATCAACACCAACAGAATCATCACCACCACCATGCCGACGTTTCTGTTGACTTTTTCGCATTCGCAGACGGCACTGCCGATTTTACCCACCTGACAGCGACCCAGCAACAACCACAGCAGCAACACCATGTGGACTATACCAATGTTCCGCACCTGACGCCCGATGCAGGCAAATTCACCAGCAGCAGCGTTTTGTCCGGAACGAATCCCGAGTACATGATGTCGCCTTTGCAGATTTCAACTACACATGGCGTCAACGGCTTGAATCCTCGACCCTATCATTTGGACGATATTGCTGGTTTCGGCGACGATGAGGTAACAACAACAGATGAATTTTGAGTATGCGTGTGTATTGATTAAGAAAGGACGAATTTGGTGTATCTCTGTATTTAGGACTTTCTCAGTCCCTTAGAATCGCCTGCCATTGCACCCACGACTATTACACAACACAATAATAGTAATAATAATACTTCTAATATTTACGATAATAATAATAATAATAATAATATCACGACGCATAACCACCACCACCACCACGATGCCATGGCTACAACAGCAGCAGCTACCAACGATACATTTTCACCACTCACATCCCCAGCACTTCAAGCAGTGCCTCCTCATCACCATTTCAACCAGTTAAGTAACGAACAATCACCAGAGAGCGTTTTGCAGCAAAAATTGGCCATGATCGAACGACAGCAGAACCAGCTACGGGCAGCACATCGCCACTTGCAAGGAAATCAGCATACCGGCAGTAGGAACAACATAATGCCTGCTTGTAGCAGTAGTAGTAGTAGCAGTAGCAGCTGCAACAGTACGACGAATGGCAGCAGCAGCAGCAACATCAATCATTCAGTAGTAGCTGCAACAGCAACGGCTAGTACGCTCCCCCCTACGAGTATGGGCGGACAGGAGATGCTACCGCCACCCTCGACATCTCCATCGTCGTCGTCCTCGTCACAACCTCCTGCATTGGCAGCTCAGGACGGGCGCTTCCTAGCACCAGCAACGCCGTCGTTACTGATGAAGCTAGGCCGCGGTACTGGCCAGCCTATGCCCAACCATGTTTCGCCTGCAGTCGACAATATGGCATCGTTGCCAGCCGCCATGCTTGAAGATAATAGTAGCAAGAACAGCAAGTCCATCAGCAAAAAACCGACACCGAAGCGACGGAAAACGGGGCGATCAACGACAGCAGCACCATTCACATCACCAGGGCTGGCCCCTATGGCTCACATGTCTCCACGGCCGAACACAGATCCGACGATTGCAGCGCTTGTATCACCTGCGGCCCTGCGGCCAATGCCAACCACCGCACCCATCCAATCGTCACCACGTGCCCTGAAACCACTGATCTCGCCCTCACTCCAGCCTAACGGCAAACGGTTATCTGCCATTGAAGAACAGGTGGCAGCGGCTGCACTGGCGACTAAAAGCAACTATCAGAACATGCGTGAGGGAAAAGCCAAGAGCCTGGGGATCGATTTCTCGTCGAGTTTCCAGTCGGGTGTGGAGAATCGACGGTCAGCGCACAAGGCAGCAGAGCAGAAACGACGCGATACGCTGAAACAAAGCTTTGACTCTTTGCGCAAAGAGATTGCAGACGCGCTGGTGGAAAAGGAAGAAGAGCTCAAACAGCTGCAAGGTGGAGAGTTAGAAGGGATAGAAGGAGCAGAAGGAGAGAATGAAGAAGGCAGCAGCAGCAGCAGCAGTTTATCGGTAGAGGAGCTCAAGAGTAACAAGGAAAAGGAAGTCAAGCAGATGAGCAAGGTCGTTTTAATACAGCACTCGTACGAGTACATCCTGCGGCTGAAAGCACAGAACCGGAACAAGGACGACGAGCTGAATAAGCTCCGGGAACAAGTTCGGTCACTCACGAGTCAGCTCAATGCCAAAGACGAAGCTGAGGGTGCGGAGTAAAATTATGCTTAGTTTTTTTTAGCTGCCCTTTCCTTCTCACTCCCACTCACTCCCACTCACTCACTCTACATAGCACACACACACACACACACACATACTCCCCTATTAATTTTTTTTTTCAACTCAGGGTTTTTCCCGCTTGCATCTCTTCTTTCTCTTTCTTGCTTTCTTTATTTTTTTATCATCATCATCATTAAAACTGCAAAGGAAAAACAACAAGAAAAATGGGCGTATTTCAAACCTTCTTCCAGTCGCATCAGCAGCAACAACAACAACAACAGCAACCTGCTACTACTGCAGTGAAGCAGTCATCGTCACCTCCTACTTCACCGCTGTCTCCATCGTATAGCAATACCAACATGGCAGAGCCTACCGATATCCTTCAGCAACAGCACCAGGAACAACAGCGGGGCCGGCAACAGCATCAGCAACAAAGCGGTCTTGCGGGAGATCGCTTTGTGGTGCATGCAGACAACAGCCACAGCCATCATTTGACAAGTCCCACGCCAAGCAAACTCACGTCGTCGCTCAACGGCATCGTGGACGGCTGGCGCGGGCTCTTGTGGGGCGAGGGCAAGATGTCACCCGACGCGCTCCAGGAAGAGCGGGATGCAGTCGACACGACGCTGAAACGTGCGCCCTCCAAAATTTATTTGACCCAAAAATGGGGAAATTGTCAGGAAATTATCGGCAGGGGAGCCTATGGAAAGATTAGAGTCATTCACAGAGACGCCACGTTCTATGCTGTCAAGGTAACTGGACCCCTTCTTCTTCTTCTTCTTCTTCTTCAAACTTGGGCTGTGAGAGGCACTTCTCTATGCCACATATAAGAACACATGTGAGGGTTTTCTTGCTATGCGTACAATCACATATACAAACCATCGTGCACACACACACGCACACACACAATACAAAAAAAAAAGGAATTTAGGAAAAAGAGTGGAGAGCAGACCAGACGGTTCGTCCAGCGACTTACGAGCGAATACAAAATCGCGTCGTCACTAGACCACAAACACGTCATACAAACGTTTGATCTGCTCCCACTGAGTGAAACATCTCCGGTCTACTGTCAGGTGATGGAGTATTGCGACGGCGGCGATCTGTTTGCTCTGATCTTTGAAGCCGCGGATGGCCTGATATCCGCAGAAGCCAACTGCTTCTTCAAGCAGCTCATCCAAGGCATCGACTATCTCCACAGCAACAACATTGCGCACCGCGACCTCAAGCCGGAGAACCTGCTGCTGACTTCAACCGGCTGCTTGAAGATCTCAGACTTTGACACGTCCACAAAGATCGTCCACAAGGACGACAACGGCGACCCAGTCCAGCATCATCAACAGCAGGCCGGGCTGGTCGGATCTGAGCCGTACATTGCGCCCGAACAGTTTGAGCCGTACGAGTACGACGCGCCGCCAGCGGATATGTGGAGCTGTGGCATTATCTACATGGGGATGCGCACGGGCAACCAAATGTGGCAAGTGGCTAAACAGGGCGATGACGAAGATTATGACCGGTACATCAAATTCCGCCAGCTCATTGACGGGGAGCGGCAAAAGTTCCGGCGCGAGCGGGCGAGTCTGCGACGCAGCTCAGAAGATCGAGAGGCAGAGATGGCGCGAGCACGAGAAACGATCAAACGACGGGCAAAGGAGGATGGATGTGATGTGTTTCAGGGCCTGGAGATGGGACCGAAACGGCTCATGTACCGCATCCTGGACCCGAATCCCAGCAAAAGACCGACGGCTCAAGAGGTCTTGCGTGCGAATGAGTGGATGGCCAGTGTCCCTACGTGTCAATCATAGAATAATTCCGCTTTATACCTATTATTACTACTATTACTATTACTACTTTACTACTCTCCTTCTTGTCACCATCATCTAGCTCCTAATATGATTATATCCTTTGTTGTCTTGTAAATATATTATCTTCATGTGCTGTAAACAACCACGACAGCAAAGGTCCACTCACCATTGTTAATATGTAGCCCACTAAACACGACTAAACTGACCGACTGCTATTTGTCTATAATAAAGTTTCATGAATTGTACGTGTGTATGTGTGTAGTACCCACAGCAATCAACCAAATATGGTAAGAAGAAGTTCTCTACGTCACCTTCTTTTTTTTTTTTCGCCATACGCACAGCTGAGCTTGCTTTTGCACCGACTGTTCCAGCAAATAGCTTGCCTTGCATCTTGCCGTGATCCCTTTTTTCCCCCCTTTTTCTTTCATTCGATCCATTCAAAAGAACAACCGTTAATCGAGTGTACACCAGCGAACAAACAGAAAAATTCAAAAAGAATACCAAAACAAGGTACTACTCCCTCCCCTCCCCCACCCCACCCCCCCACCCCACATTTTGTCCGCCCGACATTCTTGTTATTTTTTTTATGTCTAATAGGGATGCGCAGTAACTGACGACTTTGGCTGGGTCCATGTGTTTCAGGCCCACTTTTCCCCTCCCAATTCTCACTCTCTTTCACACACAACGTATACTCCCACTCCTACAAGCGCCCAAAGATTCCAGTGTCTGCCCATTAACGATACAATAAGAAAATAACAGCTGCAGTACAAAACAAAAAAAAAATCACCATGGCCCTGAGCGTTGCAGACACGTTGAATACTGAACTGGACATGACACCGACTGCTTTTACCCAGCTCGTAACCGAACGCCATACCTCCACCGAAGTAACCGAAGAAAAATACCAGTTGCTGAAGCGACGCCTCAAAGAGATCACAGAGGTAACGTTGATCAGACACAATTCAAAAAAAGGGTGGGCCCCCCGCCCGAAAAGAAAAAAAAAAGACTCATTGGGAAAGCTGCAGAAAAACGAATCGTTGACGAATGACCTGAGCCGAGCAAAGAAACGATTGAGACGTCTCGCCAAAGAGAAAAAGTTAGTGTTTTTGAAAAGGAGTCGGCTGGTGGGTAGCTGAGAGGGAAGGGTAGGAGAGGGTTAGAAAAGGGTCAAGTATGCAATTGACCGAAAAACGCCACTTGTTTTAGTATGTTGCTAGAAAGAATATGCAGATATGATCGAGGGCAGCAGCCGATGATGATCCCTAGTGCTGTCGCCACCCCTGGCACTACTATTATTAATGCTACTGCTACTACTGCTACTACTACTACTAACACCACTAATGCGACTACGACAAATACAACTGCAAGCACAGATGGTGCTACTACCGTCACCGACAGCGCTGCCGGTGCACAGCAAACACCGACGATGCACATGGACATTGATGATTCAGCAAGCACCGTCTCGGATCAAGCCTATGAGCAGCAAAGCCAACGTAATTTCAGTCGATGATCCCAATTGTGCCGTCCGTGCGCCTCTTTTGTGTGCTCACCAAATTTGTCTCTTTCTAGATTCACCGCCGCCATCACTACCGCCGCCGCACCCCACACATGATTTGTCACCTATACCATCCGCTCCTTGGCAAGCTCAGCAACACAAACAAGATGAAGAAGAGGAAGAAGCAGAACGGCGACAGTATCATCATCACCATCCACAAGAACAACATCGTCTGCCACCACCACCACCGCCTCTGCATCCTCCACCTGAAACTGCTTCTTACCGTCATCACCCTTCTCATCACCATCAGCAACAACCACAGCAACGTCATACCAACAGCAGCAGCAACCCATACCACAATCAACAACAACAACAACCACCAACGCTGCCACCCCCATCAGCACTGCAGCGGGAAGACCCGTATCGTCCTTCTCCTTCTCATCATCACCACCGCCAGCACCATCATCTTCATCATCATCATCATCATCATCATGATCGTCAACCCAATGTCGTACCTGCACCACCTGTACTGCCTGAGCCACCCACAGCAACAGCAGAAGCACCTGCACCCCCATTGGATTCCCCGCCACTTCCTCAGCCCACCTCGAACAGCTCATCTCCTCCGAGTTCCCAGGGCTCCTCATCGCAATCAAGCAGTCCCGCCAGGCCACGTGTGGAAGTAATGCTTCAAGACGGCCGCATGGTACCATCGTCTCGACCCAAACGCATGCGGCGTGGACCCGTGGAACCCAAGATGCGCCGTGTGCAGCCGCTTGAAAAAGACTCCGTTTCAGGAGAATACAAGCTGCCCGCGCGTGTCGGCATTCTTACGGTCCACTCCCTAGGTCGTGTCGTGCCCCTCCCCACCTACCACAATGATCGCTACATCTGGCCTCCTGGCTTCAAAGTGAGCAGGTAAATCAAACAACTTTAAGCTTTCCCACAATGGGGTAGGGTGGTACTAAAACCATGGATTGTTGTTGTAGAACGTACCTGAGCATGGTCGATCCAAATACCAATACTTCATATACGTGCTCGGTCGAGGAGAATGGCGAACAGGGTCCTAGGGTACGGCAAAAAGCTAAAAAAGCTTGAGGATGGCGTTGTCTGGTCTCTTTCACTTGGCTGTGAATGAAAGCTCACACTTGACACTTGTAAATGTATTAGTTCCGTGTGGTTGCTGAGGATTGTCCCGACCAGCCGATCATTGCCAACTCTGCAACCGGTGTATGGACTGCCATTGTCAAACGTGCCAATGAAATTCGACACAGGGATCATTCCAACTCGGGTTAGTTTTTAATTGTCCGGAACTTCTCAGGTGGATGCGTGCCTTGTAACGCTTGGGGTTGGGAGGGATTAAAGTGGTAACCACCCTCTGTTCATAGCTTCTGGACCTGACTATTACGGATTCACACACGCAACAATCGCCAAAATGATCCAAGATTTACCCGGAACTGAAAACTGTATCAATTACGTGTGGCAAAAGTTTGGCGTGATGCATCAACGGACTGCAGCGGGCGTCGCTGCGGCTGCACAAAAGAAGCTGACGAATTTGGAAATCATGGGAAGTGCAAACAAGCGACCGCCACCCCTTCATCAACAAGATCGAGACGATTTTACAATCATGGAGCATCCCGAAGAACAGATTGCAGCAGCAGCAGCAGCAGCAGCAGCAGCGGCAACTCATCCTGTAAAGATAGAGACACAACAACAGGAGCCCATCCGGTTGATCCAAATGCAGCAATCGTCAGCCACTGATACGTAGCCATTTCTCGCAGCTGTCAGAGCTGTATACCTTCTTCTTTCTCTCCTTTCTCTCTCTCTCTCTTTTATTTCTCTTGACCTTCTCTCCACTGTTCAAAGTTGCCTTTTTTTTTTTTACTTACAACAACCAAAAAGAGAAAAAGAACTGCCAACCCACTAGTGCTACCAAACCACAGCGCACCACCCCTGTATCTTTGCTGCTGTAACCTTTTAGATCTCTACTACTTCTGTCTATCTGTCTGTCTGTCTGGCTGCCATTTGCATTGTTCTTTTCTTCGCTCAGGGGAAAACGTAGTAGAAATTGCTGGTTCATTGTTTCCCCCCGCTGCTGTCACCTATTACAGCCATCATCCATCTCCTCAAGAAGCTAGAGAGAAAATAGATGCGTCCTCCTGTTTTTCTTTCAAAGAACAGCACTAAACTTCTTTTGTAAAAACCGGCAGTAAAGGAAGCAGGCAGATAATGGTTGTAAAGTTGCTTCATAGGCTATATTTTCGTTCCTGAATCTTCCCGAAATTGGAATTACACAGAGTTTCAAATTATCTAACAATGCATGATATTGCTCGATGATATATCATACATTTGTGGAAAAGATCGCATACATATTTTTTTAGCTATCAGCAAATGAGCTATTTCCATTCGGCAGTTTTGAAAGTGCTCTTCTGTGGTATGTGTGGAATATGTAGGAAAGGCTTCTGTCCTCTGAAGCTCAGCATTGCTGTATACACACGTATTTGGGAAATGCTTAACTCATAACGGCTTTTTATCATACATGTTAGGGCTTGGCTCAAGATTCATCAAGCGTTGTAACCTCTCGTGCCAACAAGACATACCTATTGCTGCGAGCCCCAGGATACATAACAGAGCCATCATACGGAAACGAGGATGATGACTGTTCGCTGTCCTTACAACAAGACTGCTGATGGTATTCACTATCAACCATGACAGTTACAAATACATAATCCCCACTGTAATAAATAATAAATCTTTGTATTCAAGAAACACAACAGTTAACAAAGTGACAGCACTGTCTGGAGCTGATAAAGAAAGGTATATATAGGGGTATATTGAAGCTCTTTTCGAAACCTACATACATACTACACCTGTATAAGATGTAACGCAGAGCTTATACTGTACAATAATTGAACGAAGCATTAGTCGATCACTTTTACATAGGGAGAAGGGTGCATATAATAAAGGTATTTTATCCACAAGCATGTTTTCGGTGTCTAGTACAATACTGTATGTTTTCTCCACAGAAAGCATATGAACCTATTGCACTCCATACTACTCACTCTCTATGATATCTACAATATAAAGGGTATGCTGCTGCTGCCAGTAAGTTTATATTAGATCAAGCGACCAAAGTGTAGAGTAATGTCAGTGACTCATAGCAAAAATGCCTACTACTGATAAAAAAATCTTCTTGTGATCGTATAAGTACTATTCCCGACGAGAACTCATTTTACTAAACCTACTTTGCTATATACTGATAAAAAAAGTGAAATAATTCACCTGCAAGCTTTTGCAACAATAAAAGTGTAGCTTCACCGCTAAGAAGAAGCACGTAGCAAAAGCTATCTGATTACCCCTTGATCCGTATATTCCTACCGAATACCAACAATAACCAAGTGCAATGCAAAATTCAGTTGTCGACCTATTGGTTCGTTGGAAATCAAAAAATGAAACCTATTATACAGGATTCAAACGTTGGCTCTCAAAGTGACGGCGGATTTCGTACCTATTTTTTTTCATTTCGACCGCAGTTTTGCATATTCTCTTTTTTTTTTTGTTCATTGCCAAAAATAAAAAAATTCACAATGAGCAGTGAGAACCCTTACTTGGCTCATTTGCCACCTTCGCAACGCAAAGCTGGAGGCAAAAACAATACGGATGCTTTCCATGGTCTGGTGCCGCGCAAGACCACAGCTGAACAAGCCGAAAAGCTCGAAAACGGCACGTTTAATCCCTACACCAACAAGCCTTATACTGCACGCTACCAATCGATCTTGGAAGGCAGACGCAAATTGCCCGTCCATGCCCAACGTTCCGAGTTTCTTGAAATGGTGCACTCGAACCAGTTCGTTGTTCTTGTGGGTGAGACTGGTTCCGGTAAAACAACACAGTAAGTCAGATCGATGGATCCCTCAACACAATGTTTTAGCATTGTGTGAGATCTATCCTTGTTCTTTGTGGATGCTTTTTGACAGATCAGGGGTTTTTTTTCTAACAGTACTTTATATTTTTCTTTTTGACAGGATCCCACAGTTTCTTGTGTACGATGAGTTGCCCCATTTGAAGGGCAAACAGATCGCCTGTACTCAACCTCGTCGTGTCGCAGCAATGTCAGTGGCCCAGCGTGTGGCCGACGAAATGGACGTTGAATTGGGTCAGGAAGTTGGTTACAACATTCGTTTCGAAGACAACACGAGCCCAAAAACCTTTTTGAAATACATGACCGATGGTATGCTTCTTCGTGAAGCCATGTCTGATCCCAAGCTGTCTCGTTACTCTGCCATTATTTTGGATGAAGCTCACGAACGTACGCTTAACACGGATATCCTGATGGGCCTTTTAAAAGAGGTAAAGGATCCTACCGCGGAAAATCTAGCTAGTTGGAGAGGTCAAAGAAAAAGAGAGAGTGAGTGTGACTAATTTGTGCTTATTGTTGTTAGATTTGCAGGACACGTAAGGATTTGCAAGTCGTTGTTATGTCTGCTACTTTGGATGCAGGCAAATTCCAGAAATATTTTGACAATGCACCATTGCTGGTAAGGAGCGACATGGGATAGCCAAGCCGTAAGCTTGCAAAGATAGGAAGACTAATGAGAAAACAACTACTTAGACGGTTCCCGGTCGTACTTTCCCTGTCGAAATTTACTACACACCCGAGCCCGAGCGTGATTACCTTGAAGCAGCCATTCGCACTGTTGTCCAGATCCACGTCAGCGAGCCCGAGGGCGATATCTTGGTCTTTTTAACGGGTGAAGAGGAAATTGAACAGGCATGTCGCAAGATCAAGGCCGAAGTCGACGAACAAATCCGACAAACGGACTGCGGTCCGATCAAGGTCGTACCACTTTACTCGACACTGCCACCTTCTGCACAGCAACGTATCTTTGACCGTGCACCACCGCCACGCAAGCCTGGCGGCACGCCTGGTCGCAAGGTCGTTGTCTCGACCAACATTGCAGAAACATCGCTTACCATCGATGGTATCGTGTACGTCATTGATCCCGGCTTTGCCAAGCAAAAAGTGTACAACCCTCGTATCCGTGTCGAGTCGTTGCTTGTCTCGCCCATCTCCAAAGCAAGTGCTCAACAGCGCGCAGGTCGTGCAGGTCGTACACGGCCCGGTAAATCGTTCCGTCTGTACACCGAAAGTGCCTTTAACAAGGAACTCATCGAACAGACATACCCGGAAATTCTGCGAAGCAATCTGGGCTCTGTCGTTCTTCAGCTCAAGAAATTGGGTATCGATGATCTTGTCCACTTTGACTTTATGGATCCTCCAGCGCCCGAGACCCTCATGCGTGCCTTGGAATTGTTGAATTATTTGGGTGCTTTGGATGATGACGGCGAGTTGACCCCCACGGGTGAAATCATGTCAGCTTTCCCGCTTGATCCCCAGCTGTGTAAGATGCTCATCGAAAGCCCCAAATACCGATGCTCCAACGAGATTCTCTCCATTGCTGCTCTCTTATCAGGTAATCATTTGTCTTTACATAAAACTTTTCAAGATATCTCCGTGCGTGTAGGGAGGGTTTGCTGACTTGATTATCACTAGTTCCCCAGATCTTTATCCGTCCCAGCGAAGCACGCAAGCTTGCCGATGAAGCCAAGGCCAACTTTACACATGGCGACGGTGATCACCTCACATTACTGAACGCATACCATGCCTACAAGACCAACAACGACAGCGGCGACTGGTGCTGGGAGAACTTTTTGAACCATCGATCGCTCAAGAGTGCCGACAACGTCCGACAGCAGCTGAAGCGTACCATGGAGACGTGGGATCTGGATCTTGTGTCGACGCCGTTTGAAGATAAGGCTTATTTTACCAACATCCGCAAGGCCATGACCGCAGGTTTCTTTATGCAGGTGGCACATTTGGAACGCTCGGGCCATTACTTTACCATGAAGGATAACCAGCCTGTCCAACTCCATCCATCGAGCGGTCTTGGCCACAAGCCCGAATGGGTCCTTTATCATGAATTCGTATTGACTACGCGCAACTATATCCGTACTTGCACCGAAGTAAAGGCAGACTGGCTCTTGGATATAGCCCCAAACTATTACAATGTAAGTTGTTGTTGGCTTAATATATCATTATGAGAAGACAAAGATAAAGCGTGACTAATACATTGTCTGGTAATAGATGGGCAATTTCCCTCAATCGTCAGCGAAACGCGCGTTAGAAAAACTGATGAACCGGCGGGCGCGTGTGGTCGACGAAGATAGAAATTCCAAAAAGAGAAGAAGCTAGATTTTGTTTCCCCATCTTGAACCGTTTTTCATATTACAAAATTCCTTTGCATTCATTATTAAAACTGTACCTAAATTCCCTTAGTGGAAAGAAAAAAGAGATGAGCTCTTATCACTGCATATTATCATTCCACTGTCTTTTTCCACTGGTTAGCTGGCTGTCATTAGTATCTGTTGTGTGGATACAACACGCCAGTAAAAGCTTTAGATATCATGGTGCGATGAGTTGCTGCTATGATGATACCATAGCACAGAGACATATCAAATCAAAAGTGGCGGATGATTAAGGTGGATGGGCTGCTGTTACTGACCAAGCAACCGCACGTTACGAGCGGAGTTGTGGTCGTGACTCCTCGCCCTTATTACTTTGGGCGTGTATACGCACACCCAAAGGTACACGTAATAACCTATTTTTTCTTCTCTCTCTCTCTTTTTACCTATTCTTTTCTCTCAAGTCATTGACCATGGCCGATCGATACAGTTTCTCACTCACGACCTTTTCGCCTTCGGGTAAGCTGGTCCAGATTGAATATGCATTCAACGCTGTTTCTCAGGGTGTGACCAGTGTTGGCATCAAAGGTAAATCATTATGGGGGAAAAGGGGGATTGGAAGACGTGTGTATTTTTAAACTGCATAACTGTTTCAAAAAAAAAAAAATTGAGATTCACATTTACTTTTGGGCATGTCAACGACCCGATACGAAAATAACTACTCTAGCTACCAACGGTGTCGTTATTGCCACGGAAAAAAAGTCAGCCTCCAATCTCGTAGACGATTCGACTTTGGAAAAGGTAGCAATGATTTGCCCCAACATTGGCATGGTGTATTCAGGCATGGGCCCTGATTTCCGTGTCCTGGTGTCCAAGGCGCGCAAGGCTGCACAACAATATAAACGGGTGTACATGGAAGAGCCACCAACGCGTATCTTGGTTCAAGAAGTAGCAAGTGTCATGCAAGAATATACCCAGAGCGGGTAAGCTTCTCATTATAATCCATGTTTGTTTCCAATGTGTGTATACTGACAGGATGATATACATTTTTTCAGTGGTGTTCGTCCCTTTGGCGTGTCGTTATTGATCATCGGCCACGACGAAGTGACTGGACCCTCGTTATATCAAGTAGACCCCTCTGGCTCGTACTGGGCATGGAAGGCTAGCGCAATCGGAAAGAACATGATCAATGCAAAGACCTTTTTGGAGAAGCGGTAATGAAATTGGGTGTGAGGCTTGACACGATGTTTTGTGTAAGTTTTGGATGAAACTAAATCTTGTGTGTATGTGGCTCTAGATACAACGAAGAAATGGAACTTGAAGATGCCGTACACACTGCTATCCTAACAGTAAGCAGCAGCCTTTTCGTTTTATTTGTGTGTGGATGGAGAAACGTAAAGATGGATGATTTAACCACACACCGTGTTTTTTCACAAATTATAGCTCAAGGAAGGCTTTGAAGGACAAATGACGGAAAACAGCGTAGAGATTGGCATTATTGGCGAAAGCACAGTGGGTGTGTATGGTGGTGAGCGAAAGAAGATGCCATTGTTCCGGAAATTGAGCTTGAACGAAGTTCGAGACTACTTGGCAAACATTGCTTAAAAAAAGAGAGACCTGTTTTTTTCTAACCTTTCCTTATTTCTACGCGCGCCTCTTCTTCTTCTTCTTCTCCCCCACCCATATAACTCACACGAACCACACATACGCCATCATTTTATTAAAAAAACTTCAATCACTCTTCTTGTGTTTTTTTTAATGTCTCTTTCTCTTTTCACAAGAGAAATTTTATAAAGTCTTTTCTTCTTTATACATCTCGTTCATAAAACAGCATGTATGCTTCACTAGACAGTACAGTTTCCAAATCTACTTCTTCTATAAGCTCGTCACTGCATCGCCAGAACGTCGTTGGCTTCTTTGGCTCCGGGTCTTCTTCTCCCGGTGCTCGACGCACATCCTGACCCGTGGGTAACTTCTTGCGCCGGTATGTGATGAAATGGCCCGACTCATGGCCACCATAGTGAACGATCACCGCAGTGAGTCGATACGGGATGGTGCGGACAGTCGGCATGGACATGGAAGGTAAGGCATTGTGCACCACCTCCTCGTCCTTGTTCACCAAGGCCACATTCAACCCGTCGCGTCCATGAGCGAATCGATGGCCAGCTGCCATATTGCGCAGGTACACCAGACTCGTCCGACTGATACGCGATTGCGACATGCTGCTGGTCGGTGGCGGTGGTGTGCTCAATGCAGCGGCTGGATCGCTCGTGTTGAGGAATCCATTGGTGGTGTAAGGTGCCAAGTCGAGGTATTCCGAGAACTTGACGTTGCAATGGTTCTTTTGGACGATGCCAGACGGATGATACACGGATCGTGACAGATGGAAACACAGCGACTTGGGCGGGTTGGCCAACATTGTTTGTTTGGTTGTGCACGAGGTTGTCCTTGGTGTCACTAATGGAATGCCCGGCTACGAAAATCACGATGCCCGGTTAAGTTAACCTTTCCCTTCCCATTGTTTTTGAAATGTTTAGATAGCATGTTGTAAAAACAAAACACTTACTAAAGGAGCTTCTACGTTGTATTTCATGGCATCCTTGATAATCTGTATCTTGCCTTTAAGTTCTTGTTTATCTTCTTCGGATATCGACGAGCCTGATGCTGATGCTTTGGCAAACTCGTTCATCAGCGAGTCCAATGTAGCCATCAGCATACACTTTCGGCATCGGAAATCCGTTAATACATCCACCTTGGTATATGTATCAATGCAGCTTTGGAGCGTGCAGCTCAGCTAAACAGAAAAACAGCGTTTAATTACATATTTACTATCTTGAAGAAGAAGAAGAAAGGGAACTCACAGTTTGTGGAATCGTCAACGATATGTTGTCAAACGTGCTATGACGAATAGGTGCCTAAATCGATGTCAGTCTTTCTTTTGCCGCTGTAACTTGAGTGAATACGGGTTCTGTTTGTTTATTACTTACTGTATAGCCACACTTCATGCAGCTGATTTTGGTTGCAGTTAAGCCAGTGAACGGACTTTTCGGACGACGAGGTCTAGTTCGTAAATAGCCACCTACAGTGGATACCGAGAAACAGCTCCACATGGATCCGGTGGTGCCCATGGACGATACTGACGAAGTTTCAAAATGGTCCAAGTTTGGATCCTTGAAAAATAAATAAAAAAGGTGGTGTGAGTTATTTTGATCTGTTTCTCTCTTCACACAATACATGCTGCCGCAAGCAACCTTATTTGTACGTGTCTTACGTTATCGATCGCCATCTTGCGGACAGCTCCTGCATCCAAAAGAGACGACGGTTCTTCGCGATATTGCACATCTTCTTCGGAAGTCAAGGCATGCGAGATGATCTGGAACAGTTCTTGTGCGTCCTAATATGCATATCAACAAAACCGATGATGACAACTTGAGTAACCTTGCTTTTTTTTTTTTCGTTGAACTATCTCGCCAAAATGTAGTTGGAAACTCAAATGTCTTTATTATCCGCTAACCTGCTGTTCTCGGTTGATTCTTCCATTCGTTTTCCGCTCTAAGGCATGAACAAGGTCGGCCGGTGCCATGGACCGGGGCTTGGCCAGTGGCCTGTTCAGCACTGATGAAAAAAAAAATCCCACACGCATACGTACGTAGGTTAGTGATTGAAAACGCTATAATGTCTGCTAATGCGACGATGGCGACAAAAAAAAATACTTGCTTTCGATTGTTGTATATAAAGCATAGGCGACGGATTCTAATACATAGTCGTTCCTTGTCAGCTCGATTCTTTCGATCTCGTCTCCCCGTTCATCAACACGCTCGGCCTACAATCGATTGTTATGTATCAAAGTTCAAAATACATATCCATCATACGTTAATCGTTCGTTGTTCGTTATGTTGACATGCGCTGTTGCCGCTATCGTTATATAAGAGTGCTTTTATTTCTCTCTTTTGCTTACAAGGTAAGAACGAAGGGGTGTCACGGTCGCCAAAGCCTGATTGATAACAATATTGTAAAGCCAACTTTTGTTTTAGTAAACAACAAACAGTTTCAAAAGTGCTGTTGAGGTATATATCTTTAGTTTACCTGGAGTACGGAATTAATGAAACACGAATTGCCCGTGTTGGTCAAACCCATAATGTATCTTCCATCCCGTTCTACATTAGGAATTGGTATCGGAAGAAAAATGATAATTGAAGGCAGTTAGTATACACGAATGGGAGTGAGGTGTATACTTGATGCACGCACACACCTTTCAAGATTCTGCTCTTTATTCGTCTCCGCCGACGTCTCGTATCGGTACTGCTGGACGATGATAATGCATAACCAGATGCAGCAAGTGCTATGCCGGTGATCGCTGCCAGAGCGGGATAATGGTAATTGGACGACGAGGCCATAGAAAACAAAGAGAGAGAGAGAGGACAAGTAAAGTAATCAGGGGGAAGAGGAGGGAAAGAAAGAAAAGAAAAAATAGAAAAAGAACCTCTCAACGTGAGTAAAAAAAAAAAAAAAAGAGAGAATGAGTTTTGGGTGGTTGAACGGAGCTGTTCGGAAAGCCTAGCACTCATTGTACCACAAAATTACAACACACAACATCGGAAAGCTGGCAATGTGTGGTGGCTGGCATGTGAGGTTCAAAGGCATCCAGCAAAAGAGAGAGAGAGAGAGAAAGAAAGAGAGGGGATGGAGATCATCCTTCATTACTCGCCTATCGGCAAAGCGATGCTTTCATGATAGCCTCCCCTCCTCCCCTCCTCCCCTTGCAGGCGGTGGCGGGAGCGTGTGCGAGCGCGCCAAAACAGAATAAACCTTCTTGAGAATAAAAAGTCATGCGAAGTGACAAATATAAAAAATTCGTATGGTTTCGTTGCTTGTTCACAAATCATCATCATCATCACACAGTGCAGAATAACGTGGATGGTGTGAAGAGTGGGTGCGAGATGACCAAGTCGACTAGACAGGCCCTGGATGTTGTATCATAGGGAACGACGGTGGTAGAACCAACAATAGTAGGCCTTTCGCATTATTGGTTGGTTTAGCATCTGTTATGCACTTTGTCATCCCGCTTGTCTCTCTCTCTCTCTCTCTCTCTCTCTCTCTCTCATAAAGCTAAAAAAGCAGGGAAAAAAAACTTTTTTATTCTCGCCTTTTTTTTCTTTTTTACCAGATCTCTCCCACTTTAATCCGCTTCTGCTTCATTACAATCTTGCACAATGGAGACCTGCGTTGTACCGTACACACCATCTCATCATTCCTGCAATGATGCTGCTTTTGCTCCTCCTCCCTCCCCAACCCCGTCTCCAGCCTCCGCCAGTGTCGAACATGGCAAGAAGAGCATAAAAGACACCAGCAACGACAGCATAAACCTTCAAAAAGACGGTAACAGTAGCCCTGCAACCATAGAAAACAGGGCCGCCCCTACTACACCTCGTCCCTGTCCAAAACCCATCAATCAACTACACCGCCGACTCTCCCGATACCCGTCCACGACTTTATCTGATCTGATTCCTGCTGCCACAGCCGCTCTCAAAGCTTCACAACAACTCAAAGAAAGCGAGAAAAAGCAGCAACAGCAACAGCAACAGCAACAGGAAGAAACCGAAGTAGCAGGCACTACGTTTGCACGAGCGCTTGCCAAAGTCAGAATCCAGGTCAAGACTCAACGCTTGAAAGAGAAATATCTGACTCATGAATGGATACGGCTTGCACTGGGTCTCCCAGTCGACGAATCGATCATTAACAACACAAAGTACCCCTTGCCGCCCATGAAGAGGAAACAGCGTGTGGATACTACTAGTAGTGCGACAAACAACAACAACAAGGGAGACAAAGCGTTGGAGACAACAACAACAACAACAGCAAGTGAGAACAAAAAGAGCATACGGATGGTTGCTTTAAAAAGCTTAAACGGTCGCACAGGCGAGATTGCGACTTGGTATGAGTGGAAGATCGATAAATCAAAGTTCACCGTGGAAGAGGTTGAGACCAAAGTGGATCGATTACGAACGAGAATACAGGAGAAGAAGCAGCAACAGCAACATCAACAGCAACAACCCCAACAGCTGGTCGCCATTGCTGCTGATGCTTGATTAATAGTCCCATTCGTCATAATTCGTTCATCACCTTTGGGTTTCGTACATGCTTGTGTGTATCTGTAAATAATTTCCTTTCGCAACCCCTCCCCCTTGCCCCACCATAAAACACACACCTCCTTTTTGCTTCTCTAGTCCAGTGCATGTCATTCCCAGTTTCAACAATCCTATAGTAATAATAATATATATATACAAAATCGTGCAACGTTTATTCAGTTATGTAAAGAGGAAAGTAAGAATGTAAGTGGTAGAAGTGTAAAACAAAGAAGAAGTAAACAGGACGAACAGATAATGTGATTGTTGTGAGGATAAAAGTAGGAGGAGTAGGGAAAAGATAATAATTATGTATCGGCTGCTGTCGCGACTTGTTATATGAGTGCGAGTGTGGGAGATTGAGGAGGAAGAGGTTGACAGTGGGTATGATGTAGTGTAAAAGAGAGAGTGGGTGTGTACGTTGTGTATGTAAAGTAGTGAGAGTATTTCTAAGGGGTGATGTGGTCAGCCAATAAGTGGGACCTGACAAACTGTTTGCGGATTTCCTGCAGCTCTTCTAGATCCAGTGCAAGCGTCTTGTTGTTGTTGTTGCTGTTCGGCACCACCTTTTTGCGCATCACTAAAGGTCCTGATCGTCGACGCCGCAGGGCCACCGCATCAATCCCACGCCACACAACTGTTGGCACGTCCTGTACCATCCACGATACCATTTCCAAATGCACCAACTCTCTACACCGTTGTAAAATCCCAACAATGCTGCCGTGGTCCTCTTCTTCCTCGTCTGTTTCCACGCTACCATCCGTATTAATGCCCAAACGCGGATGGATGATACTGCTGGTTCGGATGCGTAGTGTTGACGGCGATGTTGATGATGAAGTGGGTGGTGTTGACGCAGACGTCAGTGATGATGATGTCAATGGTGATCTTAGAGTACTATTAGTAGTGAAAGTAGTAGTAGTAGTAGTTGTTGTTGTTGTTGTTGGCGATAATATCGGACCATGGTTGTTGCCGTTGCCAGGCGACGGTGGTGGTTGCATAGTGACACCAGCAGCGCGGATAGTCAAATTTTTAACATGGGTTGCATGCTGGGCTACGGATTTCAAAGTTTCTCTGCCGTCACAACGGATGGATAGTTTATGGAGCTGGGGTCCGTAATGAGCTATGGTTTCGCAAAGCACAGATTCGCTGATCTGCTGTAGCGATACCGTGAGCTCCTTGATGTATATGCAATGCTCTGTCAGGCTTTTGATTGCAGCCGTATTTGCACCAACCACCCGGTTTCGGTTGGCACCCAGGTTGACGCTTTCGAGATACGGCAACCGTTCGAATAGACTGGCCGCTGCTGCCTCGCTAAAGTCCGTCCAGCAGAAATTAAGGCGCCGGGTTCTGGAAAATAATGCAGAAGACTGTGGTAAAGAAGAAGAAGAAGAAGAAGAGGGAAATAGAAATGAAGAAGTGAAGGTCGTCGGTGTGGTTGGCGTTGTGGGCGCTGATTCATGTGTAAGGTTGCAATAGTGGAGTTGAAGGCATTCGATTTTCGGCAGGACAGCTGCTAGACGAGAAAGATAGTCGACGGATAACGAGTCAAAGTCGCTCAGGGTCAACACCCGTACGTTACAGACTGTCCCCAAAAGTCCTGCGAAATCACGAGCAAACCAGAGATTGCTGCTCTGCTGGTTCTTTAGTGTCAGCGTCCGAGTATATGTCCGCATCGTCTCCTTCAGCTTGGGATGCCGTCGCAAGCCTTCTTCGAGCTGACGAACATGGGCTCGGAAGCCGACCTGGAGGTGGCTGTAGAGTGTGGGCACGCATAAATCATAGGCAAGGTGACAAGTGAGACTGAAGCGAGCTAAGGACTGGCGTGACAGCATTAGAAACAGGAGTTGTAGTAGTTCCTGTGGTAATTGTAGCAAGATTGACATGGCTGCATGTAAAAATATATAAGAGACAGATGCAAGAAGGAAGAGATGAGAGGAGGAGAGAGGAGGAAAAGGTGGTTTTGAAAAGAAAGGGTAGTAGTAAGTATCCGATAAAGAAAAAAAAAAAAGAGAAAAAAAAAGAGGTTGTAATATATCGTTTTACATAATAGTCAAATATATAGAGGCACGCTTGGTCGGCTTATTTCATGCCCGAACTCTGTATGAACAAGACCGTGAAATGTCTAAGCCGACAAGACAAAAACGGTGATTTATGCTTTATTTTGTACTTTGTTGGGTCGTATTACATGTTTCTTTTTTAGAGTTATGAGAGAGTGCTGGATGGAAAGGTCTCTAGTGGCGAGGGGCGACCTTGATGTTATCGAAAGCATCACGTTCAGCAAATTCGGCAGCAACTTCGTCAATGTAGGGCCGGAGGTATCGCTTGTCCTATCATAACATCAGTAGCATCAGCATTTATTGGCTCGATCACCACCTTGCGTTGGGCTTATATCCGTCTGCCATTGGCCAAAGCACCACCCCCTTCTAATATCACATATCCCTTCCGTCCTTGTCATCCTCTGGAAAACTCTATCAAGCATAAACTATCGCTCTTACATTCTCTGGGGTAACCCACTGGTCCTTGGGCAAAAGCGATTGGGTCAACGAGCACTGCTGAGCGACGCGAATACGATAAGCGCGGTCGTAGGCCTCACGAGGTTCGGCTTTCTCGAGACGACGGATAGCTTCCTGAACAACATCACTTTCTTCGGCAAGCAAATCGTCATAACGCAAACCTATTGAATATGACCATGTAAAAATAAAAACAATGAGGATTCGCAAACATAAAACTTTTTTTTTTCGTTGTATAGAGTGGATTGATGGTGGCGAAATGTGCACTAAAGAAAAGAATCGTCGCAGATAATATACAACAACCAATTAGGAATCAAAAAAAGTTACCGATTTGTCTGTAGGCAGCAGCATTGGCGTAGATCTTGGACACTGGGGTCAAGAATCCGCTGAGAAGCTTCGAGTTTTGAACCAAGCTCTTGAGAGTAATGGACATGGCTGCTCTGGATTTATTTGGGTAGAGTGGGGGAGAAGGGAGAGACAAGGAAAATGTTGATGGCCCGAAAATCGGTCACGGCAATAAAATGCGTCACCCCGATCAGGCCGGGGGGTCTCCGCCCTCTTCGGCTCACTCGCTCTTTCTCTCTCCTTATCTCCAACACCCGCAAAAATTTGAAAAGTACTTCTTTGTAACTATAGTGGTGCTCAAATTACGTATATGGGGTAATGATTCTATAAAAACCACTATCTTGATATCTGTATTAACTCTGGTGAAATCATTTGGATCATACCAGTTGAAAGATGAAAGCTGTTTCCGCATTGTAAAATGTCAGTGCTGGAATCCATACTTTTAGTGATACACAACTAATCCAAGAGGGCCTATCTTGCATGGATCGTTATATTGGTGATTGTACGTACTACTCCATATGTCAAGGTACTACTAGCATTGTTATTGAGAAATCTGATGTTGTTTTTATCGCCATTAGCATATAGATTGATAGCGCAGAGACGGTGATATGATTATGCTGAGGATCCACAGACACCCATACATAACAACACGTACGGCCTCATCGCGTCGATTGCTACCTCTTTCTATATACATAGTCATCGTTCAGATTCTACACGCTAGTTGCATAAAACTCCAAAGAGCATAGACATCTCGCACAGATGGCCTCTGTTTCTTCGTTTGCTTTTACGAGTATAACGAACCAACACTTCAAACCATGAATAGCAGGAAAAGCTAGTTACAACATGCGTAAACGAAAAAGCACCTCTGCTTACAGATTGCTTATTACTACATGGAGCATTACTGTCGAACGTTTTCAGTTTGACAGCTATATTATTGCAGTGTCATGGTTGCTGAATGATTTCTATCTAATAAAGAAGTTGCAGTGCAGGCCATCATTATAATTCATCACCTACATTTGCCTTGTTCTTTTCTCCATTGAATTTTGGAGAAAAAGCACTGTACATACTGTACACATAATCCAATTGCTTTTGCTTATCATTAGTTAGTGATGCCGTGTTGCTGAACGAGAAACCGGCATCACGTCAATCGGAACAACATAAGAGAATGAATTGCAACGACGTGTTGGTATAGGACTATACTATATAACAAAGCCAGCAGTCTATCACCAAACGACACGAACAATATAGCCGTACTTGAAGAACAGCAAGATTATCGCCGTTCGACATTATACAATGACGCCCTCTAAGATCAACTTAAAGGGAGCCTTATAAGGTTGAAGCTAATGAGGGTAGATAAAAGTGAGTACAGTTGTACCCCGGTTTTTGCAACCGAGGGTTTTCCGATTTTTTTTTGCAAAAAGTGAGGATTTGCAAGTAACGGGGTAAACAATTCTGCTTTAAGTATACACTGGATAAGTCATCCTATTAACACTAGCCCATTGTTTATCTGTCAGAGATGATGTACGATACGTTCTTTGGGATTATTCATACAGCTCTAAATGTTACTACTTGCATATATAAGACCGTTCTTTCATTGAAGCTGTCTAGTGGTTTAAATTATTAGCTCTTTTAAGCATGACAAAATCGTTCCACAAGTTCACATCTAAGCAAGAGGATCGAACGTACGACGAGCACTTGAGCGGGCGGTGGACCAAAGCGCTGATTCGCCTATTCCAGGGCCAACGTCGAAGGAAGAAGAGGTTGCAATTGCAGGAGTTTTGAGCTTTTTGGATAATATCGATAACTACGACTTAAAGAAGTCTTTGCGTAGGATTCCAGAGAGTCTCAGGCAGCAATCATTCTCCTGACAATCATCCCTTGATGACTTCTTCGATATGTAGTTAAAAGCTCCTTTGAGCAAACATTTTATTTCTATATCTATATGTAGTGTGTTCCCTTTTTCTTATATCTTCATCATTTCTTTTGTGGATTCAATCCAATCAGTGCTATATATGTGTCCCGATTCTACTGGTCCAACTACCAAATAATAATTTTTATGTATTTCGACAATAAATACATCTTCATATTTACATATTTATCTTGCAGTAACCGCATCATTTTATTCCTCATAATCCGCAACAGATGCTTCTTTCAGTTGATATTGCAAAAATTGAAGCTGTTTTTACCCCGATAACATGCAAATCGTATAAACTCATTTGCAAGTTGCAAATTTGCGAAACTACTAAGTTTTTTTTGGATTTTTCAAAAAAAGTTGCAGATATACGAGGAATTGCAAAACCAGGGGTTGCAAAAACCGGGGTACAACTGTATATATCTTATATAGAATCTAGATGCTTTCTTATTTGTAAGCGTCCCATGAAAATGGTTGACACTACTGATAAGGGTTGTATTATTTGAGGGATATCTTAATGGGGGACCACTATGCCAAGGAACAATTGTATTCAAGGCTGAAACTATAAGAGGGGTCGTAGGGCTTGGTTTCAACATTTCGGGGGCGATTTACTTACTCATGGCAGAGGAAGTTTCCAAATGTGATATTTCAGCAATTGCTGGTATGGACACAAATAATATTGTTGAGCTACAATACGCAAGCACTTGGTGATTCATACATTTATGGAATTGATGTGTTTGATGGAAAAAAGAAAGAGTTAGATGAACGCATACAGCAACTAAGTAAAAAGCCAAAGCGTTTTGTGTATTTTGTCAGCCCATTTCCGGTATGATATTACATACTCGATTGGATCCTTGGTATCATAGAAAGGTTTGTACACAGACTCGGGTACGAGACCAAGTGCTGCAAGGATGTAAGGGCAAAAGCTGGGCGTTTAGTATAAATTCTGTGGGTTCATAGATAGGCAGATGACGAGGCTGTCAATGAATATCAAATGAGATATCCTCTATGAATATTAGTAATGCTGTCTCTTAAAAAACGATCTTTTGAAGTTGCAAACAATGTATCATAGATTGAGGATACCATCCTTAGCTTGGACGTTGTCGAAACAAGCGCCAATACTCTCATCAACACACAGAGATACTCTGTGTATTAAGGCGTATACATTTTCTTAGAGCGAACAGAAAAGTTAGACGCGTCCTGTTTGTTCGCTACGTATGTACTACTGTAATTTAGTATCATACAATGTATTAAATGCTGACGAATTCTTTGAGTATATACTCAGAACTGCTGGTCACGATCAAGATGTTATCATTCTTTTCGGCTCAAATGACATGTTTTAAAAGGAGGAAAGAAAGGCATTATTTTGCAGGATCAACATTTGCTCCTCCTATGTACTTGAGAAGAATAACCATTTATCAATGTAATTCACATCACGTTTCCTGCATATCCACTCTCTATGATACTAGAAAAACTCCAATTCTACCCGTGTAAACTATAACTCATTATTACATGCTATCATATCAAATTGGTAACTAAGTGAGCACCTATTCTCTATGTAAACCATCAATCGTAGCGTTTGCGAGCTATGTGTATTTTTGAAGATATTGAACATGCCATTGTTGGCGCTATTATGTACTAATATGGTTGCTGTTAAATGCTTCCGACTTCTCTCATACTCCACACTCCATCATAAAGGAACTTTGCACCAAAAATGTGTTTCGATTGAAATAAGGTGTTGCCAATCAGGAACAAAGTGATGAATTACAATTGGTAGATGTCATCGGTGCTGTTTGTTTGCTTGGAAAGGATCGATATGTGTACCTCAAGTGTCAAGACGACTTCTGTACCTCGGGCGGCCGCTGCTGGATCCAGATTCCCTATTGAATAATTTCTTTCTTAATAATTGTCTACTATACTTCCGATTTTCTCGTCTTTTCTTATACAAGCTTTGTAAATATATTACCAAACCTATCAATAACTCACTCGGGAAGCATTATATACTCTGTTGTTGGTGCTATGAAGCGACATGTTATCAACAGAGCGAGTCATGTACTGACATGACCAACCAGGATGACCATATAGAGGTATTGCGCATTTTTGTTGTCGGTATATGCGTCTCAAACTACTATTTTGTCGTCTGGAGCTGATAGAGAATGCTGCTTACAATGTTTCCCAATTACTAAAGCTAGTGAACTTCAAACGTGCTATCATACTTCCATAAATAATCGTAGTTAGACATCGTTTCAACCTATTTTGCTTCTTGTAGACCGTTAAAAATATCAAAATTTATGTAAGTGTGTTAATTCAGCAGCCTATTTTTTAGGTGTGATTCTTCTTCAATGATAATATTGCTTGCTTGATAAACGGCTATTTTCTACATTTTCCTCTTACGTTTCTAAACTTCACTCTAGGCCGCATTTAATGTGTTGCATACAGTGTCTTGTCCCTAGGGCTGTGCAGTAATAAAAGCTGATCCAAGGAATTGGCATCAATGTTCAGTGATGGAGGCCGAGGAAATATGAAAGAGTGGTTGTGACTTTATATAAAAAAACAGAAGAGTTGAATAAAATAAGTAAAGCCGCCAAAATTGAATAATCACGGAGAAGTGACATGATTACGAGGGTTGCCAGTATATCAAAAAATAAGACAAAATGTAGTTTTTCAAAAAACTACGCGAAAGTGCTCAGTGAAATGGTATAACGGTGTCATGAGGAGAAGGACACTATTTCGAACGGTGACTTGGTGTTCTTCAGGTCAAGCCAGTTCTTTATGCGTGGTAATTAGTGCTTTCTATATATTCAAGGCTCGTGGATATCTATTATATTTATTATACTACATAGAGCGATATAGAACGAACGATGAAAGATATCATATGCTTTTACATCTTGGGTGCCAAGCGGTTGTAGGGAATGCTCAGTAAACGTACAATATCGGTATACATCTATGTAGTAAATGCCAAAAAAAAACAGTCGTCAGCTTAACAGATATATTCCCACATACACATCTTAACGAGAATCTAGTACCTCTTCTTTGAGTTGTTTGTAGACAATGCCCGACTTGGCCTTGGGAGCCCACTGCAATGCAAGTTCCTTAGCCTTGCCCAGAACCTGGTCGCCAGGGCAAATGACGTCCACAAGCTTTTCATCCAGTGCTTGTTGGGCAGAGAAACGGTGGCCCTGTAAGACCATGTTGCGGAAAGTATGTGGGGCCATTTTGCAGCGGAGCAGACCAGCCATGCCAGGTGCCAAAGGAGAAGGCAGATCCACTTCATTCTACGGAATTTGACATAAATTGTAAGCGTTACTCTTTTAACTGTATAATAAAATACTAGAAAGCTCGTTTGATCTTAATTATGTCACTTACCATGCACATATAACCACGGTCGGAGCGCATGACGCGATAATCTGACATAAATGAAATATTATTAGACAGAATATATGTTTATATCTTTTTTCCAAATTATTACCGTGAGCCAACGCGAGCATGCATCCGCCAGCAAATGCGTGACCGTTAAGGGCAGCGATCGTAGGAATACAGAACGTCACCATACGTCGCAAAAGCAACAAGTACGTATCCATAAAAGGACTGTAGCTGACGGCGTGCATGAGATCTAACCCGTTGCTAAAAATCTTGCCTTCACCAAGAGTGACAAGGGCCATGTCAACAGGTTCTTCAGAAGCAATGAAAATATCCTCGACGGTTTGAAGGGCTTGCAAAATGGACTTGCAGAATTCGGTCGTGAAACGATTGTCCTTGTGGTGCAACTGTAAAACGAACAATGGACCTTCACGATGAAGGGTCATTTGATGGTTGTCGGCCGATGGCAAGGCAAGAGGAAATGCAACGTCAGACATTGGGGTTGAAATATATGGAGGGTGAAAAGAAAAAAAGGGAAAAACCTGGAGAAGCTTAAAGTAGAAATATGTGGAGAAGTTGAGGTGCAGCAAATGCTCGAAAATCTTCACGTGCGAAATGTGCTGACACACCGAACATACATTTTACAAGACAATTTAGATTTGTCATGGAGAAAAATGATGGGTGCGCTGCGGGTGAAGCTGAATAAACTTGCTCCAAAATAAGGGTCTCATCCAGCAGTTATCAACCGCTCCCTTAGTATATTTTATAGCTATTGAGTAAGACATGGTGTATACCCCACAAAGATGTGTAGTTTCATTGAGCCTTACATTATGCTGATCGATTAAATTCGAGCATAACATGTATATCATCCAATTCAAAGCTACAGCAACACTTTTGGAGCTCACTCAACATTAATAGTATCAATTTCAATGCCACATATACGAACATATCTATCGTTAAGGGAACAATCGCTGTGTATGAAGCGTCAGATAAAAGTTTTATTGAATGGTCATATATGTCATATGTTCATCGTTCTCCAAGTATCAGGACAGTGCTGAAATCCTCGTACAGCATATGTGAGACATCTGTATGCACGTAGCGGGTGCGCTTGGTGAGCTCGGAAGATACGAAGTGATTTTCAGGAAACATTGTATGGATATCGTGCAACTATATCAAAGTGTCAATGGATGCGGTGCTGGCCCTGTTTGTCAAGTTTGTCGAATAGCTGAGAATTGGAGTCTTCAAGGCTAGGCCTTGTTTAAGAACATGGTTGGCAGCACGCTGATCACCTAGGTTGGGTTAGACACATATGGCATAAAGTTTACTTCCGGCATAGCTTGACATATCGCGTACCATGCATATAGCGCGAAGCAGCCTTTTAGCTCTTTTTTCGTGATGTCGTTGTATCCAGACGTACAATATGATAGGTCGCTTTTGTAAATACCATCGTCGGTGTATTACTGCTGATGCATCTGTATCTCTGCGGTTACTCTATCCGGCGTTCTTTTTTTTTGTTCCTCGCGCTGGTGATTTGACTAGATGCAACGATGACAGAAACCAAAGTAGCACTGATTTAACACGATTGTCAATTGTAGCAATTGAGTTTCGGCAAGCGATCGACTGGGTGACGAAGCAAAAACGCGCCTTAGTTGTCAGATGCGTGTCTCCAGTTTCGAGCAGTGCCTAGTTACACAAACACACATCTCCTATATGCTTCCTATTCTACGTGATCCATTGTGATGTTATGACATAACGTAACGCTTGCTTCCTTTTCCACTTACCACACACCATCATGATGTTTTTCCTAACCTCAACAAATCGATCCAAATAGTCTTCGACGATTGTGCCAGGATTCTTCGTCGACATGTCCAGCATACAATTGCGGGTCATAATAGCGTCATAAAATCCAACAAAGTTTATTTTACTTTCTCTTTTTATATATGGGGTTATACAAAGTCTAGCGGTAAGGATGATCAGCTTGCAAGTTTCTATACAACAAAGACAAAGTCAGCATAAATTCAAAGTAAACCATAGCGTAGCCCTTTTTTTCCTCCTTGCATCGTTTCATTACCTAGCGATTTCGACCTCCCACTTGTCACCGTTGGACAAAAGCTTTTCCTTGTTGTAAAGCAATTCTTCGTGGGTCTCGGTGATGTACTCATAGTTCGAAGTTTCGACAATAGCATCAACTAAAATTTATAAGTAAAAAGCGTTAGCCTGCGTATATTCGTTCACACTTTCTTGTAATAACTGAGTAATTATACGGTACCTGGGCATGCTTCCTGGCAGAAACCGCAGTAGCTATCAAAAAGAATTGAGCATTAAATAAAGAGCAATTCCAAATCTCCTTCGAAACCATCCCACATCCACTGTTTTTCGCTTACATGCACTTGGTCATATCAATGTCGTAACGAGTGGTACGACGCGATCCATCCTCACGGGGTTCGGCTTCAATGGTGATGGCCTGAGCAGGGCAGATAGCCTCACACAACTTGCATGCAATGCAACGTTCCTCGCCTGTCAAAGTGACAGCAGAAATGGTTAGTGGTTAATTTGCTAGCTTTTTTCTTCGTCGCGCCTCGATACGGAAAACGAATTATCAATTTCTTTACCGGTAGGATAGCGACGGAGAGCGTGCTCGCCACGGAATCGTGGAGACAATGGACCCTTTTCGTAGGGATAAAAGATCGTGTAGGGAGGACGGAAAAATTGTTCAAGGACGATCCACATGCCACGCATCATTTCAGTAAGCAAAAGCTGGCGGGTGGCGACATCGAGGACACCGGGTGCCTTGTAGTTCGAAACTTGCTGCTTATTATCGTCGACTGGTGCAGCATGTCTGTTAATGGGCGAGCTGCTGAATCGAGACACCTGGCTTCCCAAAGCGGCGCCCATGAAACGCGAAGAGGTTCCAATAGCTATATTAATTTGAAAAAAAATCAGTATCTTGTAAATTTGAATCGTTTTTTCACTTGGAGTGAATGGCTGTCAATAGTTCGAGTGGGATAATGTACCGGCTGGGGAAACGCGGCGAGCTGTGAGAGCTACCAAAGGTCTCGCCAATCTCAAAGAGTTCATGATTAGAGTGGGGAGTGGAATGAGTTTAAGGTAAAGGGCTTCACCGGTTGCACTGCCAGTATGTTTTTACCGTCCGGTGCCGGTTGGTAAGTATAGCTCTTTAATCATGGGGATTTGTGACTGTCATAAAAGTGCGCTTTTGCCTCTGGTGGAATAATTTTTTCTTATTTACGACACCTCTTTCCTTTCTTCTCATAGTGGCATTAGGTGTCACTACGGATTCGTCGTGCGCGATAAAGATAGTTATTGACTGTTGTGATGGATTGTGTATAAAATGATAATCTTGTAGCTTCGTCCTGCGGGATAGTGTACCTTTTTTATTCAAGCACATACACGCAACGCTTTACGAAGATAGCGCTTGCCAGTAAAATTGAATCATCTCACACTTATTTGTTGCTAAGCGTGTTTTCTAAATTGAGGGCTATCAATCGATATGTATCACGATTCCAAACTGGCTGCACTGGTTTGATTGCCCGTATTTTTTATCACCTACTACGAGTCATGTATATGCTCAATGACTATGAGAATTTAAAGATAACTAGTAGCTAATTTAGCGCTACCATCTGCTGTAGATTAAAATCGCTGATAATTTACATGCTTGTCGTGAAAACTGTGACATATGCCGTTTGTGATCATTCTTAAAATACACTATCATAGTAGGTATTACTGTACTTGTGCGCTAACATATTTTGGCATCACCGTGGAACGCTTTATTCATGCAACGATGTAGAAAATCGCCTTCGTGTTAACAATCAGTAGCAACATTTTTTGGAAGTCAAAACAAAAATCACTGGCGTCTTCCTCTTAAAGACATGACAATCAATCGGTCTTGGCTATATGGAATGTTATGTATATATACACAACAATGCTATTATTATGGAAGGTCCTTGTTGAAGTGCTTCATCTTACAAAAATGGGTTAATAAACTTTTTTGAAAACTTACATTTGGTCGGATAATGCATTATTCCGAAAGTTAATATGTGCATACTGTACATAGTACGGTCAGTGAAAAACATCACTGTAGTGTTCAACAGAATCAGCGAGTAACCTGCTACATACAGTACAGTATGTACTATCCAATTGTCCGGATGTGGCCCTCTTCTTGAATGTGCAGCCCGCATATGATACACTACCCCAGCCTTTGGGTTACGTTGAAGATCGTGCAAATCTTCCTCGAACAAATGTACGACTTTGCTCTTTACACATGTTCTTGATCAACAGTGACCGGAACTTACCACATCAATAGCACAAACAAACACGTCATGGCCGTGTTCTGGGAGTAGAAAATACATATCCAAAACCGATGGACATCTTATCAACTACTTCGTCCACTTATTTGCGCTGCCATTGATAGTTTAGCAATCTATACAAGGTCTCGATAAATTGAGATGTACATGTAAACACAAAAACACAAAAACAATGAATATGACAATAGAAAGTGTATATCATCACGTGTTATAGTAAACAAGTATCGCAGGTTTCTAAATCGCAGAAAGATCAACATTGTTGATCCTTTGAACGAACTAGGCCATTTTTATTGAAGATAAAAAAAGCTCATTCTATTGGACCAAATCTACTGGGTTTTCGATTCTTGCAACCACAATTTTTCAAGGTAGTGGTATCAAGGGCAGATATATAAGTCGATCATTTATTGATATATAAATAAGCAGAAAGATATCACAGCAAGGCAGATTGACTGACTGAAGCAATATTTTGTTACACGCAATAGAACCGGAATGTTAAGTGAAACAAATGTCACTTATGTTATCATAACCACCGTCGCCAATAATCAGCAATGAATTACTGTAATGTCAAACGAAGAGAAAGGTGGGAAAACGTTTAGATTTTATATTAAATGAGTCTCTTCAAAATAATGTTCGACTATAACAAACCAATGCAGCAAAAGACTAAAAGAAAGAATGGCGGGACTGTTTTGAAAGATATTATTATGTTGCTGTTGATGACGCTTTGCTTCCGATATGTTGCATGAATCGCATGTTGTTGGATCTGTACGTTTGTCGTGATGGATTCGTTCAGGTGGCTCACTTTCCTTAATAAATGTTGATATTCTAAAGGGCTTTGCTGCTAAAATCAAAAGAAGGAAGAACAACTTGAACTTTTCACAAATAGCAGTAGTTGATTAACAGTACGGTACGACCAATATGATATCAGTTTCAAAAGGAATAAACCATTGGTACCTCCCTCCCAATATTATTCCATCTCAAAACTTTATCTTCACCGTTAAAAGCATTACGACAATTTGACGAAAACTATCCATGAACACGGAAACGGAGGTTGAACAGCCGTGTAGATATACCGGTGCTCTTCTCAAGCATCTAAAGGACAGATGCTGCAGTGATTACAGTAAAGTAAGGACAATTCATGAAATAGTACATAGCTTGTGTTAGTCTTTTCGTATTAAACTTGATATCGACTTTTTGTACGGGGCGATGTTCTATTACGCATAAGTGTAATCAATGTTGTATGTAGAAATTTAACTGAATATATAGAAACCGAAACCTGTCAATAGATTCACAGTGTGGTGGTCATTTCTGTAGCTCGTAATTCGGATGCCAAGCTACTTCCAGATCGTGGCCAGCGTGTGAAGTATTCCGAATCCTGTAAATGTTTCAGTTAACTGGTTAAAATAGTTCAACACAGCGCGCTTGTCTTTTTTCTGAAGAAAACAAAATATACAGAGTTGTTCTTCAGGTTAAGTGGTTTGCCATCTCTTGTGACTTTGAGTGATGATTGTATTACTATCTGTAGGTACTACGTGCTTCTGACAGCCAATATACGCTTGTAGTGAATTCCGCCGCTTTTGATGTGCTGCTACAAATTCTCAAGCAATGGGACGAGTTACTGGAGGCCACAAATTAAATATCCACCTGATAGGAAATGTAAAGTAGAAGAACCATGGCTATATACCAGCTCCGGATGATGTACGGAGAAATAACGAGGTCCACTTGCTCGTGCCATTTGATCATAGTGTTAGATATAGTTTTTGTACATGATATTGTCCGCTCCAACATGATGAATCCGGCATGTGCTAGCTGTAGCTTACATTCGGTCCCTACATTGAAATTCCCTGTTTTGGAGACGTGAGTAATCTTTCTGTTCAATAATCATATCCCAGAAAATAAGCAGTAATATGTTGCAGTGATCGAGCAGTAAAGTAATATCTGACTCATGGCGTCTAAGCTGAGTTTTCATCGTGCATCGGTTTACAGTGGGTATCTGGTTGGCGTGGTGTGTCTGTAGCGACATCCAAACGGGAAGCATAGTGAGCTTCTTTCTTATTGTGAACCAGTAAGTTAAATACATACTGTATGTATTTTTACTATGTGTGAAGTTTTGAGAGTGAGTTACGTGGTGGTTTATGTATATGGAAGGGTTGTGGTGCATTTGTTTTATGGTGATACTTGGCGAACATACATTGAGTTGGTTTGTTGCTCTTGTTGAAGATACCGGTGAGGTACTGTAGCAATTTACGAGTTAATGCTCCCGAGCATGTTACTTTTGTTGATATTGATTATTGTTTCTGACGCTGCTGTCATGTTAATGAATCAAACAGCTTTGGATGTTTTGGGAGTGGCGGCATTGACCTTGTAAATGGTGCGTCTAAACAGTACTTACGTGTATGAAACAAAGGGAGAGAGTTGAAGGAGAGAGGAGCAACATTCGATTTCCTCGTTCCCCCTCGGACAGCTGGGCGATGAGCTTCTGCGCTCGGTAATCTCGAATTGTCCAACGTCGTTACTTGTCGTCGAATGTTTATGCATGTATCGACGGTGAGCTGAAGTTTAGCGCTGCAGTTTCCGCTGTGTGCTTGCTCGGTATAGTAGGAAGCGAACGCAAATGGCAGTGTTGTCCAGAAGTTGACCGTCATGCCAATTTTCACCGATTAAGACGTAGTTGATGCTGCGTTGATGCTAATGTCTAGTTTAAAGCTGTCGTCGTTGTTGTTGCTTTTGCGCTGACCGAAATGGGCTGATATGTTGGATGCATCAATTACCTTGGCTAGGCACTAAGCGGAAGAAAAACCAGAGGTGTCGGAAAAGGAAATGGACGTCACAAATGTCAACATTTTGCAGCCTGGATTTTTGTAGCTGGTTTTAGTTACTTACCTTTCACAACACAGCCAGCAATGTTAGCATTTCAACGGTTACTTGCCAGACCCTTGGGTGCTGTCGCTACCAAGGCATCTCCAGGTACTTGTTTCTAAATGTCAGACCTCATTGACCAAAATAATGTTCAATTTTACTAATATAACGACAACGACAACGACAACAATAAAGCAGCCTACGCGTGCTGTGCCACCCGTCTATACGCTACCACCGACAATGGCAATCGATTCCGTCAAGCTGGCCTTACAAAAGAAAATCTACCTCAACTGAGCAAAGTTGACTCGATTCTTGATTTCACCGAACTGTCCAAGGATAAATCGCTCGACCAGACAAAACTTTTCCCAACCCACCGTCCAACAGAAGCTGTCATGAACACTGTCACCGAAATTGTCGATACGCCCCTGTCGACGGTTGAGCAGGCTCGTCTTTTGAAAAAGACACTTGTTTTGAAGCGCGTTGTCAACATGAACGGCAAGGGTAAACAGCCCTCGATGTATGCACTTGTTGTGGTTGGCAACGGAAAGGGTTTGGCTGGTTATGGCGAGGGCAAAGACGAAGAACCCAGCAGAGCCATTTTCAAGGCTACCAACAGAGCCATCAAGAACATTCGCTTCTTTGATCGCTACGACGACCGAACTATTTCAATGGACATCGAGCACAAATTCCATGCCACAAAGCTTGAATTGCGAAGCAGACCACCAGGTACATAAAGAGTTCGCAAGAGGAACAGCGGATAAGGTTACATTGAATGAGGTTGGGACATGTTATTGATTCTATGCGGATATCCTAGGATTTGGATGCCGTGCGAACCATCACATCCACGAGGTCTGTCGATGCATTGGTATTCAAGATTTGAGCGGAAAGGTCCGTGGCTCACGGAAACCCATGAACGTGATAAAGGCAACATTCGAAGCTTTATCTAACCAAAAAATGCCTGAAGATATTGCAAAGATGCGTGGAAAGAAACTGGTCGATGTCCAGAACATTTACTACGGAAGCCATTAAATAGACTTGTACAATTAAAAAACCCCCTCCCATTTTCTCCTTATCTACAATACAACTCATAAACATAGTTCTTCTTTTTCTTCTTTGATATTCATCAATAATTCTGTATCCATACGAATCTGGTGTGAGAGCCTTTTTTTTAGTTTGATTGCTGAGTATGAAAATATCACCCAAGGCTGGATTTATGTCTGACTGGATGTTATATGTGTAATGGTTGGTGCCTCTTGCTATCTGATTCCTTATCCTCCTCATCCCCACCATGGCTGCACCGCAAGAGCCCAAGATTGATTTTAATTTTTACGAACAGCCCAGTACGATCTCGTACTTTGATCCAATAGTCGACACTCTGCGTAGCGATCTGGAATCTGAAGGTGCCGACACGACCTTTACGGCTCCAGGCCTGGCGCACTTTGTAGCCAAGTTCCAGCAATTCCAACAAGACGCCCTGGGTCCATCGATCGCTGAAACGGCCAGAAAAAACGACACGACAACAAACTTTCCTTCGCGCATTCCTGTGTCCTTTTTCCGCGTCAACAGCAACCTTACAAAAACATCGCCTCTTTACACCGTTTTAAAAGCAGCTTATTCGTTCCAATCTGACAAAGACATTAGTGATTGGCAGTTTGACGCACCGGAAGAAAAAGACGTATACCTTGAGCTTGTGCAGCATATTAAACGATCGCTGGAATCCTCCAACTTGTATACAAACCCAGTTGTTGCATTTGATCAAACCATTGATGCAGACACAAAATCGGATTTGGAGAAAAAGATTGTAGCTTTGGGTGGTAAGTTACGTGTTTTCTGCACAAGTGGACCTTTTTTGTATTTTATCAGAAAATTGGATGTTAATAGAATAAGGAACATTTTTTGTCAAATAGGAAGCATGTCAAGCAACATTTCAACGGCAACACATATCGTGTACAAAAGCGAGCAGCCTAAACAGGACGAAAAACGCGCTTTTCGGGCACTCGAGAAGAAGGATGGAAAGGTGTTTGTACACTGGATGTGTCTCCCAGACTCGCACGACTGTTGGATCGACGAAGCTGAGCAGCAGCAATATCGCGATGTGACTAAAGAAGCAGAAACCGATCAGCGACCGCAGCAATCGCACGTCAGTGCCAGTTGGGTCACGGATAGCTACAAATACAACGAATGGATGAACCCGGTGGATTACGTGCATGAAGACAAGTCCAGCGCAAAATCTGGGGTGAAACGAACCATGGAGGAGAGCTCTTCGTTTGGTGATGAAGCAGGTCCTGTAAAAAAGTCCCGCACGCCTCAGCCCAACGAAGATAAGGTGGCAGCAGCACCAGCACCAGCAGCAGCGACTACAGAGGGCGAACCAATGGAATTAACAACCGAAACGAACGGTGTCAATGCCGATTCTTTGGTAGCTCAACAACGGCAACGCGACGCTGCGCGCAAATATATCTCTATACAAACACACGAAATCATTATTCCCTCATACGCAGCTTGGTTCGACCTCAGCGTGATCCACGATATTGAACGACGATCGTTACCTGAATTCTTCAACAATCGCAATCGAACCAAGACGCCTTCAGTATACAAGGACTACCGCGACTTTATGATCAATACATATCGCTTGAATCCAGTCGAATATCTTACGGTAACAGCATGTAGACGTAATATGACCGGTGATGTTTGCGCTATCATCCGCGTGCACGCATTCTTAGAACAGTGGGGATTAATCAATTACCAGGTAAAGCGACGTGAATAAGGATGGATTTGATTTTTTTGTGGTATTTATGAACATTGGTGTATTATCACTTATAGGTTGATCCTGATGCTAAACCATCCAACATTGGCCCTCCATTCTCTGGTCAATTCAAAACTATTGCCGACATGCCCAAGTTATTAGGCGCCAACAATAACACCCAACTGCCGGTGGAAGCCGCTACCAAAACAGAATCTGCCCCAGACAAAGAAGAAGATACAAAGACATCTGTCAAGCTGGATCCAAATCTCGAACTTCGACACAACATTTTCGAAACGCCAGCAACAGAATCAGCAGCTGGGTCCACGAGCAAAGAGTGTGTATCGTGCTCTAAGCAATGTGGTAAGGTACGATATCGTAACGGCGAAACCTATGTTTGTGGGGACTGCTACAAAGAAAAGAAGCTGCCTGCCGACACAACCGCGGAGGATTTCACCGAAGACCAGACCAAAGAGAACGCTGAACCATGGACTGAACAAGAAGATTTGTTGTTGCTCGAAGGTCTGCGCATGTTTGAAGATGATTGGAATGCAGTGGCAGATCATGTCGGTACACGATCACGCGACGAATGTATCCTTCACTATCTCCACCTGCCAATTGACGACCCTTATGTCGACAGCGAAATATCCAAACTGGGTTTGCTCCAGTTCGATAAGTCAAAGGCAATTGAAAACCCCATTATGTCAGTGGTCGCATTCCTGGCATCGACTGTAAAACCTGAAGTCGCCGCTGCAGCTGGACAGCAACGGAATCTAGAGGAGAACAAAGAAGAAGATAAAGACACGGCATCCGAAAAGGCACGGGAAAAGGAGAACGACGAGGCCCGCATGACTACATACAACCTGATCCGCACCAAGCTGCGCTTCTTCGAAACCAAGGTGTCACAGTATGAAAAACTCGAAGAATTTGTGGAGCAGGAGCGACGAAAACTGGAACGCGAACGATACCAGCTCAACATAGACCGCTTATCTTTAAAGGACACCATTACGCAAGTTCAGCGCGAAGCAGAAAAGCGCGGAAGCTCTGCCAGCGCAAATAGTATCACTCCAGCACAAATCCAACAGCAAATCGCCGGCGGTGTCATGGCTGGTGGTGGTGCCGGAAACCAAATGTACATGAATCCCGGGCAGCCCAATCCTATGCAGATGCAGCAGCAACAGCACCAGCACCAGCAGCAACAACAGCAGTTCCAAATCCAGATGCAGCGACAAATGCAGGCTCAGCAGCAAGGCCATCAATTCCAACAGCCACCGCCAGGGCACAACTATAACATGATGTCCTTTTAAGTAGTCTTTATTTTTTTTTTCCTGGTAGATATGCAATAAAAAATACAAAATTATTTGGCGACTTTATTGTAAAAGTTGCTTCGTTTCAAACCCATTGCCGTCTTGTACGGTGCAGTGATAGGAGGCTGGAGTGGATCGAGTGATTTGTGTGTTTCCTATAAGAGTGATACGGATTAGTTTCTAATGTCCTGTTTTCATCAAGGGAGGGAACGGCTTACTTCAAGTGGATATGTCCGATCAGCATCGTAGCCACTAACAAATAATAACGCTTAATCAGTGCCTCTTTTTACACATGCTTTCTACATGCGAGAAATATGGTTGCCTTACTTGAGATCTCCACATGCGGTAAAGGGTACAATGACTCTATTTGAACCCACCAACTCGTTCATATCATCTATTACGCACTGGTAAGCAATGGTCTATCATATATCAAACTACACATTTTCCAGTTTTACCATATTGCATGTCAAGCAGTGGGTTCGCCATGTTGGGAACATAGCCTTCCGGTGGTTGATAGCCTTGACAGACAATAAATGCCTCTGTAAAATGGTATCATCTTTAGCTAATCCTATTTCTGTATACCATGATTATTTTGATTCGTGACAGTTACCTATACTGGAGTTGCGGGAGCTTCTTGGTTTGCTACACGTTACAGTCGGGAAAAAGATCTTGAGCTGTGCGTATAAGAGCGTAATATCCTTGCCACGGAAGATTTTGGCGACAAAGGTTCCGCCAGGACGAAGCACGTGCGTAGTAATGTTCAAGGCCTTAACCCATTCATGTTAGCACAAAACATATCTCCCTGATGTTTATAAAACAGATTACAAAAGTAGACATACAGCGAGCAGCAATTGAGCTTGGATATATTCGTCCATGTCATGAAGTCCCGTTACTGTACGTTATTCCATCCAGTCAGTTTCCTGATCCACACCTCCGTTTGCCGCTTCTTTGCATGAATCGCGTAACTTACCGTCCGGTGCGCCATCACATACAACGATATCAGCCAGTTCGCCCTCGAAATATGAGATAATCTGATCTGCTGTGGATTTTTTGGTAATATCACCTTGGAGCTGAACTACACCATCCAGCGGCGCCTGTAAAAGCCATGTGTTTTTTTTTGCATAAGTTCGTGGTCCAACTAATAGTAAGAAAATTCGGTGGAAGCTTTACCATGGCTTGTAGATCTACTGCAACAATCTTGGGATCTTGTTCTTGAGGATTCTTTTCGTGATTTTCACTGTTGCAGAAAAAGCCAGAAAAAAAGGTTATGCAGGTTAGCAACGAAGCGCTTAATGTCAAAACGAAGCAAGATAACACCTTGACCGATTGACTACCTTAGTTTTTTAGTAAGCACTTGCGACCAACTTCCGGGAGCAGCACATAGATCGACAGCGCGATGAACACCTAAATTAAAGAAAGGGCCGTTGTCAATTGACAAGTCTAGTAAACAAACGAACGTCCAGGCAGTACTTCTTTTTACCTTCGAAAAGGTTAAAGTCCTCGTCCAGCTGCAATAGTTTAAAAGCACTTCGAGCGCGCCAACCCTGTTCTTTGGCTAAACGATAGTACTAAATGAGCTTGTTTTAATAACGGCAGTTCACTCAATATTGTCTTTTCCCAAAATTGCGAAACACTGAAGAGGTTTGTTACCACATCGCGTTTGTCTTTTGAGGATTTGCCCATAGTAGTGATCGATTAGGTTATTCTTTTTTTTTTGGAAAAAGAGAGGCAGATTGAAAGCAACTTGCATTCCCGACAACCGGGTATAGAAAAGTTTGACATTTGACAGATCATGGATTAAAAGAACTTATCAAAAACTAACATCCACTGTTTGTGACACTCCCTTTCCTGTCTCCCTACAACATCTTAATTGGATCTGCTCATTAGCTAGCTCGATCGATCGATCGGCTCGAAAGGGTTGGAAAAAACATTGAATATGTATTAACTAATCTTCTCTTCTTTTCTCCCATCACCTTCTTTTCTTCTTCTCCGTTTATACTATTCTTAACGAGCAATAAATATGGTGGCATCAATTCCAAGACCTACGCCAAAAATTCCCACCCCTCCTCCCTCTGATGAAAGCTGTATCATGGAAAAGACAGAAGTTGAGCAGCATCCCTCTTCAGAGTCATTTACTGAAAAAGATGTTAGCGCTCCAGTAACATCAACAACAACAACAACACCCACAGGTGGATACAACACTGAATCAGCTCTACCACCTAAAATACATTCGGAAGCCAGTTACTACGACAATGCAAGTGCTGGGAGAGGCACTGGTACTCCACGGTCACCCAACAAATGGAGAGTTATCCTACGTACATGGCAGGCAATTGCGGCACCTGCAGTATTTATACTTCAAGCAGGCGCCAGTGCAGTAAGTCACCAAAAAACATCTTTGCCCAATGCCCATACTTATTTGGACTGAACTTCCTGTCTTCTATATCAGTATACAAACCACGATACTCCAGCTGCTATCAATGTTGTCCTCTTATACTTTGTGTGCGGTGCCTGCAGTGCATCCTTCATCTGGAGCTTGTTCATGATTTATGTCTATTTCTCCCGACGTTTTGGAAACGGTGGCAAAGTGAAACGAACCGTAGCATTTGGCGTGGATGTTTGTTTTGCGGTTCTTTTGGGAATTGGTGTGTGTGCTGAGATCGGTATGTACAAGTGTCCCCCAGGCGAGTTAGAGGGCTGGTAAGTTATTTCTTCTATATCTCCGAGCACACTGATTATGAAATACGTTGCCCGTAATAACAAAAAATTAAACGTACATAGGTGTGATCTCTTTAATTCTGGTATTTTCTTTGGCGTAAGTCTTGTAACAAGCTATATTGCACATTCGCTTTGGACTATCTTTAGCTCGCTTGGATTTATTCGAGAGACACCATCGTCAGACTAGAGGCAATAACGTTACAATATTGTTACAATTTATGATTACCTGTTTGTAGAAAATAATATATTATACATATAATAATCCTGCAGTTTATGTGACATTTGAGGTGGTTTCTCATATTCGTAATCAAATCATCGTTTTTTACATTGGTGAAAAGAAGACATTGCAAGCATATCTCCATTTTGACCGATTGAAGGACTTGGATGGTGAATAAGTGTAAAAGTCGCGTGAGGATAACATAGCAGTTGTCTTATCAGTATCAAGTACGATATCTTCTGAATTACAGGGAAGATGTTGACCGTAATCCAGCAATGAGCTGGTGTGACAAAATGGTTGCAGAGCAGATATTGAGAAGGAGCTCCTGTCATTGCTACTCTTCTTTCGAAGACAACATGTGATTATAATGTTGAATGCTGATATACAATATCTTCTAAACTTGGTTGTAAGGGAACGGGCTCCAAAAGTAGTGTCGATGCAGATGTCATTAAACGTAATAGATGTATATAAAAGAGGAAAAGAAACCCTCAGCAAATAGCGACACATGGCCTCCGACCTACTAATTTATCTCTCTACTTTTCTCTATGGGGTTCCTGCTGATCCTCCATTGTTGATCTATCTTCCCGATGCTCTGTCACAAGAATTCACACAGGAGTAATGACCTAGATGAAACCGGGCAAGAACAAGGTTAAGTGTCAGAAAAATCCTCGGGTGAAGTAGAAATCGTAGTAATGAGGAATAAAAAATGATAACTTGAGTGAACAAAAGGTGATTGATCAGTAGTTGCTACGGATGGATGGATTGAATACCATGGGTTTGTTCTAGCATTATAAGTACCAAGCTTCGTTCGATTCTAGACATCTCTTTACTCTTCAATCACTATTATTTTTCGTTTTACACACACACACACACACACACACACACACACACACACACACACACACACACAAAAATGCATCTTTTGAAATCAATTTTGCCTGCAGCTGCCTCGGCACTGCAATCTGCGTTCCGCTGGTTCGCCAGTTTTCTTTCCTCCCCCTCCAATTCCTCCACCGACTCCTCCTCCTCCTCCTCCAACGCCACCACCAAGGACAACCACAACAACCAGGAGGATTTTGGGCTCACTACTGATGACCTAGCATTGGTCTTGAGCACAGCGGTCTCAGTTGTGGAGACGGCGGTCTCGTTTGTACAGACGGCAGCATCGTTGGCAAGGACCGTGTTCATTATTAGTAAGCTCATGGTCCGAACAACACTTCTGATCGCCAAGGCTACCCTCTGGGCTCTCAAGAAGACATTCCATATCTTGCAAAGGTATCTATAGTCGGCCACGTTCTTTCTTTTATACAATCTTCATGGTTAGTATATGTTTGTTGATTCCTGTAAGTTTTTTTTAGCCTTAATTGAATGGATATAGAAACAACAATCGGTCCACTGCAAAAATGTAAATCCCCTAATATAAATCATCGTTATGATTTACCGAGCCATAGACTAATATCAACTTGACTTAGCGTCACTCTCAGCCGCCACATTTCTGCACTGGTTCGTTTCCGTCGGTCCTACGCTTATCCTTATTGTACTATTGTACTTAGGTTTATCTTCTTGAAAAACACAAAAAAAAGATATCCTACCCCAAAACTACTTTAGAAAACCCTTCCCCCACTCTCACTCGTCATTAATGCTGTGGAACCGAGCGTTGAGCTCAACCACTGTGGTGTCAAAACAATCAACCGCACTCGGCACTTGCGGAATTGCGATAACTCAGTCTTTTCTTGCTCGTTCATCCAAGAGCTTTAATATTAAATACAGTAGATTAAATAAGCTTAGACATGGAAGCAACGTGTAACGTTCCACGCTTTTATCGTATACCAACGATTGTTATGTGCCAAACTATATAGTGCGAGAGTAATGGTACAGTAATGACTCGTATCGGAACCGATACTTACTTGAGCATAGAGGTTGTACAATTGAATAGAATCGTAGGCTCGGTTACATTTAGTATTTGGATTGCTATAGTGGTATTGATACGCGAGCGCTTGAGATGTTCAGTGCTGCTAGTGTTAGCATATAAATCATACTCCTCGCGCGTTCACTTGCTAAATAGATTTTTAGCAAGCTGCCTGATACATTTGTGTATTGATTACGATATCATTACTAACGAAATTATTGCTCTAGGCATGATTACTGCAATGACTAGGTCTGAAATAGCGTTCCTACGCTCAGCATCTTTTACGAACTACTGCTGGACAACAATGTCAGTTGAGCCTTTGATCACTTTCTGTTCAAAGCTTGATATTTGAATGGCTCCTGTTGCACAGCTGTAGAATTTAAGATAAGTATTTAGTATTTGACCACTATATAGTATTGTCAGCATGCCATCCATATTTGACTAACCTTTATTTTTTCCCGCTCACAAACGAGCAATGTAATTCTCCAGTCAGTAAAAAAAACACCCGCCTTGAAAGCAGTGATATCTTTCCAACACTTTATTAAATTTGTGCCTGCTAATTGGTCGAGAAAAAGATGCATGTTTACATATCTATTCTGCGTCATAACCTGCGAGCTCTCAAACCTTCACAGTCCTCTTGAATAAATAATAATTTCTCGAACATCAATCGTAAAACAGATGGAAAATTACCGACATTTAATAACTGAATGTCAACACGAAGCTTACGATACAAAAAATGGAAGCGTAGATCTGTCCATCTTTCTTTTGGTATTTTTGATGCTATGATAGATCGATTGTTTACGAAGACGAATTAACAATGGTTACTATTGTCTGGATATGGGAATGTCTCTACGCGCTTTGCGCACGCCTTCACTCGCGGTCCTGCTCGGTTTGTACATGGCGATAGTCGTTCTGGAGACTTTCGATTTCGTGTGTACCGTAATCCGCCAATCGCTTTGCATGACCCTTGAGTCCGGCGTCGTTTAAAATCTTGACGAGTTCCTGTACCGTCTTTGCAAGTTCGTCGATAACGGGTTCACCCACAGTGCAAAAATGCTGCCGCGACGATCGATACGCTTCGTTTTTCGTACAGTAGGTGCTGGACCGCTGCCTGCTGTTGCTAGTGTGGTGATGTTTTCGCTATCCTTGTCGCCGCCAGTAAGCTGAGCTATGGTGTCACTGGCGTACTCGTACAAATCCATCGACGTAACTTTTGCTTTGACAGCATATTTTTTAAAGTGTAACAGAGTATTTCTGAGCCTTTTGCTTCATTGCAATGGCCTTGTCGAAGTTTTCTTTAACGTCTTTGTCGTGCATGGCATCTCCGATAGCATCAAGCAACTGTTCGCTGCCAGGTACATAAGTCGTGTACGTGTCGTGGAATGCCAGCTCGTGTCAATGCAGAAGCAAGCATGGCAGATCTTTTCACGGTTTAAAAAGAGGATATCAAAGTCAGTTTCGAGTCGAGCATAATCGTATGTTGCGATAGTGCGATAATAGTATGTAAGAAAACGAGAAGAAAAAGAGAGCAATGACTGAAAGCATCTAAGCACAAGCCTATGTACATTGTATCAACAGCTCTGCTACCAAGTGTGTACTATTTTACATATTTCAGCATACGATTTGCTGAACAAGTTGTACAATTATGTGACCAAGGACTACAGCATTATTCTAAGTTCAAAAATGATATTCATTGTGGATTCTTTGCTGCTTTGCTTATTGCGAAAACAAACTGGCTACATATATTGTCTTCTTTTTTTTACAAAGGATTTCCAATATTAATCTTAATAGCCTTGATTTGAGTATAGTTGGCCAGAGCGTACTCAGAGTTCTCTCGGCCGATACCTGACTGCTTGTATCCACCGAACGGACTGTTCTCTGTGATAAGATTATAGCAGTTGACCCCTAGAAATGTAACCGTACGTTGTTATCAGTAAACTGTAAAAAATGTCGGCACAGCTAGAGGCACTTGAATCAGAAAAACCAGTAAAACTGCTGTTACATACAAACTGAACCAGCTTCAAGAGCGTTTGAAACAGTTACTGCTCGTGTAATGTTCGAGGTGAACACGGAGGCAGCAAGGCCATATGTGGTATCATTAGCCTGTGCAATCACATCGTCGGCATTCTTGAACTTGGAAATGGCTACAACAGGTCCAAAAATCTCTTCCTTCATGATTCTTGCCTGGGGGCTGACATCTGTAATATGAATACGGTAAGCAAAGATTGTGCAAAATACCTGACGAGCAAAACATTCAACTTGCATTCTTTCTATCATTTACTTGCCTGTGAAGATGGTGGGCTCAATAAAGTATCCAGCATCGCCTACACGCTTACCACCAAGGTAGCAAGTAGCACCTTCCTTTTTACCGATATCGATATAGCCCATAATTCGGTTGAACTGTGCCTCGGAGATCTGTGGTCCTTGAAAAGTCTCGGGATCAAATGGGTCACCAACTTTGCCGGATAATGCCAGCGCCTTGAACTTTTCAATAAACTTGTCATAGATGCCTTCTTGTACCTATAAAGTCAATGACGTTTTGTATCATAAGGATGCACTATTGGTTAGCTTCTCACGTTGGACCGTAATCCGAAATGTAGTAAACTGAAATCAATTACACACGTATATACGAGTACCGGCGCTGAAAGTTTCAAACGAAAATTAGTTACAATTAGAAATTTAGCCTAGCAACAACAACTGCGAATAACCTCTCCCTATCCCTTAATACTTACCAGCAAACTTGACCAGCATTTGCATACACACCCAACCTCGACCAAAAAACGACCTCATCCAAGTTCTCGACGTCGTCAAAAATGATGTTGGGCGACTTGCCACCGAGCTCGAGCGTGACCTTCTTCAAGTTGGTTTCTGCAGCAGCCTTCATGATAGCACGGCCGGTAGCAATTGAGCCAGTAAATGCAAGCTTTGAAACCTTCATATGACGTGAGAGGGCCTCACCGGCAATAGGGCCATAACCAGTGATAATGTTGACGACACCAGGAGCTGTATATATATATATATATATATATATACATCTTACATATGTAAATATTTTAAGTTGCATACGTTATCAATAAATATATCACTTACGGAAACCAGCCTCCTTGATCAGTTCAGCGATTTTTAATGCAGATAGTGGAGTCAGTTCGGACGTTTTGATAACAACTGTGTTGGCTGTGCAAAGGGCAGGGGCAATCTTCCATGCAAGCATGAGCATCTATTTATTAATATGTTGTTAGGCTTACATTAGCTGTCTAATACATAGTAAAGAAATTGCTGATCGTCACTATTCAAAAGTAATATAAAATGTTACAAACCGGTCCATTCCACGGAATAATACCACCACAGACGCCGATGGGTTCATGAACGGTATATGATAGCTTGCCTTCCGTTTCAATGACCTTGCCGTGGAGCTTATCGCAGAAGCCAGCAAAGTAGCGACTTTACAGTAAAAATGAAAATTCTAACGTTATTGACAAGCCTTTGCTATTAAGCAATGGCATATTTGCTTGCAGCACGCAATTACACTCACAGTTGTTTGGCTACGCCAGGTACGTCACCTCCTCTGGAGTTTGAAAGCGGCTTTCCGTTATCCAAGGTCTCCAGATGTGCAAGGTCTTCAATATCGCGTTCCACCAGCTCTGCAAGCTTAAGCATCAAGCGTGCTCGTTCTCTTGGACTGCTGGTCTTCCATCCACCATAGAAAGCCTTGTGGGCTGCTTCAACAGCCATATCGACGCGCTCAGCGTCGGCTAATCATATTTGTTTCCGTTGCAATCACATAATGAATAACGAGCAGTATCACTTGAATATGTAATATCTCTCATTCTGAGAAAAAGCATACCAGCTTGGACCGAAGTAAGTACTTTGCCGGTAGCAGGGTTGATGGTATCGATTGTGTTCGCGCCAGCAACGAACTCGTTGTTGATGAACAAACCAGTGTTCACTGTATCATAAAACGACAGCGTGTAAACCGATAAGATTAGCCAGAAATAGTAATGATGATGGAGGCAAGAGTGAGGTTGTACTGACCTTTCACCTTGTAGCCGTCAGGTGCAGTAATTTCAGTGACAAAAGACATGGTGACTGTAAAGGAAAAGAGGAAGAAGGAAAGGTCTTTATATTTCAGACAAAAAACACGGTCCTATATATAGTTTCTAAATTCTGTGTGAATGTTTAGGGTATGTACTGTCACAAGGGCACAATATTCATCCCTACCTCTTTTAATCCTTATGATGTGCCAGGATCGTACATCACCCTTTCGTGTAAATCCGGGTGGTTCTTTCCTTAAGATTCTTTGAGAATGCATATACGCTGTAGATACGACTAAAATAGATTATAGCAACCATGCAAGATCCTTTTCAACGACAACACTTTGTTCTCCTCCGTAGCGTCTCAACTTTTTGAAGAACCGCACGCTCGTATGAAAGAGAACAATCGTTCCCTAATAGGAAGTGCTGACGAATTTCCTTACCATAATTACGCTGTTATGCAGTACTGTTGGTGGAACGGGGTCCATGGGCGGTAACGTACTATAGGCAAGCGCAAAAAACGAAAGTTCGCGACTAGGAATGGGACATTCTGCTTGGGGAGGCATCGACAGCGGCGCAGCACGGACCTGCATATACATCGTGCATAATGGCATTGTTTAAGTATCCATGATCCAGAGTAGTTTGTAAGAAGAGCCAAATATCTTAACACCCTGCTAAAGTCTCGAAGTTTACTGGTGCACGTTTAATTGTCCATTTAAAACCAGTGGTAGGACGCGAGTGACGGCATGCGCATAAAACAAGTGTAAATCAAAGATCCGTATTATGATATGGAGCTCTCCTGGAACTGACAATGTCTCTAAGCTAACTTATGGCCGCATTTATTGAGGAAGCCTTTACTGTCCCGGAATCAATCTTCTCAGTAAGCATTTTAAGCCGCAGTAATTAAATATATTACTACCTTAAGCTGCTATGATTAGAATAAAACGGAAGGATTGCTGTAAGTTACCTTTTAGAAAAATTGACATGCTCGGCGTGCTACATTCTAGCAGAGCACTTGATAGACAGCAGAATGGGTTTACTTATAAAATGGTGTATATGAAATAGTACAGTTTTCGGATCATTCGGCCGCCGATAGTGAAATCGCTTCTGCGATCAAGGAAATGCGGCCTTTACCGTGCGAATCTATTACTAAAAAACAACACTTAATATCGGTTGATGGGAGCGGTGCTTGTTGCTGTGGGAGTAAAAATATATAATATCTCAAAGTTTCTCAGGCTATTGCGCAGTATCCCAGTATCTTCGGCGCGCCCCTTCGTCCTATACTTTGCTGATAATCTTATTATCATATCGATCTTTTACATTGTTTACGGCGTTTACAAAGTCTGAGAAATCAGTGAAGCTGTATTTTTGGCCTAATAATGGCAATAATATCAAGGCATAAGTTATCCAGTTTTGTGAAGGCATTGAATTGCCGCGGCATGAATATTGCTGGCAACGTGACCAGAGCAAAGTAGTCAGGTGGAAGCGATCCACAGAAAGTGCGGCACACCGTGAAGGATGCACCGATTTTGATGTTTGAGAAAATTAGTACAAACAATCGTACAACATAAATCGCTTATAAAAATAACGAGCGCCTGTATAATTGCTCACACCCAAACTTCCCAAGGAAATGACTCAGAAAGATTTATCAGGAAAGGTGGCTGTCGTTACCGGGGGCGGCAGTGGATTGGGCAAAGCGACTGCTAGTGCGCTTGTCTCGCGCGGCGTCAAGGTCGTGATCGGTGACATATCAGAGAAACTAGGGGAAGCGACCGTTCAAGAGCTCAACGCAAAGTACGTCATCGTGTCTTAATTTCCGGCCTGGCTGTGCTTGATTGTAGTAGAAAGTCTAAGTCATTGTCGCGTAATAGAGAGGGCGGATCTAAGGTGGCATCTTTTTTAAAGACCAATGTTGCCAAATACCAAGATAATATTGCACTTTTTCAGCTGGCTGAAAAAGAGTTTGGCGGTGTGGATGTGAGTAGCTGCTTATAATATATACAGCATAGGGTCAAACGCTGACAGCAAAAGTGGAATCTTATAAGATTGCTTTTCTGAACGCTGGTATTGGAAGAGGTTGGGATAGTGCTTTCACAGAGCTTGATGGTATGTTACATCTGCATTGAATAGATCGTCTAGTAATAAGTTCAACTAAAGATTTGACTGTTTTGATAGATGAAGCCGACGAAAATCTATTCAACGTCAACGTTATGGGTGTCGTCAAAGGTGAATTAACCTTGATACTTTTTTTTTATGTTAGCTCATGCCTTTATGCGTTTGTAACTTAAAATTGAAACAATTCAGGAACCAAGGTTGCACTTTTGCACCTCGCAAAAAGGGGCGGAGGTGTTATCATAAGTACAGCATCAATTGGTGCCTTTTCATCAAATATGTCAGTATAACGTGCTTGATAAGTCAACATCCTGTCATTTGATACAAATAAGCGTTGCCTGATACTAACTACTGTATGTATTCTTGCTTTTCTGTACAAAACTATTACACAGAGGTGCAAACGCTTATTGTGCTTCCAAGCACGCTGTTGTCGGATGGACGAGAGGTTTCGACCTTTTGCCTGAAATTGCAAACGTGCGTGTTAATGCAGGTGTATATTTTCTCTATGATATTCTCCTTTTACACAATAAGATTCCCTGTTTGCTAACCGTTTTGCTATAAATAACAGTCTGTCCCGCGTTCGTTGAAACTAATTTTATGTCAGCGGCTAAGGATGAAACGCGTAGCACGCCAATGTATGCCACCCACGATGCGACGCCGAAAGCAAAATTAGAAACAGTGATAAAAGCAGTGCTGACCTTAATTGAAGACGAAACACTTAATGGTAACAAAAAATTCAAGGCTTTACAACATGCATAGCGATTCGATTATTTGCACGGCAGCGTTACTCTTCTACCAACCAACTGAACTCGTTATGTGCGATTTATATTCCTTAGGTGAAACACTTTTAGCACTTCCGGGAGACGTAATCCGCTCCCAACCACGGCCAGAACAGCTACGTAAGTTTAGTTATTAAACGCTTCTATGACACATCCATTTTTTCAAAAAACAACTGATTGTTGTGTGTGTCAAATAGCGGAATGTATCACACCCAAGTACCTTGAGGTCACGGCAAAAGTTAACAAAGATAGCGTCAGCTTTTATAAGGACATGCTAAAGACAGCACTGGAGAAATATGAAAAATTAAGCTGCACATAAAGTGATCACAGCCGTGCTTTCTCTTATACATAGGATACGATGACAGATATGTAGCTGCAGTAACTTATTACAGCAAACAGTGAAGCTATGCTGGTAGTAATAATAATGGCAATAAAAACCACTTGTTATAAAAGATTTATTTCGACTTCTGTGCTCTGTCCTCATATTTTATGGGTAAGTTTGAATATTTCCCCAGCGAGGGAGAGAACTATTAGCACTATCATTATTCTAATATGATTAACAGCGCAGTCCTATTAGGAGACACTACTCTAAATAGTGAAAACTTACCCTAGTATCTCTCCTGTGCTTTTTCTCCCTTTTCCTCCAAGAATTAATCATGTCTACACCGCCAAACTCTTTCACGGCGCGTTGGAATAAGGCAATGTTATTCTTGTACTTGGAGACATTGGTTTGTTTGTTGGAAAATTGCGGTAGATTTACCGACTCTGAGTGATTGGTATTGTGTTATTATCGTGTTATGAAGTTTGTTTTGTTCCGTTTAGTAGCACGCTATTTGTCGTTTCTACTTATTTTTCATTGATACATATCTTGCACGGCTGCTTCACCATGTTCTTGAGAAATGTCGCCAATGAGCCTTTCTCTTTCGTCGCCGCTTGGATGCACTACCAGGAACCATTGATTAAGCATAAATCGGAGCTATACCAACATATTGCTCTGTGTAGCAATTTGCAATCTGTGGACAGCCTATATGCACTGTAAGTTTCAATAGCATGCTGGTCTCACTCTTATTATGTACTGTCTGATCATGATAAAGCCGTGTAACCTTGTATAATTTCGATCTTGAGTTTATAGCTTTGCGTGCAAGTACATGTTCGGCGAATCGCCCAGTCATTCTAGTTAAGGCCAAAATACGGATACGCATCGCCGGTGTTGCCCAAATACGATGCTTCTCAGAGTGTGAAGGATATATTATGATGTTTGAGGGAGAGCGAAAAAGCCCCACCATCCTATACTATGCAGCTTCAATAAGACGATGCTTTACCTTGGTGACGTAGTAGTATTATGCGAACAGAAAAAGCACACGACGTATCCTTCCTTCAGCGCTGCGTATAACTGGATAAGGTATAATCTTGTTTATTGTAATTATTGCAAAATGTATAGTATGGCTCATTCAAAGTTTTGCTTTCTTAAGGCAGAAATAAAGCATGCCTGCTTCTTTGGGAAACATTTTGGTATCCATGGCTCCAAATACATAATCATCAGTGAGGTACCGGAAGTGATCGATGATGGGATGCGTATCGTAAATCATGGCAGTAGAGAGCACGCCGCGATATTCGACCTTTCGTAGCTTTTTTGTTCAAAAAACAGCAACAAAGAGAAAAAAAACCTGCCCATTAGTAGACTGTCGCCAGAAGTTCTACAAAATAGCTTCCACACTTTTCTTCATGGCATATTTTAGACCATTCAAGACGACTCACCGAAGCATAACCGTATTGCTCGTTAAATACTCGCTCTCCCTTGTCATTGAGACACATGACCGGCTGCACGTTATCTTCTGAATAAAAGTCTTTCCCATCAAACTTTGCTTCCTTGAGTTGCTGGACGCCTGGATGACCTGTTTCGACATATGGACCTGGTCTCCAAGAACCCGTCAACGACTCGGCATCAAGCGGCTTTAACTTTTCAAAAAGGGCTGCGATTTCAATTTCCTTGACTGGATTGCCCGATTGGATGAGGGCCAGAAGTTCTTTTTCGCTACGAGAGTTCAAACGAAATAAGCGAGTTCAGTCGATGCTAAGTTTATGACTGCTGGTGTATTGTGCGGGTTTGTGCTATGCATAACTTACGGAGTGCTTTCGTTTGTATCCACCATTTTCGAGTACGCCTTTTGTTTTTACCATTTTCACCGGTGTTTGTCCTTTTTATATGTGGTTGTGCCTGTAAGGCTGATCAATCTTACGAAATTTTGACCCCTTGCCAGAACTGTACAATCTCTAAAATAATAAAACTCCTTTGCATATACCAATTCTTTGTCATCGAACGTATAAACTGAAAAATCAACGAGTGATTTTTTCCGAGCATTAACAAGCGAGACAAATTTGCATCCTCTTCGTGATGATTTTTCCTACTAATACTCTTATAGCGAGGACAACATATTTTATGTGGTGATTTTTGCTGAGTGTACCTTCTTAGTAATAGTAGTAGCTTCTTTTTACCATGTTGTTAATTTCATTGTTTATCTAAAGTTTGCAGCCCTCCCCTCTTTTTATGCCACCCACATGATCTCCTTGAATCAGTGAGCCATTCACAGCCAATAGTAAAATTCAATGGATGCTGAAAATGCTATATGCAGCAAACATACTTGCATACAGTATTAGAGATTATAACAATCGGCATCAGGTTTAACTGCTTCTATCTGTATGCTTTTATGTCCTTTTTTAAGTAGTATCCGTCGAATGCATGCAACAATCAGTAGTTTGGATTCTTCTTTTGTACTACATGGAGAAAGTACTGTTATTACTGTAACCGTTCGTTTGTTTCGGTGAAAAGTATCAAGCTTCTTTTAACTCAATAGCAGTGATACATAGTGCTTCTACGACGTACGTAATTTAGCGAGCCGCCCAAGCTGAGGTCGCACAGATGTTGCCAGGACGAAAAGCAAAACGTAGGGATTCGAGAACGATATAGTGCATAGGGAAAAAAGGTTTGTGTAATATGGATATCTTTGGCAGCCTTTCTGCTTTTTTGAACATCGGCACTCGGCGGGCCGACTGGGGACTGAGCATTTTACATTGCTACGTGTATCATCAATGTGAGAATGTGTGTAGTTTAAATCATGTGCATCAACATGTCAGCCTCCTCTCTCCATCATGCATGTAAAAGCTTCCTTATACAGGCCATATTTGTCAAGCTCACCTTTGTAAGCTCTCCGAAGGTCTGTAGATATCGTGATAATTCATGTAACTATATCATGATGCGATGACTACATTACATCCATATTTACGGCTTTTTGGATCAAATGGCATGTTCTCCAGCAAGAATATTCATCCGCATACGAGTATCCATCCTTGCTGCACACGTCACATCCCTTTCTATTTTTGTACCAAAGCGAATCTGCTTCGCGCTACTTTGTTTCGATTATGCAAGGCCATCATGCCAAGTCAATATGATATGATATCTTAGGGTCTTTATTGAAGTTTGGTAATTTTACCTATAGATATATATATATATATATATATATAGATGGTGATGGCACCGTTTCTTCGAGCTCACTGTTTATGATGTCGACTAGTTGACATGGATTATACAACCAATCTTTAAGAAACCCGCTCAGAAAATTGAACCACAACCTTCTTTTGTCAGACATTGTACGTTTCCCGAATTCTTAAAGTAGGTTTCGTAATCTCGTCCCTAATATTACTCACCTTTATGATAGGTTTTCGTGGTGCAGAAAGAGTTTTGAGGCAAAAGTGTGGTTGTTACCGTATTGAGCTGTTCATGTTATCGAGTTACTTTACTCTATAGTAGTAACAGCATTACAACCTTCGTTTCCCGCCATGTTTTGTTCAAGTTATGCATGTTCTCGATTCTGAAAATGCTGCGTGGCAACACCGACAAAAACCTTAATCAACGTTGGACAACAACACCCAAGTTAAGACAGTGAAAGAAACGCTTAGCTTGCTATGGCAATATAGTGGCTACAGCTTACCTCAGTGATAGTCAATATGGGCTCGTATAAATATGAACAAGATTCTTCTCGAGGTCCCTCTCGTTTCTTTTCCTTTTAAGCAACAGAGCTCACATAAGGAAATATGTCGTCGTCATTTATCACCGAGATCACCGCCCCAGATGGTCATAAAGTTACTGATATCATATATCTTATGTCGCAACCACAAATGGTTTAATGTACTACTGTATATAGATATCCTTTGCATATTTTACATCCTATTCTCGTAAAATTTCTTACTTAACACTTTCAGTTAAAGCCGGTCTTTACATAAACAATGAGTTCGTTGCTGGTGCCGTGTCTAACGCGTTGGAAGCAGGCACAAACTGTAAATTATAACCATAATCGTTGGTAAAATAATAGACTAACATACATGATTTAAATTAGGGGTCAATAACTATTACAGTGCCAGCCCGGCCGAGCCATTTGGTGGTTACAAACAGTCAGGCATAGCTCGGAAGTGCGGCGAGTACGCTCTGGATAAATATACCCAAGTCAAGGCTATGAAGTTTAACACTGGAAAGCCTATGTAATCTAGTTGAGCAGGCTCTCGTTCCTACTTCTTTTTCTTTGGAAATAAAAATCTTTGATTGACGGTACCATAGTATATTCTTTGATTGAAGTGAACTAACTTTGCAAGACTTGATAAATTAAGGGTTCGACTTCCACATATATATCAGCGGGAAGCATAATTAATATCTACTTGGAAGCAGTCGCTCGGTAGTCGGACACTATCTTATTTCCACACGTTTTCAGTCCCAGTATCCGCTTTCTCACCTTTCTCTCTGTTACCTTTCTTACCAAATGTCTTTTGCACAGAAGCGAGAGCGACGTGCCAATGCGGGTAGCCGGTAATATCTTTTGTACCTAGTTATCGATACCTAATGAACAAGAAAAAAGTAGGAAGAACCTGGAAATTCATACCCTGTTTTTTGTAGCATGCGTGCGCTACTCGATCAAGAGGAGGAAATGGAAGAACTTTTTGAGGAATCTGTGAGCGACGACGAAGAATTTATCACTAAACGTAAGCTCAGCACAACGAATCTACCCATCAATCTGGTTGATGTTGGAATCGATACTAATCCAAGTGGATGTTGATTATAGCCGAAGACGAAGTACAGGATACCGTTGATTCTGATTTTGACACTGAATCGTCCGATGAAGAACGTGAGCAGGAAGAGCTAGGACGACAAGTCGACAAACAAATCGCAATAGAAGAACGTCAGGTATTTATATTGGATACTTTGAGATATTGTAGACTACGTCAAGTGCGTATACTATGAATGGAAAGGCTGATACGAAGAAATTAAGGCACGACGAGCACCACCTCCACCTGCAGCCATTCAATCACGCGCTCCAAAACGACGACAACCAAAAACCAAACCGGCAGCAACAGAACAACAACAACAGCAACAACAACGTCGACGGCGAAGCGAAGTCGATGCCGTACGCCAATCATCCCGAGCCAATACAGTTCGCAACCGACTTCAGGTCGAAGAGCAGATACGTGAATACAAAAGCCGACGTGCACAACTTCCGAAACGCGACAGACCGGCCGTCAAACAATTAACACAAGAAGAGCTCCTTGCAGAAGCAGTCATCACCGAACGCGAAAACCGAGAATCGTTAGAGCTATGGCAGCAAAAGGAAACTGAAAGGAGAGCCAAAATGAAGAAGAAGGATAAAAAGCGGATCGTGGGTCCGTTTGTACGATACGCGTCATTCACGGAAGATCCAGACAAACGCCCTAAACGTCGTAAGATCATCATGATTTCGGTCTCGGACGAAAACGGCGAGAACAATGTGCATACAGAAATCACAGATCCATTAACATTGGCGTGGCAGGAGAAACGGGATATGGAACAGAGCGAGGCAGTGGGACGCAACCTAATTTCGTTCATGCAGACTGGAGACGAGGAACAACAGAGTAGTAGAAGGCTAGTGAATCTGACAGGATTATCGGATCGTGACATGGATCGAACAGATCTGGTACCAGAGCTGGCAGCTTGGGCAGAACGGCCCACACGACCTGCAAAACCAACAATGTGTCCAATAACCGGTTTACCAGCACGCTATCTCGATCCAAAAACAATGGTGCCCTATGCCAATCTCGAAGCATACAAAACTATCCAGAAGACTCTGCATAACAAAGCGGTGTGGTCGTCGGATTACAAGGTGTATGTTGGCGAGCCTTCGGCAGGTGCCAATGGTGTACCTGAGGGATGGCAACGGGCAATCAGCGGGAAACGAGAAGGCCAGGTGGACTGGCAAAGATCGAACGGCGACGTTGAATGTCCTGACTGGTTTAATGAAATGCACAACACCTTGTCATTCCCCAATCCAAACTGATCTTTATATTCATGCGCACATGCCTCCCTACATTATATACCATTTTGCATCTATCCCTCTCATAAAAGAACCTCTCCACTCTGTAAATAGTAACAAATCCAACCTTCTTGATCCATCTTTCTTGCATATAAAATTTCTAGTGGTATAGCATTGTAGCATAATAGTGTTTTGATGCAAAATATGATTTACTCCTTTTTTTTATACAGTGCATGGATGAAAGAATGAAAAAAAAACACAACAGATGAAATAAATAGACAGAAAATGATTTTGTTTTCTTGTTTACGACCTGATGAAAAAAGAGTCATTGTTAAAATTATACTCAACCCACATTCCACTAGACAATGTGTATCATACCCTTTCCCCAACTCCTATATATACTTACAATTTGAAATCGCAAGACTGCGAAACATGGCCGTGTTGACCTTCAAACTCATAATCGATATGGATATCGAGATCTCTTGGGTTTCGCTTGTTGGGTGCGCAGGATAACCGTCCTTCGATTGAATCACCCGTCTTGACGGTCAAAGAGTCGGGTGTATAGAATACGGTCTGCTTCCAATGGGTGTATCTTGCTTGTGGGCCGGTGGAGAACCAGATAGGCTTGTGGCACTGGGTAAATCCGACATCGAACCAAGCAATAAAGGCGTGCACAAAGTCATCACGAGCAGCGGTCAGCTTGAAGGGTGCTTCGAATGTCAAATCGTCCTTTTGCACCGTGTTGAGATCGATTTCCTTGAAAGCGCAGGGGCTCGACACAACGGCACGGGCTTCAACGGTGTCCACTAAAGGTTCCTTGATGGCAAGCTTCTTGATTGACGAATAGTCGAATCCGTACACATTATCCCAGTAGTCGATCTTTTCCTCCTTGTATTCACCATCTTCGATAGCAGCAAGGAACATGGTAGCTTTGTCAGGGAACAAAGCACCGCCAGGAGCCTACACACGCATTTTTGATTTAGATTACGCCATACACAAGATTGACACGAAGAGTACGCGTACACAAGGTCACACAAGATACTTTCTCTGATACTTACCAAGAACTTGTCTCGAGCTGCCAACACAGTATCCAACATGGACTCGTACAACAAAAAGTAGCCCATCCATTCCGAGATAATGATATCGACCTTATCAACCGGCAGCTTGACTTCCTCCATCTTTCCCTGGATCAAAGTAACCTTGTCTGAAAGGTGGTTGTCCTTGACAATTTCGCGGGCTTGGATGATAATGTTGGACATGTCAATCTATAAACAATATTTTATCAATTTTTCTGCTCCTTTTCTCTCTCGGCGTTTTCTCTTTCAGAATATAAACTCCCACTTACACCATAGACATGCTTGGCTCCTGCCTTGGCTGCAAACATTGAGAGAATACCGGTGCCGCATCCGACGTCAAGTACGATCTTGTCCTTGAACAAGTGCTTGTTGTTGTAGATCGCCGATCGGTACGACAGCGTTCGCACTTCGTCCTTTAACATTTCCTATGATTGACGCGTAAATCGATAAGTACGTGATATATATCTTAAAGAAAGAAGCAACGACAAGAAAAGATAATAGTTTACTTCGTGAATGCCTGATTTGAAAAGAAACGAGAAGGGTTAGATCTACAGTCGCCTCATTCAATGATTTCAAATTGAAACATACCAAAGTGGGCATACGAGTCAAAGTAGTAGTCCTTGCTCGTCATTCCGGGTTCTCCAGTTTTTTCAGCCATGATCGATGAGGGTGAAGGGGGGCAACAGCAAAAGAAAAAAAGAGTTTTTTTTCTTGACCCGCAAAATGTAGGAATAAGCCTTCGCCGTTTCGTAAGGAAAGCGGAGTTGTGTCGAATTGCATAGCCAACCAATACAGCACAAAAGACAGACATACACTTTCTGTTGGTTAGTTTGCTGCTGTCATTATGCATCTGTTTCGATAACCCGCTGAATGCAAAAGAAAAGAGGATTACGCTACTGCTCTAAAGGGACTGGAATGTTTTGCTTTGAATGGACAAGCAGTGATATCGATGATAGGCAAGTGATCTTTTCGGATGGAAAGCAAACAATAGACAGATCATGATGCAGCATCAATTTTCATGCCATCACTTTCGGGTACCGGGGCACTTGTGTACGCATTGGATCCTCCTTTTGCTGTTGCTACAAATCATCACCACTATCGTTAGAGAGCGAACAAACGGATCATCATCAACGATGATGGAATAAATAACACTGTACACCTCGACGTGTGATGATTATCTCTCTTTCCTTTTTTTATTTTCCTCGCATTTATCAACTTGCGCTTTTTTGTTTGACTCAACAATTAATAATGTACGATGAAGAAAAGGCTCATACACCATCGCCACCACTACCGCCGCCGCCAGCATACACCTACTACAATGTACAGCGTCAGCATTTTGCACAACAACACATGCCGCCACTAGCACGACCACCTCCGCCGCCGCCATACAGAAGCATTGTTCGACCACCGCCCCCTTTGACACTGCTCGAATCACACTATGGTGAGACATTCAACGAGTCGCCAGTCTATCCTACATTGTCGCACCAGGAAGAAGAAGAAGAAGAAGATCGACGAGAACTGCGACGGCGGCAAGGAGGATGCTGCCCTTCAAGCTGGAGAACAGTGCTACGAGAAGGACGAGGGACGTTTTTCGGGTGCTGTTCGTGTGTTCTTTTGATATTACTTGTCATTGTCATTACCATTACTGTCAATCCCGGGTGGCGCAAAATATAATTCATGTTTGCTTACAAAAGGTCTTTGTAAACCGTGTTTGGGTGTGGAAAAAACAATAATTTTGGGGTACTTTGGGTCGCATCGTGTAATCTTTTCCCTTTCTTTTTTACTTTTAGTTTATTTTGTTCTTGATGGTGTCACTGAGTTCATCGAAAACACTACTATGAAAACTAAACGCACACACCATCATCTTTCTGAATCAAAGCTTAAACGCATCAATGAATACAGCAACCGACTCAAAGAGCAGTTGGAAATGCCGCGGATACCAGTCAGCAAAGCATCAGAAAGGCAAGTCAACGAAAGAAAGTTCGATAAGCTCCTACCCATACCCACTAACAATGCGGGTTGGAAAACTAGCTTGATAGATTATTGCAACAACACGCGTGATCCTCTCGTTCCATCTGTATGGGGTCCAGTCGAGCGCCAGGATGATCCGTTTGCGCCTATGGGAAACAAGTTTTTGTGCTGCAACATCATGTAAAGACACATACAGCTAATCTAATACCCTTCCTCTCTTGTCCATACAACAGAATCATACAAACAAGTTGATTTATCACATGAAGTCCATTTTCATAGTAAAGGGAAGCAAGGAGCGTGATAATCATACGCATCATTGGCGTACTTTATAAAAGCGTTGCGGTCTCTGTCCTTTGTATGAATCGTTTTTTTTTCCTTTACTATTTTTTATAAAATGCTTGCAATACGTACTCCTACGTCTCCATGGAAACGGGTCATCGCTTCCACGATACGATCTTTACATTGCATAACAACAACCAATGTTGCCATAGCAAACGAGACGTCTGTGAGCCGTGGTGCGCTCGAGTGTCGCGAACAGCCCCTTCATTTGCACGCCATGCTGACCGATACTACGGTCTATGTTCCTCAAGAGAACGTAACAATGAATGATGAGATTACAGGTTGTTCGCCACCGCAGGAGAGGCATAATATCTTATCCTCCTCCTCCTTCTCAAACGCAATATGAAGGAGCCCGGGGCTATGAGCGGACGGTTTCGGGAGAATGCAAATGGAGGCTACCATTTCCACGTGATACGATACGCGAACAAAAAGACGTCCCGCGCACGCTCCAAATTTGATTTGTTGTTTATATGTTTATGCTGTGGAGAATGGTCAAGATACCACGCTACCCAGTCTGTGATACATACCAACGACGCGTCTCCAATCGACGTCGAATGGCAGAGTGGCATTTGCGCACGGCTCTTGATGTTATTGTTGGTGTTTGTAGTAATTATAGCAAGTAATAAATGGTCATTTGATCCTCTCCCTTTCTCTCCTCGGATATTAGGCTGATTGTCGCTGTTAGGTAGTATGCACTGCTGCTACGAATATGCGTCTATTTCGGCAGCTCGATTTCCCACCGACCGAACGAATATGGCATCCGCAGAAAAAAAAATTTTTTTTTTCTTGTTCTACCGAATCATCCACTTGCTCTTTTGATCTGGAATATATGTTCTCCGTTCGTGCTGTATACCTGCACAGAGCAGGTGTAGGCTAACAATACAAGAGCACTTATTGTTCTATTAATCAGTTTAGCAGATAGGCAGTTCCGGTGAACCCGATAGCATGTACACGTTTCGGTGCACACACACGCACACACACACACTCACTCACGGGGGCTTCTCCAAAGATGAATCCGAACCGATATATAATTTTTTTTTGAGTGCGGGGTCCATGTGACGGAGGCGACGAGCCACCCACCGCCATAAAACAGCGGACTTTTTTTTTCCACGGCAAAAAAAAAAAAAGACTTGACAAACGAAACAACTTCTTTTTTCTTTTGCCCACCCCTCTCTTCTTCTCAACAATCCCCCACCCACTACTTTAAACTTTTTAAAGCAAGGAAAACCTTTCCACGGCTGATCCTTTCGAAAGAAGCAGTAAACAACGACAACGACAACAAGTTATTAACATTCTGTTCTAGACATTTGTATATATATATTCTTTCGCATACCCCCCTTCATTTCATAAAAAAAGAACACAACAATAAGCATGGCCGACAACTCCATCAAGGTCTTTACTGGCAATTCGCACCCAGAACTTGCCAAGCTCGTTGCTAGCCGCATTGGCATTGACTTGGCCAAGGCCGCCGTCATGAAATACTCGAACCAAGAAACGTCTGTCACTATTGGCGAGTCAGTGCGTGACGAGGATGTGTTTATTATCCAATCCGGCTGTGGTGAGATCAACGACAACCTTATGGAACTTTTGATCATGATCAATGCATGCAAGACTGCCTCGGCTCGTCGTATTACGGCTGTCATCCCCTGCTTCCCTTACGCCCGTCAGGACAAAAAGGACAAGAGCCGTGCACCCATCACGGCCAAATTGACCGCAAACATGTTGACCGTTGCTGGCGCTAACCATGTCATTACCATGGATTTGCACGCTTCTCAGATCCAAGGTTTCTTTAACGTCCCCGTCGATAACTTGTATTGCGAGCCTTCCATGATCAAGTACATCTCCACCCAGATTCCTAACTGGAAGAATGCATTGATTGTCTCGCCCGACGCTGGTGGTGCTAAACGGTAAGGATATTTATTATATAGAAATAGAGAAAGGGAGAATATGCGCATCTGTACAGTGTTGGAACTCATATTCGCAATTGGGTAGTGCTACGTCGATTGCAGACCGCTTAAACCTTGACTTTGCTCTGATCCACAAGGAACGTAAGCGAGCCAACGAAGTATCGCGCATGGTTTTGGTCGGTGATGTTCGCGGAAAGATTGCTATTCTTGTGGATGATATGGCAGATACGTGTGGTACCTTGGGTCTGGCAGCCAAGACTTTGGTCGAGAATGGCGCCGAGAAGGTGTATGCCATTGTAGCCCATGGTATCTTATCGGGTAAGGCTATCAAGGTGATTAACGAATCGGTGATCGAGAAGCTTGTGGTTACAAACACCATTCCGCATGAAGATAAAATGGTAAGTCCAAGGGGACGAGGGAGGATGGAATAAAGTTATTATATGTGTATCTCTGCTGAGAGATGGATTATATACTACAATGACTCATTCCATGCGTGATTATACAGGCTATTTGCCCCAAGCTCGACGTCATTGATATCTCACCCACGTTGGCTGAGGCCATCCGAAGGTAAGACTTACTTTGCTATTATTAATAGTAGTAGTAGGGGGGGGACAAAGTGGTGTCAAGTACATCTTACTGAGTGTGCTTTATCGGCAATATAGAACCCACAATGGTGAATCAGTTTCGTATCTGTTTTCGCATGTCCCCGAATAGATTTTCTGCTTTTTCCGTTTTCTTTCCTATAATTATTTTACTTGAATTCGCTTCTCAACCTCTACAACAGCAACAGCAGCAACAGCAAAACATCATACACTTCTATCTTCTTTTCTCTCTTTCATACTTTTCCTTTTCATATTCAAAAAAAGTTTTACCTTTTCTCTCATCATTTTGTCTTCCCCCACCTAACCCCTCCTATCAATGGCAGTTGTATACATTTTTTAAAAAAGTCTTTTAAATTTGCAGCAAACGGATTATCGCTCCTATAATTGCTGTGATCGTTATCATGTCTGTGCAACGTTTAAATTTTTAATGAGGGAATATGCGAGCTGTCCCGTGCTCGATAGCATATATCATCATCGTCATATCTAATGTTACTGTATCTTATGGTCGTACCAACCGCGTTGATGATTCATGCAGCAAAGAGCGCATTGATGAATTGTCATTATCGTTGTTGTTTTTTTCTAACCGGTCCATGTAGGGCGCTGGAAAAACTTAAACTGGGTTAAATTACACATGTCGTTCACTACTTGTGATATAAATAGCGCGCATATGGCAAAAACAGAGTCATTCATTATAGTTTCTATTTTGTGTGTTTGATATGTATAAAGTTTCCATTTTCGCATCAAAAAATATATGGTCCTGAGTTAGCTATATGCCATGATGCCATTGTCGCTTACATAGTACATACATATGGTTTTGAAAGGGCCTGAAAGTGGACTATCAGCAAAACTCATAATCGTGAGTTTGTCTGCCATCAGCCTTAAAAGCTGATAGATACGAATCATGTATTGAGACGAAAGTTAAGTGCCATATATAGTCGATCCCAATGGATCTCTTGTGGAGCTTTGTCGAAATATAGAAAAAGGCGGTACTAGGTAAATTGTATCATTTTATTGTTTGTAACAAATCATTATACACAATGGCGAAGTGCATGCGCAGCTGTCGCACTGATGGAACACGGTTACTACATACACCTAGTTGTTACGTAAAGTAGATCGCCAATCAGCAATGAAATCGCTTGGTAAGGTTGCTGGTCAATCAAGTTTCATCGCTCACCACAAGATCCTTGTGTTTATTGCGCCTGCCTAAACCTTAATACTATTTACGAACAAGAGTCTGCAAATTATGATATTGTCATATCTACTGTAACAATTCGCTTTTCGACGTAAGTATTGGTGCTAATATAACGCTACTAATGGATTGACGGGCTGTTTTCATTTTACATATCTAGCAGCAGCAGCAGCAGCAGCAGCAGCAGGTCTCCAGTACATGACTTTATGGCCGACCAACGCTTGAGCGGCTTTCTTTAACTCTTTAACATGTCACACAAATATATTGCAGCAGCCAGCAGGCAAGTATGCGAGCCGGATTTCTTTGTATCGATGAGATTCACGGCAAAAGAACTTATCCATACAACTTGTTGGATACAAGTTGAAAGAGCATAGCATCATGGTGTGACACATAACCTAGACTACCTTTTTTCCCGCCTTGTCTTTGATATTCACTTGGGAAGCTTCAAAGATAAAGACAAATGAAAAAGAAACACTGCATATAGTTTGTTTTGGAAGGATGTTAAAGCAATAAAAAATTACATACCTGATTTCCCACCTTTCTAAATTTGGACCTTTCGTGGACTGCTTCTGAGGTTTTATTTTCCCCTCATCTAGAACCCCATTTAAATTTTAACCTCTTGCTTTTCTTATCATATCAAACGCCAGGATTGGATCTTCATTATGACGACGCTCGTGGCAAATATTACAGCCCCAGATGGCTATAAGGTTACTCGTTAGTATCGATGGTTAACATCTTATGTGGTCGACAATGGCAGTAATAACAACAATAGCAAACAACGACAGAACCGTTCATAGTTGCATAAATAAACAACAGCTGCTGAAACAACCATTGCTACGACAATTTTATTTTAGTAAACACCGGCTTGTTTATTAACAACGACTTTGTTGTCGGTGCAAATACAACTGATACCATTAATCCGTCTACTGGAAAAGTAATTGCCTCGGTTCAGGCGGGTATGCCTATTCATGAATCACAGCAGTTTATCCACGCACACCGGAGCTTACTTTATTTGAAATTGCGTCTGTCATCATGAATAGCTGAATCCAAACAAGTCGATCTCGCTGTTCAGGCAGCCCACAAAGCTTTTTATGGTGGATGGAAACAAAGTGACGGTCGCAAACGTGCTCGACTCATGCATAAGCTGGCAGATCTTGTTGACCGTGATTCGGATGATCTCGCTCACTTGGAAACTTTGGATAACGGCAAGCCGCTGAAGAACGCTCAAAGAGATGTAGCGGAGGTTGCCAACTACTTGTAAGATTTAGCAGCATATTCATAGGTCGAGTATATGAGCACCATTGTACCCCTAACAATTGCACATATCACAATTAGCCGATATTTTGCAGGTTTTGCTGATAAGCTTCATGGAAAAGTGATTGACGCACAAGGAAAATTGTCATACACTGTTCATGAACCAATTGGTGTTTGTGGTGCTATCATTCCATGGAATTTTCCTGTATGTATTGTCTCTTCCATATAAGCTTCACCAACAGTGTATCATATGAGTGATCGACATAGTCAGTATCCATTGTTTATGTCTCTCTTTCCTTCAATAACGATAGATTGTGATGTTGTCCTGGAAAATCGCGCCGGCTGTATGCACAGGCAACTGTGTAGTTCTCAAAACATCAGAAATGACGCCATTGTCAGCTTTGAAATTTGCTGCCTTGGTCAAAGAAGCCGGATTCCGTAAGTAGTAGCAGTAGCAACATGTTCCCTTTTGGGCTTTGTGCTTAATACTTAATACATGAATCGTACTCTATCATAACCTGTTGTAGCTCCTGGAGTCATCAACATCATCACAGGTTATGGTCACCTTGCTGGAGACGCGTTGGCACGTCACATGAAGGTAGACAAGATTGCGTTTACTGGTTCCGTCGCCACAGGTAGAGCTATTATGAAGGCGGCTGCCGAGAGCAACTTGAAGAAAATTACCCTTGAACTTGGTGGCAAATCACCCAATATTGTCTTTGATGACGTTGAGAATATGGATGAAGCTGTATTTTATTCAACCTTTGGCATTTATTACAATGCTGGACAAATGTGTTTTGCAACCAGTCGTATTTACGTGGTATGTATACGCTAACTACAAAACTGATACATTTACGAGCACCTTTAGCAACGTGACATGCACCTTCTGGTTTGTTTATTATGAAATGATGCTAATGCCAAAAAAAAAACTTAAATATTTCCAGCAAGAAGGCATATATGACAAGTTCGTGGAAAATTTCAAGAAAATGGCACAAGCCGGCAAAGTGGGATGCCCATTCGATAAAGCTACTTTCCAAGGACCTCAAATCTCTGAAGCGCATCTCAAGAAAATTATGGGCTATATTGATACTGGAAAGAAGGAAGGCGCGACCTGCTCTCTTGGTGGTAACCGTGTGGGCAACACTGGATACTTCCTTGAACCTACTGTTTTTACAGGTAAAGTGATTAAAGAAAAATAATTTTAATCCAAACTGATTCTGTTTTTGGCACTTTAAGATGTTAAGCCAGATGCGACTATCATGAAAGAAGAGATTTTTGGCCCAGTGGTTGCCATTTGTAAATTCAAGGATACAAGCGACGTAATAAGACAAGCGAATGATACACCTTTTGGCCTTGCAGCCGCTGTCTTCACGTCGAATATCACACGTGCTGTTACGGTATCGAATGCACTTGAAGCTGGCTCAGTGTGTAAGTTATCTAACCTTTGGTTTTGGCTTTTCTATTATCTATAGCAATGTATATTTACTAACTGTCGTCATCGTTGCTGTCGATCTTTTTGTTTTGTTTGAAAAAAAAAGGGGTTAACTGCACTAGCGTTGTCAATGAGAGAAATCCATTCGGTGGTTATAAACAGAGTGGATTCGGGCGCGAGAATAGCAATTATGCTCTGGATAACTATACCCAAGTTAAATCGATCAAGATTAATCTTAGCAGCAAACTTTAAAGTGTTGTTTATACAAAAGATGACAGCGTAGCTTTCAGATTTCGTTATTCATGCGTGCGTATTTTTGTCATACATTACATGATTGCAAATAAACCAGATGTTATACATTTAATACTAATTCTTGGCCTCACCCAGCGTTCAATCATTAAATTTGAGAATTGCCATTTAAAGCTGGTAATAAATATACAGTAAGAGTATATAGATTGCTTTACTACTGTACATACAGCGTTGGAAGTCGGATTTGGCCACCAGAAACGAAATGCGCCATGATGTGAAATTGGGCCAACTGAATGAAAATGAGCCATAATTTTAAATTTGAGCTATGTCGAGCAAGATGCTAACATGGTATCCCAAATAAACGGAGTAAGTTAAATGGATCCCTCATGGAAACAGATCGGCACAGTCGTGTACGTAGAATGAGTTCACCTTTGTTGTTGATGATAGTTATTGGCTGATTTTTTAAAGATACAGTATGAGATGAAAAGAATCATATACTGTAAATGATAAGATGATAGATTATTTATCGAGGAGGAGGGAGGAAAAGGAGGAGGAGGAGGAGGAGGAGGAAGGAGGTCGTTTTGATGCTATATCACGGTATACCACATATTCTATTATGAGAAGCCGAATTTTGTTATAACTTAATCCATTATACAAGAGGGTAAAGGGGTATTTAAGAATATTATATAAGATCCTAATGTATGTCTTCTTGTTTTTGATTGCTGTAATCCATAATACAGTAGGTGGTCTGAAAAGATGATGGAAAAAATAGGGAAGGGGAAGGGAGAGAGAGGAATAGCATCATTCGGGTTTCCATTACTTGATATATTCTCAATTATCTTTTAAGTGGTCAGCTCATTAGTAAAAGACAGAACACTCGGTGCAATAAAAGCAATCTCTCTAATGGTCACCGGTATACTCTCAAACGTTCAGATCTCTTTTCAAAATCGACCGGCAATATCAACACTTTATATGATGATCAATTTGAGTCAACTACAAATCATCTTTGTATTTTGAAAGTTAAAAATACAACAAAAGTATTTTTAAGCATTCCATTTCATATTGTAAAGTGCTTTTAAAACCAAGTAAAAGAGAAATAGTAACTTTTATCAAAAATAGTGACGCGTGAAGAGGCTGCATCTGGCAACGTCTGCTCGGACCTCCTCAGGCGTCACATGGTTTTTGACCATTTCACGCACTCGCTGAGGGTAGTTTGCAATTTCCGAGAACTCTTCCCTGTAAGCCAACAGAGCAAAACGCAGCTTGGAAAGGATGACTTTATTGACACCCTCTGAAGCCTTCAATTCGAAATCGAAGCTAATGCCGTTACGTGAAACGACGTCTTCGTACAGTTGACCCCCGTTTTCTGTATGTATCCTTGAGATTTTGCTTAACTGTAGTTAGTAACATGGAATTGTGCTTTCTATCAGAAATATCTTTTACTACTTACGTTCAAGGCATTGATACGTCCAACGGGGACCGAATCACATTCGATGAAGCCATCGTCCGATGTTGCTGCTTGATTGTTTATGCTGTCGCTAACGATGTTCATCTACAAGAGTGATATGCGATTTATAGTTAGTATAATGATGCAATATTTTGACTTGGTAAATGAAAGGATGGATTAATTGGATCACACCTTGCGTGAGTGAAAATCTTTATAAACAAAAATGAAGAAGGATTTCGCACACTTGCTGATCCACGAAGTATATATACTACCATCGGGGATACGACTTTGGTAAAACGGATCGGGACCCGGTTCTCATTATTTAACTCTGAATATGGTGAGCGAACCAAAACACTCTTTCTTTCCATTTTCTGTTTTTTTCAGATTCTACTTCCTGTTTGCATTTACTCTTGGATTCGCTGCTTTATACGCTGATTTTGTTGCTAAAAGCTACTTGAAGCGCCCATGTTGGTAATTCTCATGCTCGGCTTCTTTCCGTAGAGTTGTGCAACATAGATGGTGATTAGGTTAAAATTTATGTTTTATAGTAAAACATTGAATGAACCGGCGCCGACGGGCATGTGGTCGCTTCCTTGCGGTACAGGATGATGTGAGATTTATACATATGTATGCAATATGAGGGGGTGCAATAACTGAAAAAACCCCCTACCTGTGGGGAAAAAGTTATGCTAGTGAAGGGAGAATGGTACAGTATGTGTGGTGGACGGAGGATAGAAAGAGAGTAGAGAGGTACACACGAAAGACTTGAAGTACAGATATGAGAGTTATTTGTGTTCTTGGGTGTAAGTAGCCAATGGAAGAAGTGTTAATGCGGCTTCTGGAGCTGGTCTGTCATCGTCTTTATAGGTGTTTTCAGGATGACTTGACCGGTCTATTTCCCTGAGGACATGAATTAGCGCAGCCCAGGCCTCATTTAATTGCTACCGGAGAGCCCGATGTCAGAGCGAGGGAGACTATTCATGATGTGATCTTTTGTCTGCTTGTTGATAGACAGCTCTGGTATCTTGCGGAATGCTTCAGTGAGCTCTTTCAGTTTTAGTTGTAGCAGAGGGCATCTAGCGAAATGTTCACGTTTCGCTTCCGCTACCCCACAGCGACAATTTTGAACTGAATATGATGGAAGCCAATGCATACGCTATTTGACTAGGTAGCTAGATAGAGGATGGGGTCAATTCTGCGTGTGGATCGGAGGCAGCTGATCGTTTTGTATTTCTTGGCCCCACGATTATATAATTCGTCGTCGCGCTTTTCCTTGATCGCCTGCTTAATAGGTTCGGCTATGGAGACGTTTCCATATTTTAGCTTATTGAAGAGCTGAAATATTGGATTGTGCGAGGTCAGGTATTTCCATTGTTGTCGCGGTCTTTGTTCCATAAGAGCGTCAGTTCAACTGCGCGGACCATAGTTGTGACCGGGAGCTCGCGTAGTGGGGCTGCAAACTTGGGTTGTGGTGCACTTGTGCGCAGTTGCTTCAATGGTATATCGACCAGGACCATGGGACGATCGTCGGAAATAATGTCTTGATATGACGGTTTAGCGCCATTTTTATGCAACCTTTCTGGGCGTTGTGTAACATCTCCATCTGCTTGGACGAAAATGCTGTAATGACAAGGCCGTACTCCAGCACCGGGCGGATGAAGGTACGATATGCGCGCAACGCTGGCCAGAGACCGATGTCATACTGATAGATGCCTAACTGCCGTAGTATATCCATGTTGCCTGTCGCTTTTGCAGTGCGCTGGTAAACCAGGAGATCTGCATTGATACCATCGTAATTGAAGGGTATCAAATGTTGAGTTGTCGGAAATCAAAACATTGTGATTTTTTGGATATCAACATTTTGATTTCTGAGATATCAACTTTTGGTTCTTGGGATATTAACATTTAGTTTTTCAGGTACATATCGTAATGGTAATGGTATCAACAAATATAGCTTCAAACAGAATCCCTAGTATTCAACAGGCGTTTCTGGCTATATCCGAGTAAATTGCTATACTAAAGCTTATCACTCTGATAAAATCCAACAGGAAGAAAGGTTAATAAAACTCGATTGGGAAACGGTGGTTCATTGAAATAACTACATACTATATGGATGCAATATGAGTCCATGCGATCCAGTACACCGCTTCTCATGTTTTACTTACCACCATATTAATATACATACAGTAACAGCTTGAGATAAAAATCTAATGGTTAGAATACTAGACAGATTACGGGCAATAGTGAAAAGCGATATGATACTATATAAAAGATGATGAACAGCCAGTCATAAATAGCGGAAAAAGCACAGCATAATTAAAAGGCCATCTTACAATTTGTAGTCGTTAGTGGTAACAGATTTCTGACAGTTATCGAACTATTAAGTGATTAAGTGACGGTCAGAAATTAGCATATAATAGTATGATAGAGCAGGAAGAGACGATCACGCTTACCAGTTAAATGAATATCAGCAGCAGACACACAAGCAGAGGTATGGAAGTACCTTGCGCCAAGAGACGGTGATCACCATCTAGCCAGACACACACCGCCTTATAATTTCAGCTCTGCTTTATGCTGAGGATGTCGCCTTGCTGTGATCACCGGACGATATGATGCAGTTGCTTCGTGTTGCCGAGCAACATTCACTTGACCTCGGATACCGTTGGCACCCTGACAATGTACCGTAATCGAGACTCCGTCAATAACGCAACAACACCAGCATCCTATCAGCTCTACAACACGCCTATAGCAAAAGTATGTACAGCAGTTTTGATATCTAGGAATACGCACTATGTATTTGAGGAGGGGAAAAAGTGAAACACGTCAGCAGCTGTATTGGCTTGCTGGCTCAAAAGTCTTAAGATTCCATTCATTGGCAGGGACATGGCTTTGGCATCAACCCAAATTAATACATACGAATACGAACCAGCGACGATACGATATTACACATGCCCTAAAGCATCCAGCGAACGAAGCAACAACTAAATAAAGATTGGTAGTAATAACAACAATTTGTGTCATGTTTCCCGGTTCTATTACTGCAATAGTAATCATTATCAATCAACCTTATGAACGTCGAAAGGGGAAAGGGAAATCATCAAATGTTTCGACCGCTTCGTTCAGGTTGTTTCCTTTTAAAAAAACACTAGCGACACATATGGCGACTAGCGCTCTTCAGGGATCCGTCGAGTTTTCCATACTGTTTTTGAGCTCCGACGCGAATTGTCAGGAACTACTTTTTGCAATGGCGTAAAGCTAGGAAGCCTGGTGATGTATCTGCTGATATATCTATTTCCACACACTGATCGCTTGTTAATTGTACTACTTGCAGTTGCTGAACCTAATCAACTGTATGTTTTGCGTCGTAAATAATATGAAGAAAAACCTTAATTGAAAGTCTGTAAAAGAAGTGAAAACGCCCCTTCCCTTTTAACGGGAGTATCCCAGGACTTATATAGCATAATTGCCGGGAGCACCATATTGGGCGATGGCAATCTAGGGAATAATCAGTGAGCAGAAATACAGTCGCGACCCTCGGCTGCGCCCTTTTTTAAGCATTCAGTTGTGTTTTACAATTTGAGATAAAACAGACAACTTTGTGTATTTGCATAAAGAAGAGTTTATTTAATAACTTTGGTAATATATCGCATATAGTAAATGTAAAGCTCTTGACCATTATCTAACCCCAATACAGTAATTTCAGAAACTTCAACTAGGAGTTTGTTTTCATATATATTTGTTCTTCGAAGCCCCAAGAGTATAGTAAGGAGGCGGTTTTAAAGAGAACGCAGTGCAAAGTCCAACAGGGAAACTAAACATAGTACACTTGAAAGGTCCTGATAGAATGATACACCCCCAGCGCTACTTAACCAATCGCCATAACAAAGTGTCCGTCTGATTTGGGCTTGGGTAACATGAATGAGGTTGGTCAAAATAATTTTTCCACAAATGTAGACAGTGTATTAGTGATGATTTCAAATGTTTCAAAACAGTCATAGAAAATAGATTTAATACTTACTCCAGAGTCCGTGGCTTCCGCGCTGAGTAAAAGCACTGTCCTCTTGGCCCCAAGATACAATCGTAGTGGAATTTTCGACTAATTCCTATCATTTTCTAAGGCTAAAATATTGTTTTCCGGTTCCTCCTGTTCTTCTTGATCTTCTTGAAGTTGCGCTTGTTGAGGGAGCTGTCCACCTGGTGGTAGGAATGCCTCTGGTCGAAAGTCTGGATGTCCATCATTATTCATATAGGCTATGCCTATGCTTCTTATGTTCAATGCCGCATTTTTATCCCGGTCTACAATCTAGATGAGAAAACAAAACTCTTTTAGCATATGATAGGCAGAATCCTTCGTGGGTTTAAAGGGTTAAAACATACCACAGCCTCTGGATAAAGCTCTGGATGGTTATTACAAGCTTTAATCTTCCACATCACCCAATCTATTATGGTATTCCATGCCAATTTAGTTTAGCAGAACACAACTATTGATTATATACCTTATTAGTAGAAATTTGCCTTTACCTGGCGGTGGTGGGCGTGCCTGTATACAGTCACTTGCCGGATTCAGCAAATTGCCATCCTGGTCTCGACAGTACTATATTTTCCTTCCCCTCTTTGGAATGAAGCCGCCTTGAGGTCCTTCGACCCGGTACGTTGCACGTTCTCTTGTTTTTCTGCATGGATACATTGGTAAAAATGATCCCGTCAGTCGTTGTAAGTGGGCTTCTTAAAGCGGGAATTATGTATAGCAATCAGATATTATATTATTACGTACCTGTGTCCGCAAACCTCCTCGTCATATGGAATACTTGTTAGCCGTTGCTGACACCCTGCGTGAGCTTGAGAAGTCTTGTACTCGTCCGTCAGTATCAGCAGCATGTGTGAAGCCAATTTTTTAATAAGTCCCTAAAATATACATTACTCATAAGTGTATGGCAACCTCTTTGCGCATTCTCTCTTGTAAATATACTAACCAAATGGGGGATCGGGGCCCATCCCGGGAAATGCGGCATTCTGCTGGAGCCATAGAACACAATCGTTGGTTGTTGATTTGGGTGCCAACGCTCGCGTTCTCGCCTCAAGCGGGCAGCTCTTTTGCGAGATCGGTGCGACGATTTGTGTATCCATTTGATAGGCTCTCCCTATGTTTCAGTTTTTCAAAAATGATCATCAGCGTATTATCAGATATCACGCCAGAAAAATGGAAAAAGGGAATCGCTTACAGCTGGGTGAGGAGGAGTGACACCTAGCAGCTCATCTTTGACAAGATCTTGTTTTCTCTGCCGGCTTGAGAATAACAAGCTTCTGATTTCTCTGTGTTTGAACCTAGACGAGAAACGACGCATTCTATATTCTTGCCGTTATTATATGCCCTTGTCACCAACTCGCCTAGCATTGATTAGCCCTTCTTCTCCTTCCTTCTCCTTCCTGCTACTTACCGAAGTCGAATTCGATTCAAATTAGCGATATAGAAAAGAAAATCTTCCGAACGTGAGACATAGGGCGAGTTCTCTGCGATGGAGTCATAATCCTCTTGGATTTCGGCTTTCTGCCGATTTTTGTTTTCTAATTTATATTCCCAAAAGACACCCGTCTCCGCACTTTGCATTGATTTTTTTTAGTCAAGAGCTCAATGTAGTGTGAGGCTTATCTATTATATACTCTTTTTCAAGACAACTTACTGGTACTTTCGCGTGGTAACTTCAATTGGGTTGTGTACAGGTTCTTCAGCAGTCGATACTCCTGTGATCATCGACGACACACCTATATCACCAATTACAAACGTAAAAATCAGTGGGAAAGAAATGATGCAACAAGCCCGCAAACTATTGTACTCTCCGTAGTACGCCATACCAGGATCGGCTCCAACAATTCGACTTTCTTCGGCACGCTGCTGAGTTAGGCCATCCGGATTCAACTCGAGTCTGTATACACCATGGCTCCAATTTGTTAAGTCTTGACCTTCGGGAAGGCGTCTAATTTCATCGTGTGTACTAGGAAATAATTCTTCATGGCGTGTACATAGTATTGTTTTGTCGTCAGCGTGACATTCAGCTTTAGCTCACAAACTCCAAATTACTAAAGCAGGATTTATGCTTGCCTGGACTATTCCCGATAAACTTTTCGAACTGGACGTGTACCATACATCCATCCGTAGTCGCTGTATGCTTGAAGCTTAGCGCGTTGTGTGCAAAGGGGTTTTGATCTATAAAAAATTGTATAAAAAGGATCAGGATGCGCATATACATACTGTAGAATGTATAATATTATTCGCTAGCCACCACTAAAAGCACTCACAATCTTGACCGTATCGGCGGCGGTTTGGTTTTATGTGATCAATATCGAAAACCGTTTCCCATAGCTCCTGGCACCAGAGCCGATTGCTTTCGAGCTGTCTGCATCTTGAAATCGACAACGGTGACCCGCCCTATACACACACAGAAATATAAGAGTAAGATTACAAACACTAATGTATGGGAGAAGCAAAGATACAAAAGCTGACCAATACCTCTGCGAGCAATATGAGCGGTGCCGGATTATTTCGATTCTCCATTCGTGCTCTTCTCACCAACAAATACAAAGTACGAGTATCCAACCGAAAGAACCCCGTTTGATGGGAACCTAATGGCAATAGTGGCCAAGGGCGTGCTCGTGGATAAGTTCGTTCGGAATATTGAAGCAGGTCGTACGACAAATGCAGAAGGGAGATGCATAAATCTTCTCCCATGTTGCGAGACCGCACACGAGTTATGCCTGTGTCATGGAGCAGCTCTTGAAAGCGACCATGAATGAAGCTATCAACCAGTTCACAACAAAGAATCAGCATATATATCGCAAACTGTTATCCTGTTTAATATAAGCTTACCGATACAATCTTCCCAATGATTGATCATGAACTACATTGTTGGGATAGTCGGCTTCATGGTTCAAAAAGTTACTTGTTAATACTCGTGCTGTTCCGACATGATATTAGGACAACGAGTTTCGTAATGTATCATATTGACTAGTAAGCACAATAATATGCATATGTAGGATTCTTTCTACCTGCTCTTTCCAGTTGATTTCGGTTGTGTAGGAGTTGTTGTAAAGCACCCTTCCAAACTCGATTCATGTAATCCTTGATATTTAGGACATGCTCTCTCATATCTGGCATAAAATAAAAACGATGAGCTATCATATCTATTTTCCTTAGCTTCATAGTGCTTTTATATTCTGTACTTGAGCCATACTTTGCAGCGCCATGACAGCAAAATTGTTTGCTAGCGAATCTCTCAATGACCCAGGAGCAATATCCTCTGGCTCGAAATATTCTAATATATCATACAGTACACATGCATCAAATAAAACAACGTTTAAACCATTGTCACTGATATACTGCTCTGTTAGTTTTTAAATTGAAATGTTGCAATCACTTACGTTCATTATTGTGTGGGTTAGTTCTTTCTGCGACAAAGATTGCTGCCGTGCGCATTAGGTCTTCTTTCCATGGTAGCTATTGGATTATCGGATGTTAGCACGAATTTTGGAATAAATATGAAGATATATATTGAACATACAGGAGGAACTCACGTTCAAAAAGAATCCTGGTAATTCGTCGTGTAATCCGTACGGAAGCACTTTGAACGCAATGACCCAAAAGCCTTGCAAAAACAACGGAGGTGCATTATGATAATAACCCTCAAAGTGACGCCTGAGGTGCAAAGAAACAAGATTGTAAACATCTTGTTTTCGGAAAGAAACCAGTTCTGATGTTTGTCTTAGGATCGTCTACAAAAAAGATGTACAATCATCAGCCTCAACATTCAGGAAGGATAATAATAAGCTAAGGAAGTTAAAAGTGAACGTACTCGGAAAAAGTGGTATTCACCATGAAGAAATGCTCTAACCGAGCAAGGTCGAGTTACGACCCGCGTTCTCTCGCCAAAGCCGTTGAACTCTACAAACGGCTCTGGGATAGCGGGAACAGGCTCTTGGACAGCGGGAGGAGGGGGTTCTTCAGGGATCTGTGGAGGCTCTTCAACAACTGATGACATGCGTATTTTAAGAATGGGAGAGATTTGGAATGAGCCGAAAAAGAAAGAAAGAAAAAGAAACTGATGGTTTTATACGGTGAGGTGATGGTTTCATGCAAAGTTGTCATTCTCATGGGACCATTGTATATGTATATCATATGACGTGTTAATTTAGCTCAGAGGCATGATTTGAATATTCATGTTATCGGCTTACCATACAGAGCAGGAAGTGCAGCGCGCATGAATGATTTGGTACACAAAGTGTCCTCATTGTCATCCACGAGGGTTCGGCTGTTAAGACAGAAAACCATCAAACAATAAAGAAATGTATCCACACTGGGATGAGCTTCGACGAATGCCTTTTATCATCCGTGATGGCAAATAGAATAAGAACAAGTTGTTATTCTTTCAGTGATAAATAGGTCAACTTCAATCCGAGTTTATATCAAGTCATGCCGAGTGTTGCTCCTTACTCTTTCCCAATCGCCCACCGCACGCCAGCTTCGTTTTGCTCAAAAAGAATGCATGGTAAGTTACAATAGAAGCAAATGAGGACTTCCCAAGTAGTAGACAGTAACCCTCTGTATTTTTTCCCCAGATGACCAAGTCAACTATCAAAGATCCTTTCGCTGATCAAGAAGTGACTGCATGGAAGTCGCAAAAGGCTCGCGCCTGGGAGCAACGGCATATGGTACGAGTAAGATAAAGGAAATCACAAAAACTTGTGCTCACTCATACATCTCTTCTAGAATGCGGAACAGTATTATCTTCACCATGTGGATCCAGGCACGATGATTAACATTGGACAATTTAATGTTGCAGAAAAGGAACAATTTCAAGAAAGGCTTCACGAATGGGAGGAGAGAAATCTCGTCCAGAGTTCTGCGTGGGGGGCATTTTCTCTTTCAATACCAGGCAGGACTGGAGTACAGTGCCGCGAACGCTACAAAAACATGGTCAAGGAAGGGTATACAAGCAGTTCAAACAAATGTTCATCCATAACTACTGCGGCACTGCCTGACACTGAATTATCCGAATCGTGGGGAACCCAGGAAACACGACAACTCGAGAACCACATCGACTGCATTTATCAGCAATCGCATGGAAAGAGGTACTCCTTTTCTACTGTTGTTTACCGGGGGTTTCGATAAACTAAGAGTATGATGATCTAAAACGTTCTGTCCTGGAAAACGCGAAGCCAAGTGACATCAACATCAGCGGCCAGACAAGCAGTCGAACTACAAACAAATGGCTTGCCAGTTGATTCCAAAATACCACCAGCTCCAGCCCATCGACCCGTACGTCCAAAGAAAGACGTGTCCATTTTGTTAAAAAGTCTTTTGAAAAAAGCTAAAGCCGCTTCTCTTGTTTTTGAAACAGCTACCAACAAAAAGAGGAACACCCAACAAGCAAGACCAACAAGTGAAAAGAGTTAGATTAGTCCTGTCACAAAAATCTATGAATTTGGATGAATAAAAGTCTTCTGTTATTATAGTACTGGGAGTGGGATAAAGACAAATAAGCACGTTTCAAACTTAGTGCCTGCATGTGCTTCATTGTCATTCATTTACTGAACGAGTATCTTCGATATGTCATTGTCTGCACTCAAAAAGCATATGACATAATTAGTCAAAGCTCAGCTTTATTGGATATTAAGGTCTAATTTCATTGGCTCGCCCAGCCTCATACGTACTATTCCTGCCCTGATTTGCTTGCTCCGGTCGTCTCCGCATGCTTCGCAAAAGGCACTTGCCACACCTCCGCCACCGTATACATAACAAATTAGCAACCTATTAAAAAGTCATATGGATTGGGTTGAGTAAATGTTCAGCAGGATATTACATGGGTTGAACAAAATTTACATTATCACTTGTAGATATCTTGTCAGCCAGGGAAAATGAGGCGAGTCTTTGGCAATTTAGCAGTTACTGCTTCCCAGATCGCACACGAGCACTCATCCGTCGTTCTTAATCATCGTTGGCAATCTGTATTTCTTCCTTGTCATTTTTGATTGCGTTGTTCAGTCGCATCTTTTTTTTTCTTGCAGTTCGTGTACTCATTGAACCAGTTGGGAATCAATACTTCTTCATGTACCTATTTGTGACGCGAGCCTCGGCGCGTGCACTGACACTTCTTCTCCCAAAACAAGCGGCGACAATAGCGGAGGGTATATCGGCATGGTGAAACATATATAGTGAAGGGTGATACATGTCGATCACTGCTGCTGGCGTATTTGACTTCTTGACGACGACTATCACTTACACATCTCCTTCCCCTTCACTTTGCTTTTGGGCCAAGTTGCGTCATGTGCTATAAGCGGTCCATAAAATGAGCCAACCTAAGCCTTAAAAATGAGAGCCAATCAAAATGATGGATTTTCATTGAAGACCCGAGCGTGACGGCAAAAAAAATTGTCTGAATAAGAATACCAAAAACCCCCCCACCCCTCCCATTTTTTTTTCTTCTTCAGTTCCATTTACACAAACTTTATGAAGCGCAAAGTGTTGTGTGAATCCTTGACTTGGAAAGCTATCCGCCGAGTCGAGGTGGATATTTTCACCCGAAAGATGCTTCAACGGTAGCAAGGTTGTTGGAAGCATGCCCTAGGGCTGCACCAACGTAGTACAACAACCTTGAGGCATCTTTGTGCTTAGTTGACGTTGTGGGCACACACGGCACGGGCGCCACTAGTGAATGGCGAAGGTCTCTCATTGCGTAGCGACCATTCACTACCTGCGTCTTCGATCAGGTTTGTTGTCTTCCTGGAAAAAAGAGACAGCAGGAGTTTTTCCCCTCTTTTTCTATTGGAACTTCCTAGAAAAGAGGGTTTCTCTTTAAAATACAATAAGAAAATGACAAAAAGAAATAACCAACAAGAGAAGCTTTCTATGTTTGATTATTATTATAACGGAAATTTAATCTTTCGTTGGGTAATGACATCCCAATTCACAAAGAAAGATCTCTCGCGTACTGATCGACCTTGTGAAGTACTTTTGTACTTTGTTTGTGAATATACTGATTGAGATTTAGGATCTTTTTCAAGTGCATATAAAGCGGTGGCAACTCTTTGACACCGTGCTCTCTACGCACGGACCCTGCCATTGTTCTTAAAAGAAAGAAACGAGGTTGCGTCCGTGTTTTTCTTTTCTGTGATGCAAGATCCGTTTGAAACGAATGTCCATCAACGGCAGCAATTGAGACACGCTTGACTTCAAGTCAAGCTTGACCTGACCGACTGCTGCGGATTCGCATTGTCAAAGCTTGGTTTAAAAAGGCTTTACGATATTTTATAACGCGCTGGTATTGCAAGTAGGATGCCTTTTTTCCCGCATTCTCCGGTTTCAAAAAGTACTACTTTTCTCTTGACCATTCGTTTTTCGTAAACGGATTCCACCTTGTCTTTGGCGTTTGAGCTTGCGTTACTTCTCCCTCGTGCTTACAGGCGAAAAATAACACTTTTATCATTTTAGTTAGCATCCTCGCATTATCTCTGTCGCGTAACCTCCATGAATAATTTATGTGGCACATCATGCTATACACATATACACATATACATAGCAGATTGCCACATGCGTCAATGAGTTGCCCATGGCAATGACAGTATGACAAAGTTAGGACTATTAGTCAGCTTACTTTTGTTGGTAAGAATTGGCGTGGCACGCGGTATCATATTATTATACGCGTAATGAATGGCTAATGACATTTAGGCTATTAGATAAAACACTACAGCTACGATCCATATCGAAGAAGGTAAGAAGTTCCATCTAATGTTGTATGGCTAATATAGAAAACCGGTTGTTATTAATGACAATAAAGCACTCAAGTTTGATACCTAGATTTTTGAATGATGGGATCTTTTGAATAGTGAGGTGAAGGTTGTCATAGGTTTCTGTATGATGGAGTGATGTTGTGTTGTGGGATCGCGTGAAAAGAAAAAAAGATTAAGAGAGATTGAAGCGTGGTTGAGGATGGATGGGTGGTTACTGGATATACTACGTATATTCTCTGCACCGCGACATATGATGAGTACGACTATGTTACGTGCTGACAGATTATTTGCCCGTACTAACAGGAAAATACATATCCAGGTAATAGAACGAATATCAAAAGATTTTGTGCGGTTGAACTTAAGAGTGACGGATTAACAATTCTCACAAGGAAGTTGTTGGTTAGTAACGTATTAGCTCCAAATTGAACTACCCATTCGACATGGATTGGTAGGGTTTACTCTATGGGTGGCGTGTCTACCTAATACAATAGTAGTACTAATGATTAGGTGTGTGGTCGGATCTGATCAAGACAATTTGAGCCTCGAAAAGTAAGAGAGATCCTGGATGTGTCGAAGAGTAAGAGACTTAACATTTCTATCTATACCGCTAATGTTCGTGCTGCTGTATGCTTCAAGGCTCTAGATATTCATGCTGGATTAATATGACAAAAGCTGGGCATTTTGCAACTTCTTTATCGTATCATATGTGAATATTAGCTGCGAGAACAATGACTACCAACGTTATCGAGGCTGTCCATGCTCGTCATCCAGTTGGTCGCAGTTTTAAGATTGCTATGATGCTTATAGTATGCTCTGACTGTTTTTGCAGAGCTGGAAAGATATACAATTGCATTATAAACAAAGTGCACTGGTGATTTACTATATTGTCATATAATAGGATTTTGTCTTGTGTGCTCTACCTTACAATCAACATTTTGAAAAAAAAAGTCATGACCATTGCGGTTTAGTTGCTACACATATAAAAAAGGCCCCAATTTGACAGGTGCTTCTTCTAGTCTTTCTGCTGATCAACTACTGCTGTGGTGTCACAAGATCCAAACGCACTCAATTTGTATTCATTAATCGCTTTCTTTCTATCCGATGTTGGTTTTATATCTTTCGACATTACTCTGGCCGGGTTGTTACTCACGCTTTGTGTTACCGAAGGGTTCACTTTCAATATGTATGCAAGCTAGATCTTTGAGATATCAGTAGAGAATGGATATGATTGATTCAGATTCAAAGTGAAGCTCTAGGAAAAGTGTCTCAAGAGATGAATGGGGACTTTCTGCAATCTTTCTACGACGTACAGTATTGTCAGTAGCAAGATGATCGTATGCACTATTTTGCTAAAGGAAGAATAGGAAGAAAACCATGGTGGCGGCGTAGAGAATATTGAAGATTTGGTCATCTGGTTTGTTAGAAGGATTGATGCTCATGGGTACCATCATTAGCCTTATTTACAGTATGCATATATACTATAGAACGCGCTCTACGTTATAAAGCACTTTGTAAATCAGCCGGCTTTATTATCGAATGCGGACACGTCAAACATGAATGGAAATTCATATTGTTGATGTTATTACTTTAGCTATACGATGTGCGTTTGATATGATATGAGAAAAAAGGGCACCAGCTTTAATAATACGTTTAGGCATTTGGGATGGAGGGAAAACAACTCTGATTTATAAAGGGTGTGTGTGCGATGAATATCAATACTAGCTATTTACAACTTTCAATTTATGGTTTGTGTGTTTGTTTGTGTCTGTTTATAATCTTCAATCTTGGATTCTTTATCGATGTCCATTCACGCCTGGAGCATCTGCGTCTCTTGGTAAGCCTTGTGCACCGCCATTTAAGCAAAGCTGCTCAAATTTTTCGTTAAAGATTTTCTATAAGCGTAAGTCAAAGATAGGTGAGCTCTATATGTCTCAAAATCATATACTTCTAGAAATCACTGCTTAGCATAGAGAGAGAGAGAAGAGAGAGAGTCCTACCTCCAATTCATTCGCATCTTCATACACAATAGAGCCTTCTTCATTAAACGTTCGCGCGTTGTCAAACATCAGTTTAAAGTCATCGCGGAACTGATATATAGTCTTGTAGTAAGGGGAGCGAATACGTTTTTTGATCATGTTCATGGATATGGGTCGCTTGATCAGCTTGTAGTATAAAGGATAATCTCTTTTGCTGACCAAATCCATAAACAGTTCACATCGTTCGCGGACCGTGCTAAAAAAAAGGCAATACCTTTTGTTAGAAACAAAAAATCTTGCGTTCCCACTTTCACTTTAAGATTTGAAAAAACAAAGATATTTACCCATCCTCATCTTCTTCTACTGAATCTTCAACTGCCTTGTAACATCCTTCAAAAACGCGTGTCACTTCTTGTCGTACGTGGGGTTCAAGGGTCTCTTCTACTCCAGTAGCTGAAGGCCTTTGCTTCTTCCGCCGTTCAGGAATGATCTCATCTAGTTTCTTTGGACGACCTCGTTTCTTTGCGTTTCCTTCATCTTCGGCAGCTGAGGCTGTACCACGGCGTTTACGACGTCCACCGGAATCACTGGCTACATCTTCCTCACCACGTTCAAGAGCTGCTTGTTTCTCCAAGCGCTTTTGTCGTCGTGCAGCTTTCTTAGCAATCAGCTCGTCTAGATCCACATCGTCGTCTTCAAGTGCCTGAACACAGCAAATAGAAAAATATCATATTTAGCATTGGAAAAAATGGAGACATCCACGTGATATAGGCGAATTTGAGAATACTGTAATTTTTTTTTTACTTACATTAAGCCATTGTTCTTCAGTCAAACCATCATCATAATGAATAGCATCTCTTGAACGTTGACCACGACCGTACTCAAGCTCGGAAGCCATTTGATCTTCTGGCAGCTCTTCGTATCGATAAATATCTGGTAATTCGTCTTCTTGCATTAGACGCTCGTATTTCTTGTTGCGGTTGCCCACGCGTCTTCGCATCTCGTTTTCTTCACGGCGACGTTCGCTATCCAGCTGGTTAAATGTAACTAGTTCTTGATCCGAGCGTTGTAGCATCGCGTTGAGTTCCTCGTCATCAATGTCGTCATCTTCTTCCTCATCTTGTTCGTTGCTTTTGTCTTCGAGCAAAGAACGCTATAAATATTGCTGCTGTGGTTAGTATACCTTGATCATAGAGAGGAAGATTATGTGAGAATGATAGAGTCAAGTTAACATTACCAGGAATGCTTCACGATCTTCTTCTGTACTTCGATTATCGAATTTACCGGCCTGAATGACCTTGCCATCAATATCCAGCTTGTAGTTGGCTCTAGCTAAGATGTTCTCTTCGATTGAGTTGGCAGAGATCAGACGGAAAATACGGACTTCTTTGGTTTGACCGATACGATGTGCACGATCCTGAGCTTGAAGATCTTGATGCGGGTTCCTAGAATGTAGATATGTGAGATGCCAGGTGCTCGACACCTCCTATTGCTTTATAAATCAATTACCAGTCAGAATCAAAGATAATAACAGTATCAGCAGCCTGCAAGTTCAGACCAAGACCACCAGCACGAGTACTCAGTAAAAATACAAAGTAAGGGGAATCAGGAGAGTTGAATCGTTTGAGCAAATCAGATCGATCATCAGACTATGTTTGATAAAAAGAAACCATCAGCGACATTGTTGACTAGAGATATCAAAAGCAACGTTATGTGTACCTTTGTGGAACCATCGAGTCGAAGATATTGGAAGCCACGATAGTTCAAAAAGTCTTCCATGATCGTCATAATTTGTGTCATTTGGAAGAAGATAAGCACCTACAACAGATAATAAACCCGTCAATGTCTTCTTGCTTGAGAGCCCACGTCCAAATAGCACTGATTATCACTTACCCTATGGCCAGTTTTCTTGAGTTTTGGAAGCATACGGTCCAGTAATTCAAACTTGCCCGCAGTGCGATACAAGACTTCATTCGATTGTCGCAAGGGGTTGATTGTATTTTCAACCTCTTCAAAAACGAAGGGATGGTTACAAATTTTTCGAAGCTGCATAATCGTGTTGTTCAAGCCCTTGATACCAGTACGACTACAAAAAAAGATAAGGAGGTAGATTTTAAGTAAAAAGAAAGCGTTGTTATAGCAAAATAACATATACACAGCACATACCCCTTTTCGCCAGAAGAAGTGTACAGAATACCGCTTTTTTTCATTTGCGAGTAAAGCTTGAGCTGGAGGGCAGAGAACTTGCACTTGATGACACGCTCTACCTTGTCAGGTAATTCGGATTCGACATCTTTCTTCAAACGTCGGAGCAAGAATGGACGCAGAACTTTATGCAGACGCTTGATAATCAAAAGTTGCTCTTCTTCGTTCAGACCAACCTTGTCTGACACGCCTTGGTTGTTGAAAGGTGTATTGAACCACTCTTCGAAACTCTTGACGCTCTTGAAAATCTTGGGCAAGACAAAGTTCAGTAACGCCCATAATTCTGGCAAATTGTTCTAAATAACAAGGTAATGTGAATATCGGGTTAATTGAACTTTTATAGAACGATGGGTGTTTCGCCATCCAATTTTTTTTACCTGTAAAGGCGTGCCCGTCAAAATCAGTCGATATCGAGTGTGGTAATATTGGCGCAATACTTGGACAAGCTTAGAATTGGCGTTCTTCATACGATGTCCTTCATCAATGATCATGTGGAGCCAGCGGACTTTGCTCAGCAAGGGGCGATCCTTGATAATATATTCGAAAGTGGTAAGCAGAACCTGGAAGTCGCCCTGTCTAATATCCGCTTGTAGCACTTTTCGTGCAGTTGGATGTCCTTTGTATACGATAATCTTGATTGCAGGTGCCCATTTGTCGAATTCCAAAGCCCAGTTAGTCAATGTTCTAATTATCCGAGCCATTAGTAAGTAGAAATTTTTTGATATAAAGTCTATTCTGTTTAAAAGGTGTACTTACGATAATGGCACGATGATGAGGTAAGGGCCATTCTGGCGTTTCTTTTCGATCAGGTATGTGATTAAACTGATTGTCTGGATGGTTTTACCAAGACCCATTTCGTCTGCAAGAATGCCGTTGAGGTGGTTGTTGTATAGCGATACCATCCATTGTAAGCCCTTGAGCTACCCAATTGCCGTTAGCCTCACACACGCTTAATAAAATTCCTTAAAACTAGATTTTTACCTGATATTCTTTCAGTGTACCACCGACAAGGATGGATGGCTGGCACACCTCTTCTTTGATACGGTGAGTGACTTGGAAATAGTCGGCTTGCTGCTTAGCATCAGCATCCTATAGGAAGAAAGTACTACAGATCAGTAGGCAGAATACAAAAAAAGGGGGACGATCATATAATACGCACATTATCATCCTCAGGTTGTTGAGCCGGTATTTCGTTAAAGTAGGCGGCATCGGCTTGCTGGTCGGCAACAGATCGAGTGAGGGATTCCAAAAACATGCCGGTTTGACGCAAAAGTTGGGTCAAGCGAGTATCCTTGGCCTCATCAATCAGCTTCATGTACGCCTCTTCATCATCTGCCTTCAAAGCACGGATACGCTCCTTGGACAAACGCTCGGCCTTCTTTTGTTCTTCCTTTTCGACGTGTTGATGGAATTGAATAACAGCACGACCCAGCTTGGATTGCTTGGCCTGCCATCCCTTGTGCGCAGCAACCAGGTTCCGGCCATGGTCGCAGATGGTTTGCAGATAATCGAGTTGCTTTTGCTTTTCGCGCCGATCGCGGTCGAGACGCTGTTGACGTTCGACTTTCTCGGTCATTCGTGCTTCACGCAAGGACTGTTTCTTCATGCGACGGTAGGATAGACGATCGGCTGATGTGGCGAGTGTTGTGGAGCGGATCATGCCTCCAGTGATCTCTTGACGTAACTGTATAAAGAAACAACAGCGTTGAGAATCCACATTTATAAATATTACATTAGAAGTGTGTCTGTATCTTACTCGTTTTTGTCGATTAAGTAAGCGCAACGCCTTCAGTTCGATGACTGCCTTTAGCTTTGTGCTAGGTGCATTGTCCTTGGCGTTTCTGCCCACGGCAAGCGTGTTTGGCAGATTCATCGACAAGTTGCTCGGCATCTTTTCCAATTCGGCAATGCGGTACTGGATGCGGGTGCGGATCCGTCGTTCGCGTTCAGTGATCATGCTGTGTGGATCCATGCCGGTAGGAGTGATGCTAGGAATGAGCAATCGTTGCTGTCGTGATGCATGAGCATAAGACGAGATTGGTTTCTTGAGCAAGTTGTAAGGCGAAGCGTAAGCATTGTATTGCGGATCTGTTGGATCTGTGGGTGCTTCGGTCAGCTTCGGTTGTGGGGTGTTTGCGCCAGGAACAGTAGCTGGTGAGGCGGGTGTTGTTGGCACGCTGCTATCGGCAGTGGGAGTTAATGCGACACCGGTGGTGGAGCGTGATAAGGCGCCAACGTCTTGCTGGAGCTGTTGCTGTTGTGATGGATCGTTTAACGAAGACAGCACGGCTTGCTGCAAGTGAGGCGGGAGGGGGACGTTCTTGGATATAAGCTTATAGGCCAAAATTTGATAGCGCAAGGCGGTAAGCTGGTTCGGGGTAAGATTCGAGTCTACTATGATTTGCGATTATGACCACGCCAACCAACGGGCAACAATTAATAAGACACACAATCACCCACACACGATGCACGCACAAACACAACCACCACCAGCACCAGCAACAGAAGAGAATACCCAAAAATTAAATACGCTTGTTGAAAAATAAGGCGACACTTCCTTCCTTTTCCACTTTCCCTCCGTCTCTCACTCTCACTCTTTCCCTTCTCCTTCTTCCTTTTCCCCTTCAACTTTACCATTTGGCACTGCAGAAACGCCATCATTGGGGCCCACTGGACTGCCCATGGGCATGGAGGGCACCCCAGAGTTCATCTTGTGCTGCCGTTGCTGGAGCGATTTCAAAAACTGCATAATGTGTGCCAATTCGGCGTTATTGTTCTCGTTGGCCCCTTGCATCTGCAGAAACTTTGCACGCTACATTATTTTCAAAAAGAAACGATTAGCACTTTCTTGAGTTTGATTTCCTCCTCCTTCTCTTTTTTTTTTCCTGCCCTCTCTCTCTCTCTCTCTCTTTCTCTCGCGTACTCTTTCTTTACTCTTTTTCACTCCCTCAAACTTGGAAAATCTTCCTTTCGTTAAAAAAATATATTGTATACGCACTTGTAGCAGACCGTTGAGTTTTTCTTTTGTAAAATTGCCAGGAGCCATCATTGTGGCAGGCGAAGCCATCGGACCGCTTGCCATTTGATCACGCAGACAAAAAAATAATATAGATCGTCTTTTTTCTGTTGGTTTTTTTGGTGCGCCCAAAAAATAGTAGGCGAGAGAGAGCAAAGTTACCCAAATTAACCCTCTGTTCAGTGATGGTGGTGACGTTCCTCACCGCTCAAAATCGATTTCCAGTTGCCGCAACCAATCATATTACTTGCACTGAATACTCTGTGTCGCTGTGTGTGTCTCAGCATGTTGCTTGGTCTTAATACTTTTTATTATTATTTCTTCTACTTTTGTTGAACGTTGTTTACTATCTGTTATATGTCATGATAACCCAAGTGTTAAGAACACAGGGTAGCCGATTGCAACGTTCTGCACGTTCTGTAAGACTTGTGCCAGCAACTCATCGGAATGCCTACCATCACTTGGGCGCTAACAGCGGCAGCACTACTACCACCACTACCACTACAGCCTCCAGCTACAGCTACAGTGGCCAGCGTATGATACCGCTACTGCAGCATTCGCCTCGAGTTCGTTTCTTCTCGCACGTCGCTCCTACCATGGTGCTGCACAATCATCAAGTGCGATCGATTGCGTTTTCTTCAGTGCCTCGTATGGCATTATCTGCACTTCGATTACCTACACTTGTTGCCGGGACAACCGTTGCAGGTGTCACACTTGCCAACAACAAGATTACAGGTGAAGAAAGAGCTCGTTTTTTTTTCTTTTACAAGATTGGAAAACAAAACAAGGATAATATTCTAAAAAGCCGGCATGTTCCCTTTTTTCCCCCTATTGTGAATATGAACAGACTGGACGGATAAAGGAACAGAGTTTGTGTTGGACGGTGTCAAGGGAGCGAAAAAGTTTCTCGGCGCGCTGCAGGAACAGGCAGAGGAACTCGACGTATCCATTCCCGAAATTCACCTACAAGTACCTAGCGTCATCAAGGATTTTTTAGCTTCGATGGCAGCGACCGAAGAAGAGCCGCATACCACAAACCACACATTTTCCAAGACTGAGCAGGAGACAGAGAAAGAGAGCAACAACAAGAACGATGGCGGCGGCGGTGGCGACGGTGGAGGCGATAACAAAGGCACGGCTGCAGCAGCAGCAGCAGCCGTAGCTGCATACCTCAACGACGACGAGGAAGAAGAAAAGCCAAAGAAGAAACGAAAGCAACAGCACGACGTTTCGACGCACCAAGACGAACAGCTCATGATGCTCACGAAAAAATTGATTGAAATTCGCAGCATTCTGCTCTCGATCGACCATAACGAAACACTCAAACTGCCTAGTATCGTAGTCGTCGGCTCACAAAGTTCCGGCAAGAGCTCTGTGTTGGAAGCCATTGTTGGCCATGAATTCCTTCCAAAGTAAGTTATCCTTCGCTCTATCTACTGTGAAAAAAAGGATCGGCTGAGGGATATTGACCTAACCACGGTATTTAGGGGCTCGAATATGGTAACACGACGACCGATTGAACTGACGTTGATACACACGCCGGGCGAGGACGAGGAGTATGGCGAATTCCCGCAACTCGGATTGGGCAAAATGAACGACTTTAAAAAGATCCAAAAGACGCTTGTGGACATGAACATGGCCGTCTCAGACACCGAGTGCGTTTCCGAGCAACCGATCGAACTCCGTGTCTACTCGCCAAACGTGCCCGACCTGACGCTGATCGACTTGCCAGGCTATATCCAGATCAGCAACAAGAACCAGCCCGAGACGCTCAAGACCAAGATTGAGGATTTGTGTGAAAAGTACATTCGCGGTCCCAACATCATCCTTGCCGTCTGTGCAGCCAACGTCGATCTGGCCAACTCGCCAGCCCTGCGTGCAAGTCGCAAGTGCGATCCCCTGGGTTTGCGAACGATTGGCGTAATCACCAAGATGGATTTGGTGCCACCAGAGCACGGTGCAGGTGTCCTGCGGAACGCAGACTATCCCTTGCATCTCGGCTACATTGGCGTCGTCTGTCGCTCGCCCGAAAATGTCACCGGCAACATGACGAGCGCGCTGATCCGGAACGAAGAAGCCTTTTTCCAGAACCATCTGATTTATAACCAGCGCGACATCCAAGTGGGCACCGCCACGTTGCGACATAAGCTGATGAATGTGTTGGAGCAGAGCATGGGCCGGTCCTTGTACAGCATTGTGGATGCGGTTCAGCAAGAGCTCGAGGAGGCACGGTACCAGTTCAAGGTGCAATACAACGATCGACGGGTTACAGCAGAATCGTATGTGGCCGAGACGATCGACTCACTCAAGCATAATTTCAAGGACTTTGCAACACGCTTTGGCAAGCCGCAGGTGCGGCATGAAGTGCGGACCATGCTGGAGCAGCGGGTTTTGGATATCTGCGCCGAACACTATTGGTCCGATCCCAAGATTGCAGAATTGCCCAAGGCATCGCTGGATGATATTTACTGGCTCTACAAGGTTGATTTGGCATCCTCTGCGTTGACCAAGAGCGGGATTGGGCGCTCAACGACGCAGCTCGTGGTAGATGTTTTGATGAGCAATATGGAGCGACTCGCCAACGCTGACCCGTTCTCGTACCATCCGGAAACCCGCAAGCAGGTCATGAGCTTCACGAGCGAAATTCTTCGCTCCAAGTTTCTGACGACGAGTGATCAGGTCGAGAACACGATTAAGCCGTACAAGTACGAGGTTGAGGTGACAGACATGGAATGGAGCGACGGCGTTAAGCGAGCAGTTACGTTGCTGGAACAGGAGCTAGACATGTGTGATCAGATGACCAACTCGCTCAAGAATGCGGTCGGTAAAAAGAAGCTCAAAAGTGCTATCAAGTATCTGCTGGACCAGGAGCGCGAGGATGGTCGACGGCAAGAACGTCTTCGGCAGATAGCAGAAGAGGGTGGCCAAGCAACCGAGGAACAACTTTTTGGACTTGATGACGAAGACGCTATCAAGCCTTTCTACAACGCCAAGATTTTGGAAAAGGCGAAAGATGCGCTCTTCTTGCGCGACCGTGCCATGATTCTGAAATATCGAATTGCAGCCCTCAAAAGCCGACAGTGTAAATCGGCAGACAACAAGCAGTATTGTCCCGAGGCATTCCTCAACGTTATTGCAGAAAAGCTGACATATACGGTAAGGCATTTTTGCTCGCTTACGCACGGATGCACAGACAATTGATTTCTCTTTTTCTCCTCTAGGCGGTGATGTTTATACAAGTGGAGTTGCTGAACGAGTTCTTTTTCCAATTCCCTCGTGAGGTTGACAATCGTCTGGTGTACCAGATGAACCGTCGACAGATCTTACAGTTTGCACGTGAGAACCCTCCGATCCAAAAGCACTTGGATTTGCAAGAACGCAAGAACAAGCTAGAAGACGTCATGGACAAGTTGAGCTACCTTGTCAAGAGACAAGCAGACAGACAGGCTCGGGCAAAGATGAGCTCCTTTAGTGCTTAAAAAAAGCAAAAAGAAAAAGCTATGATTTATTATGGTTTTACCCTAGTCCTCCCCTTTCCCAAAATACATGTAATAGTGTGCTGTAATTCATCCATCCCATCCTCCCTTGACGTGTAACAGCAAAGCCTTAGAAGATATACATATTATATATATATATACATACCCCTCTCAAGAACATCTGTCTCTCTCTCTCTCTCTCTCTCTCTAAACCCCCCCCCCCTTCACAATCTGTTAATAATACCTTTTGCCTCTTTTATCATACACAACTTTGGAGAAGAAGAAGAAGGAGGAGGAGGAGAAGGAATAGTGTGAATTAGAAGACATGTATTTTATATTACATACTCTAAAGCGACCAGGAAATCGGCACCCCACGGTGCGGTCCACCCCTTGACACCTGCTCGTTTCCAACATATCTTGGGAATACCGATATCCGCCATGTACAATTCTCCAGTCACATCCTGCGAAACACATCCAGACTTGGGTGCTCCCAAGCATACGGTCCACTGAGGATGGATGGCGTCTACTCGTTGTTTAAATGAATCTATGTTTGCACGCCCAGAAATCAGACACACATTGAGAAAGAGAAAGACTTACCGGTGTGAGGGTCTCCTACTGCACTAGGGAAATCAATGCTCAGAACCGGTGTTGCTTGTTCAGATGCCCAATGGATCATTTCACGCAGCGCTTGATTGCCACCCGCCTCTTCCCCGTCGTCATCGTCATCACCATCGCTTTTGAATTGCTGAGTACCGGTCATGGCATCGATAATTAGATCAGCCGTCCAGTGTTGTAGTACTGATTTGAAAAAGTTCGTAGAGTCAGTCACTCGTTTTTCGTCGCAGTAGTAGTAGTAGTAGTAGTAGTAGTAGTACAGGTCTGAGAGGAAAAGGGAGCAGGTACCTTTTGGATCGTTAATAAGCTTGCCACCAGCTTGCTCAATCATGGTTTGTTGCTGTGCAACCGTGTCACACAATGCTGTTCGTTCCTCATTCATGCAAACGGCAACGTGATACCCACGGTTGATTAAATGCCGCGCAGCAGATAAACCGTTCGCACCAATCTTATTGTTACCTGCCAAGACGATGACCACAGGTACTACTTGGTCGTCCTTTCTCCGCCGAATATCTCCTTTGATATTCACATTAAGAATGTGAATGTCCTGCCCTCTGTACGATTTTTTTCCACGATTTCCATTGGTGACACACATACATGCACAAACATGGGATTATACACATACCGAGAATCTGGAGTGCCTTCAAGCTGATACATCGACCACCATTCTCTATAAGCTGATCTTCTGAAGGGCCTGTCATTTTCACTTTACACGTACCACGCATATTTAGAGATGCATGCTTGTTTTAAGAACGGTACATGAAAGAAAAAAAAAAAAGAGATGCTCACCACATTCATGTTCAGCGTGGGCCATCTGTAACGGCGACACGACGACACAGTCGATATGACTATCCAAGGTGCGTAGCCTGCTGCTTGATGGCACAGGCGAAGGCGTGGTGGACGCGACAACGACGGTTCTTTTTTTATGCCGACGACGGCCTCGTGTGCTTTCGTCCGACGTGGTCCGTGATTCTGTATCACTCTCATCTCCGATGCTTTCATCGGCTTCGCTTTCGTCATCCAACACATTCTCGGTGGGCAACAAATTTTTCCGAGGAGGCTGTTGCTTCTGTGGAAGGCGATTCAGTGTCACCAACAGCGTATCTGACGTGGTGTCATCCAGCTCCTAATGTCGTAAATGGAAAAATAAAAGTTACTATCGGCATCATGAACAGATCCAGAAAGAGGCAGAAACCTTACACGTATCTCTGCAAACACCTTTGCCTTATCAAACATGTCCAAGTTTGCTTGGAAATCAAACTCCTTTTCTCTGAACCCATTCACATCTTCATTTGCCCATCCATTTTCTTTGGGCGTTATTCCTGGTATGCGTTGCTGCTGTTGCTGTTGCTGTTGTTGCTGTTTTCGGCCTAATTTTTACTCTCGGTATTCAGTTACATTCATTCTTTCCGCAACCCTCCCTCGATCTCCATCCATCGCATATACGATATCCAACCTGTACAAGAAGATAAGGACTTGACTGGCATATTATTCTACAGTCATATGGAATAAGCAGCATCTTAGAATAGCTTTCTTTATGCAGACTTCCATTGGGTAGCAAAAGAGAATCATGAGAGCGAAAAACACACCTTTTTATGCTGGATACTCTTCACTCGATCATTACTGCTTTTCTTTTCGACTGTCTTCTTTCGACTACTGCTGACTGTGCTTTGTACATTGCAGCTCTTGGACGTCTTTGGCACGATGGTGGTGGTTGTTTTTGCTGTTGCGGTGGTCGTCGTACTTGTTGCTGTCTTTCTCTTGTCGGCTGTTTTTTTCTGAATAACTTGCAAATCAACAATCTCGTTTCCATTAACGCCATAAACCGAAGTGAAATGAGGAGGTTGCCCGGGAAACTCAAGTTCCACTATTGTAACCAAGAAGTAGGATTGAGTCAGGTTTTACGGTTTTTCTTTTTTTTCTCGTAAATATATATAAGGTCCAGAAAACAACGACACAAAACACACCATCTTTAAGAGTCATCTGTTGAGAGGCAGGTTCGATATGTGCCACAGTGCCACTGAGCTTTAAGCCAGAATGCAATTGTACTGCAATAACAAGTCCAAGAAAAGCTTCTGCCATGTTATTCTTATGTCGAGTTTTTCTTTTTTTGGGTGTGTGTGCTTATTGAGTCTGAGTCGTTGGAATGCGTAATAAATAGAGCGGGTGGTTTAGTAGTTGTATGCGTGTGGTTATGAGTGATATGCGTAGACGAGTGTGTGTGTGTGTGTGGTTGTTGATGGGGGGCAGAGGGGATGTCGATCGAAACAAAATAATGAAAAAGAAGAAACGAGTGAAAAAACCTGTTCCGAACACGTTTGAATTCTGGTGTGGTTCGTCGGCTGTCGTAACACGTTTACGTGACGGTTTGCCATGCGCTTCAGCAGTAGTTACATAATCATTTTGATTTTAGCATGGCGATGTTTGTTCCCCTCCTGTTGTTGCTTTGACTGCTGCTGCTGCTACTGCTGATGATGGTGACAGTGCCTGGTTCATACAGCAGAGACTGCATGCCACTGCCATCCAAATAGTACTCGGATCAAAGATTTTTCTTTCTTCATTCTATTACTTTTAATAGTATAGGCTATACAAATTTTACTACCATCAACATCATTATCATCACGCAGCAAACGCTGACGATGCCAGTCTGCTCTCGATATGTTTTTCCTTCCTGCGAAGCACAGAATAACCAAAGTTTGCTACCGTCTATTGCTATTCATACCAAAGGCTCTGCACATTAAGAATAAAGAAGACGGGTTAAGCTTGCTCTCTCTTCGAAATTCGGTAATACAAAGTTCCGTCAAGCGGTTTTTTTCAAGTGCCACACACTTTTCCTCCACTTTAACTCCCTCCCTTTCTTTCCACTCCCCCCTTCTCCTCCTCCCCCCCCTTTTTTTTCTCTGTGCAAAACTGTTTCAACAATGAATACGGCCATTGCGTGTACAGAAGAAAACCATATGAACAAAAGGACCACAATTGACGCCGGTGGAGCAAGTGCCCTTAAACGACGTCTTTCAAAATCGAGTAGTGACCATGCTCCGGAGAAAAGACTACGGGAAGACAAGAAGAAGCCGTCAACAACCACCAATGCTACTACTACCACCACTACTAATGGATCATTAGCAGCACCAACAAAGCCCAATGCATCAGCAAGACCTAAAATGGTCACCTCTGACCGCATTGTACGAGCCTCTCAGTCAAAGTATCGACCATGTATGTACAACGCTTGTTTTTGAACACTAATGCCAGGGTGTGTGTTCAAGATCTCCTTGTTCCTTTCTAATCCATTCTCTCTCTCTTGTTTTTTTCTTGGTCATTCTGTCCAAAGATTTCACAGCAGAAGTTGGGGAAGATTCAATTGATTCTCGAGGCTCACCTACTGGTGATCCCAATCTGCAAACGGTATTAGAGTATCCTGGCGATAGTGAAAAGTGAGTGCTCGCTTCTTTATCTATCTTTGCATGCAAAAAGATGACACAGTGAGGGAGAGTATTAACGTGGCTCTTGTGGTGATTAGCTTTCTATTGCTTCGACCTGTGTTGAAGAATACGAGCAGCAACCGAACGCCGCAGGCGGTGGAGGATGTGGAGGACAAGGACGAATATAACCCCATCACAGATTTGATCCGATCGGCATACTTTATCTACGAAAGTTATCTGACCCCAGAGCAGCAGGAACTTCTTGGCGACGAATCACAGGGTATCATGCGCAACCTCAACAAGCATCGTAACCGACGCAACGCTGCTGGCTTTATCGAGGCTGTCAATGATTTCAATCGAGTCATTCGTGATTTGAAGGCCAAGGGCGAGCTGAGCAAAAATGCAAAGGCTATGCGCCATCCGAGCTATGATTTGGCTTGTCACATTCTGTACCAAGTGTATAGTCGAACTGTTGCGCCGCAGGCGGATGCACTCAACAATTATCAAGGTAAGTTTAATGACTGGTTAAACAAGCACGGGCCGATATGTTGTGAGCTCAATGCCATCCCGCATCGATTGTTATGGTAGCATTCTCAAATAACGTATACGGAGAAATCAACCCAGTTCTGGTCAAGGATTTCATCAGCAAGACAAAAGTGAATTCACATAGTGTTTTTATGGATATGGGATGTGGGATTGGCAATGTGGTATTGCAAGTTGCAGCACAGACGGGATGCGAAGCTTATGGTATCGAGATCATGGAGGTACCTTGCAAGTGTGCAAAGCGACAACTGAAGGAATATGCTGCACGGATGAAGTAAGTTGTGTGTCTGTTTTTTTGGGGCTGGTAAATAAGGTAACCTGTGTGATGAATATACCTTGTCATACTCATGATTGGGCGTTTTCTAGAGCATGGCGTCTACCCACAGGCAAAATCCATTTCCGACACGGTGACTTTCTGGACGTTGGATCGAGTGACATGTACCAAACGTTGAAGCGGGCAGACGTGCTGTTGGTCAACAACTATGCGTTCGATATGGAGACCAACCATAAGCTTGCGCAGCTGTTCTTGGACTTGAAGGAAGGCACTAAAATCATCTCACTCAAGTCGTTCGTACCAAAAACTCACAAGATCAACCAACGGACATTCGACAAGCCAGAGTCGATTCTGCGTGTGGAAGAGTTTGAGTATTTCTCGGAGGCTGTAAGCTGGACCAATAACGGAGGCACCTATTACATTGCAACCGTCGACAGGAGTCGTCTGAAACCTTTCTATGAAGGCATGTACCCCTCAACGTGAAGATATGCAGCTTTTATATAAGCAAGAGAAACATGCGTTATTATGTAAACCCTTTTTTTTAATGTAGCGACTGTGTATAAAAAGAAACCCCCATCTCGTATTGTAATTCTTATAAAGAAAAACCACCTTTCTATTTATTTAATATCAAACTGGGACAACTGTAACTTGTGGACCTACTGTCTTTTGTGTAACAATGACGAGCTGTCTCGCTCTTCCAAAAACCCGCCCTTTTGCAGGCACCCGTGCGCGTTTTCCATACCTACAACAGCGTTGGATCTCGGCCATGCTTCGAGTTGCATTGCGTCGCCCGACCTTGATCCGCGCTGCTGCATTATCGAAGCGATCCATCTCCAACACACCCTTTTTATCTAAGCGGGTCACACGAGGGAGTCTTGACGACGTTTTTAAAGAAGTGGAACCTGCTCCTGCTACTGTAACCGAAAAACAGACAGCGCCACGGAAAAAACAGCAGCAGAAACGAAAACAAGTGGAAGCAAATGACGGAAATCTCGAACCCAAGCCTGATTCCACCGGCTCAATTGTTTTGGATACGGTTAGAAAATATACCAAAAAGCATCCGGACTGCGTCCTGCTCGTACAAGTAGGCGACTTTTACGAGGTGAGTATGTATCTACAGATGAAAGCTGCTTTTAGAGCCATATATAATATATATAAGAGAGAGAGTGTGTGTGTCAGACAACGATGGTTTAAACCGATATATGCACTTTAGCTGTACGAGTCTCATGCTACTCAGTATGCTACGCGATTGGACCTGAAATTGACGCGAAAAGAAATGACGTCCGGCGTGATTGTTGACTTTGCTGGATTTCCCTCGCGCTCGCTGGATCGGTATCTGGATATGCTGGTGAATCAACTCGGATGCCGTGTTGCCCTGTGTGAGCAATACGCCCCGGTCAAACGCGAAAGCGATGCATCTGTTGTCGGTATTCAACGTCAAGTCTCGCGCGTTATCACGCCTGGCACTGTGATCGAAGAACGGTTTCTGGATTCGCATGCTTACAACTACCTTTTGGCCATCCTACCGACAGCACACGACAGCGGTGAATCCGGATTAGCGTGGATTGACGTATCGATAGGCGAATTCATGGTCCAGTCTTCTAAAGTCAATGTACTCAAGGACGATATTGCACGTATCCGGCCTCGAGAGATCATTTTACCGAAAACACTAAAATCGGTGATTGAAGACCAAGATCTCAACCACCCTGTCGTCCGCATCGTTTCCAGTAACCCGGGTATTTCTGTGACGTTCGTGCCAGAAGATCGATTCGATAGTAACGCGGGTCAGCGTGTCATTGAAACCATGTTCGGATCCGTGGCAGACGACGCTTTTAGCAGCCCTGAACTTGCAGCTAGCAATGCACTATTGAATTACATTGGCGACACCCATCCGCACGGAAAGCCTCGGCTCCTCAAGCCTATCCGTATGAGCATTGACGAAACTTTACAGATCGACAGTGCTACAGTCGCATCGTTAGAGCTCGTGAAAAGTTTACGTGATGGAGGGAAAACAAACAGTTTGCTAAGCTGCCTCAATCACACTGTGACAAATGCTGGATCGCGACAGCTCACTCAGTGGCTATTAGCACCGTCTTCCTCCATCAGCACAATCCAACGCCGCCACGATATTGTCGAGTTTTTTGTATCCGATAATTTCATTTTGGATGACGTTCGTACAGTTCTTAGAGATAGCGCGGACGCACAACGAGCTTTGCAACGATTGGCGCTCCGTCGTGGACAGTACTCAGATTTGATCGAAATAGGGTCGACCTTGAATGCTATCAAAATAACCAAAGACATACTGCGAAGCGTGCGTTCAGAAACAGCATCATCGTCGCTGTCATCACCAACAGCAGCGATAGTGGATCTGGCGATGTCGCTTGATCCGCACGAGAGCCTTGCTGATTATATCGCGTCGGTTATTGATCCGGAGCGGATCTTGTCCGACGAGACCAAAGACGCGAGCTATGGGTTCATTAACGCTGATTTCGATCCGCAGCTACGAAACCTTCATCAAACGCTTAACGCGTTACACCGAAAAAAGGACGCTTTTCAAGAATCATTACGAGCGATTTGCGGCAACTCAGCATCCCTGCTAGTGAATACGCTATACAAACACGTCGTGGAAATCAATGCATCACAAGCCAGCAAGCTTCTCAGCCACTATCCACAAGCATCGCTCGTCAATCAAACAAAAATCAAACATCGCTTCCAGCTGTCAGAATGGACCGATCTATCGATCCTTATCCAAAACACGCACGCTCAGATTGTCGAGCTTGAAAATCAGATATGGGACAAGGCCGTAGACCATGTGCTTACGCATTCTGCATCCATCATTGCTACAAGCGCAATCATTGCACAACTGGATGTGTTTTGCTCTTTTGCTTGGATGGCACGACGACTTAAATATGTGCGGCCCACAATGTACGCAGATCACAATACCGACATGCGTATCATTGGTGGACGACATCCTGTTGTCGAATCAAACTTGGCGCAAAAAGGTCGATCTTTTATCAAGAACGACTGTATTCTTGCTGGTGACAAGCATCGTAGCTGGTTACTGACCGGGCCTAACATGGGTGGCAAGAGCACATTTTTAAGGCAAAATGCCATCATCGTCATTCTTGCACATATGGGCTCGTTCGTACCCGCACTAAGCGCAGAAATTGGTGTGGCGGACAGAGTCATGAGCCGAATCGGTACGGCGGATGACCTTGCTCAGGACTTGTCAACTTTCATGGTGGAAATGATGGAAACGGCCAATATTTTGACTTATGCGACACCACGATCCTTGGTGATAATGGATGAGGTGGGTCGTGGTACTGCTACCACAGATGGTGTCTCGCTAGCCTATGCTATTTTGGCTTATCTGCACACACATTCAAAGTCTCGCTTGCTCTTTGCGACCCATTATCACGAGCTCTCGGACATGGTTAAGCGAAGACAAGACTTGTCGACGATTCAGCTCTATAAAACTGACCTTTCCGAGGACAGTACTGGACGCTTTGTATTTTTACACAAGATTCAACCTGGTGTGTGCCATCAATCTCATGGCCTTAAAGTAGCACAGTTAGCTGGTACAGTATTTTGTCTTCCCATCTAACCGCTCTTGTTTATTCCTCCCATTCCTTCGCATCCTTAAATACTCTGAAGATAATCTAATGTTAATTTGTTATACTAGGCCTACCTCCTGAGGTAATTAGTACAGCAACGAATGTTTGGAAATCACTGAATAGCTCGGCTGTATAAATTGCACCTGCAGGCACAACAGGAAAGAAAAGTAATATAAAATCTTAACGATTTCAATTTGATACGTATCAAACTGAATATAATGTCAAAAAGCCTATTATCAGCTCCACAATGTATTTCCTACATCCTCATCGTTACTTTGTATATTAAAGCTTCTTATATATCGTTTAACCGCCATTTAGTACTAGCTTTGAAAATATATTCTCGTACAAGATCTTTTTCTCCACAGCATGGATAGCAGAAACGCAATAATAACATCATAACAATTAAAAAAATCATCAGCCGCACGACATAGCCGGTACTAAGAGAGACGAGCAGCTGAATACAGACTTTCCAATTTGAAAATCCGGCAGTTATACATGTCTGTTGGCGTATGCTCTGGTGTTGCCTCTTATAAAATAACCCCTTTTTACAAGGAGGGTCGCACCATATCCGTGGTAACAAGCAATTTAGGCGAACACAGAAGGTGAAAAGGAGTGTCAAAGTGTGATAAAGCGCGCTGTGATCGTGTTACTGTCGTCTGTCATTGTTCCCCGCTTTGTTTAGCACGGAACTGTGGGTGGGCAAAAAAATAAGGAACTTGTCAAGCACATGAAAAAAAGGCAAAGCAAAAAAAATAAAGCGGCAAAACGTTTATGAGAAGAGTGCGAAAAGAAAAAGATTGTTTTATTTTGTTTATCATTTTGTTTATTTGTGTTTAATAAAAAATAAAAAGTTCGTTTTAATTATCCCACCACATACCCGAAGGTACGTGTCCACATTCCCACTGGTACATTGCAAAAGATTTCCTCCGGGCGGACCACTGAATCCAGCCAATCCTCAGAATCCTCTTGACAATCCCCAGCACAAGCATATGACCCGATCAGGGCACTAAACAGTGCATCTGTACTACAGATCAAAGCTGTACCAAAACGAACTGAAGAGAAGAGAAAAAAGAAAGGCGAAATTGCTCGCTTTATATAGACATTTTTTCTCGTTCGGGACTTCAAATCCCCGTGAATTCTCATTGGCCCGGATAACGGATTGCGAGTCAACTTGTGGGTTGCCTACTATGACATAACAAAACATACAGCACCAAAGGAAATGAAAGGAATGGTATACCCGATGGTCAAGTAGACTAGCGTGCTTCGGCGGTAGTGGTACGTGTCTCTCACCATGCGGAGCTGTACCCTCCGATGGTATCGGCGCTTGTTTGTGAGTGGGCCGTGCACGGCACCGTGTCAAGCAAAAACAAAGACACGAATGCGAATGAGCGTGTAGATTCACGGAAAAGGCGCTTTTCTGCGAGCAATAAAATGGCAATATGGTAATGACTGACAAGGGTAAACAACCTAAAAGGCTCTCCGGCATTAGCTGTTTAGTAAATATCAAGGACACGATCCTCCCAGCAGCCAGTTTCTATTCTTCACCCAACAAGGTAAACAGTATAGAGCGTAGTCCACGAACCATTCCATTTTATTAGCATCTTTTGATTGTATGTGTGGTGCATAATGTTGTGCGTGTGCGGGCATAGATACAACACACACTTGACCCCAACGCTGCACTAAATGAAAAAGACCCGTTGCCTTTTATCTTAAACTGTGCAAGAACAGTTCTTTGAACTACGCCGTGTAACCTCTTCCCTCCGTCTCGAATTTATACTGCTGCTGGTGAGGAGGTGCCCACCCTCCATCTCAGTTTATGCTGCTGCTGCAAAAATTACATCCTCATCCCAAGTATGTGCTGCTGCAGACAAGTTGGCCCGCTCATGATGAGTATACGCTGCCGCTAGTGAATTCGACTCATCCTTCATTGTTTTTCATTGCTGCCGATAAAGTAAATAGGTTCGTTTGTTTTTGTGCGATTCTACCTTCCTTTTAAGCAGCGTTCAAGATCCATTGGGACGATCAGAAGAATAACACTATACACGATGACTTCCTACAACTTTTGACACTTTTGCGCGTGATTCGTTGCTCCCTTTATCACCTTGTTCACTCGCCATCCCTTTGTGCGTTTCGAGTGCAAAGTCAATTGGCCAAATCGTTGCGTCACAATGCGCTTTCACTCTACATAGTTTTCGTTTCAGGGGAAAGCTTTTGGGACGTTCAAGGTTTGACACAGACGCGTAAATTTGTCACTATCCAAAAGAGAAAGATTTGTGTTGCGCTCTTCCTAAATTCCTCATTCCTAGACTACCTTTGCTTCCTGCTGATTTACGTCCATTATGCTTGTCGTTGGTGTGGATTTGTGCCCACGCGTTCATAGCCTTTGTTATGTAATAAAAAAACAGAGAGACGTAGCGAACTTTCCCCTATTGTTGCCTATTTCCAAAGCAAAATACACATTGTGTCTCTGATCGTCTTTTTGTAGACTACTTGTCGTTGCCGAATTAATGTTGTTATAATAAAGCCCGAGAGAAACCTCCTGCTCTTTTGTAGTTGCTTTTTATATACGCTAAGAGCACCGTTTACTGTGCATTACGTCCCACTCAGCTTAACATATAGTCCCTTTTGGTATAAATTACGATCCGCTTAATTTTTACCATGTCTTGTCTTTAAATGCCACAGAAAAGTGTGCTGGGGACGAGCAGCTTCTTCACTACAAGACTTCTTCAAGCAGCAATTCCATGCACGACTGGTGCATTGACTGGTGGCAAGGTGGCATATCAATTAAAGTTGGCAGGGATAGTAATATGTGTTTGCTCTTGGACTACATGCGTCTTTATGTAGGGCTTGCCGTACAATGGACGCTCCAAGGCTACGTTTTTGGTTTGAGCCACTGATTCGGTCAGTGTACGGAAATGTTCACGAAGCCATGTCACCTTTACCAATAGGTCAAGAAGGACTTCGTCTTTGGATCGCTTTCAAAGACATTGCATACCGTGGGCGACGACTGATAATGAGCGCCGAAATGACTATCTGTCCCTCCAATAGGGATCGTCGCTTAAACAGAAATACTCATAATTCTTAGATTTCAATGGAAGTTTTTCCAGCAGTGGATTATGATGTTTGGGGAATCCTTTGGTCATATACCATAAATGTGTGGACAGTAGCATATCATCAAATACATAATCAAAGGAACAAGATGGGCGGTGGAAATAAGGTAATCACAACGTGATCTGCCGACGTTGGTCAACATCCAAACTTGCGTTGAATCGTTTTTCAAATGTAATGAGGGTAATCATTAAATATCTTGAACAACCATTGGAAAAAAAACGTCGTGTATCATATTTGGGGAAGAAAACCGTGGCAGCTATCATCTACATACCTAAATGCGGTGCTTCCCGTCTTTGCACCATCATCTCATCGATCATACACGCCGCTCAATGCTGTTACTGTAGGTGGAAGTTCAATTTCATCCTGTACGCTGATAATTATGTCTTGCGGTACTGTAGTTGAGATGTGAAGTGGGGTAAAACATGACAAAATACATGCGTATATTTACCATACCACTCCGATGATTTCTATCTTTACTACTTGTATTAAGTACTAATAAGAGAACTGCTATGCTAAGTTTTGAGTGTCCGGAAAAGTTCCTTTGTAGTAATATGAATAGTACACTTTTTCAAGGCTCCTTATAGTCGCAAGAATGGCAGTTCCAGCTCAAATTCAGCGTCCAGAATCTCGAGTAATATGGTGATAGTTGTAAGCTTTTCCTCTGTATCATGTGCAGTAAGCTCAGCGTGGGTTATCCTTGGTTTTGCAATGTTTATTTGGACATACGAGTCCTCGTTGCTTGATTTTAAACGAGGTATGTTGCGTTGTCTATGCATCAGCTATCTGGCTACGAAAGGTTCAAAGTAGAGAGCAAGAGAGCGATAATGTTAAAAGAAAACCTTTTATAATACTTTAATATACCGTGCGTTTTGCCAAAGGATGTTATTCATATTCTCGAGATGTCGCCTCGAGATCATTATTAAACTTTCAGCCGATCGCCACTTTATTTCAGCCCTGATAAGTCAGCCTTTTACAATACCCCTTCGGGGTTGATCTTGATGGTGTAATATATACAGCTGTTCATCTTCTCACACAAATATACAGTAGTTTGTAATAATTTGACGGCAACATGTAGTTTTATTTTTATCTCAGTGAGGCTATGTGTCAGACCTTTCTTGATATTACATGGTCTGTGGTGCTGCGATGGTATGTCTCACAATGTGATGTGTGCATCACTGTTAAAAAACGGGGTTATTGTGCTTGTTCTTTTCACTCAATGCTTAACAGTAGCAAAAGTGTATTATGTAAGTAGGCTTCGATAGTTTCTCCCCTTGATGAGCATGATACATATCGATAGCCTTTCCGTGTTACATATTGCATGATGAACTTCGGTGGAAGTATATATTTTTTATTTATCACGGCACAGCATAATGACTGTAATATGTAAATAACAATGATTGATGTATATTTCCAACCTTAACAAAATGCACGAATAGAGAGGCTTAGTGCCATGTACGGAACCATAAAAAATATTCCTTCTTCGTCATCGCATGAATTGCTAAACCCAACTCATCCAGAAGACAACTTAACATTACCTTCCAGCAGTAAAAGTGATACCGCAAAAACAGCATTGACAGAAACATGCGCCTTTGCACACTCTCCAAAACTCCATCTAACAGCTGAGCATCCTTTAATAAAACTGTTTATACAGTAGTGGCTTTCACTTGGGCTACTTTGATCATAACACTTATGTATGAGCTCAAAGACCATCATCAATGATCTCAGCAGTTTTCTGTAAGTTGTACCACAATCATTTCTATAGTTTTCAGTGAGCAAACACTAATATCCGTTATTATATTAATTCAATGTGAGCATATTTATATCATCCTTCTCTCAAAGTGGCAAATTCCAAACCAAGACGTGAAAAAGTGATCGGCAGCAGCCCATCAAACCAAAAAGCAGCATGCACGGCAAAATGTTCATGCGCTGAGTATGTTGGCAAATCACGCACCTTCGGCGAGATATATATTACAGCACAACAAAGCAAGCGCGCGCTTTTTTCCTCTTTATTGCAAATATGGCCCAACCTACTGATAACATCAAGGTTCTTGATGCTGAACCTCAGGCACCTGCTGGCGCTGGCTCCGGCTCAGACAACCAAGGAATTAACCCCAATGTTTTGTTAAACAATACCTTGGATGGTTTTGCCAATTTAAGTTCCAAGTTTAACCCTTTTGCCCAAAGACTTGGCAAAGGAATTGGTCAAGTGAGACAGGTAAGGTTTACATAAGATATATTACGATAAGAGAACAGGACATTTAACAAAGTGCATTTTCCTTGATCAAATGCAATAAAATAAATTATGTGTCTGCTCTTATATATATATAGTATGCTCAAGAGCGTCTTGGTACTGCCGAAGATATAACAGAATTGCCAGACGAGTATAAGGAACTGGAAAAGGTACGACATGGGTGATGTAGATTTGGAAAAGGAAGGGAGAAGAAGGAAGAGAATTATGCAAGGAGTGAAAACTTTGAATAGTCATCACCGAATGTTTAATCTATTGCTCGACCACTAATGAAATACGACAACACTACCAGCGTGTAGACGCACTTCGTTCAGTCTATGTGAACTTGCTCAAGGTATCACGTACATTCAACAACCCTTCGTACGACTACCCAGTGCAACTGCAGGAATCCTTGGCAGGTATCGGCAACACATTTACGACGCAGTTCCAAAACTTGGCCTTGTCACCTGCTGAACGAGCTCAAGCCGAACAGCAACACACTCAAGGTGTTGAGAAGCAGCATCCCAAGACCTTGTCGCACGCTCTCTCTCGTGTCGCCGCCACTGGTGCGCAGACAGTCGGTGTCGAAGATGCTCTTGGCACTGCCCTCTTCAAGGTTGCCACTGTGTCCGAAAAGGTTGGCGATGCGCGTGTCAACATGGACCAGGCTATTGTCACAAAGTTCAACCAGCCCATGCTGACGACTCTCAACACAGCCATCGAACAGGCTTTAAAAGCACGACGTAATGTTCAATCCGTTCGCTTGGGTTTGGATGCTTGCAAGGGTAGATATCGTGCTGCTCGTCCTGAGCGACAGGATGCAGCTCGTTTGGAAGTGGAGCAGGCAGAGGACCAGTTCGTTGCTGCTGTGGAAGAAGCTACAAGCCTGATGAAGGCTGCATTGGAAAACGTAAGTTGTGCTCTAATCAGAGAATGTGTGTGTGTGTGTGTGTGACAATAAGAGGTCCTATTTCTTTTCTATTTTCCGTGGTGCTAAAATGGTTGGGTGTTATATCTGCTCTAGCCCGAGCCTTTCCGTAATTTGGCCGACCTTATTGCTGCTCAGGCAGCCTTTTACAAAGAAGCACATGAGCTCTTGACCGAGCTTGCTCCAGAGTTGGATGAAATTCAAGTCACCCAAGAATCGCTGCATCGCAACCGCCAGGAGTAAACTGTACCTTATCTCTCTCTCTCTCTCTCTCTCTCTCTCTCTCTCTCTCTCTCTCTCTCTCTCTCTCTCTCTCTCTCTCTCTCTCTCTCTCTCTCTCTCTCTGGTTTGAATTTACTGATACTTGTACCTCTTCTCCCCCTTTTACTCTCTTCTTCTCTCCCTCTTTAGCCTTCTATATTACTTTCTCTTATTAAAGAATCTTTTCTTGTATCGTCGTATGATGATTGCTTAAAATACTCCTGATATATAGTCTAGTATATTTCTAATTCAGCCTTTTTTGGCTCTTGTTACATAGCTAGCTCATGCCAGGCGTGAGAAGAATTGTTCCTCTTCTATGATACAGCCAAATTATCATCGACGGTCTTAATGTGAGCAATGATAATACTTTCAGTTTTGGTTGCCATTGGAATTTCCAACAGCCAGAGTGAAGCTCAATTCAAGTAAATACTGCAAGTAAAGAAGGATGAACCAAATGGGATGAAGGGTAGGCTATATGTGCATAACGTCATATCATACACTAAATACATTAGACTCATTCGCTTTTATGCGAACTCGTGGGACAGAAAGGCATCCAATAAATAGTTACTATAAGGAACGATAAAAGAGGGGCACCTTGACATCTATCGTCAAAATGTTTTTCATTTTCATAGGCCCATAGTCACCTTTGCATATCATATCAAGAAGGAAGAAGACTACAAAACCCTGCATGTGTCGGGTTCAAACTCTCATCGTTCCTGGAAAAACAAAAATGCAACAGAGTGACTTTATGAGGCACATTTCACATTAAGTAATATCACATGCATCTTGCCTGTTTTCAAACTTCTCGGTTTCCAACACTAGGGGCCGCTTGCTTTTTTCCCTAGACGACACAATGTCTGCACAACAGACGAGTGAGCACCATGCTGCTACTACTATTTCGTTGAAACGAAAGGTGTCCACTGCTGATGAAAATGGCGACAAAAGCAGCTTGCATAGCCATAACAGCAAGAATACCAATGACAAAAGCAATGCACCAGCGAATGGGTCAACAGCAACAGCAACTACAGCCAAGAAAAAGAAAGCCCGATCGGCTTCTATTGACAGCAAAGCATCGAAGTCGTGGTTCTGGCGATCGTCTACACAGCAGCAACAGCAACCGACCATACAAGAGCAATTGCAAAGCGATAACAACTCGAATGCCGGACCTTCTGATTCTAATAACAATGCCAGCACGAATCTTGGCAGCAGCAGCAGTGGTGGTGGTGGTGGTGACAGCAATAATAACGGTGGCAATGATGATAATGATAACAGTAACAATAACGAGGATAATAAAGAGAAAGACAACGAACCAAAAGAATCATCATCACAGCAACCTGGAGGAGCAGCGGTATCGGGTATATGGTCTTGGTTAGGCTATTCAAATACAAATGGACCTGTAGAACAGAAACCGGACGTTAAAGATGACGATAATGTAGCATTGCCACCCGCTTTTAAAACGGAAGAAACAACTACAGCGCCACCACCACCACAACAGAAGGAATCGGCCGAAACATCAACATTACCTTCGGCACAAACTGATGCACAACACAACAATAACACCAATAATACCGAAAATCGCACATACTGGAAATCATTTTTCTGGTCTAGCGAACCTGACCCTAGCTACAACGGCAGCAACAGTGGCAGTAGTAGTAACAACAACAACCAAGACAGCGTTGTCATCGAAAAATTATCTTCGACCGAAACACGCACTGACGCCCCATCGCCAGCAGCTCCCATAATACCCCAATCCAACAAAAAGAACGTCGTTGTCCCAACGATCGAATCACAGCTCTACCCGCCACCTGAAACACCTAATAATTCAACGTCACTCTTGAACAAAGCTCTGCGAGCAATTAATCATATGTTTGCACAAAAATCACCACAACATGTCAATACAAAGTTTTCTCAGTTCGTGCGCGACATGAAGGCTCATCCAGAAGATATTGCAGGCAAAAAATTTGTAATTGTTGGCGTTCATGGCTGGTTCCCAACCAAGGTATGACAGGCACAGCTTGAAACGCCTGCTTTGCATTATTCTAATTGATCTTCTTTTTCTGTGTTGTAAAAAAGCTGGTACGAAGTGTTCTTGGTGAGCCAACTGGAACATCCATCAAATTCTGCGAGCAGATGGTGTCTGGTGTCCGACATTATTTTCAAGAGAATCATGGTTTAGTAATTCCGCATCATGCTATCACGAGTATTCCACTCGAAGGCGAAGGCAAGGTTGAAGAACGAGTGGATCGATTACATAAAGCTTTGCTTGGACACCCTGGCTGGATGGATGCGTTGACTACTGCCGACATAGTTCTTTGGACCACGCATTCACAAGGAACGCCTGTATCGACCATGATGCTCCATCGCTTGCTTGAAGAAAAGCACATTAATCTGCGATCACAATCCGTATGTCTGCTAGCAATGGCTGGTATCTCGCACGGACCATTTCCATCATTAAAAGGCAATCTCATCGTCAAGGTAAGAACCTAGTCTCTTTTTCCCTATGAATCAGTGGATCGAGAGGCATAATTTGATTGACCAATGCGCTTGTGTGTCCTTCAGTACTTTGAAGCAGATGCTGCTCGAGAGCTGTTCCACTTTATGGACTCGTCATCCGAGATATCTCAGAAATACCGAGAATCACTCAACTATTTACTGCGCAGCGGAATTAAGACCGTGTTAGTTGGATCTATGCAAGACCAGGTTGTTCCACTCTATTCAGCTATAATGACAGGCGCCTCGCATCCCAACATCCTTCGGGCAGTGTACATTGACGGGCACATCTATTCCGACGACGACTTTTTGATCAACTTGGTGACATTTGCACTACGGTTACGGAACGCCGGCTTATCGGATCATGGATTATTGACACATATCAGTGAGGTGCTTGCAGGCGACTTGTATTCATGGGAAGGAGGCCATTCCACCATTTACGAAGAACGCGACGTTTTCATCATGGCAGTTCAATACCTGTTTGAAAGTGCGTCTTTTGGACGAACAACAAGGACAACGGACACAGCTGTGGACGTACTATTAGACAGATTCCAAGCCAGAGTTCGCCAAAATCCGTTTTACTTACCATGGGCTATGCGTGGTATCTGTGATGATGCAGCTGTGCTGAGTGACCAGATTTTACGGCAAGAACTCCAAAAACTCCGCACGCTGTTTGAGCAATGGGTTCCGGCAAGTGCAAAGTTACGTGAAATCAAGTTTAGACTGGAACCATTGCGGGCACGTTTATAAATGCAAGCAATCCATGTAATACGTACACTTGTAGATCATCAGATATTGTTAGTATAATTAGAGAAGAAGATATAATAAAAAAATGAGACAGGCTTGTTTCTAAAACAAAGAAAATGATGATAGTACAGAGAGAGAAAAAGGATGCTGATGCGTGTGAAGGTGTGTGAAGGTGTAGATGTATATTTTTAATGGCCTTGGATTTCTCTCACAATGTTGCAATGTGTGATGGATAAGTCTATAAGAAACGGGCGAGTTCAGAAGATGCAATGTTCAGATTTGGTGACTGGGCGTTGATGGCGCGAATCAGTTCGATCAAGTGGGCACGCGTTGCTTCCTTGATCTGCTCTTCGTCGGAAAGCACATGTGTGAACACTTGGAGGAATTCGGCAAGATGGCTCAAAACCTAACAATATATCATATAAATACGGGGAGAAGGTATTATCAGTATCTAGTAAGGTACACCGTGTGTTCAAACACCATACTTACAAAAGCATTGTTGGATTGGAACAAGTTAAACAAGCACTCAAACACTGGCTCGTTTTCTTCATAATCGGCTTTCAGAGGTAACGCTGTCGTAAAGACAGGTAAAACTTGATCTAAGGGCACGGCATTTGGGTGCTTAAGAATCAACCGAGCAACAGCACCAGCAGCATTGTCAGTCGTGTTGAGGAGTGTTTGGTCTTGGAACAAAGGATGCAATGCAGTTAAAATGGCAGGGTATTGTCTAGTAATAAACCATTTTAGTCATCACCAATGACTATCGTCATTGTTCTTAAAAAAGCACTTACGAGGAAAGGTCGAGTTGCGAATACAGAGTCAAGACACCCAGAGCATATGCAGCGTTACTTCGGACAGTTTGATCTTCGTCGCTGGTTCCCTTGATGAAGAGTTGGAGCAGGCGTTGAGTATGAGGAGTCACTGCAGACTTGACACCGCTGATGCATTCGCCCAAACAGCCAACGGCCATCGATCTCTCGGAAGCTGTCTTGGTCTTTTTCTACAAATTATGCACACACCATAAACACTCAAGGCTTCATGGATGGACAATCAAAAGGTTCAACAGCAAAACTTACATAGTATTTGGAGATGAGAGGCAAAAAGATGTCAAAATAGGAAGAGAAACCTTCACCAATTGCTCCACAGAGTGCGGCAACAAGGTCTGCAGCAGAACCAATGAGGAGAGACTCTGACTCAGCTTCTTCATCCTCGTCAACAAAGTCCTCATCATCATAGGCTTGTTGGCAAACAGATCGCTTCTCGAAAATCTCCAAAAGATTGCGGGCTAATTCCTCCACGTCTAGCAGATAAAGGTGTTTGAGTTAGGGAGAAGCTTGCACTTGATTAATTGTTATATCTACTTGGATCACTTAACACTTACTGTCAGCAACGACAACAGGACCCATCAATTTGAGTGCTTGCACAAGTTCTTGACAAACCTGAACCACAACAGTTCGGTCATCCTCGTCCTTCCACATAGTCAAGATTGCTGGCATGACAACGCCAATCATGTTTTGCACATTTTCATGCACAGAGTACTTGAGCGGAAGACCGGGTGCCCATTCGCCAGGACTGGAAATGGTATAGAATGTTCGGAGGAATGCAAACAAACTTCCAACCACAGACTTGCGGACGCCATCGAAAATGTGAAAGGAAAGTTGCGACAGTTCTTGAACGGATGCTTCGACATAGGGCAAAAAGTGAGAGCGTGTGTTCTCAAACATCTCGCCGAGCGCATCAGCTGCAAACTCCTTTTCGTCTGCAAGTGCCGAGTTGAACCCAAAGGCATTCAAATCGTCCTCCTCATCCTCGCCATCCATGCTACCGGTCGTCAGGTCAACCTCGCCAAGAAGAATGCCATCATCCTTTTCTTCAGCCTTACAAGAAGCAAGGATTGGAGGCATCACTGTAGGGAGATAGGGAGCAAACTCTTCACCAAAGACGCGGGCAAGAATGGAAAAGAAGGCATACGAGCATTCGCGGAGACGGTTCGAGTCGAGTTGAAGCTGGTCGACGGCCAAATGCATCAGGTCTTGAGCGCAGTGGCGGAACTTTTCAGCACCCACGGCTTGAGCAATCGTACCAGCTGTATCGGTGGCAACACCACGAAGCAAGAGCTGATCAGGGGTTTCCTTGACGGTCATCAAGGCACGGATACGAGGCATCACCTGGCCAAAGTAAGGGTCGAAATCCTCGCCTGCTGCGTGTGCTGCACTGCCGATCGCAGCAATCACTGTAGCCTTGGTTTCGGTTTGCGAAGCGTTATCGAGCAACAACAAGAGTTTCTCCATCAACAAGGGGAGATACTGCACAACTTCCTGACCAAGACCTTCGAGGATGGCATCCAGTGCATTGCAAGCATGCTTTGTCACTTCGGGGTTGGTGTCGTTCATCAAGTTGAAAACCAAGGGCAACAACTCGCGATGATGCTTGGAGATCTCTGTTTGAAGTTCTTCGGCCAGACAACCCAAAGCCATGCATGCTGCTCGTCGTACAACAATTTCGGGATCGCCCAGACCTGTGCATACCAACGGCAGCAACTCCTCCAACTTGGGGCTCATGAAATCTGCGCATCCTTCGACAATCACAGCAAAAGCCATCATACCTGCCTTGCGAAACGCAGGATCTTGGTTCTGCAAGTAGCCGACAACAATAGGCATAATCACGGGGAACACCTGCTGCGGTGGCATGTTGGTTGCGAGCGCGTTGAGCACCTTGTATGCCAAACGAGATGGGGAATCCTCATCAACATCCTCTGGATCTTCTTCAGCACCGATAGGCATCAAGCCTTCGATCAAAAATCCAACCAACTTGAGACTTCTGATCTTGTTCTGTTTGCTATAAAACATACAAAGTAAGTGACACATGTTCCGTCAATTCCCCAGGCTAACCCCCTCCCCATTCGTTTCACTTACTAGACAGCAGCCCACATGAGGAATGACAGGGCCATGACACGAACAGATTCGTTCACCTCCCGATTTGTTCCAATGCTCAAGAAAAATCGAATGAGATCGACCAGATGGTTTGACAATAGCGGGGTATCCTGCATGATAATTAGTGGGATAAAATTGACTGCATAACTACTAAACGACATATGGAACATACCAGCATAAGGAGCGTATCGAGCACTTCAAAAATTTCGCCAGCACTTTCTTCATCGTCGTTCTTCAGGCATTCCTCCAAGACGTTAACCATGGCTGGAATCATGTCGCGGAATGCTTTCTATATTGCACACAGCCCGCCCCACGTAGAGAAAAACACGGTCCCCAAACTTAATAATACAGCCCAAAGACATGATGAAAGATAGAAATATAAAGTAGCCACATTACAATGTTTTCTTTGTCTTCCATATCGATGAATTCCGCCAACTTGCCAAGGATTCTATTAAATCGTCGTCCATCAGGATACAGCCTCGTCCCAAAAAAAGAAAAATCGCACTATTCGCATATCAACAATGAAAAAGCGTACTTACAAAACAGTAGTAACTCTGACTTTGAGACTTTCAGGATCGACCAAGGTTTTGTTGAACAACTCGTATAATGGAGTCATGTTGTTCATGAAGAACTCGGCAATAACTTCAAACAAGGTGAACAAGATGTACGTTCCAACCTCTCGATGACCAGCGTTTGCACTCGAACAGGCTTGGTTGAGGAACGTCAGTAGCTCGGGCCAAGATTCGTTAGGGACATCGAGTCGGGCCACAGACGAGATCACGCGAGCAATTGAGTGCCGTACAAGTTCTCTGTTGTTAACAGCCATCAGATTTACTTCTTCTATCGTAACACCTCGTATATGATCCCTTTTTGCAACGATATTTACTTTTCTTCGTTCAAAACAATCTGTAAGAGTTGGCCTCGAATCGATGCTCGGCTAGCCTCTTGAAGTTCGGGCCACCACTTGTTGATACGTTTGCGCAGCTCCACAGCAGCGAGTTGACGCACTTGGAAATGAGCTGATCGGCCAATGATCTCCACTAAACCCGGTACACAATTCTCGGTCGTATAATATTGAGTATTCAAAGTCGACGTAGCCTATTGAAAGATAGAGTAGCCTGGTTAAAACACTTTTTGTTCTTTTGTTCCTTTCCTGATTCCGCCGCGATCTGTTTTTTTTGTATAATTTTTTTTTACATTGCGAAGCGTCTCAGAATCTTGAGCGCTGGCTAACTTGGTTAGCAAATCGTCAAGACCTGCCAAGTATTGCTATAAGAATAAAGTGCTTGTATGTTTAATAATGGTTCAGCAAACAGAACAGTATGTGTTTATAACGAGAAGCTCGTTCACACCTCCATAACTACAGCAGCGAGTTGTGCAGGAAATACAAAAAAAAGAAAAGAAGGGAAAGTTGCTGGGTTTCTCTTTTTATTTTTTGAAACTTGTCTCTTTTCGTTCAGTTACCACAAAATTATTTTTGCACGAGCGACAGGTCAACTGCCAGAAGACTTCTTAGGCAGAAACCCGAATGAGTGACACTGGCAGTGACGTTGACTGGGAAGAGCTTTTTGGACCTGCGGTTGAAATTACAGTGGAAACATGTCCTGCCATCCCTGGACTTAAGTTAGCAAGAGAAGCAATAACACATGAGGAACAAATGACTCTGCTGCAAGCCATTACAGACCATCGCTACTTTCATGACGACGTTGACCAGGGTATGTGCTTTGGTACGTTACCTGCGCATTTCGCTTGGTTGGAACCCTGGGTGAAAACCATGTGCTCTGAGTTATTTCCCGAGAATATCGTAAGCCGGACACCCTTATTTGATCAAGCCATTATCAACTTGTATCAAAAAGGTATATATCATCACCATCAACCCACCCTTGCAGGGTAAGAAGAGGTTAACTAATATCTTCAAATCAAAACTAGGAAAGGGTATCAAATCACATATAGATTTATTACGGTAAGCATTCGTCCCTTCTCTATTGCCTGCTTATTGATACGCAAGTGTACTTTTTCTAAGTGATCCAATAGGTTTGATGATGGAATACTGGTCGTTTCGCTTCTTTCTTCCTGTGTCATGACAATGCAAAAAGATAGCCGAAAAATTCCTGTGCTGCTACGTCCTGGTGATGTCCTGGCACTCTCGGGCGAAGCGCGTTATCAATGGGAACATGGGATAGAGGAAAGGATGGTGGATAGTATAGACGGAGAATTGATTAAACGTGGAACACGCGTTAGCGTTACGTTGCGCAAGTTACTGGTAACTTCGTAATGTAGAATACATGCTGATTATTACCTTCGATACAGCAGACATAAAATATACGATAATGGTCTTTGAGATATAGATTCGAGTGTCTGGTGTTAGGCTTCTTGAAGAGTTTAGCGAGCGTAATACCCGATGCTATTCGCGAATGATTTCCTGCCAAATGTCCATCATCCTTCACTCTGGCGTATCCATGCTGTTCCTGGACTGTGTCACATGCTGGCTCGTGTGATTCAACATTAATGGCAGCAGTGCGTGTGACACTAGTGGCATCTTTTTCTTTAATGTGATGCTAGGTTCTTAACACGATAATAAGTCGATGTCATATACATATAACAGCAATCGGCTGCCATGCTGCAGTTTGATCCTCCTGTTTGCAAATAGATACTTGACTGTATTTTTGGAAGGGAAAGGGCAGAATCATCTGAAGTACACTTTATTCACTCGGCCAAAGGAGTCCTGCTTATATACCACTTTTTTTTAAAAAAAGGAAACAGATACAGTTTCTGATATAATGGGACTAAAGCCGCTGTCGTATCCTTTAGAAAGCACGATATACTCAAACACTTATCCTCAACCTCCGCTGCTTGTCTTTGCCTTTCGTTAATCATACAATTGAGGCCTTCACTGCTTCAGAAACTGTTTCGTTAAAAAAAGCAAGCGTTCGGATCCATCGGAGCTGGCGGCGTATCCATGCCGATAACCAGCAGCATAAGCCATCGAAACATGCGAAGCCGTCACAAATTTCGACAATCTCAGTTTGAGCAGGATTGACTACTATATTTGACAGTGCAAGTGTGTGTGCCTCACAAAAAAAAACCTAATCGATTGCAATGGCTAAATCACATAAGAATCAAAACGGTTCAAAGAAACTCAACCAAAAGGGGAAATCAAAAGCTGGCGTGTCCAAGGCTCCTAAGAATGGCAAGCCAGGCAAAGTCATGAAAAAGGAAAAGCCCTCTGTGACAAAACCTGCCGGTAAAGGATCGTCAAGCAAAAAAGCAGGTAAACACCTTTCACAAAGAAGTGTACAAGATTGAAAGAAGCATACTAATAGGATTCAACGATTGACTTTACTAGAGAAAAAAAGTGACAATACCAAGTACGTTACATAAACGCCTATCTATTTTATCCAACACGGTCCAACACTTAACTTCTCCTTTTTCATAGAATGTCGGTTGAGGACTTTTTCGCGGGCGGTTTCGATGCTAGCGGTTCGGACGATGATCTCGACAAGGTACGTGTGATTTCGTGAAAGGAGAATTGCGGGGCTGTTTCGAAAGTAGATTGGCTATATTAACAAATAATTGAAATCCAGGAACTTGAAGCTATGGAGAAAGTTGAAGACGACGCTGTAGTTGACGATTCCGACGACGACGACGACGACGAAGAAGACATGGTCGAAGATTTGGTCATGTCAGAAAACTTGGTTAACGACAAAGAAGACGTATCGGATGCGATCGACGAGGACGAAGACGATGATGAAAACCAGGACGATTTAGAAGCTAGCGATGACGCCAAACAATCATCAGAAGACGACGACGATTCTAGCGATGAAGAAAACGGTAACGACGACAAAGATGATGATGATGAGGACATCGATAACAGCAAAAAGCTCAACAAAGATATCAAGCGACACAAGAAAGAGCTCGAGCAATTGAAGAAGCAAGATCCAGAATTCTTCAAGTATCTTCAAAAAGAGGAAAATGCCCTGTTGGAATTCGACGAATCAGAAAAGGAAGACGATGAAGATGAAGATGAGAATGAAGGAAGTGATGAGGAACTGGGTAGCGAGGATCTCGACGGAATGGATGTCGATATGGACGACGAGAATTTAGAGCAAGAGAGCGACAGCGAAGCAGAAATGGATGGCGACGAGGATGATGAAAGCGGATTGGAAGTCCTGACCAAGAGCATGTTGAATGAATGGATCGAAGAAGTCGAAACAAAGCAGAGCGTCAATGCTATGAAGAAGCTTTTGGTTGCATTCAAGTCTGCTGCTAGAATGTCGGACGAAGAAAAGCTTGAACGCGTCAGCTTGGTGTATCGCATTGTTAATCCCAATGGTAAGCTTTTATAGTATATTGTGGGCTTAACTTGTGAAACGTGTAACTTACGCGCATATATAACTGTTCCATTAGTGTTCAATCAGCTCGTTGTTGCTACAATGCGAAACGCTCCAATTATTTTCAACCGTGTTTTCAAGTGCGGTCAAGGAAACAAGTCTCCAGCTACAGCTACTCGCTGGCAATACCATCAGGGCATGGTGAAGTTATATTTATCCAATTTGATCCACTTGATGTCTGGTCTTACCGATTCAGATATGCTGTATGTCGCTGTACGGGAGGCAGAAAAGTGCTCAGCTTATTGGGCGTGCTATGATAAATATGCCAAGGAATATCTCAAGGTAAGATAGAAAAATGTAGAGATAATGGGGAGAATGAGAACAGACGAATTGACATAAAAGTATTGCGGTATTTTCTATGTAGATTCTTTTGAACATGTGGTCTAATTTCACATCGTCTGATAATGTCCGTATCCAAAGTTTCTTGGCAATCCGATCGCTCACTACTGCACCTGTTCCCAAAGCAACAAAGCAGTCTACATACTTGGATTTGGCCCTCAAAAACATCTATCTGACCTTTGTGCGTAACTGCAAAAACACAAATGCTCACACTTTACCTGCCATCAATTTGATGCGGAATCTGGCCGTCCAGCTTTATGGAATCGATCAAGAATTGAGCTATCAACAAGCATTCGTATATATCCGTCAGCTCGCAATCACTTTACGAAACGCTATGCAGACCAAAACAAAGGTAGGAAGGCTGGAGAAGAATACATAATTCACGGAAACGGCTGAGCGTAAGGCTGATCATCCTTATATCTTGTACTTATAGGAAAGTTACACGTCTGTTTACAACTGGCAATTTATCCACTGTATCGATTTCTGGGCAAATGTACTAGCTGCAAATTGCCAAGATGAATCGTCTGAATTACGGCCTTTGATCTACCCATTGGCGCAGGTTGCTCTCGGTACCATCAAGTGAGTGGATATGTATATTTTATGATGATTGAAAAGAGAGACACGTAGACAGAAGGGATGATTAATGCAAGAATATTTTGTCAGATTGGTCCCCGATGCCCAATATTATCCTCTTCGTTTCCACGTGTTGCGATCTATGACAACCTTGGGTGTTTCCACAAAGGTGTTTATCCCCTTGGCACCATACATGTTTGAGCTGTTCGAGAGCCCGGCATTGACAAAACAAGCAAAGCCTTCTACTCTCAAACCATTGCAATGGGATATTCATTTAAAAACACCTCAAAACTATCTCCGTGGCCGTGTCTTCCAGGTAAATATTAGAAACATACGATTGCACTTTTGTTCGAACGCTTACTCGTACCCTCTATCTTTTTAAAGGATGGCGTTCTGGAGCAGCTGAATGAATGCATTTTGAACTACTATAAGGGTTACTTTTACCATATCGCTTATCCCGAAATGGTTATACCTGGCATTGTTGCGGTAAGTTTACAATTCTAGACTTGTACAAAATGCGAAGAGTTCTGTTAATTCATGCTGATCTGTTTGGTTTTTTTTCTACCTGCCGCTATGCACAATATAGATCAAACGTTTCCTCAAAAAATCCAAACCATCGAAACAATCCAAAAAGCTTCATGATCTGGCATCCAAGGTAATACACTATTTTGTTCGGTGTTTTGAGAATAGCAGAAACTTATATTGACTTGTCTATGGTTTTTATTGTATCAGCTCGATATTAAATCCAAATACATCTTGACGCAACGTTCCAAGATTGACTTTAGTCCTACTGATCAGGTAGACGTGGACAAGTTTATCAAAGAAATGCAGCAAAAACTATTATAATTTCTTAAAAGACTATCACAAAAGACATTCATATCATTCATTTTGCAATTCACATCATCTTCTACAACTGTAAAATAAAAGAAAGCCACCTATTAACCAGTAATTTTAAACTACTTGATATTGGTACATGCGTGCAAGGGATATATTGGTGCCCATATTTTTATTAAGATGCTTTCTGAAATGTGCTGTAGTTCCTGATAGTACTACTACATCGAGCATCCTAGCTGTGGCTACTACTACATACCATCTTCCTTTTTCAGATACGCGCCAAGAAACTCAAATGCTTTGTCAATATCGCTCGATGAACGGACCAGATTACTGTATGCTACGTATAAATCGGGTCGAAGAATGACAATGGCAGCTGGAACATCTGGCTTGTCGTACATGTGTGTCCCCAAATTAACACGTTTCGATATCGAACCATCCGTATCCCAATGATCCTCGGACCAAAAAGCAGTCTCTGCGACTGATGCTTGTTCGCCATGTTCTTGTACAAATTCTGGTGCTTTAGATTCATGCACATGCCATGTAGACTCGATCACCATCGGCCGAACAGTAGCTGACGGGTATTTGGAATCGAAAAACTTTGTCCAGAACTCTTGTGTCAACGGATTCGATGGGAAACGTGATGGACGGCTACTGATCCACATGACAGCGTGTTGTGTGGTTGTATCCGTTGCAAGAATTTGGTGCAATGTGCATCGCTCGAGCTTGCTGGTCAGCACACGTTTGCGGAGGACAGAAGTATCAGGCATGAAATTTCCAGGTTCAATCAGGTCGGTACTATTGTGTTTGTTACTGCTTGAGTTGGCAGAGTGTAACAACTGAGATTCCTTTGGGAGCCGCACATGAACCTGGAAGATATATTTTGTTTGGCCACGTTACAAAATGCACATAATGTAACCGGATTTCTATACGACAATCAAGCTCTACAAAAATTTAGGAGAAGCGTGTAGAAACAAACCTGCATCATTTGTACAATGAAGTAGTTCTTGATTCTATCGAACGACAGTGCTCCAGAAAGTAAGTATCCTACAGCCGCTGTCATCAAAAATATGATATAAACATCAGCTTGTATGCGTGCAAAGTGTTATTCAACCTAGAACTTCAATTCAAGAAACTTACACAAGATTGGCCCCTTTGTAAGTGCAAATCGTGTTGCAGACCCTGTGGTTTGCAAAGTTGCCGCAACGATAGGCTCACGCTACAGTGCCCAACAAGCATGATGATCTTTAGCATTTTGTCGTTACTGGGTCACACCGTATCCTTCTTCTACAGTAGCTTACCTCGACAACATAAGAGTCAAGTATTTTCTCATCGTCAGAAGACAGACCTCTCAGGACAATTGACAGCTTCCAAGCAAGGTTGTCAGCTGACAAAATAGTAATGATAGACAATATATCATGATCAGCTACAAGTCTACACGATTAGAAACTTTCTCTCCCTCAGGACACTTACCATCCTGGAGACCAAGGTTCAAACCTTGACCGCCCACTGGTGAATGACAATGAGCAGCGTCTAACATAGTGGTATGTATATATGCACATGCGCATGTAGAGCCATGCGTTACATTAACTGGGTGACAGCGAATTTTTATCATGTAAGTTATACCTCCTATTAAAAATGCACGCTTACGACGAAACCCATTCGCCTTACGCTCATTGATGCGAAACTCGGTCAACCACAAAGGTTCTTGAGCCACGACTTCTAATGGGTGAAGCCGTTCGGTCATTATATTTTGTAGTTGTTCAAGCGTAAAACCATGCTCTTCCTGGACAACGCCGTGTGTTGTTCTATCGCTCTCATCTACTTCGTAAGGTCCCAGATTTCCAACCACTCGGAAATACTGTTTGCCGTTTCTTTTGCCGATGGGAATAGCACCGCACATGCCTATGTGTGGCCAACAGGGTTATATGGAGTTCCGTATTAAATATCGAGACCAAAAACATCTTTTCATCAAGGATCTCACAATCCGGATGCTTTTCCGGTTTCTTCTTCTTTCTCGATATTTCTATACGTACCATTCGAATGCACAAATCCATTCGCTCGGGTATACGGTAGTTTGGATGCATCTTTTCCTGTCAGAGCTACGTCGCCCATGCCAAATCGAGTAGCCATAGAATATCCGACGAAATTCCAATTCTCTGTCTTTTTGCGAACCACTGAATGAGATCCATCGGCGCCAATAATGTACCTTGCGAGTACTTTCGTTTCAAAACCTGTCCCTGTATGCCTGACGATGGCTTCGATGTGGTCCTCGTCTTGTGAATAATCGATCAACTGAGTGTGCCAGGCAATGCAATCCGAACCCACCAATCGAATCAATACTGTTTCTGTTATGTCTTGTGCAAGACATGTCATTTGAGGAAAGCTCGTATCACCTGTCACATCCATCGTGCCGACCTATACGTAGATACGGAGTAATGATGTCAATTCTGTCGTTCTTTAGTTCATCTAGTTCTATTTTCTTCCTGTCTCTTCTCACGCTAATCCATTTTACGTACACCGATGTCATAAATGATTCCATACATACTTTGGATCCTTGGACGTGTATTTGAACGCCCTGGACAACAATAGCTTCCTTTAGAAGATGGTGCGCAATATTATGATTTGCCATGACTTCCATTGTTCGTGGTGTCAACAATACAGCTCTACTTTGTGTGGTAGGTCCATTTTTTGGATCACAAATGTAGACTGAATGACCAAGCTTCGCCATCTTTTATACACATGATATCGAAAAACCATCGCTTAGTATAATCATATAATGGTTTACGTAAACGTGCTGGGAAAGTACGATGGACCTCGCGTGTGAAAAGGTATGCACTCTCAAATAAGAGAATTACCTGGTAGGCAAAGAACAGACCGACAGGACCTGCTCCTGATATAAAAACATCAACTCGATTTTCTATATGTTGACCGTCGTTGTTAGTAGCAGTGCAAGTAGTGGCCATATTTTGGACGTATACAGCGGTAAAAGTATAAATTGAAAGAAATAGATGTGCAAAAAAAAGAAGGTGAGAAATGAAACACGGTAGGGCGACTGCGTTATTGTTTATGCATATCTTTATATGCTGGTGTGAACACTGCGCCCTGTGGTACATACACTAGCCCTAGCCGTTTCAAAAAACTCACGGAAACGGATTTCGGGAAATTAATTTCTCCGAGCGGTTAATCATGTAACCGAACCAAAATCCGTTTTCCAGAATAAACTGCTAATCAAGCTCTATTGATAAATATCCACTGCCATGTCCGCACGCGCACTTTATAAAATAGCACGCTATGTACTGTAGCCTTTTCTGTTATATTATCTCAACTTCTGTACACTATGTATCAAATGATTTTTTTATGGAGCCTTCCATCCCTGGACGGTTAGCATCATTAGTTGTTATATCTAATTAATCCTGCATGGAAAGCTTGCGCGCCCCAAGCAACTTTCCATCTTTTTATATCAAAATTCATTCTCTTGCAGTGTCCATGCTGATATCTTCTCTGTATCTGTCTAATTTCGTAACATGACATGTGCAACTATGGTGTATTTCATCTATAACCGCCAAAATTTTCCCCAAAATTGAAAGCTATCAGCACCCCCAAAAACAAGTTTACCACAAAAGCAACCAAATAAATTGTTTCTTAAGCATCTTTAGTCTATTTCTATTTGGCTAACTTCTTAAAAAAATGTTTTGGGAAGGAGAGGATAGTCGTCAAAGTCTGCCGGTTTAGGAAAATTTTGCAGACGAAGGGGAAAATTGAAACGCACTCATGCATATTCGGGTAAATAATACTCACGTGAAATTTCCTAATTTGGTTAGTATCTAATGCCTTACACTGTTATTCGCAAGAGCTGAGATGTGGCCACACCCTGTTCCTTCTACCAGATGCCACCACTTAGGAAGCGCCAGAAGAGCGCTAGAGAGAACGCAAAGAGAAAACAACACGATGAATATGGAAGATTCATAGCTTCGGAAAGTCCAGCGACTATCACACATGTCGATGCAGGATCTGAACTAAGTGACAACAACGACGACGATAATATCAACGATTGGGAACTCCTTGACCTGACGCACAATATATTACAACAGGCTGCAAAACTATCGCTGGCTTGGAAAGACGATGCAGATAAATCCATGCGTGTAGTATATAACAAAGACTCCCGTACGACCAACTGGCGAAGACGAACAGAAGCAAGAGCTGCTGCAGAAGGTTGCAAAAAGGTCGATAGTTATTTCACGAAGGTGACGCAAACGCCGTGTATACATTCAGAGAACTCTTCTAAAGCTCTCCACAAAAACCACAGCGTCGCCAATATTGATGGTGAGGAGCAACTCTCACAGCTTTTAGCATCTTTAAAAGCACTTATAAAGCCGGTAGCGAACAAAGGAAGCACGCTCAATACTATGGGTGCTTTTCAAATGGCAAAAACACAAGCTGTATACCGGTACTATCACTATCGGTCACAGGGATTGATAGTTCTCAAAGAGCTGCTGTCGATATCTGGACCACCCCATCAAAAGAGTACAGGGCAAAGGCCATCCGCTACTGGGCGCGCGAATTCCGTGATTCTGGGTCCATCTCAACACATCAACAAGGGAAGCATGTAAAAAGAGAATCACTCCTCAGTGACGAGTCCGTGGAAGAACGAATCCGTCTATTGATAGGCGGTCAAAAACTCGAACTGCGTAACCTCCCTGCTTTTGTTAAAGTTATCAATGAAAGTATCATCCCTGAGATACTTGGTGTTCCAGGCTCAGTATCACAGACGACATTATGGCGATATATGTCTGAGTGGGGTTATCGATACCGCAAAAACAGCAAGGATATATATTACGACGGGCACGAACGAGATGACGTGGTAGCATACCGATTAAAATGGGCTAAACGAATGGTGGAGTACAAGAAGCGGATGGACTCGTACGAAGGACAACGTGCAGAAATCATCATTGAGCCATCTTTAGCGCCTGATCAAAAGAAAATTGTTATGGTTACCCATGATGAGTCAACCTTCTATGCAAACGACGGTAAACAAAAGCTATGGCTGGCAGACGGCGAGAGTATCCTACGCAACAAAAGCCCTGGACAATCCATTATGATATCCGAGTTCCAATGCGCGTGTCATGGCACAATGCGATCTGGAATATGGACCTCGCGTACATACTTCTATGCAGGGGCTAACCGAGAACAGTATTGGACCAGCAAAGACATGGTTAAGCAGTTAGAAGAAGATGCGATCCCACTATTTGACCTTTTGCACCCTGGTTGTCAAGCATTATTTATATTCGATCAAAGTAGTAATCATAACGCTTACCCAAGTGATGCATTACTGGCGAGAACTATGTGCAAGGATCCAAAGCGGTGTGGAGTGGATAACGCAGAGCATGACTGCAGCATGCACGTGTATCGGGACAGCTACTTTATCGATGAAGCAACCAAAGAAAAGAAAACACAAAGGATGTACATGAACATCGAAGAAAACATTAAGAAACGCAAGCGAGGTGTCACGATAGTCACGGCCGACAAACAGCAAGTATGCCATTTCAAGGGGATAAAAATCATTTTGAATGAGCGTGGACTTTGGTTTGAGGAAGACCCGTATAGACCTGGAAAAGTTTGGCGAATGGATTGCAAAAAAGAAGAAGCGGACGATAGCAAGTGTTGTGCTAGACATTTTCTTGGTGCCCAGCCCGACTTTCGAGATCAAAAGACAGCCCTTTGTGAAGCTGTGGAGAACGCGGGTCACATTTTTGAGCTATATCCAAAATTCCATTGCGAGTGCAATTGGATCGAACGATATTGGGGCCAAGCAAAGTACCATGCACGAATCAATTGTGATTACAGTTTTAAAGCTTTGAAAGAAAACTTACCAAAGTTCCTGGATACTGTTTCGCCCCCAGACGAAGCACCTACACTAATTAGACGATTTTATGGAAGGGTGTGGCGTTTTATAGACGCTTATTCCCAAGAACTACCAACTCCCGAAGCTATCACTCTTGTGGAAAGATATACTTCCCGAACTTACAGCTCACACCGTCGTGACGATTTCCCTACTATTATTTGAATATTACCAAATAAAGAAGCGGCATTTGAAATCTCAAAATTGAAACATTGGCGGTTATAGATGAAATACACCATACGGTATGCCATTGTTGTCAAATTTCTTCCATTGTTGTAGTAGCAACTCATCAAGAAATATAAATATCAATTTGTTTATTTTTTTGACATCATTGTTTGAGATCAGCTTGTCAGAAAAAACTATGCCGATAGAGCCAAAATTAGGTAAGTATTTTTCATCAGTTTAGGTTTAAAGTTTTATGTCTCAATATAGAGGATAATTGGACCGATGCCTATGAGCATGCGGTCACTTGTTCGAGATACAGTTGTGTTAAAGAGATAT